CAATGGGGCATGGTTTGATACCAACTCGTGGCTGGAGAGTATTAGTAACGATCAGAATTAGCCATCATTAGAAGTGAACCATCACTTCTTCAGAATTCTATACCGATTACGGTATAGAAGGAAATTTTCGTCATTTCATTACTTTGAACTACCCCGTCACTAGCGGGAATCGAACCAGGGTCCACACATTGGGAGTCAATTGACTAACACACATGCTACAAGATACGATCCACACTTCGGTAGGAGCTGCGCGCCCTTTTATCTTGGTACTTTGGCTCCTGGACTTAAAAATTCACCTAGACCTGGACTTTTCTGTTTGTTTTCTCACTCTCCTTTCAACTAGACTTGGATCTGATTAAAATAAAGAGACACATAGTCACAGGTTTTTTTTTTTGTTTTAAATAGTTGTGCAGTTTCAGTGCTATCAAGCCTCATCCAGCTTGAGCTAAAATTTAAAGTTTAGTGTCTGTAAAGGAACGTGATATAGGAAAAAAACGGAATTAACCTATGTGTCCACATGGCTCAGAGGTTAAGAAGACTGACTGGCACTCCTGAGGTTGTGGGTTCGAGCCCTGCCTTATCCAAATCTAGTTAAAATTTAAAGTCGTGTCTAGATAGGACAGTTAAATAGGAAAAACCTGGAGTTACCCTTTGTGTCCACATGGCTCAAAGGGTAAGAAGACCGACTGAGACTCTTGAGGTCGTGGGTTCGATCCTTGCCTTATCCAGCTCGAGATGAAATTTAAAGTCTAGTGTCTAGAAAGAAGAGTTAAATAGGAAAAACCTGGAAATTTCCTGTGTGTCCACATGGCTCAGAGGATAAGAACACTGATTGGGACTCCTGAGGTCGTGGGTTCAATCCTCACCTTACCCAACTTTAGTTGAATTTTAAAGTCAACTGTCTGGAAGAAGAGTTAAATAGGAAAAACCCGGAATTACTCTGTGTGCCTGCATAGTTCAGAGGGTAAGAACACTGACTGAGACTCTTGAGGTCGTGGGTTCGATTCTCACCTTACCCAACTTTAGTTGAATTTTAAAGTCAACTGTCTGGAAGAAGAGTTAAATAGGAAAAACCCGGAATTACTCTGTGTGCCTGCATAGTTCAGAGGGTAAGAACACTGACTGAGACTCTTGAGGTCGTGGGTTCGATTCTCACCTTACCCACATCTACTTGAATTTTTAAAGTCCATTAGCCAAAGTAAAAAGATAAAAGCGGGCATTCCGCATGCCCTAGTGTGGATCCTATCTAATGGCACTGCATGGAAGTCTATTGCCACCCAATGGGGCATGGTTTGATACCAACTCGTGGCTGGAGAGTATTAGTAACGATCAGAATTAGCCATCATTAGAAGTGAACCATCACTTCTTCAGAATTCTATACCGATTACGGTATAGAAGGAAATTTTCGTCATTTCATTACTTTGAACTACCCCGTCACTAGCGGGAATCGAACCAGGGTCCACACATTGGGAGTCAATTGACTAACACACATGCTACAAGATACGATCCACACTTCGGTAGGAGCTGCGCGCCCTTTTATCTTGGTACTTTTATTGATGTAATAGACACAAGAATACTAACACATAACACAGCCAAAGGTTTGATTATTCTGCCAATAGTCTTCTTTTCTTTCAGGACCAACTGTGGAGTTTTTCCTTTTCTGAATTGTTTTTTTTTTTGTTCATACTTAGCATTTTGGGGGTGATGAAAATTTCAGATTTTTGGGTGAAAAAAATTTCAGATTTTAGGATGAAAAAACATGCCATAGTATTGTCTAATCAAATTGCCATAGAAAAGGATGTTAAAAATGTCATATCTTAGCGGGAAAATGAAAATTTCATATTTTGGTCCGTAAAAAAAAAAAAGACATAGTATATACTATGACCAAAATTTCAGATTTTTGGGTGAAAAAAAAAATCAGATTTTAGGATGAAAAAACATACCATAGTATTGTCTGATCAAATTGCCCTAGAATAGGATGTTAAAAATGTCAAATTTTTGCAGGAAAATGAACATTTCATATTTTGGTCCGAAGAAAAACGACATAGTCCAAAATTTCAGATTTTAGGGTGAAAAAACATGCCATAGTATTGTCTGATCAAATTGCCATAGAATAGGATGTTAAAAATGTCATATTTTTGCAGGAAAATGAAAAAATTATATTTTGGTCCGAAGAAAAAAACGACATAGTATACTATGACCAAAATTTCAGATTTCGGGGTGAAAAAAAAAATCAGATTTTAGGATGAAAAACATGCCGTAGTGTAGTTTTAATCGTAATGCTACAGTATAGGATGTAAGAAATGTCATTTTTTAGTAGGAAAAAGAAATTCATATTTTAGCCCGAAAAAAAAAAAGTCATAGTATAGTATGACCAAAATTTCGGATTTTAGGATGAAAAATTTTTTCTGATTTTAGGATGAAAAAACATGCCATAGTACTGTCTGATCAAAATACCACAGTATAGGATGTAAGAAATGTCATTTCTTAGCAGGAAAAAGAAATAAATATTTTAGCCCGAAAAAAAAAAGTCATAGTATAGTATGCACAAAATTTCAGATTTTAGGGTTAAATTTTTTTTTCAAATTTTAGGTTAAAAAACACCCCATAATGTAGTCTGATCATACTGCTACAGTACAGGATGTAAGAAATGTCATTTTTTAGCAGGAAAAAGAAATTCATATTTTAGCCCAAAAAAAAAAAAAAAAAGTCATAGTATAGTATGACCAAAATTTCAGATTTTAGGATGCAAATTTTTTTTTCTGATTTTAGGATGAAAAAACATGCCATAGTATTGTCTGATCAAAATACCACAGTATAGGATGTAAGAAATGTCATTTTTTAGCAGCAAAAATAATCCATATTTGAGCCCGAAAAAAAAAAGTCATAGTATAGTATGACCCAAAAAAAATAAAAAAAGTCGTACTATAGTATGACCAAAGTTTCAAATTTTAGGGAAAAATAATTTTTTCAAATTTAGGTTAAAAAACATGCCATACTGAAGTCTGATCATAATGCCACAGTATAGGATGTAAGAAATGTCATTTTTAAGCAGGAAAAATAATCCATATTTGAGCCCGAAAAAAAAAGCATAGTATACTATGACCAAAATTTCAGATTTTAGGGTGAAACTTTTTTTTAGGTTTTAGGTTAAAAATACATGCTATACTGTAGTCTGATCTTAATGCCACAGTATAGGATGTAAGAAATGTCATTTTTTAACAGGAAAAAGAAATTTATATATGAGCCCGAAAAAAAAAAAAAGTCATAGTATAGTATGATCAAAATGTCTTAGCATAGTAGGATATAAAAATGTCATAGTATAGTATGATAAAAATGTCTTAGCATAGTAGGATATAAAAATGTCATAGTATAGTATGATCAAAATGTCTTAGTATAGTAGGATATAAAAATGTCATGGTATAGTATGATAAAAATGTCTTAGCATAGAAGGATATAAAAATGTCATAGTATAGTATGATCAAAATGTCTTAGCATAGTAGGATTTAAAAATGTCAGTAGAGTATGATAAAAAATGTCTTAGCATAGTATGATAAAAAAATGTCATAGTATAGTATGATCAAAATGTCTTAGCATAGTGGGATATAAAAATGTCATAGTATAGTATGATCAAAATGTCTTAGCATAGTAGGACATAAAAATGTCAGTATTTTATGATAAAAATGTCTTAGCATAGTAGGATATAAAAATGTCATAGTATAGTATGATCAAAATGTCTTAGCATAGTAGGATATAAAAATGTGTTGGGTCTAAAACCTGCAACATTTACCTGAAAACATATAAAGAAAAGAATGGCAATGGTATATACTCGAGGAGAATGGACAGAGATAGCATCAGGTACAATCTCGAAACCACTCTGAAGGTGGTTTTCTGTCCCCCCTCTTTTATTTAGGGTTGTCCCTGGTTACACAATGTTTCTAAAGGGTGGGGGGAAAATATGTGCAGCAACGTAAGCATAGGATATAAAAATGTCATAGAATAGTATGATAAAAATGTCTTAGCATAGTAGGGTAAAACAACAATAGTCTTAGCTACAAACTACAGTAAGAAGAGGCTTTCATCAATCCAATAGCTGTTCTAACAACTTAAAGTTTCTGATCATTACTTACACTTTTCCTTCAAAACCCACACCCTGCTTCACGTCAGAAACACTGGGAGGCTACGTGTCCCAAATTCCATCCCACCCACACCATAAAGTCGTTGACACACACACACATGTAAACACACACTTCTACCATTTCACAAATGCAGGACATCTGTCTTTTTACCCTGCGCTATCTCCCAGGTCCTATATTTTCTTTCTCCTGGATGCAGATCCCAGCCCTGGCAGCTGCAGGGTTCAGAGTCTTGGCTCTGGACATGAAGGGATATGGAGAGTCTACTGCGCCCCCTGGTGGGTGTGTTTCAGTACTTCCTAGGAAAATTAAACAATCATTTTTGAATTTAGAGAAATAACAAACCAAAAATTACATCCTCAAATACACTGTCTTTATAAACTCCTTCCAAATACATTGAGGAATATTTTCAGGGGCACTACTACTGAAACACATTTTAATGTACAATATTTATAGAGAAGTTTTTCTTTTTAGATACAAATGCGATCCGTCTTTTTACCCTGCACTATTCTCAGAATACAGCCAAAGTCTACTTTCTCATTTCCGGAAGTGTTACACATTGGACACTGGAAAGCGAGTGGTACGACATCACCGTGACCCAGTAGTCTAATGGATGAGTTGTTAAAACCAGTCACAGAATTGTTTTCTGACAGAACATTTCCCTACTACAACAATGTTGTGCTAAAGAAAACCCAAAACTAGTGATTGAAACCTTGAAGTCATTTAGAAAATGTTTAACAAGATAATAAATCAACTGGGAAGTGAGAAAGTTTCCCTACTTCAGTGACTGCTCATTCACAGGACGCAACTGGAGGCTCCGCCTGCACATACCTCATTACATCAGAGCATGGATTCACTTCTTACACAAAGTGTGGGGTGGAGCTGGAGTTGCAGGAGTGTAGGCGGACCTTCACTGTGAGTCTGTGCAGAGGGCAAAGCTTCGGCAGTGGCAGAGAGCACTCACACTGCATGAGGACAGAAGCTGAAAAAAGTCCATCTCCTTCCACCCAGGCCCAGAGACGATGGCTCAAAAGAAAGCCATCCTATTCAACTTCTGGGGAGTAACAGTTTCAACTCAGCATGCTGTTTTCAACAAGTTGGAGGGGTTGCACAACTTGCCAGGGTGAGGAGGCTATTTGCTGCCTTGGAAGTTGTCATGGTGTAAAAAAAACTTCTGTTTTTTTTTTTCATTTCTCCTTTTTTGGTCTCAAATGTTTGGATTCTGCTTCTAAAAGGCTCTGGTTCTTTTTTAAACATTAGACACTTCATGCTCAAATGCAGACTTCTTTAAACTTGTAATGCTCTTCAATTTTAGGCGTGCACCTGTAAACATGTTAACAGAGTCTTTGGCATAGTGTCATTCTTCTTAAATATATAGACTTTGTTCATTTTACTTTCTACAAACAGACACTCTCTATTAAATGTCAGCTGGTTCAAACTGGGACTTTGTAATGTTGGTTCAAAAGTGACAGTGCTTTGTTATCACAGCTCTTACTGTGCAACAGGTCAACTATTTCCTGTCTGTGCATGTTTGCAAAGCTACCCTGCTTAACATGCTCAACACGCTCAGATTTACCCACTGCCAGCTTGATTACCTTGTTTTCAGAGGTTTTCTGTCCAGTGTGGTGGCTCCCAAAGACAGCGCCATGAGCCGGGCAGAAAGAGGAGAATTAACCCTCACTCAGGTGGGCAAAGTCCAAACAAAGGGACTGATTCACTCTTCTCTTCCTCTACTCTGTACTCGCTTATACTGAGTCTGTGTGTGTTTGGGTGTGTGGAGATGGTGCCAGCATTGGAGGCTGAGTGTGCAAAGGAGGCCCAGGACAGGAGTTTGACTCTGCCATCTGACTGGTCAGTCAAAGTCCTGCTGGAGGAGCTCAGAGAGGCAATGATGGACGTCCGAGCGGTTGTGTTGCAGACAGCTGCTAGGCTGCGCCAGAATGGTACACACACATCCAAACACCAGCACGAGCAGCTGTGGTGGGCTAACAGAGCTGTTGGACAAAATGAAGTCCTCCAATGAAATATTTGGGCCCCCTAAGCCTTTCTGTTTACATCAGAACCAAAAATAGATTAAAAACACTGATTGTTACTGTGTGAACCGGTTCAGCTCAAGAGAAGGCGGCTAATTGATCGTCTGATAAACTCTCAAATCAAGTGTGATTTTTGCTGCTCCCCTCCCAGGGTTACTCACAGCTGTGCTGGCCAATCACTGGGTGGATGACAGCTCAGCTGGAGACCATCCAGCCTGCCTTCTGTCTCAGCTAGGCCGCCATTTTGACCTGGTCCTCCAGTCCTGCAGAGCTGGTCACAGGGTCCCTGAGACTGAGGTGTTCACCTCTGCTCTCCAGCACCTGGGAGTGACTTCAGAACAGGTAGAGGACACACCCACACAATGTGTCAAATATGTGTGTGAACATCCTGAAAACACAGTCAGAAGGATCAAAAGAGACAAGCAGAATTTCTTGGTTTGCCTTCGGCTTACTTCAGGCTCTATGGTTGGATGCAGAGGAGGAGGGTGTGAAGGCGGCCAGGGCAGCAGGGATGGAGGCCATCTTGGTGGAGAATCTGGATGATGCTCTGAATAATCTGTCTGAATTTACTGGAGTTCAGGTGGGGACAAAAAGATGATATCTGACGGAATACCACAGAAGAGGGGCAGCTGGTGCCAGGGGATGGAGTCATCCTCAAAAGGATACTATGCCAAAATGAGCATGTTAGGACATGTCTTTATGTGTTTCAGACTGTCAGAGCAGCGTGTCCTCCACCTTCCTGCAGCCCTGAGGAAGTCGCTCATGGATACGTCACCATCAGGGTGAAGATTTGAGATTTTATGAAAGTTCAGCAAAGTTCAAAGTGGTTTCTGTTTCTATGAAATTAATAATTTTTGCGTTTTTGCGCGCGTCAGCCTGGTGTGAGGACTCATTTCGTTGAGATGGGCTCAGGTCCACCAGTTCTGTTGTGTCACGGCTTCCCTGAGAGCTGGTACTCCTGGAGGTATCAGGTAACTTTACAACATGTCATCTTCACATTGAACAGAAAGCAAAACATCAGTACGATACAGAAATAAATGTATACATTTTAATCTTCTAGAGCCAACAGTGGAGGTAAATTTAAAGACTTGACTGCAGTAAAAGCTGCACTTTTGTTCTGTGGAAACAGCTGCAACCAGCAGCAGCAGAAAACTCCTACCTTCAAAAGTATTTAAAGCTGATAGATAAATGCTGGGCAGTTTCCCCCTGCATGAAAATAAATAATGAAATAAAGTACAGAAACTACATTCAAATTCAAGAGGACTTACACTCACAGGTCCTATTTTTTATTTCTCCTGGATGCAGATCCCAGCCCTGGCAGCTGCAGGGTTCAGAGTCTTGGCTCTGGACATGAAGGGATACGGAGAGTCTACTGCGCCCCCTGGTGGGTGTGTTTGAGTACTTCCTAGGAAAATCAACAATCAATTTTTAATTTAGAGAAATAACAAACCAAAAATTACATCCTCAAATACACTTTCTTTATAAACTGTCGTTTTTCCTTCCAAAGACATTGAGGAATATTCTCAGGAGAAGCTCTGCAAGGTACAAACTTACTAAAACCCATTTTAATATACGCAAAGTTTTTCTTTTTAGATACAAATGCGATGCTTGGGGGCAAAAGTTATTTTTGCACAGGATAAAACATACTACACAGACATGCAATTTTCTTTATTTTACAGGATTTAATCACATTTATGGACAAAATGGTAAGTTTTATCTCAGCTCTACCTAGATTACTGTTAAATTTGACGATGGAAGGAGGTTCATAAAAGTACAAAAACATGAACTTAAGTGTACCAAATTTTCTTTCTAGTGCAATTAGAAAACAAATCTGCAGACTGGACATCTCCTGAAGACCATTACTCACCTATGTTTATCTTCTCTGTTCCCGGACAGTCCATGCCACAAGTCACTCTGGTGGGTCATGACTGGGGCGGTATCGTGGTGTGGAACATGGCTCAGTTTTTCCCTGAGAGAGTCAGGTGAACACACAAACACAAACACACAGAGATGTTGCCAGTGAAAGTACTTTACATTAAAGTTGTGTATGTGTGAAGGGCTGCAGCATCTCTCAACACTCCTCTGTTTCGTGCTGATCCGGCGAGTGAAGCCAAACTGAAGTCTATTCCCATTTTCGACTACCAGATCTACTTCCAGACACCTGTGAGTCTGTCTGCAGCGTGCTAACATGGAAACACATTGTTGAATATGATCATTTGTAGATCAGTGTGTGGTAGTTAATGACACAGTGAGGACAGCATCGAAGGACATCAGCATGATTCTCAGTGAAAATGTGTGTATGTGTTCTTTTTTTTCAGGGTGCTGCAGAAGCCGAGCTGGAGAAGGACTTGGAGAGGTCATTCAAGATTTTCTTTTCTAGCAGTGCTGAAGAAGTGAGTACACACACACACACACAAACAGATTGAACAATTTTAGGTTTGTAAATCATAATCAAATGTTGTGTTGTCTCACAGGCACAGCGCCCGTCTATCAGCACTGCAGGAGTCTGTGCTCGAGGTGAGGATCGTCCTCACTGACACAGAATCTCACTCAGACGCTGTAAAATTGTTGAGTCGTTCTCAGCCTCTTTATGTGTGTTGTAGGTGGTCTCTTTGTGGGTCTGCCAGAGCAGATTCCCAGGAGCTCCATGCTGACAGAGGCCGACCTGAAGTTCTACGTCAGTCAGTATAAAGAGAAAGGCTTCAGGTCTGAACACATTGACACAAGAAAAAAAACATCTGGTCCCAGCTGTCTTTCTATTTCTTTTATAACATTCAGAGCTCAAAGGTGGGGAAGGTAGGATCTGTGGAAGTGCCAGTTTTAGGGAGAAATCTTGAATGTAAACACTACCCCTCCCAACCAGTTTTCCCCTCAGCTCCTCTTAGTGATTGGAAGAGCAGTTCTTTTGACCGTACTGAATCTTTAGAATCCGTTCATTAAAACGATTCGTTCAAAAGATTTGTTCACTGAATCAGTCAGTGCTTCGGAGTCCCTCCCCTCCCCTCCCCAGCTGCTGAAGTCACAGCATCGTTCACTGGGTGACACATGTTGTTGATGGTGGCAGGAGGGCACAAACTACTCTCATATTTCACCAGTGATAACCTCAGTTTTTGTCACAGGGAAAAATGTTTGTGGTTAGAAAAAATCTGATCTCAGTCTTCAAAGAAAAGTCTGTTTGTTGACCTAGTCTTACATAAAACTGAGCCAGAGGGATCTGATACAGAAATACTAAAATGATTTTATCAATAGGAAAGAGCTAATGATCATGTCTTTGTGTTTTGTTGGACAGGAGGCCGCTGAACTGGTATCGTAACAATGAAGCAAACCAGAAATGGATGTGCTCTCGACCTGCAACAAAGGTTTGTAACTGAAAATCTAACTGACCCCTCCTTAAAAAAGCAGCACCTTTAAGAGCGTTGACAGTTATATTTCATCTTGAGAATTTAAATTTGCCCCAAAATAACCTGAGAGACTTAACGTTGTCTTGGTAAAATGTTTCAAATTTTTTCAGAAACACAGAGAAAAGGATGAGATAATTCATCTGTTTAATTCCTACTTAAATAATCACAAGCAGCTTAACTAAAACATATAAATCCACAGGACAAGGGCTTTTTTTCTGATTTCATACTAAATGTTGATATTAAACCCCTCAAAGAGTCAGATCCTGACTACTTCTGAAATGTTAAAAATCTGCTTCTAGGATGTGCCTGCGGGGTGCTTTTCTTTATCTATCCTATCCAGAGACTCAAATAATTTTCATTTTCCATGAAGCTAAACTCATTTAAGGCCGAAACATGTCTGTGTTTGTGTGTTAGCCACTGATGCCTACACTGATGGTGACAGCGGGTAAAGACCCGGTTCTGCTGCCAGCCTTTACCAAGGGGATGGAGGAAGTGGTGAGTGAAAAATCAGCAAGGGCAGTCAGGTTACATCTGCTGGATGTATTGATCATTATCAGGAATGGATCTAAGTTTGTGTGAGTTGGATCTGACACCTGCATTTCCTGATCGTAGTTCCCTAACCTGAGCAGAGGACACATCGAGGAGTGTGGACACTGGACTCAGATGGACAGGCCAGCAGAGACCAACAACATCCTGATAAAATGGTTGAAAGAAGCACACAAGAAGCCAGGATGTGTTAGTGCAGCACCAAAACTGTGAGGATGGCAGTTAACAGGAAAAAAAGAAGGAAAAATTAAGTCTAGAGGATAAAAAAGGATCAAACATAGAGCCTTAGAAACACATTAATATATAATCAGTGCAAAATACTAATCAATTCCAGTATTCTTTGAAGATAACAGGGACAATCGATAGATGATGATCTATGATGGCAATAGTATTTTTTCTAATTTTAGCTCCGATAAAACTTACTTCTTCTGAAGAAGTAAAGGCATTTTTGTTGCTTTGGTGGGATAAAACAAGACACACAAGTAGTTATTTCTTTACTTATTCCAACTCTCTCATCAATTTTAAATCACAAAGTAAAAAATATGAAACAAAATCAGGATCTGAAATAACAAGAACACATCGCTGGGCTGTTACTCACGGTAAAGACAGATTTGATGGTTTATTTGTATTAGCAAAATAAATGTATTAAAGACAATTCACAGAATGAAATACACATAAAAAATAGGAGGAATGAGAAGACAAAATTAAAAAACAGTTTAGCATGAAATTTTTTCTTTGAGTTCATTTATCTATATTATTGTACCTTTTCTGCTTTGATTATTTAACCTTAAAAATGGCTCTTCAAAACTCTTATTTTCTTAACATATGGGACTTGATTCTTTCATTGAGCATCAGTCACAATAAAACATCCTTGAATGAATTTCAGGTTTACTGTCGTTATGTTAATGTGTTTAATAATTTCATTATATAAATATTGGTCCGATTTTGTTGTATTTTATCTTTATGAAAACTTGAAAACCAAGCCAGCACACAACCTTCCTCCAGAAATCACTTGCATAGTGTCGCCCTCTTGTGGTTCGGATATGAACACTGAGAACTGATCACAGTTTCTTCTCCTCAAACAGCTTAGCCCAGGCTGGCATGATGTGTTCATAAATCCTCTCTATCTGTAACAAAAACACACAGACACAGGTTTTATTATGTCATCTCTTTAGAAACTGAAGGGAATCAAACTTAGGAACAATCCACATGGTTTTTATAAACCCTCTTTGAACTCTATTTGTTTTGCCAATGCTCATATATCTCCTCCTAAATTAAGTTTTTGAAAGGATTCGTCTTGGAGCAAAAGCTTTGATCAATCATGAATGTGCAAAACAACTGGAGAAAAGAAATCAAATAAACTGAACTGCAAGAAATGAGAGCAGTAAAAACTGTCAGCTGGACTGTCTATTTGTATTTCTAACAATACACAACTGGAAAGAAAGCAGCCAGTATTTGATGTTGGTATTTCAGAGTGACAAATATCTTCTGTCCTGCATGGATCCTTTTGCACCAATCATGAGCATCACAATCTAAATTAGAATCTATCAAATGTTTTGAAAATACAAATCCTGGAGGAAGAAAAAGGAAATTTGACCTTCCATCCACTGACCTGTTCGGACTTCTTGACTCCATATCTGAAGAGCGTTGCTTGATGCTCGCTGTTATGAAACAGGATATCAAAGGTCACCTCGCGTCCCATCATGTCTTCGATGGCTGGCTTCACCACACTGTGGAAGTCTCTGGCCGTGAATGCATCGTCCAACATGTTACTTACCTAAGAAAACATAAAATAGGGATAACTAAAAACCACCTTTTTTAAACTCAAGTCTTTAAATCCTTTATCATGATAATGGTGATTCAACCTTGTACTTCTTTCCCAGCATTTCGAGTGGATCCAGTTTGACTTCTGACCTCAGAGCTCGGCCAAAGCGCAGCAGCTTGGAGTCTGAATCTAGAAAACAAACATTACTGCTTCTAAAACTTCAAGATAAAATGAGGAAAGACTTTCCACAATGTGAAATATAACAAGTTTTCTTAAAGTATTTGAGAAACACAAACTCAAGTACAACTGACAGATTATATTGGATATTTCATGAAATAAGACTCCAACACAAAGTGCAACAGGGTGTCACAGACCTCGACATGTCAGGTGGGCGACGTAGGGAACTCCATCCCTCTCTCCGTAGTACACGGCGAAATGAGAGAAGTACTTGTTTCTGGGGTACTCTACAATGTCCCCTGGGAACAACTGCGGGTTGGAGTTTTTCTGCATAGCCAAAATACATAAAGTTAATCATGTTTATATTGTTCTTCTGGAAAATACTGATGGCAAATCTATAGAGCTTGACTTTTGTTCTAACACCTGAATTTCCCTGACGTCTTATTACCGACACACTAATGTCTGACACATCAAAAGACATTTATCTACTGACTGGCAGGGCAACAACTATATATAAGACTACCACACACAGAAATGAAAGGTACAGGATCTCGATTTGAGGCTGTGTAAATGACATCACATTAAAATAAGATCTCTCTGTTACAAATATTGATAAGTTACTGCTTTCTCCACTTCTATGAGGCACAACCAAAACCAGCAGTAAATCACTGTCCTTTAGAGCTTCCAGATGAAGCAAACGTGCTCCTCAGGAAGTGTACTTTTACAAATATTTAGCCTTTAGAATTTCGTAGATTTCAGTTACAGAACTTTTTTTTAGATTGACGTTTGATGTAGTACTCTTTCTGATTGATTCCAAAGCAAAGTTTGTATTTCCACTCCTTTGGCAGTATGTTCTCTCCATACTAGCACCTTTTGAATTCAACATGAAAAACCAAATAGCTTCTAATAAAAAGAGAGAGACCTGTGCTCTGATTTCTGTAACAATAAGGCAGATTGGTACTCGAATCAGAGTGGAGATATAACAAAAACTTGGGGTAAAACTCACCTGACCCATGGGTTTAGGTCTGTACTGTGTATGTCCTCACTCGCATCTGAAAACTCAAGGCACACAAAGTGAGAAACCAGAACTGTTTTACATACAGCCTGCACCAGTGTCTGTCACAGTCACAGCAGACTGCCCCCAACCCATCACCCTGCAATTCCCTAGAGCAGCAGCGTCACACTCTGGTTTTGAATATTTGTGTTGTTGTGTGTATTCGCCTCACTTCAGGTGTATTTTGGGGGCTTGGGTTTGGTTCTGGGGGGCATTTCTGAAGGTTATACATGAGATGTTCCTAACAAGCAGCACTGTGGGTCCCTCAGCATCCCCGTCCCTCCACCTCTGGGCGTGTAAAGCAGATGTTTCCTAAAATGAGAGCATGAAAGAGGAAGCAGCTTCAGTGAAGCTCTAATCAGACTTTCATAGGAGATGTGAAGGCCCGTGATCAACAAACGTGACAAAAACGACAATCTGAAAATTCCCTGTTTTTTATTTCTGTTTGTGTGCAAATCCAAAAAAGGGAGTGCATGATAAAAAGTTATTCCCCCCAGCTTCCAGTATTTTTGTTGAGCTAGACTAACCCGTCTTCATTAACTGTCTAAAAGAATATTAAAGTCTTTAATTCAGCTATTAGGTATTTTGATTTCTTGTGTTTAAACGATTTCATCTTTTTCTGAAACACATCTCAAAAGAAACACAAGTCTTACATGTTTAGAGTTATTGCTTGTTAAACACATACATTCATTTATAAACGCCACCAACACGTGTAAGTGGTGCTTTCAGACATTCACAAATCCAGCCGGCTTCGTTTATTCCAACATTTTTCTACAACAAAAATATTCACAGTTTTGATGTTTGGTTTTGACCGAGGTGACGCTGCTTCCTAAACCTGGGGATTAATATAAAGCTACATTATCTGTTTGTTTTTTTTTTACTTAGCATGAGTAATTATGCCTGAAAAAAGACCAAGGTGAATGTTTTAATGAAAGTCAATTCTACTGAATAATGCTAAAACAAAACAGAAAAATACCAAGTTTCTCTATGATGGATGGAAAACTGGAGGTTTTCATAAAATCAGAAATACTTTCTACTTTTCCCTGAATTGATGTCTGAGAGGTAAACTGGCAGATTATCGCTACATTTCAGTTAAACTTATTCTGACTTACTAAGAAAAGGATCAAAATCTTGGGGGTCTTCTTGCCCAGATCTGAGGTTTTCAATTCAAGATTTCAACGCCTTGTCTAAAGAATCGAAAAGTTTCTCCTCATTTGTGAAAAGATTTTAACAAGATACCCAGTCCATTTAAGCAACAAGTCTCCTGTGCATTCTTCATCATCCACACAGAGGTGTCTTTAAATGTGGGAATTTTATAGCATTTAGAAATTAAGAGATATGAGATTAAGGATCCGAGTACTTCATCAATAAAGTAGGAATTAAGGAGTCAAATATTTAGACTGCATTCCCGCGCCTTCCCTGATGATAATCATAAGAAACAAAGAGAAACAAAAATTTTGTTTCCCTGCAAGAAAATGTCCCATTTTAAGACTTAAAATGTTGTTTTTCTGTGACTTACTTTTTCCAACTTAAAACATGTAATCAGCTTGAGTCGCCTGTTCTGGGCATGCAGTCTGACACGGTTTCTGTTAGTTTACTCGTCATGTCACTTCCTTAAGTTTAAAAAATTCAGTAAAAAAATTCCAAAAGGCTTTAAGTTTTACGGTTACAATCAAAGAAATCAATGGCTGAGCTTGTAATTTAAAAGAAATAGAATTTACAGCTTTGAATCTGTGCTTATTTTGCATGACTATAACTAAAACGCAACATCGTTTTGTGGGAAAATATTCTACCCCATTTTTAATCCTGCCTCCAAAGATCGGACTCGGGTAAACATCAGAGAAGTAGGTTAAGAAGTCTAACCCTGCACAGGCATCAAATTAAGACCGTGAGATGATCATCCACCCTTAAAAAAAGTAACATCCATGTTTACAAAAAAATAGACCATCTGTAGAGGAAAAATAAGAATTTCATGTTGATCAGATTCATTCTGTGGAGAGAAACTATTCATGCCTCTCGATAAAGTCAGTGCAGTTACAGTCGTTCAGTCTGTCAAAGGCACCTGAGTTTATCTCCAACCAGAGCTGAAGGTTCACCAGTGTATAAAACACACACTCACACATACACACACACACACATACACAGACACACGCACACGCACACACTCAGTATCTAGTTATGTTCCTTCTCCTGGCCCTCCTGAGCATTTGTGGCCCAGCTGAGGCTGTTGATGGGCGCATGTTTGTCCCAGCTGTCTGTGTTGTGTCCATGCTTCCTCTGGTGGCGTTTGTAGTTGTCCCAGTGGCCTGTCGTGTAGTTGCACTCAGCGCAAGCGTACGGCTTTTCTCCTGTATGCCGCAGCATGTGTCTCTTCAGATTCATACTCTGGTTGCAGGAGTAGCCGCAGACACCGCAATGGAATGGTTTGGCGCCCGAGTGAATGCGCTCGTGTCGCCGCAAGTTGGCGAGGTTGCCGCAAGCGTAGCTGCATGATGGGCACTGGTAGGGTTTCTCTCCTGTGTGCACACGCAGGTGGCGTTTGAGGTTGTCGAGATGTGACGAGGTGTAGGGACAGTGAGGGCAGCGGTGGGGCTTCTCCTCGGAGTGGATGTGGGCATGGCGGGCCAGGTGATTGGGGTAATGGGACAGGAAGGGGCAGAGAGGGCAGCGGTACAACTTTGTGCCACGCTGACCTCGTCTGGACCCCTGGGGCACTGCTGGGCTACACGGGGGTTCCGATTCATCTTTAGACAGCAGGTCCAAAGAGCATCGCCGACACACCTGTAAATTAATAAGAGGATAAAGTCCCAATGTTACATGACCCTTCAGTCTACATTAGTACTTTAATTTTCAGATAGAAAACTCCTCTGAGCTCCACCCTGACTCTTGAGCTTCAAAAAAACCTAACTGAGAAAACCTGAGAGGACAAAGAGGTCAGACTGTTCTTTACCTGACTCAGATTTATGCTCTTTTTTGTACATCATGAAACTTTGAGTATTTGTTTCTCATTTTTTCAGTTCAGCTCTACAATAAACAATAAGCCCCTTGACTGAAGCCCAAATTAAAATCCTCAAAAAGGATCCTAACTATCGTGAAAAGAAACTGCAGTGATTAAAGTTTTAGTTTGTAAGATATACCTGCCCCCCATCAGCCTCTCCTTCCCCTTCAGCCTTGTCTCCCTCCAGGTCCCCCTCCTCCAGGGTGAGGCCACATAGCCGGCAGCACAGGGGGAAGAGGAGGACAGGGAGTGGGGCGGAGGGAGAGCCGAGGGCTCCATATGTCTGAAGGTATCCGGTGTCCTGGGACACTCTCAAGGTCAAGTCTGACATCACTGCGTGGAGGAAAAACAGAGAAGAAAGTATTTAAAAATCAGACAGAACATCTCCTTCCCGGGTTTTAATCTGAATACACCTCTGCTTTTTCTTTTAGTTAACCTCAGAAACATAGAAATCATCACTGAAAATAGCCCTAAAAGAAACTTACTGCAGTTCTTAAGAATGAGAAGAAACCAAAATACACTCATCCATCTCAGGCTCAAACTTCCCCTTTTGGTCTATGTACTCCTCTTCAAATATAATACAATCTGTTTTTACTTGTAGTTTAACCACCTAAATGAAACCTTTGAAACAAATACATTTGTTTCTATTTCACTCAGTTATCTTGAAAGACTACACCCTGAAAAGTTTAGATTCCACATTAAAATGTGCTTATGAGACAGCTGACTCCTAAAGAAGTTAACTTTGAGTCTATCAGCACTCAACCGGACAGAATTTCTCTTCCTCATTTTGTTTTTAAGTCTTTCAGTTTCGCCTCGTTTGTTCCTCTTTCTGCTCTGCTCGGTGCTTTTACATTTTCCCCTTCAGAGCTCACACCTAATGCCACCATGAACCCAAAATGAGCATATTGTTTTAATGTCCCACAGGAATACATTTATTTAACACTGCCCATTCACTGTTTCATGGATTTAGTTGTGATCCCACTTTTTTCAGACAACGTTAACTCAACCACTATTTGTTTCTGTTGTTTTTCACACAAATGTATCTAACATTACATTTTGACAACACTAAATCAAACTATCTGAAGCATTTTTCATTTTGTTGCACTGGTTTGTGCAGGATATTTGACACTGGGTATTTTTTCCGCTAATGTTCCTCTTCTGATGGCAGTTAATTCAAGTTAAGTAATATTTTTACAGCTTTCTTTACGGTGAACTTTTTCCAAGCTTTTTCGCTCTCTGATATGGACTCTCTGTTAAAAATACCACAAATTCTGATTAAAATTGAAACTCGGTGAGAATAGTACCATCTTCTGTTTCAGTGTTTGTCTTTTTCCGTCTCCCTCGTCTCTTCTCTTTCTCCCTCCTCGGTTGTCTCTCTTGTGTGTGCATGCGCTGGTGTCGGCGCAGGTTTCCTAGGGAGCTGCAGGCGTAGTTGCACTGATGGCAGCAGTACGGCTTTTCCCCCGTGTGAGTGCGGGCGTGGCGCTGCAGATTAACAAGCTGGGCCGAGGCGTAGGGGCAGACAGGGCAGCGGTATGGCTTCTGGCCGTCGTGAGTCCTCATGTGACGTTTCAGATGGTTGGAGTAGCGTGAGGTGAAGGCACACAGCGAGCAGGAGTACAGTTTAGGAGGGACATCACCGGCTCTGCCCATCTTACTTACATTTCTCTGTTTCCTGTCAGAGGCCCCACAGATGGATCTATCAGACAGATTTAACCCCTCCACCTGAGAAGAATCGATCAGTGATTCATGCTGAAGGCCTTCCTCGCAGGTCATACAGTAAAGCTCAGCCCCCAGGTCCAAGCCGACACCTGGAACAAAACACTTGAGACTTTGTATCGAAGCAGAAGATGGCTGAGTAGCTAGAGTGAAAACTTTCACTCTCAGTATTTCTGTCTAGTATTTTTACTCCACTACACATTTACCTAGATCTAAACCTGCCCCCAGAGGTGTGTTTCCCAGGAGCTGACCACACCCTTTGCAGGTAAGGAAAGCAGGGAAGGTGGAATCTGCTGGTGCTGAAGGGTCATCCTCCACGCTAAGAGAGAACACCGTCATACCTGAAGAATGGATCAAACAAAAATACAACAATTCAACTCATTTGACATATTTAAGTCACTTTTGCCAGTTTTCAGACCTTCTGCATATACTTCAGTGTTCAAAACAAGAGTGCGTTTGTGTATTTATGTTTCTAACCTGCTTCTCGCTCCAGCCCTATGATTTCTGAGTCTCCAAACTCCAGCTCTCCACTCAGCAGGAAGTCACTCTCCAGGACCAGGCAGCCCTGCTCACACACCACCACCCCATCCTCTGATTCCACTGGACACACACAGAGAAACACACCCTTTACTTTTATCTCCTTAAAAAACTCCATGTACAAGAGAGCAAACTAAATTTATACCCACATTTTATTTTTCACAAACACAGTTAATCCACAATTATCAATAAACAAAACCTGGTGTTTGAAGTACCTCTTGGTCTACACTTGGAAAAGAGAGACTTCAATTTTGATTATCATTTAACTAGAGAGAGACCGGAATTGTTTGAACTTAGAAAACTGAAATCATGCCAAGACAATTAATTGGATGGTTTGACAAAAATCAACAAAAATAAAAAAGAAAGCAGAGACATGATCAAGACAAGTAAAAGATGGACAAAAATAGGGGTGCAGAGGAAGTGAGGGAGTGAATCACAAACAAGACAAGCAAAGGAAGTCAGTGAGGATGAGATAAGTGCAAAGTGGGAAGAGTTGGCATGGAGATGAATGAGGTGGTGAGTGTCAGAAACAGGAAAAGGAGAAGGGGGGGGGGGGTGAGAAAAAAGGAGAAAATGACTCAAAGTGCAGTCATTTGGGTCTTTAGACTTTAGAGATGACTGATTTTTCACCGACTTTGACAACTGACTTCATGCAGGGCTGCCATACTACGGTAAACAAAGAGGATCATAATTAAAATATTTGACACCAAGCGCCTGACTGCACAGCAGGACACTACAAAAGCTACAACAATTGATTTATTGATAAATTGTGTGACCGAAAATTAATCTACTTCTGCTTTGTTAATCTTTTAATCATTTAAATCAGGCATTTATAATAAAACCACCCAACATTCCTGTGTTGCTGTTTTCTATGTTTAAAAGTCAGCTGAATACTTCTGAGTAATGAACTGCTGGTCAAGCTGAGCAAGCAGTTTCGACACACATTTAGAGCGTCTTTCTACAATTCTATACATAAAGATTTATTTTAACAGTGCTGCAAATAATGATAATCTTGACAAACAATTCAATTAGTCCCCAAATTGATCAGATTTTCAATCTATGAAATGTTCTCTGTTGTCTCATACACATGATGACATGTGAGCGGCGTACTGTAAGCTGGAGTATACCTTTCATAGTATATAGGGGAAATCTGTTGAGTAGAATAGCTTTTTAAATCCACTTTACGAAAACCAAAAGTCCTATATTATGAAAGTGAAGTCATACATCACTTACTCAGAGAAACCTGACTGAAACCGTAAAGCCTCTAAAACCACAAGATGAATCAAGCAACTGAAAACAAAAGAGAAATAAAAACAAATGCACGTTACATCTGTTCTTATTTATCGTACACTGTGTTTTTAAGCTCAACTCAACTCAAATTTATCTATAGAGCACTTCAAAAACAACCAAAGCTGACAAAAAGTGTTGTATGTGACAACATAAAAACATAAAACAAAATCAGATAGTTGTTTTAAAATACATTAAAAAGCAATAAAACAAGTGCCAAGGAATAAAAGTGTGTTTTTAGACGGGCTTTCTCAAACCTTGTCTTGTCTTTTCTTACTTTCTTTATTCTTTCCTACGGAGACTTTCAAAACTTTCCCTGGAGGATGTGGTGTAACTACACTGTCTGTTATTCACCAAACTATTTACCTTTGGTTATGTTTTTGCACGGTTTTATGTTTGCTCATGAATTAAAACATACAACTGTACACACAGGAACTCATCCATCTGTAGTATTCATGTATAATTTATGTTTGGAGCTTTGGGATTTGGATTCTTTGTATTTTTGTATTCTTATTCCCCTTATAAATGAGCAGGGATAGAGGTGAAGTGAGGTTGCACAAGTCAAAAGTGAGAGAATGAGAGTAAAGTCAAACAGGAAGCAAAGTGAAAAAAAGAGAGGAAGACTGATGAGAGGAAGAGGAGGGAGCAAAGGGAGGTCAGGTACAGGGGGCTGCGAAGAGGAAGTCACTGACGGAGGAGGAAGAGAGGAAGTGGAGAGTCCAACCGAGCCAGAACATTCAGGATGAGATAACGCACAAACATGTCCACTTAAAGGACAACATGTCTCCAGCAGTCTTCCTCCCTGACACACAATGAGGAAGAGACCGAGCCTGTAAAGTCAATATGTTAGGCCAGTTAGGCAACGTTTGATAAGGTTATTCACTTGGAAAAATTAAGGAAAACTTTACAAAAATAGTATTTTTTATGAGAGGAAAACACCAAGAACGGCTTTCTTTGAATCAGACACTCATCTAACAGTTGTAAATGGAACACGAGAATAGTTGAAATGGCTGAGAGTGAGCAGTTAAACTCACATTTCACCGGCTGAGGGTTGGATTGTTTCCTCCGCGGCATCCTCGCCTCTCCTCGGCCCCGCTCCTGCTCCGGTGGTGGGGGGACACCTCCTCACACACTGCGAGTCCGACGGTCAGTCAGCCAGCCAGGCAGCCAGCTAACTGCATGTCATCACCACCACCATCATCATCATCTCCTTCCTCTTCCTCTTCCTCCAACGGTCTCTAACGCTGGTTGTGTCATCCCGGACCCGGAGGCTGGACAAACGACCCCAGACCAAAAAAAAAATAATGATAATAAATTCGACACAGTTTACACTTTAGATATACTTGCAGTTTCAATGTCACTCTAAATGACACCGAAACCAGCACCTGTCTCTTTAATATTTGCGGTGTGAGTCATTCTTTGTTATTGTTTCGCAGTAAATAGACGAAGCCATCTTGTTAGCAACCTAGCTAGCCAGTCAAATCGTAAATGAAAAATTCAGCCCGTTTCACCGCAAACCCGCAAAACGACGACATGTTACTGTGTCATATCGCTTAAACATACCCGCACAGAGGTCCTCGCAAAAATTTCCGTCGATAAACTGTCCCTGTCTGTTCAAAAAGGACTTTTTTGTTGACACTCGCACACCGCTCCTGGCTGGGGTTCGCCGGGTCCGGGATCTGGGTGACGTCAGTGACAAGAGGAAGAGTTTGTGGGATTTGTAGTTCTTATCAATAAAACTCATCCCTGCGTTAAAGATAGGATGGTTTTTAAAATGTAACGGTGGCCGAGAACCGCCGCTGCTGCAAAAGATTTAAAAAAAAAAAAAAAAGTTAAAAAAAATAAAGTCACAGTTGAAGTTACCAATGCAAAAAGAAAGAAAGAAAGAAATGGTGCAGATTTTAAAAAAAAAAAAAAAAGGAAAAAGCCACAACAGAAGTTAACAATGAAGTTTAAATTAAGAAGTTTAAAGTTTAAACTAAATATGAGTTTATTTTCGCCTGAGTCGATATGAAGTTGAACTGGAGGATGTCGGTGTAGTGTTAGCTTCAGTTCAATTTCATATCGAATCAGGCGCTACATGCATGGCCTAACCGAAGCACACGAAGCGAAATTAAACAATAACCTTTCCACTTACTTTTTTGCTTATCTTCTTGCCGTCGTCCTCTGTGCCTAGGTCGTAAAACACTGGTGCATCATCATTTTTGGTCCCCTGCAGCTCACTTCTGTTGTGGCTTTTTTTTTTTTCATCCTTTTATTTTTGCAGTAAGAAACTTTTTTTTTTTTTTTTTTTTGCATTGCCACTTTTTTTTTTGCGACATTAACTTCCATTATGGCTTTTTGTTTTTTATCTGCATTGTTTCTTTTATTTGCAGCAGACTTTGGTTTCTTTTTTTCGTTTTTGTTTTTTTTTGCATTTGTAACTTCCGTTGTGACTTCTTTTTTTTTTGCATTCTTTTTTTATTTGCAGCAGTGGCGTTTCTCAGCCACCGTACTTTCCACTTTACAAAATTAATTTAATTAATACTTATAGTCATTATATATTGTTGCTGCTCATTCCTGGTCACACCAGCTTTTTTCAATCGTAATTATGGACCTATTTTCTTTGTGCATGCCCATTTAAAGTTAGAATACTTTCTTAAAATAGTCTTTGTGTGTTTGGTGGGTTGTGAAAACATGAATATGGTTGAATGTATATCAAATTGAAAAGAAAAATGTAAAATAATGTCAAAAATATGAAAACAGGTGCAGACAAATGACAATCCAGTATGCAAAATCTTACTTAATTTCTCTAGGGTCATGAATAAGTCACTTCTTTGACTTAATTTAGGTGCAAAAATGACCACAAGCTTTTCTAAAAGTACAAGTACCTCTGTAAGATGGTTAATTTAAAACAAAACAAAGAAGGATGCTTTTTTGTCTTGTTTAATATATTTAAATTCAATAATAAATATAATACAGGATTGATTATCAGTATATGACAACGTTTAGATTACTACAAAAAAGTACACCTTGCATATTTAAACTAAAACTGGCGTATAACCTTTGCATTTGACCGCATAGCCTGTTATGAATAGGCTACAGCTTTACAATCACAGGTGGTTTCAATATGGTGAATTATTTTTAAACAACATATAAAACCTGACCTCTGTTGTTTATGTTCTCATCACACAGAATGGACATTCATTATGTAGTAGCAGAGAGTTATTACTGAATCCTACTTATTTTACTATATGTGACCACAGACGATCATCAGTTGCAGGACCAAGGTCACAAAAGGTTACAAGGCCTGATCATGAGTCCATCATGGCCTCAAACTCATCGATCCTCTGCCGAGTGTTTCCTCTCCGGATCCTCCTGTAGGATACAGTTTTGTACTTTGATGGCTGACTGCCGCTGCCATTCTTCTTGTCATCTGCAGCATCCGCTCCAGAGTTCTTCTTGTGAGAGTTTTTACCTTCCTCAACCTTTTCTTCGTCCTCCTCCTGTACCTCCATCACCGAGTTTTCTATGCTGGGTGAGTTCTGAGCTGGACTGGGCTCATTGCTTTCTGGTCCTCCTGCTTTCTTCGACATCCCCAGACTGTTCCCCAAATCCTGTTTATCTGCAAGTGCAAACATTTAATGTGACTTTGTGTTTCATTGGGAACTTTTTCAAGGTTGAAACATTTGTTGTCATTGGTTCTGTCACTTGCTTTTGGCAATTCAGTGAGTGCAATCTTTGTGGAATTTTAATTAGATTCTTAATGAATGAATTATCTCTCTGGCCTGAATCTTCACCGTGAATTATTGTGCTGCAGCCAATCATAGCTGCAGTTATGTAAGATCCTCTGTCTGCTGCAAAATAGATTAAAAAAATAGCCAGGGGATAGATTTTATATTTCTCACAGCAACAAATAAGATGAGGTTGGAAATTAAAGGGAAGCAAAAGGACTGGACGTGTGAAAGTTGAGTTTTGTCATGCATTTGAATTCCTTTCACCCACTGATTTGTTTGTCCTTGTTTTACGGATTAGCTCATTTTTCTTTGTGATGACAGAAAACAACCAAAAATAATTGAAACTCTTTTTTACACTTCAAATTCCATCATATCTCTGTATTCATATTTTAATTATCGATGATTAAATCAATCTATCTTTATCATAGATGCCAGATTTCGTGCAATAGTCTTTGGAAGCCACAATATTCTTCTTGACTGAGTTACTTAAGGAAGTATTGTTTACATATTTAACTCCATCATAGATTGAGCCCTGAAAAAATAAGCTCAATAAAAGCAGAAGAAGCAGGAGTCTGGTGGCACTAAGCCTAATGTGTCAATAGTGAGTACCTGTGTGTAGATCAGGTATTATTTCCCAGGTGTCTTCGTTCCCTGCTTCCTCTGCCAGTTCAAAGTGATCGTCTGGAGCAGGAAGTGATGTCACCGGCAGTGTCGAGAATCGCTTCTCCAAGCGCTGTATCACCTGGTCTGTGAGGTACCTCAGATCCAGTCCAGCGTGGACAGAAGGCAGATTTATGTCTGTCAGAGAAACACTTCTCCTTTCAGCTCCCTTCACCTCCTCCTCCTCCTCCTCTTTGTCTCTGCCCGCTGATGCAGGATAACTGTCCTGGTTGTGGTTTTTGGCAGCATCTGAGCCGTTCTTCTCATCGCTCTGAGCTCCAGATTCTGTTTCTGCTCCATCACCTCTTTGGGTTTCAGTGGATTCCTGAGGACAAGGTGGAGATGCAGATTTCTGGGGTTCTTGGTGGTGGAGCTGATCCACAGGCTCATCAGCAGGTTCTTCTTCTTCTTCTCCATTTTCTTGTCCGCCCACGCAGGCCTCCGTTTCTTCTTCTCTTACAACAACCAGATGTTTCTCTTTTTCCTCCACTTTCTTTTCTTCCTGCATTTCCAGCTTTTGTTTTTCTCCATCTTTCTGTCGTTCTTCTTCATTTTCTACCTTCTCTTCTCCTTTAACCTCCGCCTTAGTTTCTTGCTTTACCTCACTTTCTTTTTCATCTGACATTTGTTCCTGTTGTCCTCTCTCCACCTCAATTTCTTCCTCTTCATCCACCTGTTTTTGTTCTTGTTTCTCTTCCTCATTTCCCATCTTTTCCTTCAACTCGTCCTCTTTCATTTGTTGTAGCTCTTCATTTTGTGTCTGACTTTCTTCGTTCTCGTTCGTCTCTTTTTGCTCTTTTTGGTCTTCCTGCACTTCCTTCTCTCTTATTTCCTCAGTCTGTTGTTCTTTCTCTTTCTTCTCCTCCTCCTCCTCATCTTTATCCTTCCTCTCCTCTCTTTTTCCTTCATCCACCTCATCCTTCTTCCTTTGATTCTTTATCTCCTTTTCTTCATCTTCTACTCTCTCCTTACCATCCTCTGCCACCGTTTGCTCTTCTACTATCTCTTTATTATGTTCTTGTCTTTCCTCTATTTCGCCTTCTTCTTCCTTTTCCACTCCTTCAGCCTGATCTTCTTCTTTTATAATCTCCTTTTTCTTCTCCTCTCTTTCCACCAAATCTTTTTCCTTGTTTTGTTCATCCTCCTCTTTTTTATCCTGTCCACCACTCAAGCTCTCTGCTCCCCTCTCTTCGTCCTCTTCTACTCCATTTACATTTTCTCCCCTCTCTCCCTCTATCTTCATTTCTTTCTCCTCAGTCTCTTTGTTTGTGTTTTCTTTCTCTTTTTCTTCTTCTGTGCTTGTCTTCTCTCTCTCCTCATCTTCTTTGATCTGCGCTCTTATCTCCTCTGTTTCTTGCTCTATTATTTCTGTTTTTTCTTCTCTCTCTTCATCACGCACTTCTTCTTTCTCATGATTTTTAGTCTCCAAATCATTTTCCAGACATTCAGCATTTTCCTCTTGCTCACAGCTGATTTCTTCTGCAACTTCTCCCTTGTTTTCTTCTCTTTGCACGTCCTCACACACTTGCCCCCCTTTTGTCTCACTTTCATCTTCCAGACGCTGAACCCGTCCCTCTCTCTTCTCCATTTCCATTTCTTCCTCCACCTCTTTACCTGCTGCAGTCTCTTCTTCTTCCTCACTCCTCATTTCAGTCAAAAATGGCTCCATCGTTTCCTCGATTGACAGGATATCTCCAAACAGGCTGACAGCCTGAATCACCCGAGACATCACCAGGTTCTCCTCCAGGTCCTGACTCTCAGCCACGTCCGAGGACCTCCACCAGCTTGCCATGTCGAAAGAAAACCTGCTGCTCAGTGCAAGGAAAGGTCCAAACCACTCATGCATGTTATGAAAGCATTTAGACTTTGTGGGATTTGTATTAATACTGATTGGCAGAAAGGCAGCACACAGCGTTTATAAGTCCACAGTCCGAGACCTGGAGGCCACATTTACAGTCTCGGGTCTATAATACTTTAATCTTTCAGCTGTTTTGTCTCACCCTCTTACACCTATTCATATTTACAGTAATGGAAAAAAATATCCAGGTTGTTAATAAGTATTTCTAGATGTTAAAATACTTTTTCGCAACTTAAGTTTCAAAATTAAAGTGCATTTTACACTGAGAGAGATACTGAACTATTACAGATTTGTGAAATATAGGGTATAGAGTAAACACATCAGAGTTTTGAAGTCCAAGTTGAAGCTCTTAAAAATCCACCGAATGTGCAAAACTACCTTATTGCACATTGTTGTGATATTTTATTTAACCTTTTATTTAACCTGAGAGTTTATCCTCTGTAATTTATTTTAAGACAGCTTACACAAACATGTTCTTTGTGTATGGTTAAGTACAGAGCACTTTAAGGAGTATTATGGCACGTTTTTTTTTCTTCTTTACTGTAAAGATGTAAAAGCGTCAGATGAACATTACCTCACAGGTTTATCCATCTGAAGTATGTAAAGCTTCGTAATAAGCTGTAATGCATGTTAAAGTTTCACATGCATCTGTGTTATGTCACCATTTTACATCCTCAACACACAACACAGTTACAGTCTTCTCCATAAAGAGGGATTAAGAGGTAGAAAAAACTTCACAAAAGCACCATTATTCTGCACATTTGGAGTAAACTCAATGTTTATCTTAATAAAATGGATGCTTAAGTGCAGTTACCTGAGAAGTTGTTTTCTAATAAAGCAATAATTAATTAAAGCAGCATTTTTTTTAACTTATTCTTTACCACCCAGGTACAGCAACTCCTAATGTCCACTAGATGGCAGTAGAGCTACTCGTCATCTGAATCTATGAAAACACAGATCTACAAAACTGTTTCTGCAGAAACTATAAAAAAAATACAGTATGGAGGAGAGAACATTCCCAGCTCTCAGCATCAAACATGTGTCTCATCTACTTTTTTATGTATAGATAATTAATATATTGTAAAGTACTTTTATAATGGTGAAATTTAACTGTTAAAGCTTTTGTTTTACTCGGAGCTCCTAAGATGACATCTAAACAAACTATTATTAATCATCTCCACGCAGAGATTGTTCAGTTTGTTGCTTTGAAAATATGCAAACTTAGATGGCAGCTATTCATGATACAGAGGAATAGATAGAGCATTAATATTTGGAAGCTTCTTATCCAATAAATCTAAATCCTCAGACATTACCACCAGTGGATCCAACATACAGTGACAGGGTGTGGCCGTGTAACTCAGTAAACCAGTGAAGTGTGTGAACCATGCTGCAGACTACAGTCTTTCTGAGAAATAATATCCCTAGAAACAGCTCTGACATGTTGGCTGAGCATGTGAGTGCATGTGTTTATGTGAGTACATGTGCAGGATGTTGCAGACTTCAACGATAAAAGATGAAAAACCATGTTGTATCGCTGTTCAACATTTATATTTCCCATAAACAGGTTTAGTCCCCACTAAGTTGACATGTTTTAAAGCAACTAAAGCTTTCAAAGTGACTGATAAAAACAATTTAGAGGCCAAAGTTATTTTATTTCTTAAATACCATAATAATAACATCACCTGAAAACTAATGTATATCTTAATTCATAGTTTTTAAAGACTCCAGAGTCATTTCAATCAGTATTTTAATCTTGGTTAAAAAAAAATCAAAAGTAAAAATGGGATTTGATTTGTTTTCATGAGACATCTTTTATGTAAATATGTACTACATTTGTTTTACAATCAGTTTTACATTCAGTGGTGCAGCCAAAGCCCAAATATTGGAATTAACAACATATAATTTAACTCCTTATTAACAATACAAGTCCTCTATCAAGGTATGATGCATAATGAAAAGGCAAAGTGCATCTTAATTCATAAACAATGAATGGTTCTTTCTTCAAATAATCTAACTTACAATCTTCAGAAAGTATTACCTGCTTTTGGCAACAAAGATGGCAGCATCTGATGTGTTTTTCCTGAACAACAGTGAATTACATAAACTTTTAAACCACAAAATCATGTTTTTGTGCAGTAGGTTGTTTTAGCTTTTTTTCGTGAAACCGATTGTTTGAATTAAAAGTCCACAGTGATCGAAGGAGGTGCTTTCTGAACCTTCATCCATAGAGAATAAACACAAATTTTCCACTAAACTCCCTACCTCTATGATTCACTCCTACTCTGTGATTTTGCTTCCAGCTGAGCCCTCCAGGCGGCCAACACTTCGTCGTCTTCGGTCTCGACGGCAGCCCGAGCTCTGGCCCTCTGTCTGGTTTGGGCGATGAAGGCAGCAATGTCATCCTCTTCCTCTTCGTAAGCTTCCTCCCTCCTGCTCCTCCTTCCTTCTGTCTCACTGTTCTCATGTCCTGAGTTGTGGGCAAACTTCCTCTTTGTAGTGAGGTCGCCATAGCTGTCTGTACCGTTGTCGACCTCGTCGTAGGCGCTGTAAGACCTCCCCGCTCGCCTGTAGCTGTGGGATTGTGTGAACCCGTTGCAGGAGTACTCAGAGTCCTCGTTTGATAGGTCCTCATGTAACCTTGACCTGTGTCTTGAGTTGACGCCATAAGTCTCCTCATCATCTTCATCGACTGAATATGAGGCCCTGCGGCTAGAGAAGTCGAATTCAGAAGCAGAAGCATCTAGATCATCGTATGGATCTTCTGACGGACCAGCTCCTGACCCGGAGGCTGGAGTCCTTGGAGGAGGTCTGACGCTCTTCAGCCAGTCATCGATGCTGGTGTTCTTATCTTTCTCCAGAGCAGGGTTGAGATTCAGGCACCCAGAGAGGCCATAACTCCTCGCAGGTTTCTCCTTCTTCTTCGCCTCTTCTAAAAACTCCTCCTCTTTCTTCTTCCTCTCCTCCACCTCCTCCTCGTCTTCATCCTCCTTGGGTTTTTTTTTCTTGTAGAGGGTGCTGCGCTTGTTGTCTTCCAGGATCTTCTTCTTTTCATAGGTTGCCATCTTTTCCCTCATCTCAGACTTGATCTCCTTGTCCATGGCGTCCAATTTACCCATGTTGACCTGGTCTTGGAAAAGGCTGAAAAGGGGGACGCTTGTGGTGGTGATCTTGGTCTTCTTGGAGCCCAGAGTGGAACCGAGTGTGGATCCCAGGCCAGAGCCTCTTCCAGTGAGACCAGAAATGTTGCTTGACCCGCCCGCAGAGAGGACGGACGCCGCTCTGCCACGACCCTGCGACAAAGCTGTAGAATAGGAAGCACCACTCAGCAAGGAAGCTTTGTCATCGTCTAACCCACGGCCTGAAATCATGCTTGCTGCACCCCCGAAGTTCATCTCAGATCCAGCACGCGACGGGGGAGGAAGACTCATCTCACTTTGCTTCTGTTTGATGGTTTCAGAGACGACGTTAGCGATCCAGTTTTGGATGCTTGATAGATTCACCATCGGCTCACCTCCAGGGCCTTGAACAGTTGGAACGGGGACAATAGGAGGAACTGGCTGCATGGGATGAACCGGGACAGCTGACAGTGCAGATCTCGTGCTGCGAGGCTGGGAAACTGAAGATATGACAGATGATCTTCCACTAAGCATGGACATGTTGTCATCATTGGCAACGCTTGGAGGACCCGTGACTCCGGCTCCAGCCCAGAAAGCAGAGAGAGGTATTGTTCCTCCACTGATGGAGCTCTCCGTCTCCCAACCGCACATCGACTGACTCTCCTCCAGAGTTTTCTTTGAGCGCTCCAGAAGCTCCTCCCTTCTTTGCCTCCGTTTGGCGGTTGCAGAGTCCTCACCCCGACTCATCTCCAAAATCTCATCAGGATTTTCCTCCCCGTATCGCCTCTGCTGCCTCAGTTTCCATGACTGATAAGCGGTCAAGTTGACATCCTCGAAGGATGGTGTCCTAGCTTCTCCTTCTCCATCACCTTTTTCTCCATCTCCTACCGAGCTTTTCTCTCCATCCTCCCGATCTTTCTTGTTCCAGCCGAACTGGATCCTCTTGACACGCCATCGCTCCAAAGGCGTCATCTTGTCCCTGTTTTTCTGGCAGAAGTTGTACATGGAGCTGGTGTCAGAGAGGATACTTGCAACTTCGTCATCGATCTTCTTCACTCCTACTCCGCCCTCTGTCGTGGAGCTCTCACTGTCTTTGTCTTCTTCTTTCTTGTGGTAGCGAGCAGCAGCTTGTTCCTCGATTTCCTTTAATCGCTGTTTCCAAAGATCAGAGTAACTTGTGCAGCTGGAGGTGGACATTGCATCTGAAGGTGGACGTCTGTTTCGCCGCTTTAACCGCTCTTTTACAGCTCTGACATCCTCACTAGTGACACTCTCCACATCCGCATCAACACCTTCCTTTGTCTTCTTCTTCAACTGGCCTTCAGTCAGAGACTCCCCATCCTCGCCATCGCTGTCCAGCTGTGCCTCCCACCACTCATCGCTCTGATATTTCTCATTCTTCTGCTGCCACTCTCGGATCATGCTACCAAGGCCATCTTCATCGTCACTGTCTTCTCCTCCTTCCTGCCCAGGTAGAGTGATTTCTTCTTGAGCAGTGGTCGATGCATTTTTGTCCAGCCCATTTTGAGCTCCGATCAATCCACTCTTGAGTGCCGCAGCAGCCGCCGAAGAGGCAACGCTGCTCATCACACTCTCTCCGTCCTCCTCCTCTTCCATCATGATGGAGTGCGCCTTCACCTCGACCATACTCTGCTCCTCCTCTTTGTCAGTGTCATCATCATCGTCGTCATCATCATTCCCGCCTTCACCAAAGATGCGAGCGCGTGTACGTGCATCTATCACAGAGCACTGGCTTAGCGTGTCGTCGTCGTCGTCACGTTCCTCCATCAGGTTCTCATTGAGTTCTCGCAGCTGCTTCAAGAAGCCTTCGTTGGGGTTGATGGCGCGTTTCTTCCTCATGGAGGTGAGGGCCTCCATGATGGTCATGTGCTGGAAGATCATCAGGTAGGACGCAACCAAGACAGCGGACCGACTGACGCCCATCATGGAGACCACAAGGACCTTTCCTGCAAGAGACAAATCAGATTGTAGGAGCGTTCATCTGCAGGTAAGAGATTGTTTGGTCGTATTAAAGAGCCACTCCGATAAAAATCACGTTTTTCTTCTTGTCTACATGTTCATATGGCATTTTCTGATGCTACAGGACATATCATGAGAAAACTAAGTGTGAAATTGCATTGTTGAGTATTTCTGCATTCCCAATCACTGTGAATTTCTAGCAGACCCAAACAGCAAGATCAGATACAATGAGATTTCCTACGTAACCAATCCAAGCTCCGCCTCCAGAGCCTCACTACACAGGCCAGACTCTGAGAAATACAGTGGACGATTGTGGATCAAGCGTCTGCAACAGCGGATTGAAATGTTCGTAAGAAAGCTAATTTTGACATTAACTTTAATCGTGTCCCCAAAGCCATTAGTGTCTGAGAGCTGAATCGCTCTTATGTTACCTGCTTCTTTTACTACACCGGCGAAGTTAGGCTACAAGCTAACGTGAAGAGGAGTGCAGTGCTTCAGAGCAGCGCTGTCTCCGCCCACGACTCAGAGGTGAATTGCTAATGATCTACTGGAGTTCTACAAAAGAAAAACCCCTGAAAATGACACAGGTAATGCAATTTTGTTTTAAAACTTCACAATCGTAGTTTAAAGACCACTGAGAACACTTTAAGTAGTAAAAAAAACAACCAGAGTGGGACTTTAAAGCTGATTAGAAAGAGTGTTTTTTGTTTTTATGAGGTCCTTGCAGATCTTTCTTCTTTTGCTTTTTCTGTTTGATTGACACAGTTCAAATCCTTTTTTTTCCTGTTGTGGTTTTTATGATAACTTTGGTCGACATAAGTGGATAATCCATGAAACTGCATCCGCCTGAGCAAAACTACCATTGTGTGCTCTTTATTTCTATTGTAGATGAGACTACCTAACATCTTTGCACTCTGCAGATGAAAAGGACAACATCTCAATCAAAACATGCTTTTCCATTAAAGTCCTGAGTGTCACTTCAGCCTCAGACCCTGAAACAGCTCTCTTTGTGCTCTTAACACTGTGGTGTGTCTGCTTCTGGGTCCTCAAAATACACCAAACGCCACAAACACTTTGATACAACATCCCATCAAGGACTACAAGTACTGATATTTTTTCGTCACAATACTTTTATCCATTAGTCAGACTTTACCGACTTACATAATCCTCCGGTTTAAATTGGAGAGTGCAGGTTTAGAAAAAAACTACATAACAACATTGTTTGACGGTTCAAACACTTTTCCTGCCTTTGAGGCTGAGTGGGTTTCAGCAGTCTTATTTTATAATGTACTACAATCAGGTGATAAAGCAGGTCCATGAATTGATTGTCCGGGCTTTGACTGTGATTGTTGAGAAAGAAATAACTACCAGCGGGTTTGAGTCATTACCCAAGTCACAGGAGACTGCAGTGACCAGCTGACGCCTTCAGGAAAACACTTTGTGAATCAGTCGCATTTACAATGAATGAAAACGTCCGATAATGTGAGTGTTACATGACCTCCCTCCAGGGGGAACAGAGCTCCTCTGTGTGGTCCACAAAACATTTCTGAGAATCTGTGTTGTGGCGTAAGTAAGGGGATGTTTCCGGTGTCCAATCTTTTATTGAAGCCTCACCCTGGAGGACAAACAGATTAAAATATTCCTTTGGCTGCATCAGCTGATATTAATGTGTCTTTTTTTCTCCTGTGGGGTAAACACTGAATTAAATTTGAGAATAAAGCTCCATGACATGTGGAGCTGAAGCACCACAATGAGATCATTGATCATTGTAGACCCGTTTAATAACTTTATTTGACCATCATCATTTCTTTATCATTTCCTTGAGGTAATAATCAGACTGGACTATTGTAATGCCCTTTATGTTGGCCTCAGCCAGTCTTTAATCTCCCGTCTCCAGCTTGTACAGAACGCTGCTGCACGATTTTTAACGGGCACGTCTAGGCGTGAACACATCACCCCTGTGCTGTCTTCGCTACACTGGCTTCCAGTTTGTTTTAGAATTGACTTTAAACTTTTATTATTTACTTTTTATGCCATAAATGGCCTGGCCCCCTCCTACCTGTCAGAGATTTTAACTGTTCGCGATCATGGCAGGGCCCTCCGTTCCTCCGGTCAGCGCCTGTTGGAGGTCCCGAGGTCAAAACTCAAACAGTGGGGTGATCGTTCTTTTGCTGTTGCAGCTCCTAGGCTGTGGAACAGACTGCCGCTAGATGTACGCACCACCACTGACCTCAGCTTATTTAAATCAAAGTTAAAGACGCACCTATTTAGACTTGCTTTTAACTCTGACTAGGTAGTCCTGTACTTATAGGTTTTTAGCACTTCTACATAGTATTTTATTGTATTATTTTATTTTCATATTCATTTTTATTATTTCATCGTTCTTGTATTATTCTATTCTATTGTATTATTTTATAATGGTATTTTTTCTTGTGTTATTTTATTGCTTTTATGTAAAGCACTTTGGGTACCATTTGGGATATTGTAAAGTGCTATATAAATAAAATTTGATTGATTGATTGATTGAATCACCATATTGGTCATTTTGCACTGCAGACGCGGTACTTCTTCTACCTTAGTGTCTCAGTCTGATTGTATTTCTATGAAGAAATGATCATAAATGTTCTTCCTTGAGCTGCGTCACCCCGCTGCAGTCCATAATGGACTGGCCTGAGGTCTCGCTACAAACAAGCAGCTGCTGGAAGAGAGTAGGTGAATTGTGTTTAGTCTCTTTGCTAAAGAAATTAGTCAAAGTTAAAAAGATGTTTGGTGGCTAGTACTATGGCTGGGACCCTATATGTACTGTTGATGAAGTTAGGCGCCGTTCTGAGCATTATTTGTGGCAATAGAGTGGCGTTTTAGTTGAGGTTTGTTTATGGCTCCTCAGACCGCTGTGTACTGCTATCGTGCGGTCGATACTAAAGTTGGTATAACTAGAGAAGTAAGTGGTCGGCAACATTCATCTCTCGAGGGGGTGTCTAACTCGGTGTTATGGTGTGTTTAATCCTAAATTAATTTTACGCCGGACTATGCCCTTAAGGATCTGTAAACAAATCAGTGCAATCAACATCTCATCAGTACGTTGCCACGGATAATGACTGAAGACCAACTAAACAGACATCTCTCACCTTTGTGGGTCAGCAGAGCCTCATCCAAGAATTCAGCGGTGGGACGAAAGTGAACTGAGATGTCGGCATCGGGGAAGTCATCCACCTCGATGCCCATGTACTGGATGTTCATGCTGGTATAGAACGACTGGCCTGTGTAGACTCCAGTGCCATGAGCTGTGTTCAGGATGTGGGTGATGCCCATTCGTTTCAGACGAGCTTTGTTTACCGCAATGGATCTAGGGGGAAAAAACAAACAGTTAAAATGAAAAGTAAATGTTGAATTTTATCTCCTGCTTTTGGTTATTATTAAAACCCCATTAAAAAACAAATTACACCACATTTTCAGCTTCCTAAACTTGCAAACAGAGTTCATAGTTCCACCTTAAAAACATGGTCTCAATCTGCTCTTTAAATCAGCTCATATAATCCCATGTTTTCTTCACTATAAAGTTGGATTGAGAAGAGTTGAATGCCCTGATAAAGATGGGCCCTTTGACTCTGAAAAAAATGGAAAAACCGGCTCATTTCAAATGGTTTATTTGTAATGGGATGATAGATGTTCGGAGTTCTATGACAGGACAGAGAGTGGGTCTTGAGTTTCGGTCAAACAAGTCGAAGGCCATTTCAGGAGAGAAAGCTGAGATTGTTTGGTACTTAAGAGGAACTAATCAAATACAACAGAAAATCAATTTATCTCTGTCTCCTCTGGCTACTCCAAAACAACTCCACTATTAACAACACTCATGTCTCAGAAGGGGCAAATTAAAAATTAGACTTAATTTGTTAGACCCATAATTATGTCCGTAATGCCAGGGGAGGAAGGAAATCACTGAAAGAAGACACACGAGTTTTCTCCTCAGTTTTGACAAAGAGTGACTTCCTTTGGACCTCCAGCTCTCTACTGAACTTTTTAGTTTGCTGTGTTTGGACTCACTTCTCAGCAATGAAAATGTTGGGCCACACCTCGTCCACAGGGTTGATGGGAGCTTCCAAGCGGTCCTGTATTAAGGCTCTCTGAATGTCCAGCACGCAGGGGGTGTTGTAGGGGCTGCGGTCGTCAATCATGTCCCTGACCCTGTTATAAAGGTCTTCCACCATCATCTGCTCAGCTGTCTCCAGCATGGATTCTGGGATTGACTCTGTGCGTACCCCTCGTGGAGGAAGCTCTAAAATAAAACACACAAGCTGATGTTAGATTTCACTTCATTTTTTGTTGCTTTAAAACCCTGAAAGGAATTCTTGGAAATTTGAAATCATCATATAGAAAACGAAAGACCAGGATCAGTGTGAGAGGCAAGATTCAACAACAGGTACTGTACCTACTTGGGTAGAAACTGGACCAGAAATCCTAAAAAGACAGTTAGACAAGGAGGAACTGGGCTAAAACACTCTGGACCATTTTGATAAGAACTTCTCCAAGTTTCAGGTTATAAATTGTATGTTTTAAATTGATATTCCGGCATAAAATTGATTAAGGGCCAAACACACCACAACACTGAGTTAGACACCCCCTCGAGAGATGAATGTTGCCGAACGCTTGCTTTTCTAGTTACACCAACTTTAGTAATGACCGCAGGATAGCAATACAGAGAGCCATGCGCTCAACGAAAACGCCACTCTATAGCCACAAATAATGCTCAGAACAACACCTAACTTCATCAACAGTACATATAGGGTCCCAAACATAGTACTAGCCACCAAACATCTTTTTAACTTTGCCTGATTTCTTTAGCAAAAAGACTAAACACAACTCACCTACTCTCTTCCAACAGCCACTTGTTTGTAGCGAGCCCTCAGGCCAGTCCATTACGGACTACAGCGGGGTGCCGCAGCTCAAGGAAGAACAACTATGATCATTACTTTATCATTTCCTTGAAGTAATAATCATCATATTAATCATTTTGCACTGCAGACGTGATAGTTCTTCTGCCTTAGCATCTCAGTCTGGTTGTATTTCCAGTGGCTGCTGGAAGAGAGTAGGTGAGTTGTGTTTAGTCTCTTTGCTAAAGAAATCAGGCAAAGCTAAAAAGATGTTTGGTGGCTAGTACTATGGCTGGGACCCTATATGTCCTGTTGATGAAGTTAGGTGCTGTTCTGAGCATTATTTGTGGCTATAGAGTGGCGTTTTGGTTGAGGTTTGTTTATGGCTCCTCAGACCGCTGTGTATTGCTATCCTGCGGTCGTTACTAAAGTTGGTTTAACTAGAGAAGCAAGCGGTCGGCAACATTCATCTCTCAAGGGGGTGTCTAACTCGGTGTTACAGTGTGTTTGACCCTAAATAAATTTTACACTGAAATATCCCTTTAACTGCCTAAATCTACTCATGAGTTTTGTGGTGATGATTTCTCTTTCACATTATAGTGTATTTGTCTGCATTTACACAACTTTGCATGTATATCAAGGTTAATGTGAAAAGTTTACAGACTGAGCATGTACCTGAGAACTTTTTACAATCTCTCAGGTAACGAACCTTGAAAAAAAAACTCTTTTTGAGTCTATCTGTCACACTACATTACTTGTCCTCCCTTCAGATGGAGCTGATTTAATGTAATGTAATGTCAGAGGAGGGAGAAATGTGATACAGGAGCGTCTTTGTGATGAGTCGTATGAAGCTAATTTACTCAATCAGCTCGACTCTGCACCTCCAGCGAGAGCGTCTGTGTCTCTGCTTCCTGTAATGAGCCGAGGAAATTCAACATGCACTCGCTGAAATTGAAGAGTGCTTGACCAAATCTGTCTTGTTGAATGTGGGATCATTATTCCAAACACAGATGATGAGTTTCATGAAATCTTTGCGCACCCTGAACCAATCTGATCTCTGCTGATATCTCCAACTCAAGCTCTGATCTTGTCTCACCCTCATTGATGATCTTCTTGGCAGCGATGGCTGATGAAAGGTGGATCGGCTCCATGAAGATGCTTGCTGCATCTGACCCAGAAATCATGGAGAACCTTGACTCTGATGCCAATGAGAAACTGATTCAAAGAGGAAGTAAATGTTTGAAAAGGAAAGAAAAAAGAAAGACAAAACTAAATACACCTAATCCAAGTTTGAAGACATAAAAAGTGTGTATTTTTGCGTGTAGTGACAGATAATGTGAATTAATTTGATGTTAAGTTGTAGATGAGATCTGAAAAAACCATAAAATCCACAGAGAAAATCAGGAAACTTAAACAAGCTTAGGTTAGTCCTACCTGGGTGAAGGACAGCGAAGGTAGCGGGACTGGATCCCCTGGACTGTACTCTCCTTCTCTTCTCCATCAGGGACCGCCTGATCACCTGGTTCCCCGCTCTCATTTGCTGACGCCATGGCGACCAATAAGGCAACCTTCGAAAACATTCAAAATGAAAACTTAATTAATGTTTAATTGTTGGGATTTTATCAGACTCTGACACTTTTTTCTAGAGTGGTAAGGAATAAAAAAGTTTTTAACTCAACAGTTCAGCTTCAGCAGGTTCAAATCAGCTGAAATAATGAAAGAAATCCATCCTACCAATGACAGGGTTTGATTTCCTTTCAGTAGAAATAAAGCACTTTGAAAACACTTACACCAACACACAGTATGAATTTGTTCTGAAAGAGAAAATCTACCATTTTCTGAAGTGTCATTGGTGTTGTTTGCACAGCAGGAAATATGAAAAAGTGGCCTGAAACAGGACCCAGAGAAAGAAAAGAACAAACCCCGACAAAAGAAAGGAACAGAGCTGACAGGCATGAAGCACATAAGAGGCCAGTTAATGGCTTGACAGGTGGATATTATAGTTTAGGGGAAAAAGCCTAAGAAGGAAAAATTAGAGCTGCAGTGCCTCGGAACTTAAACATAGATGTATGACTGACTGTTTCAGATTCAGAGAAATGTTTCTGAGCTCAGAGGATCATACTCAGAGACAGGGAATGTGTGCGCTGTCAGGATCTAAAAGGGTTGCCTGATTGAAAAGATTTCAAGGTTATATTTGTGTTTTTACACTCGCGTCTCTTTTAACGTGTCAGAGAATATTATAGGAAGAGAAAAAAGAAATGAAAGCCATTAAACTACATCAAAAAACTTAACCTGTGGGACTGAGGGGGAAAAAATAAAGGTAAATAACTGTATTTGTTGTGATTTATAGTCAAATACGACCAGAAAACCTTTGAGAAATTAAAGCAGTAAAAAGTGGAACATATCAAAATGGACAAGACCCACTCACATATTGTAGTGGATAGTCATGTGTGTGTGTGTGTGTGTGTGTGTGTGTGTATGTATGTGTGATATGAGGCCTTCCAGCAGGTCTATTTTAGGCAGAGCGACAGCTGCCTGGGAGCCTGTCAGGCCTGAGAGCAGCAGCGTCACTGAAAGGCCTCAAAGCTTCAAACAACAACACAAACAGCAGCGCTCATCTGAAGTGAGAAAACGCTCAAAAATAGAAAAGAGGTCTTAATAGAGAACATCACATCTGATCATGAGTGTGTGAGTGTGGGTGTGGGTGTTAGTGTGTGTTCTTACCTTAACGCAGAAGGGGCTGCCAGACACTGAAGGGTGAGTCCGACACTGATGGCGGGCAGACTGACACTAAAGTTAGAGAGAGTCCCTCACCCCCATCTCCCCTTCAAGTCCTCCCCCTCCTCCCTTTGCAGGCCTGCTGAGACACCTGACACCCGACACTACAGCAGCAGGTACCTGAGAGCATTCAGATTTACACAGATTTAGGATTTTGGACTTCATGAAAGACAAATGCATCATTTTTCGAGCTTTACTGACTTTTCCAGCGTCCGTTAAATCCTGTGATTTCTTACATCTGTTCATGTTTTGGTTGTTTCCACTTGATGGACAAACAAAGAGGAAGCAGACTGAGTCTCCATTAGTTTCTGGAGTTTTGTGGTCAATTTTATCTTCGTTGTCTATAAAAGTTACCCTAACCTCATAGGAGGTTGAGGGAGAATCTTGGTAAAAACAACTAACATAGAAAAATTAAATATTCACCTTTAATAGCTTGAGCTTGTCTACAGTTTAAAGTGGCTGTTTAAAAATATCTATAACTAATTAAATTGATTTTTACCATCTGTTTGACCTTTACTGACTAAATGCTCGGTTAGTATTTTCACAGGTCATTCTAGGATACAGTATATGGTTTACATAATTCTGTTGTTTTTTGTTCGGTATGCGATGAATAGCCTTCTTATTGAACTGCATTTATTTCAGTTCGAGTTAATCTTTTGTTCCTGTTTCCAGACGGCAAATATTTCCCTCAATTGAGGAAAAACAGACGGTATCAGGCTCTTGAACGCAGCTTGTGTTTTTATCTGAAGTCAGCTGATAATTAACTCGGCTATTTATAACCTGAGAATGCAGTTCCTTTAAATCACATGGTCACACACAACTGTTTGTGTTTTCATTGAGAAGCGCCTCTTTTATCTTTGATATTTCATCCCAAACATCCATAAGCAGTGTTTTCTGACTGTTATTCAATCATACCTGTGAATATTTGCTGGTGAAAAAGTAATTTAAAAAAAAAAAAAGAAAAACTCCCTGACTATGATTCAATCTTATCTGTGAATATTTGCTGAAGAAAAAGCAAAAATAAAAAAAAGACAAAAAACAAAAAAATCCCTGACGATCACTTAATCATACCTGTGAAAATTTGCTGAAGAAAAAGTGAAAAAAAAATCCCTGACTGTTATTCAATCATACATGTAAATTAATATTTGCTGAGAAAAAAGTAAAAAATAATAATTAAAAAAACTCCCTCTGTCATTTAATCATACCTGTGAACACTTGCTTAAAAAAAACCTCCCTGACTATTATTCAATCATGACTGTAATTATGTGCTGAAAAAACCTTCCCTGACTGTTATTTAATCATACCTGTGAAAATTTACTATAGAAAAAGAAAGAAAAATCTCCCTGACTTAATTCAATTGTACCTGTGAATATCTGAAGAAAAAAAATGATTACTTACAGATTATTTCGATGTTTGTTTTACATACAACCTGTAATTCTAAGTATAAGAGTGGTACGATGCAGACCTCAGAAGTCTGCAAACTTTTTTTCTCCTGTTGAATATCATAAAATATTGGTGATTCTTCATGATTATAAAATTTTGTTTGATGACACTGATATGACGGGACAGATGGAATAAAGTCTCAATTAAGTTTATCTGTAGTGTATCTAAGTAGTGCTGTGAGTATTTACTCCATTTTCCTGGAGTACTTAAGAAAGTAATTCTAAGCCTATGTGGTGGTTTCCACTACAGAGTCAAGTTTTTAATGCAGTGTTGCTTGAGGGCTTTTAAAGCTATCCAGTACTGCTTTAGGTCTGGTCCCTTTTCTAGAGCTTTATTCTCTGAGTCTTTCAGTGATATTATATACTGACGGTACATAATATAGTCCATACAAGTCTCACAGAAAAGCTTGATAAAACTCATTCAGTGTTAAAATGTGTTGCTGGCATCAAATTTAGAATAAGCATATATATTTTTCCCAAAACAATAACATTTGTTTAAATTAAACATGTGGTTTCAATATCGCCTTTAAAATTTTTTAAAAAGTGTCCCAACTTTTTGGAGTAAGTGTTTATTTTCACTATGAAACATGCTTACATAAGAGGGTTGGATACAATTATTAAGAAAGAGGAAAGCTTCTTGAATTTTACCTTTTGACACCGTGTGAAGGTGCTGAAATGATCACTGCTGCACACGCTCATTCTGTCTTTTCACTTTTTATTGCATTGAATCCAAAGTGCTTTAGTCCGACAACAAAGTTCCACACTGGACTGAAATCTTGTTTCAGCAGTTTTGTCACAATAAAAGGTGAAAACATAACTTACACTAAGCTGGTTGTACACATGCTAAGTACAGATGTGCATAAACACAGAGTCATTTCTCTCGTCGTGTTTCCAGGTGAGGAGGAGTGGCACGTTGGCTGAGATTTCAACACAACACAGTATGAATAGCGAACAAATACTGCTCTGTGAAAAAAGGCACATACAGGCACGAGAACAGACAACACCACAACATCTTACTGCAACACCGAGGACGAGGAAAACACAGCAACAGCACAACGTCACCGCTGTCTGAGCCCCCAGTGTCAGAGGAGAGGGAGCTTATGAGGAGGAGGAGGAGGGGGGAGTGCTGTGGGCAGATACATCAACATACAAAAGCAAATGTTTTTCACTCCGTGGTCCTCGTCTTTCAATCAATTCAAGTCAGTGTTGTTTTTTGTTCCCCGATTAGCATCTCAATCCATCTCTGAGCGCTTTAATATACACAAACGGTCCAACTTCACAGCTAGAGTGAAGAATTCGAAGATCTGTTAAACTCTCTGCTCCAGAAAAACCCTCTTATAAACATCCTTATACATAAAAACTCTTATTATGAAAACCTAAAACATAGATGTTATTTTAAATATAAACTTTATTGGCAAAATTTTGGATTCAACATGCTGGTTCTCTTTCCTTTGTTTGTTTTCATTCGTAAAGAAAATAAAATACTTCCACTGTGTCTCAATTTGTATTCTTCTTTTACTTTAATCTTTACTGCATGAATTTACAACGAATGTTATTGCCGAGTCCATCATGTGCACTTCAGAAAACATAACAGAAGTCTTTAAATTCTTATTCGTCTTGACAAAAGGGTGAGAATAAGCAGAGGGTAATAAAAGTTGTAGGTTGCATTAGATAGAAGGAGAAAAAGCAAAAAGAGAAAGAGAAGGAAAAGAGTGCAAAATAAACAGTGTACTACTGTGTACTAAAGAAGTATCCAAATTGAGACACAGCATACCTGAGGTTATTGAGAATCTGTGTGGTATAAAAATACTCCAGTGTTATCTTTGTTAAACCTTCAGGGCAGAACGATGTCTCCCTCCTCTGGCAGAAAGAGGAATGACAGAAACACACCTCGGCGCTCAGAGATGAGATTTTTCATGGTTTACCCTGCCATCCATCTATCTTTATCTTTTTTTTTTTTTTTTACTGATTTCCTTCCTCTGGACCCTGAATTTCTTTTCTTTCAGACTTTTCGGTTCTCCTCACCTCAGTGTCACAGTCATCTCCTCTGTCAGAGCTGATGACTGATGAGAAATCAAAAACGACCTTTCAGAGACATTGGCTTAATACAAAGAGATTCAGCTAGTAGTGATTAATCAGCATAGTGTGAACATGTTTGGCTATAGTATTATTTTTCACATTTAAATATTGGATTTATACATAAAGTCCTTTACCCCAGCTCTGAACATTAATCCTTTAGAAAAACTACATTTTTAAAAATAAAGATAACTTGTTTGTTCAGTGGACAGTAGAGAGGTTTCTGGTGTTTAATGTTCAGAAACAAACACAGTGGCTGATATTTGTCATAACTTAATAATAAGTGCGATGAATAGAAATCAAAGCGATTTTTAACATCATCTTTAACATCTACTGTCGTAAGCTCTCTGAATAATTGGTGTTTTTGAGAATAAAAATATCACACTATAGATTCCATTTGAGCTAAACTGCCCCATAATGTCTCGCTTAAATATCTGATAAATACTGAGGAATGAGAGCGAAAAGCGTAGAAGATATTAATGAACTAAAGAGAGAGTGAGAGAGACGCACTGTCTTCACAGGCTGATTAATATTCCAATCATGTTCAGGGTTATCAAATATTCTCTTAACGAGCCGGCACATGTTGGTACCATCGAATGTTTAATAATGGAATACCCTGAAAATGAAAGATAAGTGGAAGCTAGCTGGGAATTGGTGATTTAAATACGTTTGGTTAATATTTGAGGACTGTTTTAAAAGTGTGAAGAAAATTGAAGAGGCTCACTGTCTGTTTTAAAAACACTCCAACTAAGACGAGGTAAGGCTAATATGTTGAATATTAAAACATGTATAAAGATGTTCAATAACAGCAGTCACTCATCTTTCCTTTGGACTCCCAATGACTTTGAGGTATGGAAATCTTCTACAGGCAACCATGGCTGCTGTGATGACTTCTCACCAGTGACGAGTGCATCCAACAAAAAAAAAAAAAGGTTTTGTCACTGACAGGCTAAGAGTTTAATCATCAGTGTCTGACAACATTACAGACGAGATCCCTCCAGAGACAGACCAACAACTCCTGTAAGTTCACTGTGAGATCTTTGGAGCGATGATAATACTCTGGGATTAAAGCAAAGATAACTGAAAAGATCGCTGGACTCTCCCGCTGAACGCGTACAACGCTACTGCGCGATGTTGGTTTCAGGAAATAGAGAAAAAACTCAGAATTACTGAAAGCTTTTTGGCTTCAAATCCGTACACTGGCGAAAGGCGGAACCAAGTTGTCCATAGTATATACAGTCTGTGGTCAGCCATCTCCAAGACTCTGTAAACCAACCTCCAAGAAAACATACTAATGCCTGCTAACATCCCGACCACGCTCTGAACAGTGAATATGAATTATTCACAACAAACCTGAAACACAGGGGTCCATCAAAAGTACTGAAGGCTTCTGAATCTGCTGTTCGGTGTTTGACTTTTTGTTTCTATCCCGTCTTCTGTGCCTTATTTTAAATTTCACCTGATAATAAAGTCGTATTTGTCTATTTTTGTAAAGTGTTGTCAGACACTAAGAATAAAGAAATATGGGAGCCTGTCTGTGACAAAACAGGAACTTTTAGTGGACTGACTTTGACCACAGCATGTTTTTAATGAATGGAGCTATTTCCACTGTGAGATCTAAGCCACCCTTTATTACACAGATTATATATTTTGGCCTTTTCAAATGTTGTCTACCTCATCTTTAAAATTAACCTGTCTGAGTAAAACTGTCTGAGCAGGTGACCATGGTAACCAAAAACAGACAGATGTTTAGGTCCAGAGAATATCCCGTCCATTAGTGAACTCTTTGCTGTTTATTGCAGCCAAAATGATGCTCTGTATAGTCTGTTCACAAAACATCCCATGTTTGAGTGCTTTCAGGTCCACCAGGTGCTTTTCCTCTCTCCAGAGGAGAGACGGGACTGGAGCAGGCCTCTACAGCAGGTCCTTTCTCTGAACATGGACACAGTCTCCATGTTTGCACACTTTTCGCAGTATTTTTGTCTTTTACTGATCCTCCTTTCAGCCCCTGTTATCCACAGTAACAGGCAGCAGAGGGTCTGCCACCTCGCTCCTCTCAGTCTCAACCCCATCTCTCTGTCGGTTCACCATATTCAACCTGGCCTGGTAGTCAGCAAGCTTCTTCTTCTTCTCCTCTGCGTCTGAGTCGACCCTCGGGAAGGAAGGGAACTCTTGGCAGTATGCTGGTGGCAGACAGGGCACCAGGTGTACCTGACCACTGTCGTTCATGAGCTGGACACAGGTGTAGAAATCCTGCGGCGAGCGGGTGGTGGAGACTGCGGTGGTGTCCGGAGTTGGGAAAGCATTAGGGAGGCCAGGGTGACCCATCACACTGTACTCTGTCCCAGGCAGAGACACGATCTCAGGCCGGGGCCATGGAGAGGGGACATCGATCGCAGGGGCGAAGGCCTCTGGAGGTGAGGAGCAGTAAGGTGACACGCTCTGGACGTAGGCTGTTGGGTTGGGAGTTGTGAATGAATGATGGGCAGCCACAGGTGTCAAGTCACTCGGGACCATCAGGGCGTCCTTCTCCCTGTCTGTGGGAGCAGCGGGGATGTAGCGATCCCTCGGCGTGGTGAGATAGACGTCGTCTGCACTGACCTGGTCCCAAATCTCCTCTGTGTAGCTTGGAGGTCTGTAGCTGTGGAAGTTACTGAAGTGACGGTTGATTTCATCCAAGTTCCCTTTCTGAGGTCACGTGTAGGAAAGAAGGAAGGAAAGGCAGAGAGAGAGGGAAAAAAAAGAAAGGGCAGCAAAGAGAGACGGAAAAACAAGGATTTTATCAGGGATAGGAGAAGGATGAATTAATGTGCAAGAAAATTATAAAGAAAGATGGAAGATGACAGAAAAGAAAAAAGCAGAGAGGGTGAACAGGTAAGGAACAGAAAGACAATTTAAACACAAAAATGGCAGAATAGGAAAGGCACAAAATACAAGAAGAGACGGCGATGGCGAGGATTAGAAGGAGTGATGGAAACAGTATCGAGAAGGGAGGACAAACAAAGAGAGACGAAGAGACAAAAGGTAGAGGAAAAGAAAAATAAAGAAAGGTCAGAACAAAAAGTCACAAAGTTTCCCTGAAATAACTGAGTGTGTGTGTGTGAATGTATAACGGCCTTACCTTCAGCAGCAGCGGGTCGATGCCGACGATCCTCGGCTTTGGAATGGGTGGCAGGAAATAGTCTTTTATTCTGAAGGTGAAGACATAAAGAGAGGAAGTGTGAAAAGGGCAGAACATACACACACCCACAGCCAAAATATATATATGCATCCACCCACTGAGTCAATAAACTGAATACACAACATTTTTTAACCCTTTCAGTCTGTTAGTTCTACTTTCTTCTTAGTCTGTTTTTCTTCAACTCACTTTACCAACAAATTTTCAAAACTCAAAACAAACTGTGTATAAAAGTACATAAATAAGATGATTGTGTGTGTGTGTGTGTGTGTGTCTGTGTTTTCACCTTTTGCTCTGCGGGATGATACCAAAAGCGATCACCAGCAGAGCCACGATACCAACTCCTGACACCAGAATCCTCACCAGGAGTTTACCTGCTCGGGCAGCGAACAGAGATTTTATCAGAAAACAAAAGAATCTAGATGTGCTGAAGTTTAATTGGTCTTCATCGGCACAGGGTTGTTTTTTGGGGTTATAAGTGATTTGAAATGCTCAGAGTAATACCCCCATGTTTAAAAAAACATACTCAGAAATAAAAACCTGTGACGTACCTGCAGGCGGCCTGGCGGGGATGCTCATCATCAGAGTGGAGCTCCATTTGCTCCACAGGCCGTAGTTGTGTGATCGGCAGCGGACTCGAATCACGTAGTCTCCAACAGGGAGGCCGAGCAGCTCCACGTGGGGCTCCCTTAGAGGGTGCTTCACCTGCACATCCACAAACAACCAAACATCTTATTATTATGATTTTCATGTTTGAACTACGTAAGCTGATGCATTCGTGTCTGTTCTTTAAAGGTGGGGTAGGCAGGATTTGTGTTGCATCTTTTTTGTGGTGTTTATACAAAAAAGCTTTTAATATCAGTCAACAGCTATTTCATATTGATGACATTTGGGAATATAACAATATCGCTGTGTTCTTTTATGTCTGTGTAGTCAACATTTTAAATTTTTTGAGCGGCGCTCTTTCTGACTGTAAACAAAGCCTTTTTCCGACTCCTCCAACCTAATCGGTTGTGAGGCAGACGTTGTTCCCCACGTGTCATTCACGAGCCCAAACAAAGTTAGAGTGCTACAATATCAGACAGTAGAAACCAACCAGAAAGTACGGAAAATTGTCTGAATCCTCCTTTGGCCACGACTGCCAACACAAGCAAGAAAACGAAGTAAATACCGGAGACTCTGGCGCAATAACAGGCGCTTGAAACGGAGGCAGACCAGACAAGAGCTTAAAAAAAGCCGAGTCAGCAATAATGGGGGACACTTTGGGATCTTCGTGACCCTGTAACCTTTCTGCTGGACAGGTAAACCGCTTTAACAAAGTAAGCCAAGTGTCTGTAACAGAAGTCAAACGGGACATGCTGTAGAGTGTTGTAGCGCCGCTAAACTGTCCTCCCTCGGGTCCTGGACTATGTCACTTTATCCTAGTTGTAGAAGTCCTGCAAACATTGTGTTTGCTGGTAGTCTGGTAGTTGGCATCTACAGTAGCACCAATGCTGTTTACTCTCACATTGACCGGGCCCCATTTGTAATTATCTGAAGTATTTATCTGCATTATATCTGAATTTAATTGAAATGATACGAGCGAGCAGGAGCATCTGTTTGTGGGCGGGGCTTGCTGGAGGGGAGAGGAGGAGCTGAGGGGAAAACTAGTCAGGAGGGTAGAGTTTACATTTGAAATTTCCCCAGATCCTGCCTACCCCACCTTTAACGCAGTAAAGCGTTATTGTGAATGAATACTGATGATGTTTTGTGTGTTTCTACCTTCCAGTTGTCGGGCTCAGTCACGCGTCTGTACTGCAGCTCGTACACCAGCGTAATCCAGCCGTACTTCAGGTCAGAGGGCACCGGGTACGCCCAGGACAGCTGGGCATTGTGTCCCATCTCATCCCCGCCGGCGTCCTTCAGCGCGAAGCTCAGGTTCACAGGAGCTTCTGTCTGAACTGTAACGACACAGATGATTCAGAAACGTTGTGAAATGTCAACAAAGAGCCTGAGGACAAAATAATAGAAAAAGAAAAGAGTGTTTCATGATTAAAAAGTCCTCCTGTAAGGTTTCTCCCGGTCAAATGCTCACAGTGGACCATCTTAGCTGGAACACAGAGACGGTTTATGAATATATATGTGTAGTTATCTTATTCCTTCATTAATTCATACATGTGGATAATGAACATCAGTAAAACAAAGCGGCTCCCTGGTCAATGAAATCAAATTCTTTATTATTCATGCAGCAGGGAAACCTCAATCATTCAGCTTTTATAAGTTTAAAAGCTGAATGATAGTTTAAATCGGTATCTTACTCTGGATTTGCTTTAATTTAGTACAAGTTTCAACATATAATCCACCGTATATTCCTTCCTTACTGTTAAAACTTTCATTTTACAGAGATAGAGCAAATAGATAAGACATGATATGAGGTTAAATAAATTAAATCCAATGAAAATAATTCAGGATTTATGGCAGAGGCAGTTAACTGAATCATTATGAGGTTGGATTTGCAGCTTTTATCTTTTTAATGTGACTTAAACCTGGACATCCTTTAATTTGACCAAATGACTCACCTTCAGAGGTTATACTTTTACACATTTCAATATGTCACCGGTTTCAAAACCGATCGGCAAAGAAAGAAAAAAAAAAACAGTCATTACTTTGTCAAAGAAAAAACATCTGAAAGCTGTGTTCCTTCAGGCTTAACATCCCTGACATTAAAAGCATAAATGGTCTCTGACACTGAGTTTTGACCTTTCAGTTTCAGCAGCAGTCTGTACTTGTGTGTGTGTCTGAGCATGTGTGTGTGTGTGTGTGTGTGTGTGTGTGTGTGTGTGTGACTGCATGCTGTTTTATCTGCAGGCTGGGTTTGTGACAAGAGTGACGTCCCTGACATCTGAAGACCAACAAAAGATCACCACAGCGGTCACATGGGCTTAAACACGAGGCTGCTGCACACACACACAAACACACCACCGCCCTTTATTCTGCTACATCCCAGAAACTAGACTGATCCTAAATCTGCAGAATCTAGTCGATGAGAGACACTTTGTTCCAGAGCAATGCGATTATCTGTGAGAAGAGGTTCCTTCAAGATAAAAATGGGATTTAAATGCTTTCACATCATTGAATTAATCTCTAAAATAGTTTAAAAAAGACACTTATTGCAGGAGTTACTCTAAATCCTCCTTTTTTTTAGAATGAAAAAAGGGGAAAATGCTGCTAGAATACCAGATTTCAATTACTTTGAGGTTAGTGAAGAAAAATGAGAAACCTGTAGAAGGCAGATTTGGACAGTTTTGGGATGAAATGGGGACATGTATAATAAAATGGAGTACAAAGAGCTGGTTGTGTAATGAAATGTGTTTGTGTGTTGGAGTCACAGTTGCAGAGACATGAGCCCAGTGTTGTGTGTTTGTCTTCTACTCATTTCACTGTCAACACGAGGGGAATTTATTATCGTGTCGTGTGTCTTCTTGATGAAGTTACACTCCTGATTTCTGTTAAAAAGAGCCTGTTGCAGATGCTAACTGCAGTAAAACCTGCTAACTGCAGTAAAACCTGCTACAGTAACCTGTTTAATCACCTGTTGTGAATGTTTATCCTCAGACAGAACCCTGCTCTGTAGAGATGATATATCCCGGAAGGGGGAGAGAGTGGAATTCTGACGGACGTGTGACATCTAAAAGCCTGCTGGGGATGTGATCATACCGGACATTTTTGACAACTGCCCAGACCAGGGATGCCTCTGGCTGGAGCTGTGGTGGGGGGCCCCAGCCCAGACAATGTGAAAGTGGTGGCTTACTACAGTGTGATTTTTGTGGATGATGGAAAAAAGTTAATTGTTAGTTTTAATTTTAACCCTGTTGACCTTATAGACCAAAGAGCCCTATGTAGAAGTAACATTCAAATTTGGTGCTCACCGCAAGGTGTGTACGTAGACAGTTATGGTTTATAATTTTAATTAAATATCGTGACTAAATACGCAAAGGTATATTAGCTAGGTCATATTGCTATAATAAAATATATACTAAGGTTTAAATCCCAAATGTCCAGGTGTTATTGAAAGATATTTTTGACCCATCACATAGTAAGATGTACTGAGGATAAGATTGGACGAAAACATTATGGTGTGTCCTTGAGTCCAGTATAACTGGACCTGAGGCTGATGTGAGACTGGCATATCGAGTAAAATATCCTCTAAAGCGAGCAGCTGAGGAGGGAAGCAGAAATTAATTGAGAGAACCGGAGTGCTAATTGAGATCTAGGGTGTAACATTCCTACTCTGTTAGTTTAATACTGATAAATCTAAATGCAGCTGTGCTGAATCCACACCACTCCAGACAGAGCTAGAACCCATGCCAACATTCACAGATTATTACAGATTTACAATTAGGTTAAGGAAAATAGATAATAAAATTAAAAAGAATTTTTTATACAGGTAATCAGTAACAAGAGAGCCCTACACACTGAGTAGAAGGGTAAAGAATAGTTTAAAGTGGAAATGCGGGAGAATGCTGGTAAGGGGGGCCTGTTAATGGACTGGGTGGTCCAAATTTTAGATGAATGAGAGCCGTTTTGGTCCAGCCATGAGTGCTGCGATAGCCCTAATTCTGTCCCTTTGTGCCCCTAAAGTGTGTTTGTGTGCTCCTTACTTTTTCAACTTAGGAGCACGTGTTCCTTGTGAAAAAATTTAGTGTCAAGCTCTCTTACAAATGGTCAGCAGTCGAATTCCCTCAAAGTCTGATAAATTAGATGTCAGATTTTTACCGTTTTAGTAAACTGTAGCCTAGCCTGTGAGCCAGTTCTCCTGGCGGTTTCTGACTTGTGGTATGTTTGGTTTGTGATTTCGAAATTCAAATGTAGGGAGCAGAAGTATCAAGTCAGAAAAAGAGGCACTTAACCTTGTACTAAATTGTGCAAAAACATTGTGTAAATAGTAGATGACTGAATAATATCTGATTTTCTTTTCACCACTGTTGGAGCTCAAAAAAACCATCAAATCCTCTTCACCTGGACCCTCAGAAGGAGCAGCAGGTCTGAAACTAGAGAGGCCCTGGGGTGTCCTCACGGTTACCCTTTATTTCACCTCTGCTGGATGTGTTCAGGGACACTACCTGCTGTCACTCAGACCTCTAAAGCATGATGCACTTAACCAGAGAAGGTCTTAAAAGAGTGATTTTATATTTTTTATATTTAAGGTTTGATTCAACCTTTTCTTCGATTTTTCTTTTTACTCTTCTAAGTACGTTTCCTATATTCTTTTAGTCATACTGCAGCCAAGTGTAAAAAAATCAAATCAAATAATTTATGACAAAACAAAAAGGAATCTTGAGGCAGCAGAGGAATTTTGCTTTTTTGTCATACTTTTTTCTTTTGAACCAAATTCTTTTGAAATGACTGCAGTTTTAAGACATCCTGTAAAATTTGTAACCAAAAGGGATTCAGAGAACGAGACCTCAGTCGTCTAAATCATAGATACCAACGACTAAAAAAACAAACTTAAATACCTTTTCATCAACATTTAACAAGCCCCTGAATATCTTGGCAGCAGTTTTAAAGATTTCTACCCGTCCTCACCGATCTCTGCCACATCCAGGCAGTGCTCTTGAGAGGTGTAGTTCCTGTGGGCGGTGATGGCGGTCACATTCATGCAGTAGATCTTCCATATAGAAGTGTGGCTGCTGTCAAAGTGGCAGCTGTTCGGGCCGGAGGTCACATAGTCAGGACACTCATGTTTGGGACCTTTACTGTAAGAATCAAAGAAAATTTCAGTCACTAGAGGAAACTATTTGAAGTCTTTTCTCTCTTAGTTTGATACCTGATAATGAACTGTGACTGAAACACCATCTCTCTGGTGTGTTTAGTGCTTTTAATGTGAAGGACATTCATTATGTTAAAAAAAGGGGGTTAAGGAGATCCCCTTTTGATATGAAACTGTTTGTGGTGTGCAGGTTTTAAAGAGATTGGTGCAGGTGACTCTGCAAACACAAACAACTTGAAGGTCCCCTAGTATGAAAAATCCACTTTTGGATGGTAAAAATTTTTAAAAATTTCATTCTCTCCTTCTTTTGCTTTCTTCTCCTTTCTGAAAACATGAGTGCAAAAGGGCGAATGGAAAAACGACAAGACCGCATAAGCCCCCTCCTTCTATTTCTGTCTATTTCTGCCTTCTTCGTAGGAAGATTCGAGGATCCAATGGATTAATCTTATTTTTGATGGAAATGTACCCACAACAACAACTCCAAAAATGTTGTATGTGTGTGTTAACAATTCATCACGGACTGTTTTACCAACGAGGGGTAGTGCAAAGCAGGATTCGCAAAGAAGCTGAAGATAAAACCTGGATCCGTACTGACTGTCCGTGTCAGGGACCCAACTTCAAATGTGGAAGCTTTAAGTTTTACCATGTTATGTTGCTTTAGCTCATATGACTAGTGCTTTGGCTGCAATCGCTGGTATACGTCTCCGGACTTGCTTTCAGTCATGTTGGTCTGGAGGTCCTCTGAAGAGGTCCTCAGAGGATCTCCAGACCACCGCTCCTGGACTACTGTGGCGGTGCCGGCAGCTCAGAGTGGCCTTGGGGAGGAAGAGCGTGGTCACGCACAGCTCATTATCGTTTAAAGGTACAGGCGCAGAATCAGCCCATTCTCAATGGAGCTCAAAAAGAGGGGGATAAGGGCTGGCTGATATCCACAAATAAACTGGTGTTTAAGACGACAAACTTTAAATTTACTACTGTGGGATCTCTGGGACCGATTTAAGTTTGATGAAAAATACAATAATAGGGGACCTTTATCTCTGAAATGTACATTTTTAACCAAAATACTTCTCTCTTTTCATTCAAAACCACTTTAATAGTTCCACTCACATCAGGCAGCGTTTTGTCCCATGATTGGTGAGAAAATGTGTACCACTAAAATCCTTAAATAAAACACTGTTATGTAAATTTATGGATTGATTATTTTCTTATTTCCCAAGAGAAGAATAAAGAAGATTTTTCATCTGAAATAACTTCAACGACTGAAGAACACGTGACCCTGAAACTGCAGCTGCTGTTAATTTTTTTCTCTTATTATCAGCGAAGCAACAACTATTTCAAGCCAGCCAAAGTTTATTGTGTGAACAGCATTTGTCAGCATTTATGTTTTCCAGTGTTTTTGTTAATGCTGCAGTGCTTTGATTTTGTTATGTTTTAAGCCCGAATGTGCTTTTGTTTTTCAGTTTTTATTTAGTGAAATAAAACTGAAGCTTTATCTTTAAAATGGGTCAGCGCCCCGAGGACAGCTGCAGGCTCTCTCTGCATCAGCTTGTGTTGACTTAATTCAGCATTTGTGAAAAAAAAGCAGAATATTAAGAAAGAAACTGCCTGTCTAGGGGTTGTTTTTGTGCTAAATAGAAATACTGAGATTTGACTTAATTTGTTCCTTCAGTTTTTCTGCAGTTATTCCTTCTCTAAGAATAGACTCAGAGCTCTTTGTAGAGTCCAAATACTGGGAAAATCCCTCACTGTTTTCATATCAAATCAGTCGAATCACAAATTCTAAGAAACGTTGAGATCCTTTCTCACTTTTCAAGTCGTTCATTTTCTGGTGTTGTTTTTGGCTTTTCTCCCACATAATCCTAGATTTACAACTGAAACAAAATTCCTGTAGGAGCAACAGTTGATGTAGCCGTGAGCGCTGTTGTGTCGGGTCAAAGTCACAATCCAATTTGCCCTGATTACTGGGAGCAGTTTCTCTGCTGCTGCATGTGCCATGTGGGCAGGCTGGCACTCATTTGTGGACACGTGAGGCCGCATTCAGGGTCTCAAAACCGCCATCTGAAACATCGACGTGCTAAAAGCTTCACGTTGAAGTGAAGCGAGACAAATCAAACTGGATTTGCACTCACACGACCCAGAAACCTCCGTCAACTTTTGATCTGAGGCCGTTTTTCTCCGCTTGAGCCCTTTAGATCAAATGAAACTATAGCCTCAATCAGATTTAGACAACCGATTTCTCTTGTATTTATTGTCCTGTTTCTGTTGAAAGGGTTACTCCGGTCATTTTAAACCCAAGCTTTCTTTAGCGTATTTCAGGATTTCAGTTGGTGAGAAGGTTTTTGGAATTACCCAAAAGAGATTTTGTCCGTCTTTTGCAATAAAGCAGGCTCAGGTGGCTGCAAAATCACCATTTATTACCAAAAACTATCCAATAATGACCCCCAAACTGTTCAGTGGCTGAAATCTGAGGTTATAGATGGAAAAAAACAAAACTGTATGTCATTACGTGTGTGTGTGTGTTTCTGTGTGTGTGTGTGTGTGCTGCGCTCACTCTTTGGAGTAGCTGAGGACGTATGTGACCTGCTCTCCATCTGTCAGGTTGTCGAGTGGATGCCACCAGCAGCTAAAGTCCTCCATGTTGGGCGAGCGGCAGTAATAGATGTGAGGCCTCGTCGTCACGGCAACATCATCTGTTTGACAAGAAAGGGAAAAACAACAGCCAAAGGTTCAGTCAGTCAGTCAGTGTGTGTAAATGGTGGAGGATCAGACACACCCGCAGGTGAGGTGTTTACTTTGTTCATCACTCACGCTTCCTGGCTGCTGACCTACTCTCTTAGACACACAGTAACACAAACACAAACACACACTTAAACACACTCTGCTTGATGCAAGTTACTTTGTGTGGAAAAATAGTTTCAGGTTTCTGATACTGTTTGTTTTTTGGGGGTTGAACATGTAGCCTGACTTATAATCTTAATTTCAAATGCGTTGTAGAAAAATTAGATGGAATCCAGGGCCGGAAAAAAATGAAACATGGTGGCAATGAAACCCAAAATGTCTCTGAAAGATGTGAAATGATCACACAGGGTGGCAAACTCTTTAAAAGCAACAAAGAAGATCATATTGTATGTACAAACGAACTGCAGCGGTATTCAAATCAACCACAAACTGAAGCAAAATGCAACAGAAGTTAGCCAAACTACCATAAAGGAGCATTTTGATTAAAACAAATTGTATATATAAAAAAATGACCATTAATGAGTCCAGAAAACTACCTGAGGATGCACAACAGCAGCTGGTGGATGCAAAATGAGACTTAAAAAGGCTTAAAGTTCTGCAATATGCATCAATAACATGTTCAGGTTTATAATGACCCCAACGAAGGAGATGCACAACAGCAGCTAAGGGGCGTAACAATATCACAAAGAGATGAAAAATGCAGAAAAAGATGCAAAATGAGCCAAACGAGGATTAAAGAGATAAAAACTACAGAAAGAAAATCATAAGATGACCACAAGGAGCTGCAAAAAAACTGTTGAAAGCCCAGGTCCACAAATCAGGGTTATTACAGACTCTGAAGTCTGTGACACCCTCAGTGATCATCTGGGCATGAAAATAAGTTCCAAGAAGAAAAAAAGGATAAAAAAAAAAAAAAAACTGAAGATGATCACTAGGAATGTGTTGGAAGGAAAATCGAACCCTTCCCCTCAAAAAGAGAGTTCACTCTAGAAAATGGAAACGAAGCGACATGACCAGTCAGGCAGGATATCACACACACACACACACACACACACACACACACACTAATACACATTAACATATGCACACACACATACACACACAAGAAGGGGGAAAGAAATCAATTATCCAACTGTCATCTCTACTTTCACTCAATTCTGCAAAATCCATTTCCTAATTTCATTTGAATTTGCCGGGAACACACACAGACACAGACGCACGCACGCACACACACACACACACACACACACACACACACACACACACACACTCTGAGTTATCCATCCGTCTGGCTGATCGCCTGTTGGTCCCACAGTTCAGAGTAAAATTGATGGGAGTCTGAAAACAGCTGGAAGTCACACCGACACAGAGGCAGAGCAGAGGAAGCGAACTTTGAACTTTCATGAACACAAAACAATAAAATGAACATAAAACAAGATTGGTGAAAATTGGCCAATAGTGAATCTGACACCAATGACAGAGAGCCACTTCAGAGTCTGTTTAAACACCTGTCTATCAAAGTCAACCAACTTCCTGTGATATATTTATATTTTTTTCACAGATTTTTTAGTTATTTCTTGATAATTTGCCGCACAATTCCCAAATATTATTTGACAAATGAGTAAAATTCTTGCCCAACAATGACAAACACTTATATGATTGGAGGATTTTGAGCTTCAAAGGCGTATTTGTGTATTTAACGTGATATCACAGGTGCTATGGACACCAGAAAGACCCTTCAGAGGACCCAGAAGGGAACCTCATTCTGCGATCAAAGCCAGACAAAGACCAACAAAGGCCGGCCTGAGGATAACTGTATTTAGATGATTTACAGAAACTCAGGCCACAATTTTGACTCTCCATGACTCCATTATCCGCCCACAGGTGTGCCAAGATCCAAATCTGGTAATCAGAATCAGAATACGTTATTTTTCTCTGACAGAACACAAAGAAATCCACATAAAAAACATTTCCAGTCATCAAATAACAAAAGCATTTTTCAAGACATGAGGCTCAGATTTCTGAAAGTGAAGTACAGTATAAGTGCTGCTATACTTTCCCATTAAAAGCTCAGATTAGGGCTGGATGACATGGCCTTAAATCAATATCACGTTATATTGGTCAGTTCACCTCGATAACGATAAATGGTTGATAACTACTCCACAAGCTGCTCACCCTCTCCCACATTAACGTCATCTACTTCAGCAGCCACTACAACTTTTGACACGTCCTCCATCTCCTCACCTGTCTTTCGCTTTTTGTTACGGACCGGATGGGGTGGAGTCACGTTTTAAAAGTCATGTTCATGAACTCCAAACCTGGGAATCACAACAAACCTCCAGCAAAGCGATTTCCCCCTAAACATCAGGGGTGATGTTGAAATCAGGTCTTCTTGTTCACAGCAGCCACAACACAACAAACACTTGTTTTGTTTGGACTGGCACACATTTTCACAAACACATGCCAACTTTTCTGGAAAGCTTTCTCAGAGAAGAGGCACCAATACGAGGGCCGAAAAGCTCAGTGTAGACTGGCCTTTGGAAACATATTGTATATCTGCCATCTGTAGAGTTTTCTGGGTAAAATAAGGACAGACTTATGAGGCTTTATATCATGGTCATCATGTAAGAGAAACCCCCGGGGCGCACATGAAAGCAGCGAGACATCATGTGCCCTCACAGATCACAGCAGTGGGAGGGGAGCAGTAATCCATGAGAGAATGCATGAAGCTGCAGTCTGAGGGCAGCAGGAAACAAAGGCCTGTTGTGCCGGCTGTAAGGAGCTCAGGGAGCCACGCTGCAGGATCCTTCTAATCAACAACCTCCACTTCTCAGAAAGAAAGAAAGAAAGGAACGCAACACGCTGGGCCGGCATAAAGCTCACAAACTCATACCTGCCGCCAATCAGACCTGAGTGAACACTTTTCTGCAGGAACTGGGAATTAACTTTGGAGCTCAGTACACCAGGGGCCCATGTAGACTTTTGTGTGAACAGAGGGATATTTAAAACAAATTAGTTGACAAAACACAAGAGGCGCAAAACAAATGGATGCAAAAAGATCAGAAAATCAAAGACTGCAAGGGGCTCGAGCTTCACTTTGCTTCTGTTAGCAGGGATTAAAAGTTAATGAGAGACACAAAGAGCTGAAAAAAACATGAAGTCATATGACTGCTGCTGCTTCAGAAGACCTTCTCTCTCTGAGGCTCCCTCTCCTGTCAAATACACAAACTTTGAAAAGTAGAGTTGTGGAGTTTCAGCTCAGATTTAACATTCATCGAGTAAAAGTGAAATAACCTCTGTTTTCTACAAAGTACTGGCACTCTTGGTAGAAATTAAACTCTTTCCACGAATGTTTTGGAAAGTTAGCACAGCGTGACCGATTAACAACGTGAGCCGCAGCTGGGAAATCACCCCCCTGATTGTGTGTTTCCATAGCAACAACAGACATGATTAAGATTGCGACAGTCGTCTTGACAGGCTGACAATATATACATTTACAATTCATGCTTTCTTGACGCTACGTGTGAATGGATCGCTCTGGAGTTGGTGCTGGTGATTATTTTGTTTTTTAGAGTATGGGCTGGTCAGATCTTTTCAGTTCAAATCACATGTAATCTAATATAATATCAATCTTTTCAATAAAAATATCAGATCTCAACATCCCCAACGCAGCGACTCCAGGGTTTATGAGGTGCAGCTCGACTCTGGCAGAAATTCAAAAGGTAATAAAAGTCATCAGTGTTGTTAGCTCAGTGGGGAAGTTATCGACGAGACTCCAACACGTCCAGCTGAGCGGAAATAAAAACAGCAGACACAGCTGGCAGCCGTCTGAGCCCGATGCGGTCAGACGGAGCTCCGGTTCACAGCTGAAACACTCTGAAAATAGTCAGAGAAAAAGGTCAAAGCAACAGATTAACTGGAAAGTCACCAAACTGAACAGGTACTTTTGAGGTTCTTATGAAAAACACACCTGGAGGCAATCGTGTTATGATACCTCGGGCTGTTTTGATTTTGGGGATGTGAAGCATTTAAAATATCTCAAGAAATTAAATCAGAATCTTCTCAATCTTGGAGTTTGACTTGCTCCTCTGTTAAAAGGTAACTCAGTCACAGCCGCGTGAATCAATGAGTGACTGTGACTGTCAGTGTGTCACTGAGGCCAGACCTGGTCAACATTCAGCCGAGCATGATGGTGGGGATCAGTGCCTGTTCAGCAGCAGACACATGTGAAGCCGGTGAGGCGGTTTAGATTTAAGGCAACATGAGAGCCTTGTTAACACGCAGAGGGATGTCTTGATTTGAAGCCAAACTCACAAATATACACACACACAGACACACAGACACACTGAGCAGAGAGGATCAAGTCAGATTTAATCAGCTAACAAGCTGCTAATTAACCGGCTGTTTCCTCCACGAGACAACAAACTCCACAGGAAGAAGGCAGAAAAAGCCTGCTGGTCAGTGACTCTGAACTCTGACACAAAAACAAGGCCGCCCGTGTTTCATTCATTAAAAGTGTTTGTGCTTATCATGCTGTTTATTAAAGTTCATATCCCCACATTTTCAACACCTCAGCCATCAAAAAGTTATCATAATTTAGACAAGAATTAAACACGTTTGTACAAAGAGTGTTTGAGTTTCCTCTGAATAAAATTAAATACAGGTATATTTTCGTTTGGTGATCTTCTTTGAGCAGGTTTACATCGCCTGAGGTAAAATGTTATGACATGAATTCACACAGGACTAGGGTTGCAAAGAGGGATGAAATTTCTGGTAAATGTCCAGAAACATTCTATGGGAAGTCAAGCTGGAAAATTTTGGAAATATTCCAAATTGGAAACTTTTCATGGGAATTTATTGGAATTATCTGGAAATTGGGGTTAATTTAAACAAACTGTATCATATCAAAACATAAATGTAAATATTTTCCCTTCAACATTAGCTTGTGTGAAATGCTTCCACACATCAGATGGCGAATGTGGCATTTTTCTGAAGAATAAAATAACAAAAAAAGCTTATTTTCTGTCTTCCTCACCTTGGCTGTGTTTCTCTTTGTAGACGGCGTCCTGTCTGGCGGTTCGACTGCAGCTCGCCAGAGGAAGCAGACAGAGCAGCAGCCACAGCATCCTGCCGCCTTCTGTCCACCTGTTGACACACAAACCCGCAACAATAAATTCACAATGTCAAGACTGAGACCCCTGGCACATCATCTCATGGACCGCATTGCTTTAATCTCTTTAGGAAACTTAAGTCCACCAGCTGGAGCCCGTGACCCAGAGACGAGGAGTGGACGTTTATATCTTTGAGAGCAGCGAAGTGATCGCTCTGCAGCTCTGAGAGTCCAACAGCTGACAATGATTCACGAAACACCTAACACTGCTGACTCCACAAAGACTCCCCAAAAGAGTCAATCCGACGACTCATACCTCAGTGTAGTCCAGATTAAATACTGACTCCCAGAATGGAAATGTGTTGGAAAGTACAGAGGCCTGGAGGAGCCAAAGTTTGAATGAAACCATTCTCTTTCAGTTGGTCTTCAAATGATGGAAAATAAAACAATCCTTTAACAATAATAAACTTTTCTAAATCTCACAGGCTTCTCCACCCCTACACCCCTGCTCGGTGCCTCAGGTCAGCTGATCAGCTGCTCCTGGAAGTACCGAGGTCCAAACTGAAGCTCAGAGGGGATAGATCTTTTTCTGTTGCAGCCCACAAATTATGGAACGAGCTACCCCTCCAAATTAGACAAGCCCCCACACTGTCCATTTTTAAAACTCGTCTTAAAACCCATTTTTATTTATTGGCTTTTAACCCTGCATGAGACTCGGCTCCTGTTTTAGTGTTTTATGGTTTGTTTTTAGTTATTTGTTTCTATGTTTTTAAATTAGTTTGTAAAAACATTGAAACTATATTTTACTTTTTAATTCTGCTTTTATTTTATCCATTGTTTTAATTGTTTTTTGATTGTTTTTTATGTCGTTGTTTTGTCCAGTTATGTACAGCACTTTGTTCAGCTGTGGTTGTTTTAAAGTGCTTAACAAATAAAGTTGAGTTGAGTTGAGTTGAGTTCTGTTTATTATGTTTTCTGATGTCATAAATAAATACCGCCAGATGATTGTCACCAACCCCGACTTGATGACAATGACAATGTTTTATTAAGGATTAAGAAAAAAACAAACAAATGAATAAATGAAAGCAAACATCAACAAGACAAACAAACAAAAAGAAAACCGTAAGAAAATAAATACTGTCGGACGATCCTCACCAACCCCAACTTGACGACAACGTCATAATCCAAGATGGCGACGCAGTGCATCAACAGTAAAGAGTAACAGTGAAAGCTCTCGTAATGTATTATTCATTAGCACTCCTGTTCTGTTTTTGTGAAATTAATTAAGTGGTATATGTTGTATTGCCCAACGTCTAACTGTGAACATGGTGCTATGGTGTTTGTAAGAGTAAAATACTACGTTACTGTGTTTACAACTGGTATAGCTAACAACAACTAATAACAACTGACAACAGCTAATGTAGGCTTCCATCTTGCTTTTCTGACTTGTTCACTGGAACGCCGTCAACTCGAGTGCAGCGTCATTCCCAGCTCCGATGTCTGACTTCCGAATGCAGCATAACATTTCAGTTTGGCGCTCATGTTGTTTGGTTTGATGAATGCAAAAGGTAACGATAAAATGCCACAGTTTTACATTAAAAGAAGGGGCGTACAGATAAAATAAAATAAATTGCATGTTACTGAGTCCAGGTTCGATTTCTTTCGACTTCCTGTATTGATTCTTGAACAGTGAAGCATCTTGAAGGGCCTTCTGAGGTTCTACAGAAAGCTCTTTACTCTAATCAGCTTAGTCCACAGAGCACTTAGTCATAGACAACCGTGTGGCATGTGAGGGCAAACTGTCATGGAGACACCACACCTACACACACCCTAAGTCAGCGTGCAGGTGGTTTTACGGGTGTTTTTTCTTTTTTTTTTTAAACTACTTGAAACTGTCTGGAAAACCAGCCCGCCTCATTAAAGAAACCAACATCATGATGTTGTATCATGAATAAAAACAGTACTGACTTTCTGCAGCTCTGCTAGAGTGATTACAAAAAGGTAGTAAATGTGCGCCATCCTCAACAGTCAAATAAATATCCATAAATAACATACAGAGCCTCTAATGCACGCTGTCCAAAAACAGGAATAAAAATGAGATATTAAAAAGATGATTATCTCAAATCAGATGTTTTGACCTGTTTGCCCCAAATCCTGACTCCTAAATCGACCCATCGTGGCCCAGTTTAATCAGTGAGAACAGAACTGACATGTTGACCTTTTCCATTCAGAACTTTTCTAGGAAAATCCAGGAACAACGACCCAAGCGAACAGGGTCTAAATGTGTGCCCTGCGTCAGGACCGACAGGCGAGTGGCTCTGTGGTGGTTCATTTAGGGACAGCTCACCTCGCAGAGAGAGAGCAACCTGTCAGAGTAAACAGCTTTAAATAAAACGTTTACACTCCAGGAACTCTCCAAGGAGCTGATGGAGAACCTCAAGAGCCTAAATGTGGTCCATATTTTTACCTAAAAGGAATCCACATTAAATAGATCACACCTTTCTCCTAACTTTACGTACATTTTATCCTCTTTTTCATCTCTTTACTGATGTCCTCCATCTTCTTTTTATCCATCCTCATTTCATATTTTCCATCCCTCGTTTTGACCCTTTCTTTTCCTAAATTAGCTTTTTTTTGGTCTCACCTTTCCCCCCTTCCCTTACCCTCCTACAACCATCCTTTTCAGATTTCTCTGTCCTTTAATTTTGCCTTCTTCTTCCTCTTTGTCTGTTATCGTCTCCTTCATTTTTACCTTTGCCTTCTTTTGTGTATCCTTCACTCCTTTGCTTTTGGCGCTTTTTTTTCCTCCCCCTGTTCCCTTTTTAAACTTTTCTACTTCCTTTTAATTTTTCCTTCAAAAATTGGTCATTACTTTTCTCCCCCCTAGTCTCCACTTTTCTCCACTCAGCTCATGATTTCCTCTTTTCAGCGTTCTTGTCTTTTTTTTATTTTCTTTATTTTCTTCCTACATCTCTTTTTTTCCCTTTCATTTTTCATTTGACCTTATTCTAATCTTCCTTTCTTCTTCTCATCCCTCCATTTAGATCAGATCTGACAGGGTGAAAATCCCCATTAACAGCTAAGAGAGATTTTTAACCTCTTCTTTTCTCTTCACGTCACCGGAGTTTTTCCTCCCAAAACCATGAAAGTGTCCTTGCAGCTGCATGTTTTTACTCCAGACAAGGATTAGAAGATGCTCCTCTGATGGCGGCCTCAAAGTCAACCCAGTTCAGGATGAAAAACCAACATGAGAAAACAATGAAACATGTCGTTGTACCAGCCGGCATGAGATCCTGAGAATTGTGAGCAGTAATGAAGTCACATGGGAGCTTAGGGGGGCTTTACGATCTGCTCTCATGAGGGAGCGACTGCATGCAAACAGCAGCAGCAGCGGCGGCCGATCCTGAAGCACTAAGACAACAATCACACAGAATAATCCCAGCCTAGATCTTGCAGAAGGGGGCTGATTAAAAATGAGGCCTTGCTGGGCTTTATCCTGGACCCTCGGCTCACCCTGACTCAGCAGGCCCGGCGACAATAGCGCAACATGAGAGCCGTTAAAAGTTACTTGTCCCTAAAGTGACACACAAACTTTCACTGCAGGTTAATGAGTGTTGGCTTTTCTAATTCACCCTAAACCTCCAAACACCTTCATCCTTCCTGAGACAAGAGTGTTTTCTGGATTTCATATCGACCAAAATAGTAATAACAAGGGTTATGGTTGAAAGAAGTGCAAATATTGCAAACTAAAACCAGAAGATCATGATGAATAACAAAACTAGAGAAGGGTATTTACCAGGAGGAATAAAATATGCAGGAGATATGGGAAAAAAAGGCAAGCATTAATTATAAAATATGTCAAGGATGGGACTAAAACAAAGACACAGTGACGATTTCCAACAGCTTTTTCAAATCTGTTTCGTGCCTTGGCTCCAAAGACTCTCAGATATTCCAAGAACACATTATTAAATTAAACCATGCATGGTAATCTATGACTAAACACAAAAATGTGCAGCGAGCATTTTGAGATCCACTTTTATGAAAAGCAATCCTTCACGTGTTCACAATAGTTTCTTTGTGGTAATTTAGTCTTGTTTTTAACACTTTCTCACGTTTTTATATTCTCCCTCCCTTTTCATTATTACTCTTCTCTTATTTTATTATCTATGCACTTTGTAAACATCTGTTTTTAAAGGTGCTATATAAATAAAGTGAATTTTATTAATATAATAATGATCAGGGTTTTTAACCTTGAAGGGATATTCCGGCTTAAAATTGATTAAGGGTCAATCACACCGTAACACTGAGATAGACACCCTGGAGAAAGAGATGAATGTTGCCGACCGCTTGCTTCTCTAGTTATACCAACTTTAGTAACGACCGCACGATAGCAATACACAGCGGTCTGAGGAGCCATAAACAAACCTCAACCAAAAAGCCACTCTATCGCCACAAATAATGCTCAGAACAGCACCTAACTTCATCAACAGTAAATATAGGGTCCTAGCCATAGTACTAGCCACCAAACATCTTTAAAACTTTGCCTAATTTCTTTAGCAAAGAGACTAAACACAACTCACCTACTCTCTTCCAGCAGTCGCTTGTTTGTGGTGAGACCTCAGGCCAGTCCATTACCGCAGCTCAAGGAAGAACATGGTATAACTAGAGAAGCAAGCAGTCTGCAACATTCAGCTCTCGACGGGGTGTCTAACTTGGTGTTATGGTGTGTCTGACCCTAACTTAATCTTACGCCAGAATATCCCTTTAAGATTGGCTCTATATTGAGCACAACGACAGGCCCAGGTGTACAGAAAAACCAGAGCCGATTCAATCCTGCACATGAAGTTTCCTACGTTTTATGCAGGATTAAAAACAAAATCTGGAAATAAACACAGAGGTAGATGCTGGTTTCACTTGAATAACTTGAATAAGCTCCTACGAACATCAACTTCTTAAACGTGCCAAGCTGACAAAGAGTAGCTCAGTGTCCCCAAAGTCCTGAAGCAGGAGAGCAGTGGTTATTCTGGTCTTCTGCGGCTGTTAATAGCACTGTTTTTATCATTGATTCATCACATGTATCAATAAAGCATTAGCATCACGGGTATCTGAAACCATCAAACGTCAGAGGGGAAATCAATGATTTATTCTGAGAGGCTCCTTTAAACACAAACTTGAAAAAGCGCTTCACAATGAATTATGTACCGTCAGGGAAACCTGTGAACTCAAACAACGGACTATTTTGAGAGTCAATATAAACATACAAGTTTATATACAACATACTGTTTGTTTTGAGCAGGAAAAAGCCAGGCTGTACTCGGTTCATAAGGTCAACACAGCTAGGACAACTAATGTAAAGTTATCATTTTTAGATGACAGGAAAGGAGAAAGTGAAAATACCGTTCCTGGTATTTTTCTGTCCTTACTGAAACTGAAGAAAGTTTTGTTTTCTTTGAATCTTTATTGTCTCTTTGGGGAAATTAAAATAAAGGTAAAGTTTGTTGTATTTCCTTGACTCTTTAATTTAATTCTCAAAATGCAAAAACAGAAAAAACTGTCAAACTTGTTCCCTATAACTTCCCCTCGGACTCCCCTGCAGGGATCATGAGTTGAATTTTAATGGAAAATAAATCCTCGTGTCAGCCGAGAGCTCATTAAAATCAGTCACATGTTTGCAACAGGAGACCGTGGCAGATTATTTGTCTGTGAACCAACAGTTATTCAATCATATCTTCACTTTAACTTCTGTCTCAGTAAAATGCTCTAACCTGAGGGGAAAGTCCTGCCTCGAGCATGTGACTCCACTAACTGAGAAAGCCGCTCTTTATTTTCCATGGCAGAGTTCGGCCTGAAGGACCCTGGAGGGCTAAAATAAGCTGAGGAATGTCCACAGCTGAACTTTTTCCAGCCAGAAATAATAGAAAAACCAACTCAACAGCAGCTAGTTTGTGTTTACATGTAAACAAATAAACTGCAGCTGTAAAAATGACTCAAATAGTTTGTGAAGGTAACTGAGTGCCCCTCTTGAGAAGCTCTTTTATTTCAGGGTAAGTTGTAGAAGCAACTTTTTAGTGCAAGAACAAAGTCCTTGAGCAGCACTAATAAAATAAAGTCACAGAAAGAAAAACGAAGGAGAATGCACTGAAATAAAAAAGTAAAAGTCGTGCTTTAACTGTGAAGGTTGTAAAGGACGAGGACAAGCAAGAAGATCCTTGGCTTTGTGCTGAATGTCCATGTGTGCACTCAGAAGAACATATAGCATTGATAGATTTCAGTGTGAGGACCACAGGTGCACTGCAGGATACAACCTTGTGCACAAAGAAATGACTCACAGCGGATTTATTTCACTTTCACTAACAATCTGAGTCCATTAGCAGACATGTAGGAGGGCAGGAGAGTGAAATGCTGACACGCTAACTATGAAAACAGTCATTCAAGCAAGTGAATCAGGTCGAGCTCGGAAACAATGAAGTCTGGTGGCATGGCTGGTTATTGTGGTTTCCTATGCACAGCCTTCTTTTTCCCGAGAGTACAAATTTTGTATGAGCAGCTACATCCCCTCTGCACCATAGAAAAAAATCAAAATAAGACCTGCCAACTCTGATGCAAAATGCTATATCATAAATGTGAAAAATCTGAATGTTCTGCTTTTTCGAGAAACTCAGTCATCATTTTCACGCCCATGATTTCATTTTCGTGAGCCGTGTGAGCTTTGAAACTCGCAAATAAAAAAACGCCTCCACAGACACCGACATTCCCTACAGTTGAAACCAGGGAATTATTGAAGTGGGGTCGTGGGACTGATGTCACATCTGTGACACAAATCAAAAGTGATAAAACTCTGAAGGTCCGTCGAGTCTGTACAGTCAGATTCCTGTATTGATTTGGAGAGGGCACTCATGGTTGATGGAGGTTTAATGACTCCTGTGTTGGTGGTTGTTGCAGGAGACTCATTCGCCAACAGAGCTGTCAATCATGATGTCTTTTACAATTAGGACTCATTAAAACTGTCCGTGTGTAGTTGTCTGCACTCGCTAACAGGAAGGCCAGAGCGCGTCCGTTTGGGTGCGTTTCCATATATTCATCAGCATGTCGTGTGAAGTTTGTTCGCTCTGTTTGATTGGTCGGGTTTGGGTGCGCTCCCTATAATAACACCAGTGTGTCCAGCTGACTGCTTGGCATAGGTTAGACGAATAAGAAACAGCCTCACTGGTGGTGGTCATGGTGTACGCTGAGATTACTGAGCAAACCGAGGCAGCCCAATCCGTCCATGACACTCAGTTCTTCTTTGGAGGATTGCAACAGTTTCTTTCTCATCTGTACACGACCAAATTTTACTTCCAAATTCTAAAATTTGAGTAAATGTGCTCCATCACACACACACACACACACACACACACACACACACACACACACACACACACACACACACACCACCTTTCACAACACTTTTTAAACCCAGAGGCACAGAACTCTTTCCTTGAGAACATTTTCTAACACAAGAAGAAGTTTCAGTTTAGAGACATTCAAAGCTGCTGTGGTCGATTTTATAAACTTTCTTATATTCAAAGAGAAGAGCTCAGCCTGTTATGTGAGGGGAAGTTAACTGATGTTGACCTCCAAAGACTTGATATCATAATTTTGTTGAAGGATTCTGCACAAGGACATTAATATGACGAATGGTATTTTTGTCTCAGTTTCAAGAATTTTGATTTGATGAAGCTTCATGCGTCATATCTTGATCTAATTTCTGTTTTCTGAATCTTAAGAGGCCTGGGAGACAGTATCCAGAATTCTGCTGCTGTGCAGGATCAGAGCGGGACGAGATGAACTGTGACAGGAGCTGGTGTGATGAAGAAAGTGGGCGATGTGATATAAAGACTTTACATGATTAGGGAGGGGGGTTGGTGTTTCCACAGGCCTGTCTTGGTTACTCAAACATGGCGCCAAGTCTGTCCTAAAATAGCCCCTAAATTCTATTGAACCATTTTGGAAATTCGATTGCTTTTTTGAGTTTCTACTTTTAGATCCCTATTAAAGAGGTTTAAGCAACTAAACTCATCAGTGGGCGGATAACTGGACTCTTTATTTTATAGTGGATCCTGATTATGCAGGTGTTGATCAGTGGATTTGAAAATAGAACCTTATTTGCAAAGTCCAGCTGCCTTGGATATCAAATCACACGCTCAGTCCTGAGATGCTGGGCTTAAATTTAGCAAGAAACATTTCTTAATTTGACAGATTTAACATGAAAGAATCGACCAAAATAATGGAAAATTTGGAAATAAGAATAAACTCCTATGACTGTGCCGCCCCTCAGTATTTCAAGTAAATGCACATATAACATCCTTTACAGGGAGAGAAATGCCATCATTACTGCAGCCGCTCACATGTTCACCAAAAGGTTCATCTGATACATGAATGCCTCTCTATCCTCTCTATCTGATCCTCACGGCCAACTCGCAACACGTGTCTCACCTGTTGCCGTGACGACAGGCTTCCTACTTGTACAACTGCAGCTGATCAATCCCCCCTTCTGCATCCAAACGGCATTGGCACCCTCTGAACCGGTTTCAAATGAACGACAGGCTGTCAGGTTCATCTAGAAGACTGTGTCCAGGAGGATTGATGTGAAACCACACAAACACACCAACACCAACAGGAAGTCCATACACCTTTACTCTGGTCAAACCCATATGTAAGATTTCCTTCATGACCCCCTATATTGACCCCAAGATGAATTTGTAACTAATAGGTGTCTCCTTCACTGAATTACCTCATTATTTCCTGAGAATTAAACAACACCTCCACAGTGGGAGACAGTTAAAGAAAGAGTAAAAGCAAAGGCACAGCATGAGGTCAAGGTACAGGTGCACACAGGTGTTGTAAATACAATGATAACTTAGTTATTGATCCACAACACGGTCCAGAGTTGGAGCTGCAGCAGTCCATAGGGAACAGTGGGATGTCGCCATCTCATGTGTGCTGAGAAAAATGGAAACAGACAAACTTGATAGAGCAGAAAAGTTTCCCTTTTTTCTGCAAAATTCAAACTCATTAACGTTTGAACTTTAGAGCAGAACCGTGCACACAGATCCAACTAAGAAAAAAGACAAGAGCAAAGACGCATATTTTCGCACTCTTAGAGAAATTTTCGGTGGCTTGTCGGCCAGGAAAATGTCACCAGAAAAAAAGAAACCAATCTTCTACCGGTTTCTCAAGAAATCACACCACAAGTGACACATCTCCAAAGAAATCTCAGTGGAGCCCAAAGGCAGACCTCTTAAGTGGCTTCACTTGTTTGCACTTCAAAGGTATTGAGCGCGGAGGAAAGGGGAGGAGCTGCTGGTAAGATCACACAACTAACACAAGCAAAGAGGAGGGGGTAGAGCTGGGACCGAAAATTTACCGATACCGAAATTTATGACAATAACCAGCGTCATTTTGCCCATATCGGTAAATTCATTGTCAAAAAATGAATAAATAAAAGTTAGTTTGGATGTGTGTAGGTAGGCTATAGTCTCGCTGCTCAATATATCGTGATATTGATTTGAGGTCATATTGCCCAGCCCTAGAAGGGGGAAATGACTCTGAGTATTTTTATTTTCAAACTTCAGACCGTTTGTTTTCTTCACTGATTTCCAGAAAAAAACCCTAATGAGCTTATATCACAGGACCTTGAAGACAAATCAGTCAGAGTCGGACGATATTACAGCAAGCTTTTCCCTTTTTTTTTTGTTTTTGATGAAGTAACATTGTTTTTTTTAACTGCAGATGGACTTTGATTATACATGTTTCCCCTCATGTAAAGTAATCTGCTCCAGAAATTCCCCACTCTTTTTTTCCCCTCATATAAATCCAAGGCATCAAAAAAAAAAAGGGCCCAGGTTATTGAAATGCCTTAGAACATTTAAAACATGATTTTGTTTGCCATTACTTTGGACCGATGAATGAAAGTACACAGATTTAAGCTCCCAATCTTTATAAAGGTCATGTATTTTTCTCTCATGTTACAGTTATCCTTGGAGTTACATCAGCAATTTTTTTTTTGTTCATTCAGTAGAAATCGGTTTAGTAAGAAAACCAAACTGGATAAACAACTTGCGTAAGACTCATGATGCAACATCCCCACACAATATCTAAACAAATTAACTTTTCAATTTTAGCCTAAATGTTGTTTATCAGGTTTGCTGCAGTCTAATTAAAATGCTAATTCAAATGAGTTATTAATTGGGGGTGAGTTAAATGAACTTTCCTCTGGCGTAGTCATGAAAGGCATTGAGGGAAGAGGAGTCTGATTCATTTTATGTCTGCTCTAACTTTTATCTGGTCTTTGACTGACAGTCTACTTCACTCAAAGTTTTACACGGACCAGACCAACCTAGAATAGTGAGGTAGACTCGGCATGGTAAACTGTAATTAACTTATTTTTCAAAATAAAGATAACGCTGAGACATTATGTGTATGTTCTTTTTAAATAGAAAAACATTAAAGCTTTTTTCCCAGCGCCTGGAATCAGAGCCCAAACCGAGATAAGAAAGTTGTCCTTATTTAACCACCATTCATGACGGTTTATTGAAAACCAACCCGATATTCCTATGAAGGTTTGTTCCTGGAAACATATCTCCACTCTTCTAATTAATACAACTGCTTCTGTCTGTTGAAAAATTCAGAGACCGGCACCGAAGGCAATTTATCCTCAGAGAGCAGACATTAAAAACAGTATTTAAATTAAGAGATAAGGCATATTTAGAAAGAGGGGCTGCTGTTGTTGTTGCTTCATCATGCTGGAGTTCCCACAGGCAAGTCTCTGACCTTTAACAACTCTTATCAAGTACTGATGGAGAAAAACTGGATTCATAGAAATGCAATCACTAAAAAGAGGAGGAAAGAGTTGACGGGTGTTGATAAAATTCAGATAAATTAACCGATTAACCCCAATCAGGCTGAGGACAACATATAACTGTCTTAACGAGAGTCAAAAACTGATGTTTTCATTATTTAGTCATCAGTTCTCCATGACTGAAGTGATGACTTTCATAGTAGATGGTAGGGCTGGGATGATATGCTTTTCTCCCGATTCAAGTCTTTTGCGATTTTTTGGATGCCGATTGATTTAAATTGCGGTTCTACGATATTGTCGATTTTCTCGATTTTTAGTCTGCATTTTTAACACCTGTTGAATGATTATGATGCCTATTGACTATTCCAGGAACCATATTTCCCCCCAAAATACACATCACATGTAAGTCAGTTTTTAAGATTTATTCTTCAATTAGAAAGGAAAAACAAAAAATTTTAACATAAAAATGGATTTAAAAATTGTAAAACAAAAAATCGCCATACTTATGTGAATGGATTTTCTCTCCCACCCCTAATAGATGGATTAGCTTTTCACTTTTTTGATAGTCAAAGTCAACATGACCTCTTTCAAAAAAAAAAAAAAATATATATATAGTCACCTTGGAGTATCTGTAATTATGGTGATTAATATTTTCTATACAAAACTAAAATTATTAAATAGAGTTATTTAAATATCAAATGATATCTAAGGTGTATTTTTTTTTTTCATTTATCCCATATTTTTAGAGCTCTGACTGACCGACTCCATCTTTAACCATTCACAAACTAAAGCACATGAATCCGTTCTTGAACGCATTCATGTGAATTACCAGCTCTGTGGATAAGACTGGTCTCATCTTTGTTTAAAATACTGATTTCATTGATTCTTTTATTATGTAAATCTTCCAAAAACACCAGTACGGTCCTGTCTGAGGTGAATGAGTGAGGCTAAATAAACAGTAAGAAACACCTTCCCCTTTGCTTCCTCTCAGTATTTTTGTCTCTGAAATATGGCAACACGAGCAACAAAAGCAACAGTGTGTTTTTTTCAGGCACACTGTTGGACTTTGTGACCACACTCTAACCGTCATGTGCAGATCAAGCGGCGATAAGTCTTATCTGAAGGATGTTTGCTGCTCTGGAGCTCCATTCCAGCAGCCGGTCGGAGCATCCACCCATCACACAGAGCGCCGCGGGCAACTCAGACAGGAAACACAGATCTGAACAGACAGCGGCATTCGATCCACACAGTGTCACATGCATCATTGCCTGTAAATCCAATCACACACACACTGAAGCAAGCCGAGCTCTGAGTTCAGCAGAAAGACTGTAGGATTATATAATGTCCAGGATGAGTTGTTACTAATTAACAGGCAGACCGCCATCGTGTAAAGAATTATGTGAGAGAGCAGAGCAAAGCGGTGTTAATCAGCCATCTTTGACACTTCACATGCTATCTATATAGTCCTTTTCCAGCTTTCCTGTGTCCATCTCTCCATACAGCCTGAGTTTCCTGTTCAGGTTTCAAGAGATCTACAGGAAATGTTGCCTGTGCGAACAGGACAGGATGCTCAAGACAAACCATTTTTAGAAACTCAGCGAGGTCCCACAGGCCCATGAACACGTAAATGACGTGTAAGAGATTGGTCAAATTAAATCTGTCACACACTGGTGCTACAAAGAAAGCCAGGATCATTATCGTGTGGAAGATTCATCTTCAGGGGATTGTGAATGTTACCTTGATATTAGGGGTGGGAGAAAATATCGATTTACAGAAGTATCGCGATTTTTTTTTTTACATTTTTTACATTAATTTTTATGTTCAAAAATCGTCTTTTTTTCAAATTTAAGAATAAATCTTAAAAAACTGACTTACATGTGATGTGAATTTTCTGGGGAAATATGGTTCCTAGAATAGTCAGTAGACAATCGTAATCATTCAACTGTTTCACTGGTGTTAAAAATGCAGACTAAAAATCGAGAAAATTGACAAGAATCGCAATTTAAATCGAAACGGCATCCAAAAAATCGAATCAGGAAAAAAGCATATCGTCCCAGCCCTACTTTATATACATACATACATATAATGTTAGACTGCTGGATGTCCATGCCAAACTCAAGCAAAGTTTTAAAACATAAGATACTCAGATGACAGAGTAATCCTCAAACGTGCTCATTTATTAATAATCATTTAATAATTCAATTTCCATTTGAAGATCAATTAAGTTCTTCTTATCTTATCAATTCAAGACAAGGACACACTTAGAGGACTTTTGTAGGCAGTAAATCAACATCTTTAACTGCTCAAAAACAGCCAGCAATTAAACTATTAAGAATGAAAAGGTAACCTGAGTGTGTGTGGATCTTCGCACAAGTGTTTCTTTAATGTCTCAGATAGAAAACAAAAATATACACAAAGCCTTCAGTCGATATTGTAGAGAAAGAGAAGGAGGAGAGAGTCTCAAGCTAGTCATGAAAGAGGACAAAACTCAAGATAAAAATTAGAGGACCCAGAGACGAGCCTTGTGGGACTCCCTTCTCAACTATCAAGCGGACGTATTGACTTCTTTTGAGACCAAAACTTCGGCTTCGATACTGTCATAAAAAGGTCTCTCTCTGTGATGCTGTCAGACACTTTCTTTAATAATAAAAGCCTGTCAGTGACAAAACCAGATCTTTCATGCACAGATGCAACCTCACTTTTCGGACCTACAGTATATGTCCATAAAATGTGAAATAACTCACATTAAGTTGAAAACAGTGTGCTGAAATCTTTAAAGGCCAGTTTTACTCTTAAATGTAGAGCCAACAACAGAGAGAGAGAGGAGCTTGACTCCTCTCAATAATGTGGAGTTAATCAAATTATCTCTGCCTGTACAAAGACAACACTCCCCCTGTACTGAGAAAGTTGATTGGTGGCTCAGATAATGTACACCCAGGGGTAAAAGGTCATATGACAAATGATTGCCCTTACAGAAGTAAATGTATATGTTTATTGGATTTTCCATTCTAACCCGTTGCAGACAGGAACTACAGTAATCATGTTAAACGGAGGAGAACGGAGAAAGTCCCCGCAGATTCTTTCAGCCATTTAATTTTGGCTTTACACTTTGATACACAGCAGGATTCAGATATGACATAAACAACTTTTAAACACAGACCCAGGATCAGCTTTTATAACGCTGTCTATATTCCGCTTAGAAAAGACCGACACAGGTTTTTAGAAGGGTCAAGTACCAATTTACAGACCTTTTAACACCTCAACAACATCTTTTTTAAAAGGTCAATTTTCTTTTTTAACAAGTCAGAGTAAAATGCTATCCTGCAGTCCCATTATGCTGTTATTTATTCATGTTCAATTACCACGATTTTAAATCCTGCTGCTGTACTTTCCCATTAAAGGCTTAGATTAGGGCTGGGCGATATGGCCTCAAATCAATATCATGATCTATTGAGCAGTTCACCTCGAGAAACGATAAATGGACGATAACTACTCCACAAGCTGCTCACCCTCCTTCCATATTAACTTTGTCTACTTCAGCCGCTTCAACTTTTGAACCGTCCTCCATCTCCTCACCTGTCTTTCCCTCTTTGTCATGGACTGGATAGGGTGACCATAGCCTACCTACACACATCCAAAACCAACTTTTATTTATTTAATTATTTGACACCAAATATATTGGAACTAGCAAAATGACGTTGGTTATTGTCGTAAATTTCTGTATCAGTAAATTTTCGTATTATCGCCCAGCCGATAAAACTATAACAATAGATATTGAAAATTAATTTCCCTCAATACCAATATAAAAGGGAATACCTCAAATCTTTTTCACCACCTGTAGCAGAGCCACGCAGCAGAGCAGCAGAATGCAAAAATTTACAAATCCTGGGCAGAGCAAGGAGCCCATCCCGCCTGTGTAGCCGAAACAGCTGACCATTCAGTCCGATTTCTCTAACGCAACACCTTACGACAAAACATCGAAGAGACACAAGGACCTCACAGATGCAGTAGCTTATTGTTTTGAAAAAGACATGCTACTAATAAGCACTGTGAAATATCATTTTTTATATCATGATATATATCGATATCGACTGATATGAAAAAATATATTGTGATAAACTTTTTCCCATATCGCCCAGCCCTATTATAGAGCAAAACATATGAGGACATGGCTGAAATTAAACTAAAACAAGAGCTAAGGAAACAAGAAACAAGCTGACAATAGGTCAGCTTTAAAGGACCACACAGATCAGCTGCCATGGTGCTCCTCGAGTCTAGTTTTATTACAATCCCAACAACATATGTCAGTAACTCAATTTAGGCTAATTTTCCTAATCAATAAATCCTCCCATCATTTTATCAATTCATCAATCACTGGATCGACCATACTTTCTAATTAACAAGGCTATACTTGGCCTGCTTCCACCATACTTGTGTAATTGTACTCATGGTAAAAGTTCTGGAAGCTATGCCACTCAGACACAAAATCTACTTATTATCTGTCCCCAAAGTTTGTTTTGAAATAGGTCAAAGAAATTTCAGATATGCTGCTCCTGCAGACTGGAAAACTGTGTCTTGGAGAGCTGGTCTCTAAATCTTTTTAAATGTAGATTAAAGGCCCAAGAGGAAGATGAAACAGGCTGTAAATGCTTTCACTAAAAATGTTCTGCTCTGTGACTTCGACTTAGCTGGTTGTTATGTCTGTATATGTCTGTAATTGTTTATGTCCGTAACTCTGTAAATGTACTGGTGCCCGTCTTGGCCAGGACACTCTTGCAAGTGAGATTTCTAATCTCAGTGAGGTTTTTCTGGTTATATAAAGTTTCACTGATTCACAATCACATTTAAAACCAAAACAGATTTTAGACTGAACAATAAGCTCATCAAATGTCCACAAAACACTCGACGCACTGACCAATTTTTAAGTTTTTTTTAGAAATCGAGTCATTTCAATACAGTTTGCTTAGCTCATTGACTGAATTCATACTGGTTATTCAGCAGCAGATGGGAGACTCTCAAGCCTCCAATTCACCCACTTTGACCATCCAGTACAAACCCTGTCAGAGAAAATCTCCATTTACGAGCAGAAAGGTAAACCGTCCTACATTCAAAGAGCAAAAGAGATTAAAAAAAGAAGCATTTCAGCCTGCACAAACATTACTATGTTCTTTTCTATAACCTTACTTGCCCTAAACATTCAAGCTTGGAGAAAACTTTCCTCCAAGGTAAGACAGGAGCAGCCGCGTGACGCACTTGACAGGTTTTGAACAACTCAAGAAATCCTAATGCATCAGAGAGCTGTGAAAGAATTCCTCGGCTGCAGAAAGACCTAAATATCTCAAGTTGACCGGTCTTTTCTCATGACCAGCGGGTGACGTTTTTTTTTCTGGTCTGATTGACCAATGTGAGCGGATTCAGGATTAAGACTGGACCAGCAGAATGTGGGTCAATCTTGAAACACATTTATTCAATAAAGCATTATTCATTTTTCGTCCGAAACAGGAGTCTTTTCTTCATAAGAGACGGCAACACTGCAGCGTGGAATGCTTTCATCTTTGTGTTGGTGCTTTAATCCAGTGAAACCACAATGCCCGTCATTAATCCAACCTGATAATTGACCTGTAGAGTCTTACTCATTACCAAACGTGCAGCACAGTCTCGGCAGTAAAGGGGAATTGCAAGACTCTCACATGGATTTATTCAGTCTTTAAAGGCAGGAGTTTTTACAGCTAATTCTGCTTCCTGTTATCTTAAAAACAACAGTGAGGTACTGTAAATTATCCGCCTAGTCTGACTTCATGTTCTGCAGAGAACAGAACCAGACAATCATCAGTCCAGTGGCAGAGAGACAAGAATGGTGGTGATACAATTAAACACGCACAAAAGGAAAACATGTTGTTCTGACTCTTTTTAGGTGGGGTCTGATTTGCTCATCTTGCCATTCTTATCTTTTACAACAGATGTGGGCATTGAGGAAGGGTAGTTACTACTGGCTGAAGGTGAAAGGTCAATGTGAGTAAAGACTAATCAGAAAGAAAAAGACATATTCTGCATAATCCTGGCCAAAATCTACCCTTCGAAGGTTTTAAATTAATCAGTCGTGACTCTGACAAAACTTTCCATTGAATAATGATCAGAACTAAAACACAGACTGTAAAACTATTGAAGACACGAGTTCAATCTAAAAGTCCAAGAGTTAAATCAAAGTTCCACAGCCATGTGATGCCAAACAGCTGCATACACAGAAAACCACAGGGTAGCGGCAGGTGAGATTGTCATTTTACTCTGGTAAATTGTAACTTAGAGATAAACACAACTGAGCCAGATACTTGGCAACAGTCGCTGCAAAGATATTACAACAAAAGCAAGATGCTTATGTTTGCAAAGAGAGTGGGTTTAGGGTTTGTTTTAAGAGCCGAATCGTTCACATCATCGATGGCAATGAAAGACAAAACCCAAAATGTATCCGGGTATATATGCAAAGAAAGAAAAGTTGAAAACACGCAGCTACTCCAAGATTTCTTGGACTTTGCTTGATGTGTTTTATTGTTGGAGCAGATGACTGCAGGATGGTTGAGTCTGTGGAGTTCAGATAATTCTTAGATTTATGAACATCTAGCCAACTATCAAAGCTGGACTTAATCAAATCAGTTTCTTGTAAATTAAAGCAAAGGAACAGATCACTACAGGCGGCATCCATAAACCTGGATTCTCCCCTGTTTTCTCTGACTGTTTCAGGAAAGTCAACTTGGAACTATGGAAATATGGAATGAAAAGTAAACACAGTTAAGAGTTGCAGAAGCTTTTTTTCTTTCATGAGTCCCAGAGGGGAAATGAAAAATGCAAAACACATCAGATCATTTACACATGGATGCAGGCGCACATAGAAAATCTAATTGAACAGGCTGAAATAAATGAAAACAAAAACGTTCATCTGCTCTTAACAGTGAAATAAAGCCAATGTGTCCGATCTTAACAGGCCGATCTTTTAACGTTTGACGGCATCTAGTACGGAGGGTCAAAATGAGCAAACATGCTCACGGGACACAGAGTAGCAGGCCTCTAGAGCTGTCAAGTGCCAAAGCTAAACAAACAAGTTGAAGTATAGATGTCAATATTTGGAGAACCAGTGCCAACAAATAAATCACCTTGTATGAAGTTAAAAGCAGAACAACACAAAAAAAAGAGCTGAGAGGAGAATCTCAGCTGTCCTTATGTGTCCCCTTCAACAGGTGACAGAGTTTAAATGACAGGTAAACAGAGCAGACAGCAGGAGCAGGAAAATCTAGGTTAAGTAAAAGTTGCAGGTATTTAGTGTGTTCAGTCCTTAAGACAGGAGGGTGTTCTGTTATCAATCCCCGATCAGACTATGTAAGCAGATTAAGGATGTGAAGTTGAGCTCTGGAGACTGATACTTTTTTATGTTCATTTGAGATTACCTGTTTTACATTTTTAAACAAATTCTTCACAGATTAGATTACATCAAGTGTATGAAAATCTTATTATTAATCTAACCTACGAAATAATTAAGAATTTCTCACCCTAATTCAATCTAAAACGTATCGTCTGACAGGGGGTTTCTGTTCAAATACAATGTTAATAACAGGGGGGGCTTTTCCAAAACTTTTAATTACTGAGGTACACCTGTGCACGAGCGCTCGGCTCACGTTAGCGTCAGATTACCAAACACGAATCCGTCTTACCTCTTAAAGTGAATAAACTGCTTGGAGATCCTCCTGCCGCTGCTTCAAAACCTTCTCCTCCTGAGAGACCGCTTGAAAGCAGACCCGCACCGGGACGCGGACCGGCACGTATCCGGGTCTGCCGTGAATTCCCAGTGAAGAACGCGGAGCCGGTGGTGGTGGTGCAGCTGCTGCTGTGTGCTGGTGGGCTGTCAGCGGAGTGCTGCGTTCACAGCCGTCGCTGAATATTTCTACCCCTCCTCCCTGCCGCTGTAAGAAGATTGTCCTCCACCTGGTCCCGCGTCATGAGCCAAACACCAGCTGGATATGGGCCACCCCTCTCGGAACTAAACCAGCCTCCTGTTGACTCCCCTTCGACTGGACTGAGAATTTAAGGGAGACAAATGTTGCCAGAAGAGTTAACTAGTAAACAATATTTAAAAAAAAAAAAAAAAACTAAAGCCAAAAATCCAGTCTTTACTAAAATACTGAGTAAGAGGAGTTTGTGAAACAAATCGACATTAATACTGGTACTTTTTATGACCATAAAAAAACAAACATTTCAATGAAGCTGATGCACATGTGCCACAAAACTGCAGTTCCTCCAGCGTCCACTGAAGACATAGATATTAATTTCTCCACTTACTTGCCGGGTGTCCATTCACGCTTGTGTTTCCAATTAAGAAAACAGGGCGCAGGCTTTCTGTGTCTATAATAGGTGTGTATGGCGGGTCAAAGTGGACACATGATGCAAGAAAAAATTATTATATATCCCTAAAAATTAATGCTCCACTGATTTTTGTAGAAACTTAGTTAAAATGGTAAAAACTTACAGAAAAAGGTCTGGGGGTTAAAAATGGTTTAAATGTAAATAAATTAGCTATTTTCCCCAAACTTATTTAATTAATAACACCCACTGGGAGGGGCTAAGGGGGTTTAAAAGAAGGCTGCCTGGGTCTTTCTTTGAGTCTGGAGTTTGTTGCATGAAAGGTTATTGTGTTTTTTTTTTTCAACCTTTTTTTTTTTGCACTTTTGTAAATATTTTTGCACTGCACCTTGGACGGCCGGCTGTAAATATATATCACCGTTACCGTTACGTTATATATACACTGTGATTGTGTAAGCGAGAACCCTGTGACAGGGAGCTTTGTGCATATTGAATAAAATACTCTGGGCGAGGAGGCACATGTGAAAAAGACACTCCCCCCCCCCCTTTTTTTTTAATGATGTCATTAAGTGGCAAAGCAGCGCTGGTGACGCTGTTGCGATTTCAATATCGTGGCCAAGCGACATGGACAGCTCGATCCGAGGGATAATGTAATATAATAATTATCTTTGTGCTTTAGCAACAATAAAATGGGTACGCAGTTGATTTACCACTTTGTGCACTGTCATAAGAACAAAATATCTGTCCCAAACAATACAAAAACAAATCCAAAACAATCCCCCCTGATTTTTTTTCACCACTCGACTTCTGTTTACGACCTGATTTAAAAAACAGTTTTGGTCCGAAAAAGTCATTCCTCCATCTGCCTACACTTTACAGGGGTGACTTTGTTTGTCACTGAGTAGTTTCAAAGATAATAAGGTAAATGGTTTTATTTAATTAGGGGCACAGCTGACATGATTGACAGGGGTAAACTAAAGCCATTAGAAAGGAGGGCTAGGCGGGTAATATTGAGACTCCTGAGACTATGACAGAATATGTTAATTGTTTTAATCTTACAAAATATATGACATTGCTACTTCTCATACAAATAGTCATAGAGTAGGAGGAAGAAAGCCGGAGTAATAAAAGAAGTAATTTTACTCCGCTGTTTTTATTGTGCAGAGGACGTTTTATTCACTGTGACCAACTGAAACGATAATTACTTTGAAACCATACTAGTATTTATCATGAAAGTCTGTCACCCAATCACATGACACCAAACCAGTAAATGACTGTCAATTATACAGCACACAAGGGTAGTAAAAAACCCTCAAAGTTCATTAACACTTAATATCCATAAAGATCTAAGGATTAGTATCGTGGATATTGTAAAGAGTTTCTAAGAGGATCCTGTGATGTTTTTCAGGAAACGCAGGATCCTCCAGCGGCACTGTCAGCTACATACGATGTGTGAAAGAGCAGTCACCTCTGATCAGCATTAGCTCTGCCCCACGGAGACCAATATAATCAGATTATTCTTCAGAGGAGCTTATTTGGTTGAAGGCTGCAGCGCTGTTAGGCCTCGAGTGCATGTTGCTCCGCTCGTTTACTGTCTCCACGCTGATGGTTAACCAATGAGAACAGCATGACTGCTCAGCGCCCTGCGGCCAGGAGGCATGACTCAAATTAGCTAAAGTGCATCCTCCTCTCAATGACTCATCAAACAGATCTAAATCCCAGGATGCAGCCACAGAGGCGACAAGGCAGCTAAATGCGAGCTGATGTAAAGGCAGGAGGGAGCGGTGATGTGTGAATAAAAACATTTTCTACCAGCTGAAACATGAGGACGTCAGTTATAGGAAAACTGCGGATTGAAACACTCGTGGTTGGACTATAAACCTGTGTAGCATCTTCCAAGGTCTCCTCTTACACAGAAGTAAAGAAAAAAGTCAGAAGCTACAGGTAAAAAAAAAAGAAAAAACAGAGGCACAGTTTAAGAATGATTACAGTATTATTGGACATGAGCCTGTTCTGACTTATTGCAGAACCCAAATGACCAGAAACCAACATCTTTTACTTCGTCCTCTTGACAAACACCAGACTCCAATGACAAAAAAGATGATTTGTATCACGCAGAGCACAGGAGATGAAGTTATTTTGGACTGATTAGTTTGTTTGTCTGTTTCTTATAAAAGAAAATCTCCCTCTTTGACAATAAGGTCTCTCTTTGTTCGTATCCTTTCTGTAATGGCGTCTAGACTATTATTGTTCGGCACAATAGAATCACTTTTGGTAAACATCCTCCGGTCCCTCACTTTTACGAAATAACGTTGCAGGAAATGAACCAGAGTGATTGTTATTGTGTCCTGATTCTACATGTCTAGAAATGTGGCCCAAGTTTGACGTTATTTTAAGACTGCATGCTGCAAAGAAACTACAGAGCTTGGAGAAAGTAAGACATAAGACCTAATCAGGTTCATTAACTTCCTTCACCACCTCACTGAAGTATGTTGGCATTGTAACACAAGCTCATTAGCTACAGAAAATTAATCCGGGCCCGTTAAGAATGTCGTTAGTTCTGGTGGAATTTGTCCATAAGCCACAGACACGGAGATAGCCACGATTACATCACGAAGCAAAGCCGCAAAAAGATGCAAATGCAAATAAAAGGAAAGAAATAAAAAGTGTTGATTAAAAATACAAAGGGAATTTTCTGCAGCAAGAACCACCCTCGCTGATTTATTCAAAATTAAGATTGCACTGCGCGTTTTTCAGCCATGTTGTTTATTTTAAGTTTAAACCCCTCTGACAATACGAGAGAAGACGAGTTAAAGTGAAGGAGGATACACTGTCTCTGTAGTAAGGGATTCGCTGTAACATCATGCTGTTCATGTTTCACCACAGATTACTACAGACTCTCTGGGATGTGTGTTACTACGCCTTCACTAACACACTTTATCATACTCATAAACTCACATCCAAACAAAACTGCAATGATATAAACATGTATTCTAGTCAGGCAGGAAGGGGCTGATGCATCATTCATGTCTTTTGCTGCGCTGCATCGAAAATGGAGCAAAGAATCCGGCTGGCTTGTATGTGGAGCAAGGCCAGAGCAAGGAAAATAAAGACTGAAATATACTTTTGTGTCTTTCAGTTAAAAGTGTCTGATATTCATTGTTAAATAAGAAATGATGCATCAGGTTTCAAATCTCTCAAACCTCCTCCATTTTTCTGACTTTCTGTTAATTACCCATCTTTACAGCTAACCCATTTCTCACCTCCGTCATCTCTCCAAGCTTAGTAGGGTGAAGAACTGCTCTGCTCTGCCTCCAGACCTGGAGCTTTCAATTCAAGACTCAGCCCAGTCTAAACCAGATCTGCGGGTGGGTTGGTTTACTCTCTAGGTTGCAGTATCTTTCTCCAATACTAGGAAATGCACATGAGGGCTGGGCGATAAACCGAAAATTTACCGATACTGAAACTGAAACAAACAAAAACCAACGTCATTTTGCCCATATCAGTGTATTCTGTGTCAAATAATAATAATAATAATAATAAAAGTTGGTTTTAGATGTGTGTAGGTAGGCTATTTTCTTATATCCCTCTAAGACATGGCTCCACCCCATCCAGTCCATAACAAAGAGGGAAAGACAGGTAAGGAGATGAAGGACGGTTCAAAAGTTGGAGCGGCTGGAGTAGACAAAGTTAATGTGGGAGGGGGTGAGCAGCTTGTGGAGTAGTTATCATCCATTTATCGTTATTGAGGTGAACTGCTCAATATATTGTGATATTGATTTGAGGCCATATTGCCCAGCCCTAATGCACATCTTGCTGCAAAGCACCAGAACCTCTCTGTTCTTCTGACTCAGAACCACCTCCAGGATGCCACCCAGTTACATGTTGTTTGCAATCTTGTGGCTCATTTCACTTGGACCTCCTCCCGGCACAGAGGTCCTGGCTCCACCCTGAGGACTGTGTTTTTGTTTGTGTGCTGCAGGTGTCTTTTGTTGTTTTTGCCCCAGAGCAGGTCCAGGCAACACCCAGGGCCTCCATGTTGGTTTCCAGCTGGGCTCTTTTCTGCTATTTGCGTGACATGTGCCTCTCTTTGGTGGATTTTTGTTTTGTTTATTGGCAGGTGACATTTTTCCTTTTTTTGTAATATTAGTATTTGCATGTGAGCAAAAGGAAAATGTCCCGGTGTGCAAACTTTTTTCTACCCAATTACTATCAAACAGGTATAGATTGTTTAACTGTCAACTCATAACCAAACTTATTGTCTCAGCTTGGTGCTCTATTTCACAACAAATTACTGCAGAGTTAGTGAGAACCCAATAACCCTTCCTCCGAGCCAAGTTTATCTCCAAATTCACCTGTTAATCTTACTTACAGTAGCCGTCTCTGGTTCAGAGAATAGACTCTGGATCACACACTTGAGGTTGCCCATTGTGAGGACTTTTTGTGGTGAATACAAGAAGACCAGAGACTTCGACACTGCTGTTGTGTTTGGGATGCAAATTGGTCCCTACTGCTGCAGCCTCATAAGATCAGATATATAAAGGAGAAACCACAGCAGGGTGCAGCACTTTGTGATTATGCATTGTGAAATGGGTCGGTGGTGATGTCACAGGCGCCGTGCAACAGATTTATTCTAATCCCCTTCCCCGAGATTAGGAGGGAAAATCAGTCGAGGGCCTTTCGTCTAAATTACACTCCCCATGTGAGTTTTATTTTGACCTTCACCCCCGGTGCCGGGCTTCATCTTCGACCATATGCTTCAATACTTCACCCGCGTTATCTTTTGACTTTTACAAAAGGTGCTCGCTGTATAGAGTTGACGCCTACAGGGTGGTGATTGTTTTATCGTTGTTACAGTTGAGAGAAGTCCAATCCAAAGGTCAGACAGACTGTTACTGATTTACACCGCAGGATTATGAGACATAAGCCATAATACATTTACTATAAAAACAAAGGTACTTTACTTTGAAAGAACCATTTTAAGATTCAGAGAATTTAATGACGATTCATTCAAACTGCAGCTGTCCATCAGCTGACTCCACTTAAAATCCATCTGCACCAATAAAGTGCAGATGATGCTTGAAGATAGGGTTGCAACACCAGCTTTTCAATTATAAAGACATGATGGGCTGTAATTTAAGTGTGTTCTCTTTTTTGATTAAAGGTGGGGTAGGCAGGATCTGAGGAAGTGCCAGTTTTTAGGAGAAGTCTTGAATGTAAACTCTACCCCTCCCAACCAGTTTTCCCCTCAGCTCCTCTTCTCCCCTCCCTCTCTGCTCCAGCAAGCCCCGCCCACAAACAGACGCTCCTGCTCCTACCCCACCTTTAAATGTATTTCGACTTTTATTTTTTAATTTCCTGCAACAAACAGAGAAGCACCTAGTTTTTTTGACCGTCAAATATCACTTCATACTTACGCAAGCGATTCTTACTTCATGGTGGAGAATAGATTTAACCCAGAAGTTAAAAATTTCAGAGTACAGTGACGGTTTTTTATTGTGCAAATCAAGCTTTTAGCAGCACACCTGCTGCACTATCAATAAGAAGTCTTCTCACAGGGTCAGGAACTTGGATCTCTACACAAATACTTCATTGAGACCATAAGTCTTGTCTCATGGTGCATTTTATTACTCTGCAGATCTGGAGGACGGTCACTGTTATTGTTAAGGCTTATGGGAATATAAAGGAAATGAAGAATTGGGAACAAGATCAGCTCCTCGCTTATCACCTGCTATTCTGGCAGAGAGGGCTGAACCAAAGTGTCCGTCTTTTCTATCTTTCTTTCGATCAACAATAGCTTCACAGCACACCTTATTTTAGATGTTTTGATTTATTTATTTCTGTCTAATAAATGAGCAAGCACTACACAAGTTCATATTAAAATCATTTTCACTCTTTTTGAAGCATTTATGACACTCGGCTCTGACTATTTCCCAGTGCATCATGAATAGTGTACACCCGACACAGCGCCACACAATATCTTCACCACAGAAAATAAAGACAGATGCAAAATTGTGTTGTTTTTTCTGTGTATGTGTTTTTTGTGTGTGTGTTTTCTTTAAGATAAATACATGGTGAGAAACAGCAGCATATTGTTACTCATGTTTTTATGTGTTTTTACCATGCGTGCGTGTGTATGAATGTGTGAGTGTGAGTGTGAGTGTGTCGTATTGGACTCATTCTGTCACAGCTCATGTTTGTCACTCTGCAATTAAACTTCAACCCTGTTCTGTCTGAATTATGTATTTTCCCAGCTTGCTTCAACAACCATCCGTCTGCAACAAACACATGAGAATCTCTGCAGTTTCTTCTCGTTCATGAATTACACGTTTGTTAAATACATTTCTCCCTGATAAGACAACATGTGATCTTTCAGGGGGACCTCTGAAGAAGCTACTCGCCATGATAACATGAAAGAGGAAGAACATTTTCAGTGAATTGGTAATTATCTGCTGCTGCTGCTGTCACATTCCTGGGCTGCCTGCTGGATTGTTCAGTCAAGTCATGGCTCTGTCATTCACACTCTGTGCTGTTTCCTGCTAGATGGCAGTAACACACCAACATTGCAGTCCATTTCTAGCTTGTGTGATCTGTTGCATTAGTAAACAGTAATCTGTATGTCAATATAATCTTCCCTGTAACGGTTTGTGAGGCCTATAAAATCTCTCCTGATATAGCAGGCAGGTATAAACATGAAACAATCAGTCCTGAGAAACCAGGCCTGTATCTGAAGCAGTATCTGGTGTCTGGCTCAAACGGGGCTTTATGAGTCAGTGGTCAAGGATTTGAGGGTTATTTTTAGGCTTCCCATTGAAACCTGATTGTAATGATGTAATCACAGAGGTTTAATCCCTGCAGACAAACAGGGCGATATGATTGATAATAATCCTGAGTAAAAGTTGGATCCCCTGCAATTGTGCTGAAAGCATCAGTGCTGAAGGCTTTTTTTTTTCAACCCAGTTGTTGTGGTTGTTAATCCGATATTATCTAAATTCTTGTTCTGAAACTGCCGCGGGGATTGCTGAACTTCAGAAACCCTCTGAACTATCTCTGAAACACTCCAGCAACATCTGAATCTCAGGAGCTCACTAAGGCCCTATTTGTACATACCCCATTATTATTTTTAAAAACGAAGACATTAACCATCATTTGCACCCTTCCTTTAGACACAAATGGAGAATTTGCCCCTGCTTTTTAAAAACTCTGGCCAGAATAGAGATTTTGGAAAACTCTGTTTGCATATTTTAGCCGACAGCAGATTGTGTGCGGGACAGAAGGAAGGGGCGTTGTTGTTGTAGCTGCTATGCGGCATTCTGATTGGCTAATGTGGGCTTGAGTTTCTCGCTACACTGCCACCTACAGGTTTGTCATGCTCTTGATGGCGTACATCCACGCGTTAGTGTAAATGAAAACTTTTTTGAAAACGTAGTGATGTGCATGCAGTTTTTTTGTTAATAAAGAGGGTGAAATGTCCGTTTATGAAAATTGCTGTGCATGTGTAAACATAGACTAAATCCAACGGCCCCTATAACCCCCTAAAGGCCCTCTTAAAAAACCCTGCAGCAGTGATCTGACTCAAATCACTCAAATACCCTCTGAACAAACCAGCAGACCTGACTGAACCTCTTAAGGACTTTTGTGAACTTCTTTGGCACCACTAGATCTAACTAGTGCCTCAGAACTAAAACAGTGACCCATTTTGTGGTTTCTAAAAACCGCAGAAACTTCATCAAAAACTCTCAGAACACCACCAGCTTGTAGACCCTCCACCTTCTGAAACTCAAAACATCTGTGAAACCTTCTTAGAGTTGGCCCTCTGTTAAACTGTCCTGCAGCAGTCTGATACAAATCATTAAAAACCATCAAGATGATCCTGATCAAGTCTTCAAATCCTATTTCTTTGGATGTTGAGTCTACAGAAAATGTAAATGTTAGTAAAAGTGTATCTATTCCCCCACTTTGGCTAAAAACAAGAACTATGTAGTAATTTAGATTCTGTTTTACTTCATGTTTAGAAATCTCTCCACTTCCTCTGCCGAAAATTCACAGTTACCATCTAGTATCAAGTTCCTCCACAGCAGGCGCCCCAGTGTGGGCCTTAACACATCCAGGACTTTACGCCTGGGCTGCTGACACTATTCACATCCTCCCAGTTCCTGTTTGTTTCACTATGAGAACTTTATATTAATTTACCAATGCTGACACTGCAATCTGAGCCTTTATAAATGCTCTAGTTTTGTGTTTTAGTCTCCTCAGGGTTGGTTCTGAGTCATGATATTGTCCATTTTTACACAAACTCTACATTTTCTAAAAAAAAGTCTCACTTTCCCTTCAAATATTTAGTATTTGTGTTTACATCTGAGGTACACAGAGTGAAGTTTAACAAATATGTTAACGAATCAGTATCCAGGAATATCTGAACACTGGTCTAATGACAGTTTAAGAGTTTTATGTTGCAGGGAATCACGCAATCCAATCATGTAAAAGAAAACTTCCTAAATTTAAGATGTTAAACAGCTTTGATAAATGAGTGGTGAGAGTATAAGGATTCAAAAATACTCATTGTGCCAAATATACAAACTGGTGTTGATGTCTAATATTTCAGATTAAAAAATATGCAACATGCAAAAGACATATTAACAAAATGAGGAGTTTTCTGAACAATAAGGTGCTTCATAAAATAAAAAAAACTACAAATTTGTTTGTGACGTAAAAAGATTTGAACCAGTAATCAGATGTTGTGCTTATCTCGGCACAGATAGATAACCTACTTTTTGTCATTAAAGTTTCCTTCTGGGATTAGATGGCGTGTAACTTTACGATCTTTACCAGCAGAACAGAGGAGAAAAAAGGTGAACTCTGACCTTTGAACCTCCCAGGTCACTTCAGCGCGGTGAATTCTGGCTTAAATGAAATAAATCAGAGCATTAAAATGTATCTAATTGAGTAATTAAATGTATAATTATAGTTATTTATCAGGGATAAAAGTAAAGTATGCTCTTCTTCAGGGAGGTAGAAGGGTCACTGATGTTGTAGACTGAGCAAATATGAGAAACAGAGTCAGACGTGAGAGCAGCCCGCCCCTCTGAAAATCACTGAAGGGTTTACTTCCTTATTTGCTTCTGTAAAAGGTTATAAAATGAGTAATCAGTCCTCTGAACCCTTCACTCTACTCCTTCCTTCTGTGCTAATATATATTAACAAGTTCTCCTTTCTGACTCACTCACTCACATCTCTTCAGCGGCACTTTCAAGATGGGGAACTTCGCAGCTAATGAGGGTCTCTCCATCTTTGTCATTGTGAGTACACAGAGGAGGATAATTTCTATTACAGTCCTGAAAGCAAAAAGACTTGGCGGACATATTTAGCATCCTTCATAAAGAATCTGGCCTGAAAACTTGCAAATATACAGTATATCTTAGTTAATGTGTCTAAATGCTTTAAAATGTTTTTACTTTCTTTGTAAATGATGTAAATAATAAATGTATGTCAGGCTGAAAAAAAAAAACTTTAGTGAAAAGTGCTGAGAGGCGTCACACTCTCTAATTTACAGTATCTCTGAAGGTTTTAGACATGCTCAATTTCACGATTAATTCGAGCCAATTGGATGATGGTTTCTTTGTGCTTCCTCTGGCACTGAATTTGATCAAAAGTTTGAATGAAAGTGCTTTTAAACCCAAAAGTAAAAGAGTGAAATGTTTTATTTGAATCGCACTAAAAATTCAGCCGTTGTATCTGCACTGACACTAAAAGATTTAAGTGATTATCTCCTCATGTGTGAAGGTAATAACCTCATGGAGTCGACTGTAAACTTATTCAGCTTTTCTCCTCTAAAATCTGACTCTTAATTTCACATGCACTTATCATTTCTGGATGTGTGTGTGTTACAGTTAGTGTGGCTGGGGATCAATGCGTACCTGTTTGTCAATTTCTACATGGCCTTCCTGGTGGATAAATGGTTCTACACAAGGGTCCTGCTGGGGGTGAGTCACACCGACTGAACCACGTCTGTAGATCTTTTATTCAGAAGAGTTTTGATTCCCCTGATCTGACTTTGCATCTACTCCTCTAAAAGTGACATGGATCAAAAACATATCATGTTTTTTTAAGACCTTTACAGTCCTCGGAGTGACTTCTCTAAATAAGAACAAGAAAATGCACCTGACAGCTTAAAAATAATCTCATCTAAGTTTTGAAAAACATTTGCAAAAACAGGATCTTGTCCTTTTCAGTTCCTTTAAATGCAGCGGTTAGTTGCCATGCAGTAGTGCAAATTTTTACTTTCAATTGCATAAAACACACAGAGCAGCCCCTAGGCTTCGATGTATTAATCAGAAACAGTTCAGAAGAGAAGGAAACAACATCTGAATTTTTTAAATCATGAAAAAGTTTGTAATCTAGAAGTCTGATCGGTTCTTTGGTCTCACAAAATACATTTGGGTTATTTGTTCGTAAAAAACAAGCTAAGACATCTCCTCAGTTTTAACGACAGAGGGACATTTTCCAGCGCTGATCTACTCTAATCTTCTGTTTACATTAAAAAACCCTAATTTAACTTTTTCGGCATTAATGAGACTGAAGTACAGTGCTCGGCATAAATGAGTACACTCCTTCAGAGTTTTCAGAAAAACCTCTGGTTTCCTTTCACAATCAACCATTTCTATGTCAGACTATACAACAAAATACTTCCCCAAATGTAGGCCAAACAAGATTTTTTAAGTTGCAAACAAAAAAGTCATTTTTTCAATCTAAAATCAGGATGCAAAAAGGAGTACACCCCAATCAAAGTGCTGGGAGCAAAGCTAAACTCGAGTTACTTTATCATCCTTATTTTCATCTTATGGTAAATCAGATGTTATGTTATGGAAATTGTCCTTTTGCTCATCTAGATATTGAGTAATACATTATTTTTAATAGGGGGTGTACTGACTTATGCTGGGAACTGTGCACAGCATAAAACTGTTCAGTTCTAATATGTTAAAAATAACATTTAAATTCACCGCAAACAAACACGTATCAAGAATAGACACAAATCCCACGACTGATGTGAGACCTTTTAATTCCTACGGGGGAAACTTCTCCTCTTCTTATTAACACCTCGACCCCTTCTGAACCCTGAGTAATAAATGTAGGCATCTCAGAAGTGTCAAACACTTGATGCTCTCTCTACAACACTGATCCAACTGGCAGTAAAGGGAAGCAGGTCTTGAGTGGGCTTTGCTTTGTGGTCACAGTTGCTGTATTGGGTCAATACAGCCGTTACACACAGCTGTGTCGGAGTGAGCAGAAGTAAAACTGCTTTTTATTTTCATTTTTCAACACTGCTCAGAAGAGATAACTGGATTAATGACTGAACAACAGACAGAAATATTTATTATTACAACTCGACAGAAAATTGGATCGTGGTCCAAAGTTCATTAATTGGAAAACGCGGACATGGGTTTAACTTTTATGGATGTTTGTTGATATTTTTCACATTTAAAGTTGTACAAAAGAATAAATCTAAAATGTCCAAAAACAGAAAAGCAATAATGAAACTGAAAGTGCTATCGGCATATTATTGCACTGAATATATTTCACAGTGAGGAATTTTCTTATTGAAAACTTACAAAAACTGTCTCTCCAGGGTCCAACCCACGCAGAGAGACCAACTCTGTAATCATCAGAGATTCATTTAATGTCTATTTGTTCTCTTCTTCATAAGTATTTATTTGAAGAAGAGATTTTTTAAGTAATCTAGCTCTATGCTTTGACCCCTCAGCAAGCTCTGCCCTGGGCCAGAGCTCCTGCTGCCTGCCTCAACTTCAACTGTATGCTCATTCTGCTGCCGGTTTGCAGAAACCTCCTCTCCTTCCTGCGAGGCTCTATCCAGGTACTCAAAAAACAACAACTCCAGATTCATTCAAACTCTGTATAGAAATATGAAAATAAGACGTAAACTCAGCAGCAGCAGAGGATGGATCCATGACAATACTTGTTTTCTTTGTTTGTTTGTCGCAGTGTTGCAGCCGGACAGCAGCTCGTCAGCTCGATCGAAACATCACTTTTCACAAACTAGTGGCATACATGATCGCCTTCCACACAGGTAACACAGTCAAACTACATTTTTTTCACATGATACATTAACTGGATGCACGGATGATTCCTCCAAAGTTGCTGAAATTGAGCTTGTGTGACCTGACAATTAACCTGTCGTCTCTTTTGTAGCTGTGCACATCGTCGCACACTTGTTTAACTTTGAGTATTTCATGGACGCCCAGCTGAACCGCAACAGCAGCCTTTTGACCTTCAAACTGTCTGACATTGGCAACGGGGACAACGCCTCCTTCCTGAACCCCATCAGGTCCAATGAGACGGTGAGTCGTTTAAGGACAACTGAGGAAGTTTTTGGACTTTTGTTAACGCAGCTGGATGTTTTTTTTTTGTTGTTGCTAAAAACTGTAAACCCCCCTCTGCATTGTTGCTTCATTTTATTTCAATGAAGAAAAAAAATATTACTCCATTCGACAGACTTCCTCTTTGGGTTATTGGGTCATTAGAAACACTTCCTCTTTGTAGATACACTTATGAGCCTTTATATGCTTTTTCTTAAAAATCTAAGAGCGTGAAAGGATTCGATTTTTGAAGCACTGAATCATTAGAAATAGCTTGGCCTGAAAATTTTTAAAATTCTGAACAAAATTCTCATCAGATGTGCTCCATCCAACCCTGAAAAATCCCTTCAATTTACAAATATTAAAACGCAGCAAAAATTGAGTTTAACGTTTTTAAATATCTAGATTATTCCCCGCACTTTTTCTCCTTTCTGGGTTCTGTCGTCTCAAAACTTGACCTGTTTTTAAACATCACAAGCAACAGTCAGAGGAACTACTGTGTGACAAAACATTGACTTTGTACATACGGGAAGTTAGTCAACACACATGCCCCGGTGCAGCAGGGGTGTCGATGGTTTAAAAAAAGTGAGGAAATATTTGAGGTTACAACCTTGTGACCATCACCTACGCCATGACTAATGAGAGCTTATGTGAAGAGAAAACAACGTTTCAAACTTTGATAATAAAGATCTGACTGAAACTGTGTCTCATGCAGAATCCTACCATCGTCATGTTCACGACCATCGCCGGCCTGACAGGGGTTGCTATCACGCTGGCTCTCATCCTCATCATCACTTCGTCCATGGAGGTCATCCGCAGGTCTTACTTTGAGGTGTTCTGGTACACCCACCATCTCTTTGTCATCTTCTTCATCGGGCTTGTCTTCCACGGCTACGGGTAGGAAGACACAAGAGTGCGGGTCAACAATCCTTCTGATTAAATGAAACTTTGAACAGTCCCAGTTCACAACAAAACGATCATTCGACTTTTATTTCTGCTCCTCTGTGTTTGCAGGCGGATTGTGCGAGGACAGACTAACTTGAAAGAACATAAACTCAATGTCTGTGCTGAGCATTTTGAAGACTGGGGAACAAACTCTAGCTGTCCTGACCCGACATTTGCTGGAAACCCACCAGGGGTAAGCTGATAAAGACCACAGAGTGTTCATGCAAATCATTAAATAACTCATTTTCTACTAACCCTTAAAACCGCTCCATGTTTGGATCCTTCCTAGACTTGGAAGTGGGTGGTGGGGCCAATGATCCTGTATGTGTGCGAGCGACTCGTTCGCATCTATCGATCCCACCAGAAAGTGGTCATCACTAAGGTGAGAATGTGCAAAATACAAAAGATGCACTCTAAGATTTCATAGCTATATTTTTCTGCACTTCTTGACACATTCTTACGGTGGCCGAGAATCGCCACTGCTGCAAATAAAAAAAAGAATGCAAAAAAAAAAAGAAGTCACAATGGAAGATAACAACGCAAACAAAAGGTGACGATGGAAAAAAAAAAGTTACTAACTGCGAAAATAAAAGGATGCTAATAAAAAAAGCCACAACGGAAGTGAACTGCCGGGGACGCACGGGTGTTTTCCGATCTCGGCCCGGAAGACAACGGCATGAAGACGAGCAAAGAAGTAAGTGGGAAGGTTATTGTTTAATTTCGCTTTGTGTGCTTTTCAACGTGATTAGGTCATGTAGCGCCTGAGTGGATATGAAGTTGAACTGAAAGATGTCAGTGTCGTGTAAGCTTCAGTTCAACTTCATATCGACTCAGGCGCTACATGGCCTAACCAAATGACACACTGAAAGTTTATGAAGCGAAATTAAACAAAATCTTTTCCACTTACTTCTTTGCTCGTCTTCTCGCCATCGTCTTCTGTGCCTAGATCGGAAAACACCAGTGCATCATCATTATTGGTCCCCGACAGCCCACTTCCATTGTGAATTTTTTTTATTTGCATCCTTTTATTTTCGCAGTAACTTTTTTTTTTTTTTTTTTCATCACCACTTTTTTTTGCATTGTTAAATTCAGTTGTGGCTTTTTTTTTATCTGCATTGTTTCTTTTTTTATTTGCAGCAGGCTTCAGTGTCCTTTTTTTTTGCATCTGTAACTTCAGTTGTGACTTCTTTTTATTTGCAGCAGTGGCGCTTTTGGCCACCGTACATTCTTAATCTGGCAAAAAAAAAAAAAAAAAAGAATGCACTGAATTGTTTTAAATGTTTTCGTACATAATTTATTAAGTTTGGATATGAGCATGGTTCCTTCGATTTAATGAGGACAGGCTAAATGACAGAGGAGCCTGAAACACTTCAAATCACACGCCCAAACTCTAACTCACCTTTCATCAGTGAGGATTCAAGTTTCTCAACGTAAAACCCGATCCAGTTCAAGACCAGATTAGTTTTCAGTTGAGCAGCAGAGAATCATGGTAGTAAATCCTGACATTCGTACCTGTCTCTCAGGTGGTGATGCATCCCTCCAAGACTCTGGAGCTGCAGATGAAGAGGAAGGGCTTCCACATGGAGGTGGGTCAGTACGTCTTCATCCAGTGTCCGTCCGTCTCCAGGCTGGAGTGGCACCCGTTCACACTGACCTCTGCCCCGGAGGAGGACTACTTCTCAGCTCACATCCGCATCGTGGGGGACTGGACTGAGGCGCTGTACCAAGCCTGCGGGGGGGACAAAAACGAGACTCAGGAGGCCTGGAAGCTGCCAAAGTATGACAACAGGAGAAGGGAGGGGCTGATCAAAGTGGAAATCGTTGCCTGAAATTGTGATTACACTTGATTACACCCTCTGCCTCCCTGATCCAGCTCTCCTTTGAAAACCTGACAACAGGGGTCACATTTAGAGTTTATTGTGTGTAATTCTTTAACCCTTTCAGAAAAGAAACTGTGCGACATCAGAAACCCTTCCCAACATCCTGCTGTACTCCTGCAGAGCAGCTGCAGCTTTTTTTTCCTGATCTCTGCAGACCAGGAAATGAAAGGACAGGCTTTTATCCTGAGGACGTTACCTGCAGGGCGCTTGTTCAAACATGCCTCGAAAATGCCAGGATATTATATTTAAAGTAAAAAAGAAAACAGCTGAAACCAGCAGGAGCAGGTTCACAATCAGGGATTCCTCTCACAATCTCTGGGCTTCGTTTTCAAAGCTCATGTTTCTGCCTGATTGATGAAATGAAACCCGATCGAAGAGCTGGAGTAAAAAGAGCTTGGTTAGATTTCCAGGAACCCTCTTCTACTCACCCTGTTTCATTTCAAAAGGTGTGCCAGACTGTAGCTAAGTGCATTTATCAGGTACTGAACTGAGCTAAAGATGAAGGAACTTTTATTCCATGTCTTCAGGTCGTGTTAAACATCTCACTCCCAATTCAACATGTGAATAAAATGCGAAAGACAGAACCAGAATCTTCAAGCGGAAATTAGAATAGCATTAGAATAAAAAACACTTTCCCACCTTACAAAACTTCCTCCAAGTCGTAAAAACAAGAGAAGAGACTGTTGGGAACACAGGGAAAAATCTCTCTCTCGTGGTTTCTCGAAATAACTTCCTCTGCAGAGAAACTAAGGACTTAATCTGATCTGATAAATAAAGTCCAGTAAAAGTGAAGGACTCTTTATGCACAGTGCCTGAAAATGATTACATCACTAATGAAGTAATTTGACAATCAAAGGCACAATGAAACCTTTTATGAGCAGGGTCTGGAACAGAGTAAACACAGGATACGAATTAGAGGCACCAGTGGGACTTACAGGGTCAGGGAGATACTGAACCAGGACACTGAAACCATGAGACCTCTAAAATCTGACCTCTGTGTGTGTGTATCTGTTCAGGCTGGCCATAGACGGCCCGTTCGGCACGGCCAGTGAGGATGTGTTTCGTTACGAGGTGGTGATGCTGGTCGGCGCAGGAATCGGTGTGACGCCTTTTGCCTCCATCCTCAAGTCTGTGTGGTACAAACGAATCCAAAACAACCAGGACGTCTTCACCAAGAAGGTAACAAGGTTTCAGAACGAGACAAACACTTCTTCTTAAACTGGGTTTCCAACAAGCACCAATGTTCATCTCTTTAATTAGAATTAATTCATATACTCTTCTTCAGATCTATTTCTACTGGCTGTGTCCAGAGACGCAGGCCTTTGAGTGGTTTGCAGATCTGCTGCAGTCTCTCGAAGGTCAGATGGCGGAGAGGGGTGTGACCGACTTCCTCAGCTACAACATCTACCTCACCCGCTGGAAGGAGGCCGAGGTGAGACAGGGACACACTCTTACTATGACTACCTCCTTTTTAAACACAACTGCACCATGTTTCAATACACCCTTAGATATTGAAAAGATTCACTCGAGCTTCAAAACATCAGGACCAAACTTTTGAACCAAGTCTGATGAAGTTCTTGGAGGTTACTTACATACATTTATAACCCCTGAGTGTTTTCTTTTTTCTTGAATAGGCGGCTCACTTTCGCGTTCACCACGAGGCGGAGAACGACCCGATCACAGGACTCAAACAGAAGACCCTTTACGGGAAACCAAACTGGGACAACGAATTCACAAACATAGCATCAAAGCACCCAGGGTGAGGCTCTTTATCAAGTGATAACACAGCAGTACACACTGTACACACCCTCTACACACACACACACAACCTACACACACTGAAGGGATGTTTCTTCTAATGAGTGAAATACAGAGTAAACATCGCCTCATGTTTGACTCTGACTTAAACTTACACTTTAACTCATTTTACTGCAGCAGAACTTTTACTTCAATCTTCACTTCTTCTACTTATACAACTATAACTGCTTTTAACTCTGCTATAATCATCACTTCTGCTCCTCTACATCAGCAGATACTTTGACAAATGTGTATCGCAGCTTTTCATCACTGTTAGCATTACTTCTATTCTAATCAGAAGTCGTGTTTGTGTTTCCCGCAGAGTTAAAGTGGGTGTGTTCCTGTGCGGGCCGCCTCAGCTGGGGAAATCTCTGGAGAAACAGTGTCTGTCCCACTCTGAGGCCGACGTCAAGTTCATCTTCAACAAAGAGAACTTTTAAAAAACCAGGAAAACAGAAACTCTTCAAGTATTTTATCATGAACGACGGTTACACTTCCTCATCCACAAATGTACTTTCATTTTCAGGTATTATTCTTATCATAAAAATTGCAGCTGTAACTGTTTTCTCTGTGCTTCTCAATGCAAATGTTTCACAAAAACTCAGTTGTTGCTCAAAGAGGGAAGAAATAGCCCTGCGGTTTTTTCCATCTCTTTGACTGTTACACCAAAAAGTGAAACCCAGCTGCTTTCAACACGACTTCCTTTTCTGTTTGATTTCATTTGCTGGACGTTTTCTGAAAAAAAAAAAAAAAAAAATCAGCTTTGATACCATGTCTAAAGCTTTGCCTGTTACAGTGACGCTGCAGTAGTCTGCAGACTCACCAGAAGAAAAATAAAAAGAGCTACATCACCAAAAAAAAAAGGTCTGTGAAGGACATGAGACACTTTAAATGAAGCTTACTGCTTATTTGTGCTCGAGTGTAGTGCTTGCTCTGATCAGACATTTTTAAAAGTGGTTTTAACTCTTATTTTAAATGTATAATTTACAGAAAAATGTGTGTGTGTGATGGTAGAATTTAAATTTTACATCATTTAATCAATCCATCAAAATACAGACATGATTACTGAAAATCTAAGGCCCCAAAAACATCCACAGCTTAAACAAACAGCCTGTACTTCTCAAATGAATATGATTGTTAACTGTTTCCAAGTTTTGAACTTCCTGAGGAAGTGCCAGGTAACATTTAAAGCTGCAGAAAAGTCAAATAAGATCATTCCCCAGGAGTAAATGTGTGATGACAGAGGAAGACAGAGACCAGTTTCTCTTGTAGCTTCAGGGAACCGAACATTAACAGTGTTAAATCAACTTATGGGACTATGAGTTTAAGAAAACATTGCCAACGTGCAGACTTCTTTTCTGAATGTAGAAAAGTAAAAACAGTTCAGGTAACGGAAGTGAAAGCAAGATCACTGTTGCCTTGTACACTGAGGGCTTGCTTGTTTTTGTTTGTGTAAAAATTAGTTCCCAACTTCACTTTTTCAGAGAAATTCTGTCACAAGTTTTCATCCTATAATGGGAAACATTCAAAATAAAAAGTTCACAATAAGATCTTTTATTTTTGTCATCATTTTTCCAAACATCCAGGAAACTCCGTGGTGCTGCTCGGACTAGGCTCTCTTTCTTTTGGAGTTGCATGAAGCGCATTAAGAACTGGAGAACATCTGAATCCAATGAGAGATTTATGTGTTATTAACAGAGGACTCCTTCATTTAAACAAAGACCCTTTTTAAGAGGAATGAAAATAAACAGCTCTGGAGAGGTCAGGAGCCGCAAGGTCAGATCATCTATAAAACACCGTTCTCTGAAAGATATCGACAAAGAATGAGCTTTTATTTTTGCAATATTCTGTGTAATACTGACAGAGATGAGCATTGGTGTGGACACTAAGGTATTAAACTCGTTTTCAGTACTTCCTGGAAACATAATACTGATGTTCCTTTTTTCTGGTTCCTTCGTTTTTATCCTGTACAGAGTCGGGCTCAAAGGAAGACTCAGGGAGTGCAGGAAGAGAGATGAAATTATCATCTGTATGGATCTTTTGAGTGTTAAAAAAAATCCTATTTGGACTTATTCACACATTTCTGTGAAGGAGGTTTGATATTGCTTTATTAAACTCTGTTTTTTTTTATACTTTGCACAAAATATACATATATATTTTTAAACCGATCGACCTCTTCACAGCGATCCATCATGTTCTCAATCCTCCTTTAGCTTTGATCGCTCTTATTGAAAGACAATGAAGCTGCGCTGTGCTTGAAATTTCTTATTGAGTTTTACGATCAGGATCATTGTGTTTAAAGTCAAGTATTAAAAAAAGCTTTTTTTTCAAACTCTGGGATGAAAAAGTGAAAATATGATCGTCACTGGTCAGCGAGGACAAAGAAACTCTGCTGTTTGTTGATAAATCTCTTCATTTTTATTTACCTGCAGCAAAAACCCACTCCGATTACAAAAATCTGCTCTTTCCTTGTTGGCATGACATTCATAAAGACAGCAAAACACAGAAGAAGAAGACGAAGAAGAAGAAGGAGAAGAAGAAGACGAAGATGAAGAAGAAGAAGAAGAAGAAGAAGAAGAAGAGTCAGGCTTTTTGTGATTGTTGCAGCTGTTGTGCGCAGTCAGGCTGAATGTGAAATGATTAAAGCTCTGCAGTGATGTGAGGAGATACAGACATTAACATGATGAGGATTTTTACATGCATCTGAAGGCTGGAAATACAGCTCCTCCTCCTGAAAGCTGTACTGATGTGGACTCTGTGGCACTTGGTGGCCCCCTACTGTTTACAGGAAGAACCTGCACCCCTCCTCAAGTGGTAGTGGTAGTGTGTGTGTATCATGCGATAGCCACAGCAAACACACTGACCACGCAGTACATGGTGCGGTTTTCCCATCTTACAGTGCAGCTTCCTGCAAACACAAACAAACAAACAAACAAGTGTTTACATCCAAAATAATTACATGAGAGAGCACTAAAGAAAAACACTAGACTATCCCAGCAGTGAAGACAGAGCTCACCATCCATGGTTGTGTCCCAGTAGCAGGAGTTGGCTGTGTGGAGACCCGCTCCTGTTTTCTGCATCACAGCACATGTCACTGCAGATAAAACAGTCGTGAACATTTTAACATTTTATCATCATTTCAATCTGGTTTTAGAAAGCGGCACAGCACTGTGACAGCTGCGCTTAAAGTTTTTAATGATTTTATCCAGGCCCTGGATGATAAAAAATACTGTGTGGCTCTGTTTATAACTGTGTCAAAGGCATTTGACACTGTAGACCATAATCTGCTTTTACGTGCACTTCGTCATATTGGCCTATCAAACCAAGCAACATCGTGGTTTGAAGACTACCTAGACAGTAGGTCACAATGCATCCAGAAGGCTGGTTCTACTTCTGCCCTTCTGAAGGTCTCTAAAGGTGTACCTCAAGGTTTGATCTTGGGACCTATTTTATTCTCTATCTACATTAATAACTTATGTAATAACTTGTCAAATGCCTCTTTTCACTTTTATGAAGATGACATTGTCATTTATTGTTATTTATCATAAATTTTCCAGTAGTTTTTATAGGCGGAATATAGGCGGGTGGCGGAACCAAGTTGTCCATAGTATATACAGTCTATGATTCTGAAAGAATGAACCAGCACACAAACAAACACACACACACACACACACACACAGAAACATACCAATGTATTTGTAGGGTTTCCCCTGTTTGACCAGCTGTGTGAGGCAGCGCTCCACGATACCAGCTGTCCATTTGTTCACCAGACTCTGACTGTAGTCATCCCCGCCGACCACGCTCTCGATACACTGAGAAAAACACACAAATTCACACACACGAACACACTTTCAGCAGATAAAGACTGAGTGTCTGCAGTCATGTGGATAAGTCACAGGATATTGTTTCACCCTGAGGGAGGAGGAAAAAAACAGCTTCACTGAACCTCTCATTCTTAAAAACCAAAGTCATTAATCACCTGACAAGAGGACAGTGAAGATGAGACCTGTGATGGTGTTGAAGAAGGAAAAAAGAGACAGAATTGAGTTAAATTTACCTCTTTAATGGAGTTATCAACTTCCTCTTGGTTAAAGGAGCCCTGAAGAGAGAAAAGAGACAGATGTGAGTTTTTAAAGCAGCAGGATCAGGAATCTAGATTTATAAACTGATGATCACAGCTGACTCCTTAACTCCTAGCTCCTTAACATCCTTTTTCTTTCTACGACTAAATAAACAAGTTAGACTCTCTGAAACACTCACTTCGTTTCCATTGTGAAATTCCTCCATCGCTTTTGTATGCCGTTGATCCAAAGCTGCTTGATTTCTTGTTTTTTTGTGTTTTATTTTCAGGGGGAGAAAAAGGCGAACCAAGAGTGAAGGAAAAAAATACAGAGCCGCGCCGACTTCCGGTAGACTGTCAATACAGTCAACGACGATCCATACAAGAGCGGCGCACACTGACCCGATAGCTCACTACTGACACCTGCTGGCAAAACACGTCGAGCTCTTTTCTTTCAACGTGTTTTTTATTTTTTTAACGCGACTTAAACATCCTCAAAACGAAAAGAATCAGACCAATACAACGTGTAATATTAGTGGCTTACATTTTTGATACATTAAAAAAAAGAATACCCACTTTTGCGGTTACTTAGGCCGCAGCAGAGCAGTGGCTCTGGGCCGCAGCAACCTAGCTTGCTAACACACAGGCTATCATTGATACGAATTCATATCGATTACAAATCCTAGAAATTATCCTAAAACCATTGAGACACATATCATGAAGAGTACAAGACAATATTAAACCACTGAATAAAAATAATTAAAGATAATGAACTTACTGAGTGTAGGCGACACTTGTGTAGCTCCTGGCTAATACCAGAAACAGTGGCGCTATTGTAACCAACGTCCAAAATGAGCGGGAAATAGAAAATTGAGTTACAAAGGAATGATGAAACAAAAGCATCGATTTTTTTCCCACTATTGTATTTTTTGTGACATAACATTAACTCACGATACAGTTAGAGATTTTATCCGTTGAGCATTCGGTCATTACAGCGATAGTCTGCCCTCTTGTGGTAAGAAAGAAGAACTATATGGCCAAAGATCTATTATTTTGAAATTTAACCGGAAGTACTTTTATCTGTTAAACAGCGTGAACAGCTGTATTTAATATTCAATTTAAGGTTTATAGTAGTAGTGTTAAATTAGCTTTAAACCTGTGAACTGTTCTTTTATTGTCTTTTCATATTGTGTCTTTTTAACCTTTTACATTGTTGGTTTTATTTTTGAAAATTTTCTGTATTTAAATTTCTTTTCTTTGTAAAGCGTCTTTGAGCGCCTGTTGAAGTATCGACTCTTGGTAAGTAGACGCTTTTCCCCTTTTGCTTATATACCACAACTACAACTTTTCAATTAATTTTGAAAATTGTATGAATAGTTTTTATTTTAAAAATAGTTTCCTCACTTAAAGGAGAGTCAGAGCAGAATATGACATTTTTCATTGTATATTACGATACAGAGTGAATAATAGCACTTAGTGTGTTAGGTCCAGCTTTATGTCAAAACATTTTATTAATATCACAAAGAAATCCAAAGAATAAAAATGACTGTGAGAGTCATTAAATACGAGTTTCATGTCAGAATATAAAAGTGATGCATCTCCTTGAAATACAAACATAGAAAAGTGCAAATGTGCTCAAGGACCATGTGACAATAAATAAGATTATTTACATCCTCACAGTTTAAAACACACACACACTCACACACACATCAGGCTCAGGTGCTGGGTAGATTATATGTGCTACACAAGAAAAACAACACCGTTAAAGTCAAGAAGCACCCTGTTACATGGTATACCGGTCATAGAATAGGAGGAGGCTCTGCTGTAGGTCACTTGTTAACAGAGAGTGGACTTCAGCTGCACTCGAACAGCTGACTCTGACAGCAGAATAAAAGCAGAGTACAATCCCCCCAAAACCCTCTCAGGAGACCAACTAGACTCACCTTTTTCACTTCATGGAAAATATCTTTTCATGCCGTCGGTGACTGCTCTCTGAGGCCATAGTTAGTTGTGGGGTTCACCACTGTTTTCAAATAGGTTTCACTTTGTTGTTTGGCTCGTCATTGTCATGAAAAGTGAGAAAACTGAGCTGGTGTCATGAATTTAAAAAGGTTTCGTTTTTGAAACTGACAGACTCAGGTTGTTAGACAAAGTGTCTAACAAGGATCCCTGCAGAGACAGACCTGTTTAAAAAAATAAGAAAGAAAGCCTTTCTCTGTAGGGATCCTTTTGTTGTCAGACACTGGGTGATGATCATCTATATGAATCCTCAATAATCTAAACCCAGTCAAAGGCTCCCTGTAGAGTCTCCCTTCATCAAGACGCACCAACAAACACAGAAAATAAGATGATTTTCTCACTTGTACGGATGTAAACAATGCAGCATTTAAAACACAGTGTTTTGCAGAATAACACTGTAAGTTTGTGAACTCCACAGGGACCCTTTAAGTGTGACTCTGCGGCTAATGAACCTTTCTCACTTCGGTTCCAAATCAATGAGGCCACCTGAGAGTTCATCTCTGGGATCAGAGGATGGTGCAGGCTCCAGAGCGAGGTGCCCGGGCTCCAGGGGGTTGAGATGTCAGCTGTACTCTGTCTCCGATTGGCTCTGTGTTGCTGCTTGCAGCAGCAGACGGAGCGGAGTGAGGCTCTCCCGGGGAAGCTGCGTCCCCAGAGATGACACCCTCTACTGGTGTTTGGTCCCTGTCCTGGTTCTGCTTGGATCTGGAGAAGGACAGTCGTCTGAAGAGAGAGAGCTGAGAGAACAAAGACCTTCAGTTCAAACCTTCTTGTAACTAGAGACTTCACATGGTCAACCCGTGTTTCCAAGTAGATGTTCATTTGACTTTTAGAACTCGCCCACAGAAAACAGAGATTGTTTTAATCATTTGTAGTCTTTGTAGTCTAGATATTAACAACAATCACAGATATCCCTGCGCGGTAAAGCATCTGTACCTTTTTGTTGGAGACTGCTTGACTCTTCGCTTCAACGTCTGTCACCCCATTAGCTGGTATGGTGCCATCACATGTGTTTTCTTCACCTGTAGTTGACGGCTCTGAGGTTTCAGCTGCTGACAATAACAATAAGATATAAGGTGTATTTGTGTACTTACTTACTCATATCACCCTGTTAGTTCATGTCTTCATCTGTGTCTTTAGTATTTTCTTCACCAGTGGAGCCCTCTGTTGAAATGAAACCTGCAGAAATCTGTTTTGATCTCTCAAATATCAGTCATTTCAATTACACAGACTTTATCAATCACTCGAACAAACCTCCATCAGCCTTCTGCTCTCCATCTGGAACAGGTTTGTCTTTCTGCTCTTCAGGTTTCTGTAAAAAAAGATCCGGTGTCAGGTCTGGGACTCGACAGGACATAAAAAAGTGACCATCAGATGCTGAACCGTACGCTTACAGGGTTCTGCGGCTCATCTGTCACTTTGTCTGAGTCATCCAAACTGGAGGACTGTCCCTCAGTCTCAGCTGATGTATTGTTACGCTCCTCTTCCACCACGTCATCATCATCGACAACATCTTCCTCCGCTTCCTCTTCCTCCCCATCTTCATCTTCATCTTCCTCTTCCCCTTTGGTCCATGTCTGAGCAAATCCTCTTGTGGAATCCTGATGAAGAGCAGCAGTATGTAACTTGAATTAAAGACAAGTAAAAGCCTTTCCCAACCCAGCAAATACATTCATGATGATTTATTCAGAAGGAAGCTAAAACCGAGAGGAAGTCAGGAAAGGAGACATCAAAGTCCTGCACACTTGGGGCGACAAACTTGAGATCTGAGCATTTCTAAAGTGAACTATGAACTAAAGTGACACTTTCTGTGTCAAACGAAGAAAAAATAAACACTCAGCTCCTCCACACAACAAGGAGGGATGATGGGAAGGAAACAGGATGGGAGGAAGAAAAAAAAAAAGGAACCTACCTGGACCTTAATCCGAGCAAATAAATACGAAACAAGCTTCAGGCGTCTCTGTTTATGTAAAAATGAAGATTTCACTAGTGGAGTTAGTGTTTGGTCGCAGAGTCTCATCTCTTTTTCACAAATTTTGTTGTGAACAGTCTTTTGACAAATTGAATGATATGTTTATTATCGTTTCATCCTTTGCAGCTCTGAAAATGTTGAAGCTCAAATTTAAGTCATACTTTCAAAGATCTCTACACTCCTGCGGTTTGCTGATATATTAAAGTTTGATCATTTAAGACGATTTCACAAGTTTTAAACACATTCAGATCTTCAGTTTGAGGGATTCTGTTTATTTTATTGGTGATTTGGTATAAACTAGAGTCAGTAATGAAAGGGTTTTTTAGGGTTTTTAAGATTTAGTTGAAATATTTTTAAGGAAAAATGGAATTAACTATATCTTTTTTCAAGTTTAAGTAACTTAATTTTTTTTTAAATGAAAATGAAAAGACCTTTCTTATCACCTATTCTAAGATGACTGAACAAAACGTTGAGATATGCAGTCCACAGCGGGAAGAAAAACAGAAAAAGAGAGGGTAAAACAAAGACAATTTGATTTCTTAAAGCAAAAAAAAACAAACGACATGCAAAATATTTATAAATACAGTCCGAGAAATGTTTATGATAAACAGAAAAATGAGTGAAATCAGGAAAAGAAGGAGTAAGAAGAAATGTTCCAAAAATATGTAAACTTTTTAAGGTGTGTAAAATAAAAATAAAAAACAGTTAGAAAAAGAAAGAAGAAAAAGTGTTTTCATTTGAAGAAGCTGCCAGAAAAAGGTAGAGAGAAGTGATTTAAGGTAACAGGATAATTTGACAGATAAAAGTAGAAACAATAGAGGTATGTCTGAGTTTGAAGGCACTCAGGGTGTGATCAGTAGGAAACACCGCGGCTCTGCTCTCTGGATGAGAAGAACAAATAAACAATCAATAATTGAACATTTTGAACTTCTCCTTTAAAAGTTGATGCCTTTCATGTTTGCCTGTAAATCTGAACTCTTTTACTGACTGACTTGATTGACTTTGATTTGATCACTACAGTTTATTTTTGTAGATTTTCTTTTGGCCTTAATTCCTTTTGATTTGATTGGTTATTCTCCGAAGTGTCAAACTGTCAATCAGTTGATGTGGGCGGGTCCTCTTGTCTCATCAGATTAAACAGATTATTGTTACTTCAGAAAACACTCCCTGCGGGCTTCCGTAGTTTGGCGTTATTTCAGGTTGAGGTACTGTGGTAACACATCATCCCAGAACTCCTCGGACTCCCCTGCTGCCTGACCTTTGACCCCTGACCTCAGTTTGAGTCCAGATTTCGTACTTTGTCTTTTCACTTCAGCTGACTTTTTCTTTTTGACAACCTCCTCTTCCTCCTCCTCTTCCTCCTCTTCTTCCTCCTCCTCTTCTTCTTCTGTGCTGTCTGCCTTTTCCTCCTCTCCGTCACTTTTTTGATCTTCTTCTTCATCACTTTCTTTTTCCTCCTCCTCCTCATTACTCTCTTCTTCCTCCTCTTGGTTTGCACTCTCCTCCTCCTCCTCTTCTTCCTCTTGTTCACTCTCTGTCTCACTTTCACTCACTTCTTCCTCACTGCTCTTCTCCTCAGCAGTACTCTCCGCCTCTTCCTCCTCCTCCTCTTCTTCCTCTTGTTCACTCTCTGTCTCACTTTCACTCACTTCTTCCTCACTGCTCTCCTCCTCAGCAGTACTCTCCTCCTCCTCCTCCTCCTCCTCCTCTTCCTCCTTAGCAGTACTCTCCTCATCCTCTTCCTCTGTCTCACTCTCTACATCACTGTCCTTGCTTTTTTCTGAAGACACCAAAGATTCACTTTCACTCTCTGCTTCTTCCTCTTCTTCCTCATCTTCCTCCTCACTACCCTTGCTCTCTGAATCTTGACTTGACTCTTCCTCATCTTCTTCCTCCTCCTCTTCTACATCACTTTCTATGCTTTCACTCCCAGCTGTCTCATCTTTGCTGTCACTTCCTGCTGTGACTTCACTTGTTTCATCTTCTTCTTCCTCCTCCTCCTCTTCATCACTGCTCTCATCTTCCTCTTTATTCTTGCTCCCTGCATCAGTTTCTGCCTCTTCCTCTGATTTCAAAGTGTCTTCGTCTTCCTCTTCATCCTCTTCCTCTGTAACTTTCTCAGCACTCTGGCTTACATTCTCCTCCTCTTCCGCCTCGCTTACCTCTGGACCCGTCGTCTGCCCTTCCTCATCCTCCTCTTCCTCCTGTTTGACTGTCACAGAGTCTGTCTCCTCCTCACTTTCATCCTCACTCGTTTCTTTCTGACTCGTCTGGACATCCTGACTTTCAGCCGCAGGGATGATGTTGATGCTGACAGCAGATTTGTTGCTGAAATCGTCGTCACATGATTCAGATTCTTCGCTCTGGGATTTCTTTGCGCCGTCTTTCAGGATGCTGTCGATGCTTTCTGACAGTGACTGCGAGCTCTGTGACATTACTCCGTGCATTAGAAGTGCTCCTGCTGCCACAGAGGTGGCTCCAGCGAGCAGGCCGAGATTTGACCCCTGGCTTTTTTCTTCCGCAGGTTCAGACTCTTTCATCGGCCGAGCCTCTTTTTTGTTTTTCTCATTCTTAGATTTTTTAGAAAGATCTGTGTCTTCTTTAGATGAGTTGGCTTCATACTGACTTTGAACGGCTATTGGTTTGCTTTTAATCTTGACACACTTCGACTGCACTCGCTTCACTTTTGCTGCAGATTCAGAACCTACACCTGAGACTTTCTCTCCAGGAACATCACTTTGTTCAGAGTCTGTTTCCAGCTTCCTGCTGACCTCCATCAGCTGTCCTTTCCCCTTAGTTTGCCTGTTCTGCTGCTTAGACGTGACCTTCTGAATGTCTCCTAAACTTGTTTGATTACTTTTACTCGGCGTCTTTTGCAGCTTTTGCACACTCAGGCTCAGATTCTCTTTGTTTTGCTGGCTTGTTTTCAGCCTCCTAAGGGCCAAAGAGTGAGCGCCGTGGCCCCTCAGGAGTCCAGCAGATAAAGCTCGCCCTGGACTTTCTGACGAAGGAGTAGAAGAGAAACTACTCTGCTTCTTTTTACGCTCATCTTTTGCCCCTTTTTTAGTCTTACCATGCTTACCCTTCCTCTATCCCCGGCACCAGAAAGCAAGAAGAGGATGAAACAGAGGCATGCACAGTGAAGAAAAGGAGAGACAAGGAGAAAAATGAAGAGAAAGTGAACTCATGACTGCAACAAACATACATGCAACCCTCTCCCCGGTCTTTTGTGCTTCCCTCGATCTCATCAGGCTGATTTTAGGCTTTCTAAAAACTACTAATAAAGTTTATAATAACTCTGAATATGGAAGAGAGTAAAGGTAAAGTTTGGTGTGAGTGTTTATGGAGAAAAATCATTTTAACTTGAGAAGTTTTGGTTCCATCAGGACACTCGAGTTACCTTCTGAACTGGAGACAAAGTTAGTGTTTGATCGCTGGGGTCCATCTTCATCACGTGTGTCTATCAGCAGGGGAAAAAAAGGACAAAATGAGCCGAAAAATCCACCAAGTTCCTCTTCTCAGATCAGATGTAGGATGTTTCACTGATTTCTCACCATGTTGAGGAAGTCTGTGGTTTCTCCCAGACCTTTAACGCTGTCTGTGTCTGTCAGGCTCTCCACAACGCTGTCTGTCCGCTCTGAGAAGACAGGAAACAGCAAATTAATCTAGATTTATCCGGCTTCTCTGCTCTGCATCGGACTCTTTGACGAAAACAACAAACAGAATAAAACATTCAGGGCATCCAGGACGTCACTTTTAAACATATTGTGTGTGTAATTGTTGTTCAACTGCCTCACTGTGACCGATTTTCTTAGGGTTGTCCTGCCTGAACTGTAGTATTTTTTTTAAATCAGTGAAAAAACTATTAAAAAATAATTCCAGTGTGTCAAAAAAACAAGAAAAAACTTTTCTTCCAGCCTTTGTTTTATCCACACATCTTTCAGCTGTCAGAAAAACTAATCTTTAAACAAAAACTGCTCCTTTAGCGAGACTAAAAATGACTTTGAATGATGATCTTTGTTCGATTTATAACTTTTGTGGGTTATTTTCAGATATTTTTTCTTTCCTGCCCACTCAGTTTAAACAAACAGTTACAAATAGGAAAATTAAACTAAAGATGAAGAGAAGGAAGAGGTGGAGTTGGAGTTGGAGGTGAGGTAGGTACCCTGGTGCATTGACCCTGCACTCCCGTGTCGGTGAGTGCCGTTGAGCACCTTTCTGTGGCTCAGCTCTGGTGGAGGCAGCCTGGGCGGGATGGTCTGGCTGGAGATGGGAAGCAGCGGGTGGAGGTGGCCGGTCACCATGACAGGCAGCGTGCGAAACATGGCGCCGAACTGGTCCGGAGATCTCTCCTGTATGATGGAGTCCGAGGGGAAAGCGTGGAGGTGAATGCCGGCTCATGAGTTTACAGAGGAGAAAGAGTGCACTTTGAGAGAACTGGATGGCTGCTCTTTATTTGAGATTTAAGTCCTGATTTAATCTGTTTTAATGAAATTTAAAAGTCTGAATCCAAGTTTGAACCACTTATGTCCGTATCTCCTGTCCTGTACCCACCCTCTCTCGCCTGCGGACCCGAGCAGAGAGGCTCCTCTGCAGACTAGAGGAGTCACCAGTCCCCAGCAGCTCCACATACGGCCTCTCCAGATAATCTTCTGTCACGTCGTCTTCTTCCAGGGTCACATCACCACAGCTCTGATCCCTTGGATGGGCGAACACCACCATGTGACAACCGCCACATGTAGCCTACACATAGACACCTTTTTAATTTGAAGTAATAAATACACTCATGGACAGTGAAAAAACAAATATTCTCAGAGGGCTTGTTCCAATTTAAGCAGAATTTTCTTTTTTTCACAATTTCTAAACAAGAAGACAAACACGTGAGAAAAGTGTCCTTGATTTAAACACTTACTGCCTGAACTTTGTACTTGAGGAAACGTGGACAGAGTGTGGGTTTGAACTGGTTGGTAAAATTTTCCTCTCCCAGTCCCAGTTTCCCATGTCGACCATCTCCAAAGGTGTACAGCAGACCACTTTCTAAAAGGTCAAACAGAACAAGAGACCTCAGGAACAGACAGGAATCTGATATGGGAGTGGATTGAAGTCCAGGGGCAACATTCACCTGTGATGACGGCGGTGTGATTCTCTCCACAGGTCACCTGACACACTCGGCCCACCTTGAAATGATCAACAGGTCGGGGCAACCGGGACTCAAAGATAAACGTCCCATGACCAAGTTGTCCAAATTGGCCGAGACCAAACGTGTACATGCCACCCTCTGAAACACGGGTCACATACAGACACAGGAAGTTCACAAAAGACAAACTTTTTCTTCGTTTCTCTCAAGTAATTCATTCAGAAGGGTTTTTTTTTTAGCTTTATTTGTAGATTATAGTTTCCTACCTGTTAAAGCCACTGTGTGTCCTCCTCCACAGGCCACCCGCAGCACAGGCTCCTTGATGCTCTTCACCAGCTGAGGGACTCGATGCTGAGGCAGCTGTTCAGTGCCCAGACCCAGTTTACCACTGTCACGCTCACCGAACGTGTAGAGAGAGCCATCAGCTGATACACAGAAAACATTGATTCATGTGTTTAATCTGAACTCTCTTTATCAAATAAATATCATAAGAACGGACATTTCTTAAAGAGTGTATTCAAAGCTGAAAAGGGATTTTGTTTCAGATTCTTTTAAGTCTGGATGCATAAGTGAAGACACATTATAATAAACCAATAATAAGATTAAGTTAAGGAACACCCCTGCTGTGCCTACCTGTCACTAATGCAGAGTGGTAGTATCCACAGGACACCCAGCTAATTGGTCGTCCCACGCTGACCTCCCTTGGCAAGGAGGCATGGCTGTCGTTACCCAAACCGATCTGACCCTCTGTGTTGTCACCCCACATGAACAGTTTCCCACTGTCTGTGACAGTCAGAGAAAAGCTCATTGGCATTACTTGGTTTTGCTCGACCTTACTTTAACCCAGGATCTTTATTTATGAAAAATAGGAGGCTGGTAAAAGGGCTTATTCTATGAAATAAAGCCTTTAGGTTCTCCTTTTTCACCCTTAATGTGATAATTTAATTATTTTCATGAAACACAGATTGACTAATTCATAAATAAAATGATAATTCATAATCAAAGCGTCAATTTTATATTGCCTTTGGATTGAAAACTCATTCAAGCAGCAAAAATATGAAAATTTACAAAAACATCAACCACTTTAAAAACAAATAAATCTAAAATCAAGCATGTACATGTCAAATACAACTGAAAAAAAGTCTGGTAAGTATTTACATTTGTGATTTACCTGTGAGAGCAGCAGATGTGTTTGAACCTGCAGCAAGCATTTGTATTGGTCCTTGTGAGTCAAAGAAGTGAATGATTTGAAAGGCAGTCCTCTCTTCACAGTCACCGAGCCCCAGCTGACCCTCGCTGTTCCCCCCCGAGGAGAACACTCTTCCCCGAGCTGGAGAGGAAAAGTCACCAAATTTCTCACCCAAACCAAAATTGCTTTGGACTCACAATAAAAGCAGAATCCCTTTTTAGAGACTGACCTGTGCAGACAAGAGTGTGATTTCTTCCACAGGCCACAAACTGAACTTTCTCTGACTTTAAAGCTGCAAACATACAAAAGAATATTGTTAAACACAGTGACAATCTTTGTTACAAAAACACGTTGGAGAGTTAGAGTCAGAGGCTCACTCTGGAGGTTTGAGTTCTACCTCTCAGTCTTCATCAGAGGTTGGTATACAGTTTAAATATAATCATACTATACTTTAAATTCTTTCATACTAGCGGCTGTGCCCAGAAACTTTACAAGCAACCAATAATCTCTCTGCTTCTCTAGATTATATCAGATTAGGGACCCTCCAGATTGGGATTACAATGGCAACAAATCTCTAGGTTTCTCTTTGAGCTTGGTTCTTCCACTCTCTAGACTCATGTAGAGGTTTCTTTAGTGATGAGATTAGAATTCTGACTGTTCTTATTTTTACAGTTTATATTTATGTTTACACCATGTCTTCAGAATAATACTAGTACAACAATACTCTCACTTTTTCTGTTAAAATATGGAGCAGAGAGCTATCTATTTAAAGACCAACCTTTGACACACGTAGGCTTGTTCACTGTCACTTTAGATCCCAAACCGAGCTGCCCCCAGTTGTTGCTGCCAAACATGAAGAGTTTCCCATTTTCTAGCAAAGCAAACACAAAAAGATTTGCAGGGTTATTTCAGTGTTGTGAAAAAATATTATTTTTCATTGAAGTTTGTGCAATTATGTAAAAGATTTCTTGACTGGGACAAAAATTAATCTCATTAATCAGAAAAACAACAGTTGTATGAATTACAATCACCATATTACACTTTCAAAAAATGGCTCTTACTTGTTATTAAGGCAGTGTGTTCATCCCCGCAAGCGATTTCCAAAGGGACATCATTTTTCAGCCAGAATTTGCTTGGCACATTGTCGGCAAATTTGCTTCGTCCAAAAGTAAAAATTGCTCCTGATTCTGTCAGAAAAAGAGGAATGAAGTATTCGAACTGATTCATGTGACATTTAACCGAAGCATGACCCAGTTTAAAAAGCAGCACAAAAACATGATTTTCACCAGGTAGAGGAAGGAAGAAGGGCTCTAACCATTGGGTGTTTTGATAAATGATTTATGTAATTATATACTGTATTTATGTTCTATTTTTTGTAAATATATTGTAAATGTGTTGGAGACTGACTGTATATTGAGTAGAGGATAAGGGTTAAGTTTTAAAAAAAGAGCATAATGCTTCATCCTATTCCTTTTCAGACATGTTGGATTCACCTTATTATTAGCTTATTTATTTATCTATTTATTTATTAACATAATTACTTTTTTTCCCACTTTGATTATTGCTATTGTTTTTTTGAATATTCTCATTGGTTTTATTTGTTTGTTTTCAGTTTCCTTTCTCGTGTTGCTGGCACATGTTCGAAAAAAATAAAATAAATGAAACTTCCAACGTAATGAATCAGTTTAAGGTCGATAAGAAATAAAAAGGCCAAATATTTGTTGATCTTAAACCAGTGGTTTACTTACTTTCTAACGGTGTAACCACATTACTGTACTATTTTGTACTAACAATTTTATGAAGCAGCTGATTATCATGGAGCTCATTTAAATGCATAAACTCTATCAAAACATAACTACTCATTTAAGAATAAATCAAGAATAAAAACAAATTAGATATTCGTCACAAAGGCGTATGTAGAGACCCATTAATAACAGTTTTACCAATTAACCATGAAATGTGTCCAAAACAACTTTTGACTTCAAGTATAGAACGGATAAAATAATTTGATTCATTACTCACATCTGTCTTACACACGTAACTGTCATTTGAAAGTAGAAAAAGTCAGATTAAAGGGTTTATGTATCATAAACCAGCGAGCCCAAATAGAGGCTAATATGTTTTCTGTGGACCGACGCTATGCTACCTTGGCTACTCTGCCTATTAAACTCAAACAATTTATAACCCCGCGAAGGAATAGAAAATTTGGTCATAGTCTTCTTTTTTTACCTGGTATCTCGTCCTCCACCTCCGCCTCCATCTCTGACGGACTTTAATCCGCTTTTCTCGTTGTCGTGGGCGTGTTTGTACCCCTCTTGTTTTCGACTCTGATAACCCGGAAGTAAACAAAACTTCTCCTAGGCTACGACATCAACCACGTGACCATCAGACGGACCGGATTTTTTTTTTTAAACTAAAGATAATTTTATTTCTATTGATCTACAACGGAGTATTTGGGCCACATTAAGAGAGAAAAAATAAGACTTCGAGATTAAAGTCATTAATTTACGAAATTTATGGATGGTTAATGGTGTTAAACAAATATCGATAATTAAGACAACTAACAAAAAAGGTCACTGATAGCGAAAACAATTGAATCAAAAAAAAGGATCATTTCAGGAATAAAAAACAAATGGAGAATTTTTGATTTGAGGAATTATGAATTTAGGAAGTGTATTGTAGCTCGAAATAACTTTTACAGGTAGGAAATGCTTTGTTTTAAAGGAACTGGTCCACCACGAAGAATGAATACATTAATTCATGTATTTATTCATTTATAAATTTATTTAATTATTCGGTTTTTTTTGTTCACTGTAATTTTAATTAATTTCACACACTCCAGAACGGTAGGTGGCGGTACGCGCCCTGTACGTTGGTTCCTGTCCCACCTTTAAAACGAAGAAGAATGCTCATTTGTCAACACAGATCGGCGTGGAGGGAGTACCGTATGTTATCAACGTTAGTAGTTTTAAAGTTATATTTCTTTTATCGGCTCTTGATGTGATGTAATATGCTGTCTATGATCAAATATAAGGCTGAAGTTAATTTCGTCCACTGAGTCTACGGCGGCAGAAAAGTAAACACGACGAACTGCTGGTTAACTCGTAGGTCGCTAACTTGCAGTTTTCTGTTATCCTTTATTTAAGTCCTCAGCACAACGATTGTAAAACTAAAACTTGTACATTGTTTATGCCGAAGTCACATATACCAATAGTTTTACTTAAATATCTAGGACTTTGTCTTGTCTGGTGTTCCCTTTTTGCCTAAATCCAGAGACATCTAAACTTAGAGGTTTTTGAATAGGGTTTCGTCGACATTGTTAGCATACCCTAACCCTGACCGCTGGCATCAGTTTACAGCTTTAAATGACTGCATATAAAGTGACTGTTTTCCAAATAGACATGACCACTGAACCGTGCACTTTGTTTCAAATGGCGACTGACGAGAAATTCCTCGTTTTATTTCCCGAAAAGAGTCCTTTTACAGATCAGCAGAAAAGGGCCTGAAACCCCAGAGAAACTGTCACTGCGGTCTCCCTCCTAAAAAGATGGTGATTATGCGGTGTGGACGACGTCTGTAACGCGGCTTTAACAGATCTCAGGCCAGGCTTTGGGGGTACATTCTTTTGAGGTGAGTAACTGAGACAAGCTTGATCAAGAATAAAATTGCCCCATGTGTTTGGGTGTGGATGATCGTTGGCAGCAACTTCCAGGAACACTCATAAGAAAGAATTTGAGTGGACTTTTGTCACTGAGATCAAGTGGAAAAGGGCTTCATTAAAATTATATGTATATTGTATTAACACGAAGATAACATCATCAGCTGCTTAGTAATAAGGATATGATAGTAATAATTCTATTTTCATAGCACTTTTGAAAACAGACGTTGGCAAAGTGCTTTGACAAACAGTCGTAAAGCACAGAACATCAGCACATGGAAATAAAAACAAATAAAAAACAAAAGCTTTTAACACACTACAGATAAACACAAACTAACTTCAGATGAACACTAACTAGAGATAAACATAAACTAACTACATAGAGACAAAATTTCATTTGTCATAAGGAACCCAGACAATACAAGAACCCTACAACATAAAACAAGACCATGAGGACCGAAATAAAAACGTAAAATAGGTAAGAATGTGTCTTCTGTGTGTAGTGGGTTTGATACTGAGTGTCTGAGCCATGATGGAGGCCTGGGAAGCTTCTTCTGGCATCCTCCTGCAGCGCCCTTGGCTGCCTGTGAACATCAGTGGTTGCCATCTTCTTGCAAAGAGCTGGTTTGGGGACACAGCGTACCACATTCTGCTGACAGATATGCACTGTGTCTGGGAGGAGAGGATGGTCTCAGCAGCTATCCAAAAGAGAGCACAGGTACTCACAAAACAGAGGAAAATAATAATTGTCAAATTAATCAAAAACTGAATGAATATTAACACTCATCCCTCGGCTCAGGAACTGAACAAGCGTCTGCGGGCCCCAGTCCAAGCATTCTTCTCCCACCTATGTGAGGTGGTTCAGCCCACACTGACAGGGAGTGATGGGCGACCCACTGATGAAGCCCTGATTTCTCTGACAAAACAAGAAGATGGAAACGTCAACATGAGGCTGAAGAGCGAGCTGGCAGGGCTGCCCCTCTACTGGGAATTTCACTGCACCCCTGCCCCTGTCACTGTGGTATGGTCCACATTTCAAATTCAGATTTTAAAGTACATGTGTACAAGAGGTTACTTGAAGTTAAAAGCTGTTGCCACCTTGGTTCTTGTCGTGTGTTTTCAATCTGCCTAACAGTTATAACATTGGTGAGTATTTTATGGCTGTACCAGATAGATTTGAGCCTTTTTGTCCTTTAAATAGGTCTGTAAAACGTTAGAAATGCTGTTACTTGTGTTTCTCTTGGCATTTTAATGGACTGGCAGAAGATTTGAAAATTCCACAATGCTGCAACAAACTGAAAAAGTCAAAATTTTCACCCCTTCTTAAAATGAAAAACTTAATTTAAGCCTCAGTTTGGAAAAAATAAGTCTAAGAATGAAATATCACATCTCTTGCTATTTTTTTTAATTTTTGAGTTTTGATAAAAGCAATAAAACGTACAGTCATGATGTACTCATAATTTAAAAGAGAATAAAGAAGATAGAAAATTAAAGTTTAAATAATCAAAACCATACAACCTTTAAAAAAAACTGTTTTGTAGCCAGAAGCCACAACTAGCTGTCAAATCAGACTTAACCCTGACCAGGGAAACCCCTTTACTCTCAGACTGCATTATACCATTTGTGTTATCAGGTGTGTGTCCAGCTAGTGCGCCCCCTGCTGTTGATGAGTCACTTGCTGCAGCAACAAGTGGATCAACTGGGAGGATTGCTGGTAAAAAAGGATGCAGAGATCCAGGATTACAGAGAGAACGGAGCCACACTCAGCAGAGGTACACAAAAAATATTCTGTACAGTGTAACAAAGTATTTATACTGTGATACTGATCTGTACTTGTGTGATACATGTGAATTAATATCATTTAAAAAATTTTACACACTTTACTCCATGATATTTTTGTAACTGCTTTTATAAGATTACTCACAAACAAAACATTTTATGAACATGAAAAAACACATGTTGATTAAAATCTAACAAAGAAAATAATTGGTAGATTGAGCCAGAAAGAAAATACTTTACCAACTCCAACAGTAAAAATCTTTCTGTGGAAGAAATGATTATTTATCAATAGAATACACATGACAAATTGTTTTTAAAAAAGGAAATTACAGATAAATGCAGTCACAGAGTCTCCTCATACATCAGACAGTGTTTTTTGATTCTGGTACGTGTTGGTGTTTTCATGCAGAGCGGCTGCAGACAGACTTTTTTGAGGAGCAAACCAACCGAGAAGACTTCATGGCAAAGGTGAGAAGTCAGAAACACACAAACGCTCAGGCACACACACACACACACACACACACACACACACACACACACCACAGTCTCTATAGCTCGTTGTCCTGGCTTTCTTTTTCTCCCCTCCGTTCCTGAACATTAACATCTGTGGTGAGGGCAGCGGGAACCACATGATATAAAACACTGCGGTGGCTGCAGCCGGCCTTCTCTGCCATCATGACACATTTACAGGTTTGTGTGTGTGTGACCGACAGCCAATCAGAGTGAGGCAAAGAACTGAGTTTTTAAATCCAAACTGTTTGCTGCGTTTAGGTGAGGAATTTTTCATCTCTGCATCGTTGACCCCTGACCTCTAACTGCCTGTATGTTTGTTTGTGTCTAATTGGCTACCTGGCATGTCGGATCAACATGTGGAATTTTAAAGAGATGTCTAGAAGCTTCTGTCGTATTTATTTTACACGTAAACTTCCTCGTTTTTTTGTTTTCAGTTTGATTTGCCTTTACATTTTCATTTCGTGTCAGACTTTGTTCTGCTATTTTTGGTTTACAGGTTGTTGCAGAAATGTTTTCTGTATTTTTCGATATGCTGGTGATTTTTTTCCAGTGCATAGTGAAGCTAAATTTAGGTGAACCTTTGACGTCTTTTGGTCACTAGAAATAAATTCTATCGTCTAAAAGTAAAGTGACAAAATATTGAGTCAGACATCAGATAACTTGATCAAATGATCTCCTTAGAGTAAATCACATGGTTTGTTTGTCTTTAGCTGCATCACTCTGAGGTTTGTCAAAGGAAACTTGTGTGTGTTTGTGTTTGTGGATGCTGTTTGTCTAAAAGGACAAACCAGGAAAAGGAATCCCACTTTTAGGAGGTGGACAGAATCCAGCTCAGGTACAGAGAGTCATGGAAAGTTACATCAGGCTCACAGTGGGGGCTCTGTTTTCTGCATTTTGGTCATCACATTCTTGGACTGGAAAGGTGAGGGAACCATAAGACACCACAGAAGAAGAAAAAGAGAAAGAAGAGAAATACTGCAGTGGATCAAAGTCTTCTCACTCGTGGCAAATTCCATTGAGCCGAGGAGGAGGCCGCCTCTAGACCAAAGTCCAACCTGAAGTAAAACTTCTCGGAAAAATGTTGCCGAGATGCATCAAAGGAAAAATCACGCTCTGGACCGACCACTGAATGTGTGGATGTGTATTTGTGTGTGTTTGTGTGTGTGAGCCAGAGAAAGGGTGAAGGCATTTGGCATCTGTGTGTAGTATTTATCTATCAGGGTAGGGCCTTTGCAAACGTGTGTGTGTGTGTGTGTGTGTGTGTCTGCTGTCTGCCCATGCAACCACTCATGTTTGTATCTCCATCTGTGTCTGTTTCCATGGTCACACACTGACCATCTTCATTTCATTTCTTGACTTGTGTCAGATACTGTAAACAACATTATTAGTGATTGAAATGACACCACCACAATATTCATGTAATCATTTAGAGAAAGACAAAAGGGAGCTTGATTTAAAGGTATATTCCTGCGTAAAATTAAGTTAATGTCAAACACACCGTAACACCGAGTTAGACACCCTCGAGAGAGATGAATGTTGCCGACCCCTTGCTTCTCTAGTTATACCAACTTCAGTAACGACTGCAGGATAGCAATACAAAGAGCCACACGCTCAACCAAAACGCCACTCTATAGCCACAAATAATGCTCAGAACAGCACCTAACTTCATCAACAGGACATATAGGGTCACAGCCATAGTACTAGCCACTAAACATTCATTTTGCCTTATTTCTTTAGCAAAGAGACTAAACACAACTTACCCACTCTCTTTCAGCAGCCGTTTGTTTGTACGGAGACCTCAGGCCAGTCCATTACCACAACGGGGTGATGCAGCTTAAGGAAGAAAATTTATGATCATTTCTTTATCATTTCCTTTAAGTAATAACCACCATATTAATCATTTTGCACTGCAGACGCGGTAGTTCTTCAGCCTTAGCGTCTCGGTCTGATTGCATTTCTGATTGTTCTTCCTTGAGCTGGGTCGCCCCGCTGCAGTCGATGGACTTGCCCGGAGTTTGACCCTAACTTGATTTTACACCGGAATATCCCTTTTAATAAGTACAAAACGCACAAGGAACTTTCTTCTCAGCTGAAAGGTCACTGCTGTTTCATGATTCAAATTAAAATGAATAGTGCACTTGTTGAGTGCAGAAGTTGGAAGAGAAATAACAGAGAGTTTAGTTTGTCTTCACTCTTTGTTTTGTCTTCTTAGACACTGATACACCACAAAAGTGTATGATCCTATTTCCTGAAGGTAAACCAAGTCATCAGAAAACACCAAAGTGAAGTCGTTCTTTCTTTAAGTCCTGTAAGAGAACAGACACACATCTTTAAAAGATTGTGTCCTTCATCACAAACACTTAATCAGATGTTTTAAATCTGTGTGTGTGTGTGTGTGTGTGTGTGTGTGTGTGTGTGTGTACACGATGGTGCCATTTGTGGCCTGCTTTTCTCACACCAAGGAGAATGAAGAGCAGAGCGGGCAGCCCCTCCCCGGCCAGTCACCACACAAACACCCCACCCAGCACAGGTCTCATACACACACACACACACACACACACACACACACACACACACACTAGGATTTAACTGGGGCTAAAACTGGTCGTGAAGTTGCACGATTAAAAAAAAAGTTCAAATCCAGTCAGGATTGCATCGGCCTCCCTCAGGACCTAAATCTGGTGCCTGTGTGTATATGTGTGAGTGTGTGTATATTTATACATTTGTGTGAGTGTATATGTGGTGGCAGCAGCAGCAGCAGCAGCGTGACCTGACAGAGGGACGTGTTTGCCTGTCCACACTGAGCCGCTGTGACGCATGCTTTTGGTTTGTCTGTGCTGAGTGTTGTGTGTCATTGAGGCATTTTTTTTTCTAAAAGTCTGTAAGCGTGTGTGTGTGTGTGTGTGTGCAACAATCGCAGTCACGTCACTGTCGTCAGCTCTGAATTGAATTGTCACGGTTTGGGAACGTCACCCACTTCCTGCTTCTTGAGATGGCAGCTTCACATCTCCGTGGCAACTGCGCAGAGGCTTAACGACATCTGACAATTAGTGGCCACTTCTGACCAAGAGAATTACATAAAATGAGCCAAAATGTTGCCCCTGCTTCCAATTTTACATTCCTAAACCTAAAAGTTCTGGTTTTCGATCTCAAATTGAAGTTTTTCACCATCAGGTTTTGTGTTGAGTGAGCTTGAGAAGAAAATGAGGATGAAAACAGGAAGAGGCTGTGTCTTACTTGATACAGCTTCATCGGTAAAAGCTCCTGTGATAATTACGTGCTGAGGCGGGTGAGGAAAGGATCTATAAATGCTCCATAGCTCCCCACATGTGGCCCAGCTCTGGCATAATAGGAGGAGTTACATCCTAATATCTGTTTCCTTCAACCCGAGGCTTTAAGTAAAGAGCAGGGCAGGAAACTTCAGTGTTTTTATCCACAGACCGCAGCAGCAGCAGCAGCAGCAGCAGCAGCAGCAGCAGTGCTCTCCAAAATATACACAAATGAGACTATGAGAATAAAAAGAAGCTGCAGATTGTGATTGGTTAAATGTTCGCTAGAGAGGGAAATCCAGATGTACACAAGAGGGAGCTGCTTAGAAGAAGAAAAATAAACAGATTAGATTAAAAAAAAAACATACAAATGTAGATTTATCACTTCAGTGTCAACATTTAACAACAAACTCCATGAACCTTCACTTTCTTGTTGTTTATCGTGCCGATAAGAAATCCTCTAGTTGCATAAATGACGGAGTCAGATCGTCTCAAATCCAACATTACACTTAAATTCTTCTCGTTCTTCATCATCCTCTTCTTCTTCATCTTGATTTCAGTCCAAACCTTTGTGAATATTTATCCTCATGTCATTCTTCTGTACCTGAAACTTTTCGAGTGTATGCACCTTTTTGGAGTATTTCCATACCAAGTGCACCAGTTCATCCACCTTTGCTGCAAAATGACAACAGCTGAGACTAAAATGAGTCAAGTATTCCTCACTGGACAGACTCATGTAGCAAAAACAGCCAAAAAAAACCCCACCTAATTCTGCTTTGAGGCTTATTTTGAAATTAATAGACAAGTGTTTAATGAATTTAGTTTAATGATACTCTCCTGGACAGTGACTTTAGGACTCCTAGATTGAAAAAGTTCACACTCGAACTGATTTAACAAATTTTATTTATCAGTTTATTCAGTTTTCTCTGTCTGTCTGTCTCTCTCTTTTCTCTGCTCTGTCAATCATTGATGGTTGTTCACATAAACAGCAGCAAGCAGCTCTTTATCGCACATACCTGAGGAATTCAGGACCTGGGTGGTAAGAAGGCGCGGCTCTATGAGGAGAGGGGTCAGGGGTGAACACTTAAGCATAAAAAGGGGTGTAGAAACTCAGAAACTCTAGTGTCCTGGCCAAAGTTTTAATTTACCGTTAATGGTTAAAGGATACAGTAGATTTGCAATATATAACGACAGATCCCTGAACAAACTAGTCACATTTGAGAATATGGTTTAACATAAGCCTGTTTTGTACAGTGATCATGTTTTCTGATGCTGGAGTGTTTTTAAGGGTTCATCCTCTCCTGTAAGTCTTTTGAGGTTTGATTATGTTGTGTTTGGCTTCTTTTAAAGAGTTGTAGAGTTAGGAAAATTCAAAATGTCTTTTTTGTTGTTGTTGTAAATTGAGCGTGATTTAAGAAAACACTTTTAAACCTGGCAGCTTTTTATGGACACCCTAACTGTCTCATAGACTCAGAATAATCATTAGCTTTAAAACTCGAGTCCAAAAAGTTTTTAGGGAGTAACAAAACAAGAGCCTCTGCACACATGGCTCCTCCTCCTCCTGTGTCCTCTGTCAGTTGCACACAGTTTCCACAGGGTTGTCCCCACTCCGGCCTGTAATTAGCCCCTCTGTGGCCTGGCTGCTCCCTGGTCTTCAGCTGCCGGCCGCTGAACTGAGCCCCAGCCTGGACCGGCTGAGTGTGGTGTCCCGCAAAGACATCATGAGACTGTGAGCAACATGCAAGCAGAAACACCAAACGCGGCTGCAGTGCCCGTCGGCACGTGAACACGCCGTGAGTAATTTATTCGTGACACTTAAAGCTTCACACGCCAGTCCCTCTTAGGGATGTCAGCTGAAACCATTAAAAGTTGTCAGCGAATGGGAAAATTTACAAAATATGGATGAGAATTATCCATAAAAATACCCTAAAGTCACACCTGAAAAAGGTTCAAGGTAGTGGCAGATCTCTGTATTCTGCACGGTAAGATAGTTTTTCTCCATCAAAAGAGTCTTGTGGCCTTAAAAAGAGCTGTGCCAGGTTTAAACTAGGTCTTCACACCTGTTAATGCTGTGATATCAAAAACCAAATTTGGAAAGTGTTATTGTTCTGGTGGTGAACACATGAAGTGTCACCGTGAAGGTCAGGCTCGGTCAGAGCTTTGTCTCAGATTAGCAGCCGTTTGTGCGTCACAACCCCGCAGGGCGACGTGACAACAGCAAGCGAGATGACCGAGGGAAAGTTATAATGAAGTCAAAATCTCGATGTTGTCACAGCAGAGGGAATCATGGGGGATATGGCACTGTTTTTGTTTGTTTTGCGTCATGCATTTCTGCACACTTTTTTTTTTTTACCGGTCCTGTTTCACCTGTTCTCTTTTGTTTTTAGTGTCCCAGCTATTTTTACAGGATGTTCGCGCCTAAAAATACGACATGACTCATTTGGTCTGAGCTGTACAATTCGGGGTCAGATAGTTAGCGTCAAGATTGTCCAACCACCATGTTAACACCACCATACACAGCCATAAAACTGGTATTTTTGTCCCAATAGTTGAGTTTGAAGGGGTGGAATCTGGGGTACACTGGGTTATAGTTTCAGATTTTCAGTTCCAGATCTTTTCTCAGTCTCAATCTCTCGTCTTTCAGTCCAGTTTAACCCTCCAGTGTTTTTCCGAGGATGTGACCTCGAGTCCTTAGGAGTTCAACCAGACTCTGGGCGGGAAGCTGAGGTCACCCCGAGAGAAAGTAAGGTAGAGAGGAATGAGGGAGAGTAAACATGAGGTCAGGGAGAGTAGAGGAGGATAAGGGGAAGTGAGAGTGAGACTCACTGGCACCAAAACCTCGTATAAAAAAACAAAAACAACAACAGAGGCAGCAGCAGCATGTCTAAAATCAGAGCTGTTTACCTGCTAATAAAAGAGAAAACCTCCTCTTCCTCTCATCACCTTCCTCTCATCACCTTTCCCACACACGATGCTTTACTGTGGGGAGGAGGAGGAGGCGTGGCCACCAGGTGAGGTCTCCTCCTCCTCCCCTCCTCTTCCTCATCTCTGCCTCAGACTTTGCTCTGTCATGGAAAACTTTCCAGAGGTACTTGACAGAGAAGTCTTGGGGTTATTGACCTGGCGGTGCACACCTTTTATTTCTCATCTTTTCTGGTAAGGGCGATAGATAAAAGCCCGCCTGCTGCAGCGGTGTTCACACCCTTTAGATACTTTTATCGCTTTACCTGAAACACAGAGCAATTCTACTACTGTAAAACAATCCACAGTTGAAAAGAATTGACTGAAATCATGCAAACAGACATATTTATCAACACCAACAATCGAAACAATTGTCTGGAGACCCCTGGCAGCTTGAGTCACAACTTTAATTTTCTGACATTAAGGGTTGGCACCAAGGCGTAGGTGAGGAATAGGATTTTCATTCTGCTGCACAGAGAAGGATTCACTGTTATAATGGATCCCAAACCACCTGACTGACTCCTCCATGACTCCTCTGTGAATTGAAAACCCTACAATAGGGCTGCGCGATAAACTGAAAATTTACCAATACTGAACTTTACAACAATAATTTTTTTAACTTACTTTTGCCCATATCGGTATATTCTGTGTCAAAAAAATAATTTAAAAAAAGTTGGTTTTGGATGTGTGTAGGTAGACTATGGTCTCAGGTCCCATTAGACGTGACTCCGCCCCATCCAGTCCGTAACAAAGAGGGAAAGACAGGTGAGGAGATTTAAAAGGACGGTTTAAAAGTTGTAGCAGCTGAAGTAGACGAAGTTAATGTGGGAGGGGTGAGCAGCTTGTGGAGTAGTTATTGTACATTTATCGTTATCGAGGTGAACTGCTCAATATATCGTGGTATTGATTTGAGTCCTAACCCATATCACCCAGTCCTACCCTACAATGAAAAGAAAAGGGCACCTGATGGTGATGGTGATGGTTTGCAGAAGAAACCAGCTGTCTGTGTGCAGATTAGACCTCTCTAAAAACACCTTTTCATTTGTTTTTAGAGTTGCCTTCTTTGAGATTGTGTAGCACAACTTCATACCTCACATTGTGTCATGATTAGTGGGTTTTTTTTCTGTTTTTTTGTCCTTGAAATTCTTTACTTCTGCAGAGGGGAGCTTTAAATGATCAAATAATACAACCGAATTTTGCTCTTCAGTCAGATCTGACAAATTGAGTTCAAGATTTCAGACCAAATAATGTGAAGTGAGCTGGCAGCCATAGAAAGGAGGAAAGGGAGGCCTGATTGGGGGGGGAATAAAAATGAGAGAATAAGGTGGGCTTTCTGCTGCCTTCTGTCCCCCTCAGCACATTGGTTTCTCTGTGCCCAAAGCAGAACGAAGCCTCAGCAGAGCATTTCCATTTATTTTTACAATATTTGAACAAACAAATAACAAAAATAAATCAATGCAAAACCTCCAAACCTGACCAAAGTGTGTTTAGGAGCCCCTCTGCCCTGACAGCAAGCGGGAGACCACCAATTTCTGCTGGTCAATATTTGAGGAGCTAATTCTGAGAGTTTGTCCATACAGGCAAAAAAGAAGGATTTAGTGAATAGTGAGTGTTTTTCTACCAGTCCGCCGTGCGTTTGCATAATGTCGTAGGAATTTACACGCACCCTTATCTGTCAGGCCTGCGGTCTGTGTGTGTAAATGTGTGTATATGTGTGTGTGTGTGTGTGTTTCAGTTGTCTACCTGCGGTCAGCTGTGCCAATAATGCAGCTTTGATTAGAAGCTTATCGCAGCCTGACACTCCCTGCATCACACCTTGGCCATGTGACTCATGCTGCAGGGGTCGTAAATCACACTCACCTAAAGTACCGGGCCGTGTCAAAAGGACACTTTCATGTCATTAAGTTCATGTGCCGGAGTGTTGCTCTCAAATATTTATAGATGCGTTGGTTTTAAAGCTGCAAACACGGGTGGAGAGGTGGAGGAAGTACTCAGACTTTTTACCGAATCATGGACTGAAACTACTGTGAAAAATAACTGGTGCCAAGTGACTGTATGGAGGTGTAAAAAGGAATATGAGGTTAGAGTCTAAAAGGCGTCAGTGTAATAATATAAAAAATGTAAAAGCAGGATCTTAAGATTGAAGCACACTTTGAACATTTTGTACGGGACTGCAGCTCAGATTATTTCCATGCTGGTTTCATCAGTTTTTCATTTTCTTTTTTGACTGATTGATTGTTTATTTATCAATAATTGTGAAAAAAAAAGACACAAATGCTGTTACTATCATACCAGGAAGTAGAAGACACAAATGAGAATCAGTTTAGAAGTTGAAAGTCTGAAATATCAAATGACTTGAGCTGTTAGGAGATTAGTCACAGATCCATTTCTGTCAATTGACCTCTGCTGTATTGGTGAGACTTATCTGAAATAACAGATTTTTTTTGTTTTGTTTTTTGTGTAAAAATTTCTCCTTTTTTTTTTTTTTTTTTAGACACAAGAGCCAAAGCTATGTAGTTCATAGAAGCATGAAAAGAGCCGGATTCACGCAATTTCAATTTTCTTAATGTCAAAATTTAGATTTCTTTTAATTTTGACTTCTTCAAATTTTGACTTTCATCTAAAATGGAAATTTAAAAAAATCTCCCATCTGTATTTTTTTTTCTCTTCTTGTGGCCCTAATCTCTGTCGTATCTATCAGAGGTAACAATATAATTCTCATTTTTTATTACATTCAGACACTTTAACTGGCGGTTCTGAAAAGGGGACTGATTGTGATTCTTGATGGAAAATGATGGCGATAGTAGCTTTGGTGCGTTGAATATCATAAACATACCTCCACAACTATAGATAACCACGTGAATCCAGAGTGATTGTTCATTTATGGCCCTAATAAACCAATAAAATCAGCATTAACAGCTACCTGTTCATCAGATGTGTCCAACAGACAGTTTGGGACATGGTCTGTCTGCAAAATAAGATTGTCTCCTCGTTTGTTTGGTTTTGTGAAATTTATTGAAAATCAAAAACAACAACAAAATCCAGCTGTGGTTCAGTTGTCATTTATTTTTATTCCTTCTTCCTGAAAACTCACCTCCACCCCTCTGTGTTTCCTGTCAGACTCTTCCTCTGCTGCCGCGCGACACTCTGACCTTTGATGCTGACCTCCAGCGATTGTACGCCGCCGTTGTCACCCACGGGGCGACGCGTAAACGCAGACTGTCAGAGACATGCTTTGTTGAAGAAGAGCGGCCTTCTAAAGAGCCAAACCCCGACGTGAATCAGGGTTTGTTTGATCAGAGGACCAGAACCCCTCCTGCTGAAATATTGACATGTTTTGTTCTTTTGTGGTGCAGCTGAGAATGCTGACATATACAGTTAATACACGCACCACCTAATCTTAGTCAGCAAGACACAACTTATTAGGGCTGGGCGATAAACCAAAAAATTGCGACAATAACCCACTGGGCCTTTTTTGGTCTAAAAGAGGTCCAATAGACGTCTAAATGTAGCCTAGATAACTGGTCTAAAGTCAGGCTACCACATGTCTAAAAATTAAAGTTTTTTAAAAGTCAAAAGTTAGACCAAGTTTAGACTAGCCGGCTAACAGAGCTATATATATACTACACTGTTTATATTGCTCACTGGCTATCATAATTATTTCAGTTAAGTACTTGGAGATCAGTTTTGCAACTCACAGTTGCTTTTTGAAATAAATAGTTACAGTTAAAAGAAAAAATAATAGCCGCGTATTGCTCAGGGGGAATCAACGTCATTTTGCCCATATTGGTATATTCAGTGTCAAAATAAATAAATAAAAGTCGGTTTTGGATGTGTGTAGGTAGGTTATGGTCTCATGTCCCTTTAAGACAGCGCAACCAGTCTGTAGCGGCTGGAGCGGCGGCTGAAGTAGACAAAGTTAATGTGGGAGGGGGTGAGCATCTTGTTGAGTAGTTATCGTCCATTTATTGTAATCGAGGTGAACTGCTCAATATATCGTGATATTGATTTGAGGCCATATCGCCCAGCCCTACAACATATGATCTAGCTTTGGCTGTTCTGTATAATTAAGTGCTTAATTGGCACATTTAGAGACTGTCTAAATGTCAGTGTCCTTCTCACTCAGTTGGATCAGTCAGGAGTGAACCAGATGAGGCTGAAGAACAGAACCAAACCAGGAAACTGGATGGAGCGGCAGCCAAGACGGCAGACAGACCCTCAGTTAAACAGGTACAACTCAGAGACATCAGTCACATTCATATCTCACTACAGAGTGTTTAGAAAATGATTAGAGATATCTAATAACACACTTTGACACACCATGAAACCAAAATCTTCAAATTCACCGATTGATGAAACTGATTCATGTTAATGTGACACAAAACTGTACTTAAGTGTTATAATGCAGGTTTTTACACAATGCCTTCAGTGCAGTGTGTAGTAACTTAATACTGGTTAGTGCTATTTATGAATCATTTCCTTGAGATATTCAACTTCATGTGGATTTTGGAGGAGAAACCAAAGTTAATCGAGAACATTTTGAAACTTTGGTAATTCCACCAAAAGTTTTAATAGTTAGAATAAAAACATTAAACTTAAAACCATGATTGTCGCACCTTAACCTATACCTAATTATTGATTTACAGTCTGCTCAGGCCACATCTGACCCCGCTGAGCGACCGTCCTCCAAACCAAAGAAGAAGAAAGTCGGCCTGTTCAGATGAACAGTAGGAAGCAGTAGGAACACACGCAGATAAAAAACAGGAACTTCAATACAAACTTTAAGACTTTAACATTTTATAAAAGGTGAAATAAGTGGTTACTCTTTAAACTTTTACTTTGAAAAGTCCTTTTAAACTTTAAGACTCCAAAGGTGGTTCAGTACTGTCTGAGATTTTAAATATTCAGTTTTATAGTTTTTCATGTGAAATTTTAATAACTTCTGTAAAATAAAGTTTGAATTTGGGAACTTTTTTTAAACATAAATAAGGTGATGATTAAATGTGTAAAAATCAGTTTGAAAGTTGTTTCTTTTTGTCTATTGTCAAGAATGCTGAAGTATTGAAGCTCGTTCTGCCAGAGAAGATATAACTCCAAACTTGAAAAGGACAAATCAATTTTTTTTGAGCCTCCATTCACCTTTTTTTTTACGTGGTGAACATCTACACCTCTTTCTGATAGTTTCTTCTCTAGTGTTAAAACTGGAGGGTCAGATATTTCGTGGCTTAAGTTTCACAGTCTTTCCTGATCTCAGACAGACGGGGGGGAATAATGAGCAGACGGCGGTTGATAAAGCAACCGCTCTGCTCTTTCAGAGCTTAGTGAGATGTTGACTTAAGGTGTTGCAGCATCTGGGGAATGCTATTGAAGTTACAGTTGAAAAGTCTCTGTTTGTCTGTGAGGTTTGAAGAGTTTCTGTGCGACTAATGGTTCTGAATGCAGGAGTCATCATGATAACTTAAAAAAGCAAAGATATCAGGTATTGGAGTTTCTTACTTTTCTGGCAATGTTACTTGTAGGTTCTTGGAAAAAATCCGCCCAGATGACCACTGTATCAATTGTTAACACAAAGTTGTCCATTTATAGTTAATCAGGTTCTAATTGTGGCCACAGAAATCAATTGCTGCAGTAGAATATGTTATTTTATGTAACGTAAATGCAAACAAACATTAATCTCCAACAACGTCTGACTGATGGAGTAATATGAGGCCCAGGCATTCACACCAGAGTCAAGCTGTTTGCTTTGAAAACATCTGTTTCATTTGTGATCTCTGTCCCTGAATACTCTCCACATATCTGTTTGAAGGTCTTCATGTTTCTCAGCTGGGTTGGTCAAGAACTTTTGGGGAAATCTTTGGAGTTGATCTTGAGCCTGAAATTATTGTTTAAGTGATTTTTAAAACCTGACAATCTCTGTTTTGTTTTTGTTTTGTTTGTTTTTTATCCTCACGGACTCACTCTTCTCTGTTTCAAAGTCCTGAACCCACTTCAGTCTTTTTCAGCAGGTCTTGGTTCTAAATGCAGGACCGTTTATCTTCACTCGTCTGCATGGTGACAGATCCATGCTCAGAGGTTTGTTATTTCCTCACCTACAGCTCAGACTGTTATGTCATTCAGTAACGAGTCCAAATCTTCCAGAGAATGGCTGAAAACGTTTGGAAGCACAGGTCTGTCGACGCGCGCACCTGTACTGTTGCTCACGCGTCTTAACCTGGAATCCAGGGTTCAAAGGACAGAAGTGGGCGCGCGCCTGTACGGTCAGTCTCGTGGCTGGGTGTTTGTCTGTCCTCTTGGCTGACAATAAACAGATGGAGGCGGCCGCGGGGCCTGTGCCACCCCGAGGGGAGGAGAGGACGGAGCTGAGGGCAGGTCCAGCAGGGCGCGGTCTCCTTCTTCTCCCGCGGCACCTCATCTGTACCGTAGTAGAACCTCTTCCATTTCCACGGCTGCCAGAAACCCTGCGCCACAGGGACGCATTGAGAACAGACCCGAGAGGCTCAAACCGCTGCGGGGACACCCTTTGACCGCCGCGGCCAACAGGCGCAGCCAGACTCCGCAGCGCGCGCCTCCGTGTCTGTCTGAAGGCTTTTTCTCACAGCTCCGACACTGAGGGGCAGCTTTGAACCTACCTGCCAAGATAAACTCACCTCGCCTATTTATGCCCCTGCCTCCAAGTGCGCTCGGGACAGGAGGGTGTCAGCAGCACAGAGGACAGCTTCACGTCTCTCCAGCTCGTCTCCAGTGGCGCACGGGCCACTTTTACGCGCTGGGAATGGCAACTTTTGGGGACCCGGGAATGAGCCCTGCTCCACCTCCACTCTAAAATAATAAAGCGCGCCCACACTGGAGGTGGCACACATCTAGAATAATAATACAGCGGGGAAGTTTTGACCACCTGCCGGCGACACATACCGGCCCAGGGGCGGAATGCTGCTCCCGACGCTGGTGACGTGCCTCGCCGGGTGCGCCTTTCTCCTCTCGCCGGTCAGCGAGGGCTGCGGGCCGGGTAGAGGCTACGGCAAGAGACGGTCACCGAGGAAGCTGGCGCCTCTCGCCTACAAGCAGTTCAGCCCTAACGTGGCCGAGAAGACTCTGGGAGCCAGCGGGAGGTACGAAGGGAAAATTACCCGGAACTCTGAGCGCTTCAAGGAGCTCACCCCCAACTACAACCCTGATATCATCTTTAAGGATGAGGAGAACACAGGTGCAGACCGCATGATGACTCAGGTAACCCTCCCGGCTGCCGTAGTGCAGCTCTGTCTCATGTTTTCAGCAGCTGAACCTGCGTAATTAGGACATATTTCAGTGAATCTCTGAGTGCACTTTGCCCGGTCTTTAAACGCGTGGAAGCTGTTATCTTTTTTCCGCATTTCTTGTTGACTGAAGGCTCGTCACTGTAAAAATGAGTCTTCACAGACCAAACTGTGATTTTATCTCATTTTTCAGAGGAATCTGAATTACAATTCCCAAGATTTAACACACCTTATTAGTTCTTTTCAAACTGAACAGGTAGATCCTGACACTGTCACTTGATCTTGATCACAGCAGCCTCTCTGGAGATTCATCTGACCTTCTTCTAATCTGCAGTTTCTTTCTTTTTCTCAAATGAAAACAGCTGAAATAGAGATTTTTCTGCGCTGCTCTTTGGAAAACTGATTGCAAAATGTTTGCACAGCTCATTGTTGAGTCGATTGTAGAAGCCCTGCAGCTGTTGACACAGCGAAGGTAGTTTCTGGATTGTGTAGGTGAGCAGTCTGAATCAGCTCTCCTCTTCGTCTCCATATGAACTTTCAGAGGTTCACTGTGGGCAGCTCGTGCGTAAAGAGGGCAACCCCGTCTAAAAATGTCTGGAAAAGCGGTCGCTCTTAATTAAAACACTATGTCCTCTGTTTTACATCATGTTTTTGGTGGAAAAACAGCCAAAAGTCGTATTTGGTTAGAGCTCGGGTCAAGCGTGTACTCATGTTTACCGTTTTCTTTTTTAGCCCCGATGGTCAGAGTTAACAGTCGCCTTTTGGACTGTCAGAAATTTTTACGACACCGTCATTGATGTGGCCCCGGGTGGAATTTATTTGACTCCCAATTTCCCCAGGAATAACGTATTTATATCTGGCCCTGGTGACCGCGGGCTTCCTCCCTGAGCGGCAGCGTTTATGTCCACAGACCCACGTGGGGAATGAAAGCGCGCACTCCAGTCTGGAGCTGTCACCTCGCTGCGCCGCTCTGTGCTCGCTGCAAGAAATGTCCACTGGAGCTGGATTTGGGTCCAATACAGACAGTCTTGGAATACCAGACATGAGACTGAAAACATAGTAGATAAGTAAACTGAGTCAATTCAATCCGATACAAACTTTGATCCTTTTTACTCAAGGACAGCGATGTTTCCCTCATCTCCAGAGGGGTCAAGATCACAAGCACATTAAAACCCAGAGAACAGACATTCATAATCAATCACACAAAATACCTTCCAATCCAAAAAGTCACAGGCAAAAAAGTCTGAAAAGGGTAGGGGTGTCATTTGCAAAGTTTGGGTGTAATTCATGATTTAGAGACATCCAAGAAAATTGCTAATATACCGAGTTCAGGGTTGGCTGGAGAGACTTTAAGAATGAGAGAAACGAGTCATGTAGAATCCATAATGCCACTCCAAATGTTGTTTAATGTAACATGTGAGCAAGGGCTTTAAAATCATACAAATATGAGTCTTTGTTCACAGCCTCTCAGCCGCTTCTCACTGTACACACTCTACATGATGGTGTAGAAGTCCAGATGCTCAAGAGTTTCAACTGAAGCATGCACATAAATTATATCACCATGATTTAAAATTGATATGATCAGTGTATGATAAGTTCTTTTCCCACATAACATAACTGCATTTAGTCATTTTTTTCTGTGGCAACAGTGTGAACATTAGACCCAAATGTACAGTCTTTCTAGAGCCATATTCCAAGGAACCATCCTCAGTCATTCTCTCAATTCTTCATCCATTTATATGCACATTTTCATAAGCAACAGAAAATCGCACTCAAAGATGGGCAAAGCAACCATTCAGAGTGGACACGATCACTGGAAACATTTAAAAACAGTGGGCCCAAAACTGAACCTTGTGGCACACCTTGATTAATTAACCAAAACCCAATTTGGCCTGATCTAACACCATGATATCTCTCAGGTATCTGAATCTAAAAAAGTAGCACAATAATTCCTCTTGTCCAAGTAGATTTGATGTTATTTGTGATTGATGTAAAGCATTTAATTGTGCTTTGATTGGGTCTGAAACCAGTCATGTGTAGGATAGGCCTGAGCTGTTATTTAGATTTATTTCCATGAACACATCAACCTGATATTTTTTAAATTCCCAAACATCTTTTCTTTGCAAAACATTGCCAACTTTCTTATAAAAAGCACACCTCTTTTTGAGAGATTATACCGGTGCTCTTGGACTCTGATATGTGAAGTCCAGTCACCTTTTTAGGTGAAACTAAATCAGGACTTTTTTTGCAGTGCGCAGCCCGAGCCGCAGCCCCGCTCACAATTTATGAGCTCCAAGCCGCAGCAGACAGCCTCCTGTTTATCTTTAACTATCCCGTGTTACTTTTTGTTTGTTTTCGCAGCGCACATGTGCAGAAATAGCCCACTTCACTTGTGTTGAAGCCTTAATTATACACTTTTTCGACTCTTTATTTTTTATTCGCTTTTTCCTGGGCGCTGCGTGCTGCATACAGACGCGACTGTTCGAGGGGGGAAACCACACTGTAAAAAGTGTCGCTCTGCACGTTTTATTTGGCCTCGGTTGCTTCTTTGTTTTTACAAACACATGAGAAGAATCAGCCTACAGTTGTGCAAAATTATTTTATCTCGTTTGCAGTTTTACCTTTTGTAGATTTCTGTTCACATGATGCGTAAAAGTGGATCTCCAAAGACGCAGAGACGCACAACCAGTGAAGAGAAGTTTACAAATTATTTGTGATCAACATGGACAATAACATAGACTCATGACTGACTTTCTTTAGTCAGCTCACAAAACTCGACATTTAAACGTCAGATGAGACTACCTGCTCGGTTCAGAGGACATTTCTTGCAGCGTAAAGGTGTGCATATAGTCGCATGTTGTCAGCCCGCGCGTCCAATGTTTGTGCAGCCAGCGGTTTAGGGCTCAAACCGCCGCTACAGAAACCCCCGTCGATCTGTGTACCTTGAAAGGAAAACCAACAAAATGTATCGTCTGATTTATGGAGTCCAGCTCGTTGCCGTGACCGCAGAGAGAAAATATAAGACGTTAAAATTCACAGCGGACACTGTGAAAAGGCATCTGTGGGCCACCACACCACGAGCTATTCTTATCACAGGCAACATGGAAAAAGACGTTTATAGAGTTTAATCCCACTTTTCACTCAAATAGGCCGAGATTCATGAAACGCTGCATCACTGAGACGCTTTCAGGGGCTGCTGGGAAATGACAAGACGTCCTGCAGTCCTGCTGCCCCTGATTTAATGAGACTTTAGTGACTGTTAGTTTACTTTATTTGGCCTGCCAGTCAAGTGGAATAAAACCAACATCCCTCATTGAAGCATTTATGAAGTGTAAAAGGTTCCTACTTTGACCTTTAATTGACCAGAAACTGTTACTTGACCAAATGGAAGCAGATTTTCAGAGGATAAGGGTAAAAAAGTTGAAGTTTAATGAAAAAAAAGTCAGTAAAGTGTAGGCTTTATTGAATCAACTCTTCTCTGATATCATGAAGAAAGTTCATCATTTCAGAAAGACTGAAAACAGAGGAGGATATTCAAGTTGAAGTTTTATAATTACAAAAAGAAAAGTAGAATTCAGGGTGTCTGAATACTTTTATTCATGTGGTATAATTTTACCACAAATGGACTTTTATGTTGCAAAGTACATTTCTGTGGCTCCTCCATTAACAAATGGGAATGTAATACTTTACTGTATCCATCTTTCTGTAGCGCTGTAAAGACAAGCTGAACTCTCTGGCCATTTCGGTGATGAACCTGTGGCCCGGGGTCCGGCTGCGGGTCACAGAGGGCTGGGACGAGGATGGCCATCACTCTGAGGAATCGCTGCACTACGAGGGCCGGGCTGTAGACATCACCACCTCAGACAGAGACAGGAACAAGTACGCCATGCTGGCACGACTGGCAGTGGAGGCCGGGTTTGACTGGGTCTACTACGAGTCCAAAGCCCACATCCACTGTAGCGTCAAGTCAGGTGAGGCAGGACAGAGCAAAGCCACGGGATTGTTTTTTTGTAATGGATTTGTCTTCCAGAGTGCCTGCTGAAAGTCAGAAAATGTCTCAGGATTTGACGTTGGGGATGCTACTACTCACTTTTAATATATTACTAATCAAACTGCAACAATCCTAATGAGAAGCTTTGGAAGACGGTGTGTTTATTTTTCTGAGGTATCAAATCCTCAGCCCTACAAATAACATCTGGATACAAAATTTAGCTGTGTTTTTTAGAGTGAAGGGATCCCAAAATCTTAAACGCTAATGTCTAAACCACTTCTGCCAGCTATTTTTCTTTCAAACATATATTTTTCTACTTCTTCTATCTCTGATCACTAACTGTCTTCTTGCTTGCATCTTGGAATATAAGAGTACCTGCAGACTCTCTTATAGTTCCCCTTTCCTGTTTCTCTCTCAGCTGCCACTCACCCCATGTTCCCAGAGGTCAGGTCAGAGGCCACATCAGGTGTAAATATTTGCTTTTGGACCTTTTTTTTGCTTTTCTCACAAGGAAGCTGGCTTGCCTTTACTTAATACAACCAAATCCATATTATTTTAGAAGAGGAAAATGGTCACATAAGGATAAATATGGGCCATTTGTCAAAACTATGAATAACTGCATCAGAAAATATCTAGTTTAAGAAACGGGACTCAAGCTTACTTCTCAAATGAGAAGATTTTGGGTCAGTTTTGTTTAATTTTCTCCTTATTTTGACACTGAAATATCAGTAACTATTCACAGTTTTCCTTTAGAGAAACACAGAAAGTATAAAATATACTTTTACTCTTTATTTCTTGCAACTCAAGAAAGTAGAAAGTCAGTAAGGTGACTTTTGAACATGTTTCCTGAACTGTGCAGATTTACTAAGTCTCTAATCCTTCCTCTTTATAGTCCAGTGGGATACTTGGCTTCGACTTTTATATTCTTAACAAGAATTTGTCTCCTCTTGTTGTATTAAAACAGCCGACGTTCACATATTCACCACGAGGTTCACCATGTTCAGTTTCAACTCTGTACAGTTTGCAGCGATCATATAAAAAGTAACACACGTGTGCCATTTTGAAGTGGACTTTCAGTTGTGTTATAAGTCTCACAGTCTTGTAAAAATTCATCAGAATTTAAACACCCACCCTAGACATTTTACACTGAGTGGTAACCGAGGTTTTCCTTTTCTTTTCCCCCTCTTTCTTTCTTTTCCCTTCCTTTTTCCTTCTCTACTCCCCTCCCAGATCGGGTTGCGAGGGCCCAGTCCTTGACTTGATCAGAAGGGCAACCAATCAAGTTGGTATTTTTTTTTTTTTTATCTTTTATTTCTTAATTCCTTTTTTGTTTTGATTTGTCTTTTTAGTTTTCTTGTTTTGTCCCCCCCGAAGTTTCTGGAAAGAAGGCAAAAAGACAAAACAACAACAAGATTTTGGAGAGATTAATCCAGCCAGTTGATTAAAATAAAAAAATGAAAAGAAGTTGTGATCATACCAAAAAATCCCAGTGAAGCAGGTAGTCTGTAGTCAGAATGAGGACCAACCACTAGAGGACAGCAAAGCAACAAGACTCTATGGATGATGCACAGGGCTGAGAAGAGGAGCAAAGATGGAGTTGTGTTATGTTGAAACAAGAAGACTAGTGAGACATATTTACCTCAGCCTGCAACTCTTTTACACAAACAACATGAAAATCAAGGGGTTTTTTTTTTTTTAACTCTTTACTCTCCAAAGCAACATTCTGAAGGAATTTGTTCATCTTCAGTAAGAATATTGTTGAATATGGTGTGTTCAGTATTGAGGAAAGAGTTAACCTGCTGTTGTGCGTCTCTCTTGGTTTGTGGTTTCTGATTTTTCTGTGCTGGTCCTCCTCTCACCTGGCCTTGGCGTTTCTTACCTTCTCCAAATATTTATGTTCGGATTGACTTGAGACACATAGATGTACTCACTCACTCACACACACACACACACACACACACACACACACACACACACACACACACACACACACACACACACACACACACACACACACACACACACACAAATCAGTTTGATAGTGGGTTTAGACAGTAAATATAATTTATTTTTATTTCGAATAGCTTTATTATTAATTTTATGATATAATATAATATAGTATAAATTAATGAATTTATTATTATATAAATGTATTAATATATGAATTTGATACTATATAATAAAATATAATATAATATGTTGTATGAATATAATAATATTATTATTATTTATTTTACTATTTTGTGTTGTATTTAGAGTACATACTTGTATATTATCCCTTTATTTTTACTTATTTTAACTATTATTTATCTCCTCTTTCTACTTTATTTGCACTGGAGTTACTGTAATGAAAAGCAGTTTCCCCCCTCAGGATTATCTAAGTATTTCTGATTTTGATTCTGATTTGTTTTGTTGTATTTTGGATCCACCATTAGTTACAACAAAATATGCAGTAACTACTCTTCCTGGAGTCCTTATCTTCTTTTCCATTTTCATTTTGAACTTAGACATGTACTTACAGACATTACACTTCCATAACATTCATTCTACACTTCATTCATTCAAGAGCTCTTATTCTCTCTTGCTTGTTTATTGAAAATAAACCAATATATAAATAAGTTGAAGAAAGTTGCATACTTCATGAATACTGTAATCCTGTTTAACCTCCTCTTTTCTCTTTCTCTCCCTCTCTCTCTCCAAAGATCACTCAGTGGCAGCTAAGTCTGGAGGTTGTTTCCCAGGTGAGGCCACAGTCACGTTGGAGGGCGGCGGCCACAAGTCCATCAGAGACCTGCAACCCGGTGAGCGAGTCCTAGCCTCAGCCGGCAGTGGGAAACTGGTGTACAGTGAGGTCCTGGCGTTCTTGGATTATGATCCTACGACCTGGAAGCTCTTCTACACGCTGCAGACAAAAGCTGGCGCCCGCCTCTCGCTCACTGCCGCCCACCTGCTTTTTGTGACAGAAGGGAACTGCTCAGAGGGGGCGGGGCTTGCACCAGGAGCCCTCAGGACTGTGTACGCCAGTGACGCCCAGCCGGGACAGTGCATGCTGGTGTCAGAGGGTGAAACAGGACAGAGCCGACTGTCTCATATCACCCAGGTCAGTGTGAGAGGGAGCAGGGGGGCGTTTGCACCGTTGACCCAGCAAGGAACACTGGTGGTAGATGGGGTGGTGGCGTCTTGCTATGCGGTGCTGGACCAGCACTCCCTGGCTCACTGGGCCTTCTCTCCGCTCCGCCTGATCTACAGCTGGACTGGATCCACTGGGAGCGATAGAGATGGTGTCCACTGGTACGCCAGACTTTTACACTGGCTGGGCAAGATGCTGCTGGGCTCAGGCCGCCTCCACCCTATGGGCGTGGCACAGGATGACAGGTGAGGGTAGGAAACAGGTAACACAGGAAGACAATTGAAACAGAAAAATCCGAAGCCTAGATTTTACCTGGGTCGACCCTGCAGAGAAAAGCAGGACTAAGAAGGACCACGCGTGGAGACATTTGGGTTCCTGGAGTTTTTCTGGGAGACTAAGGGTTGGAGCATAAATTGTGTACTGACAAAACAGAAAATACAAGAGCACTCAGAAGTAGAGAGACTCTAAAAAGTGAAGTTCCACAGACTCTCAAAGATACATGTATCATTAAAACACTGTAAAACAACAATCCTTTAAAATCCCTTCAATAATTCCTCCATACTGACCTGGAGGAACACTTGGCAACTTTAGTTTCAAGTCTTGAGTTTGGGTCTGGATTAAGCTCCACATTTCAGGTGCAGAGTAATGATGTTTTGTGGGATTATCAATCTCCCTTTAAATGTCATTGGTTTGCATCTGAAAGTGGACCAGCCTCCACTGTAATATGTTAAGGACTTTAATATGAAAGGTGAATTATTGGAACTTTAAGGGATTTTCGTTTCAAAGTGATGTCTACAGGGAAACTGAGCTTGTATGTATCATGGGAGCTTTAACAGAGATTTTTAGAGAAATTAAAGTGTATTTTAACTTTTATTTGTTTACAAAAATTCATGACTGTTCATAAAGTTGTTGTGGGAGACGATATATTTAAAAGATTTATTTTTGACATTAAATTATATAGAAATTAGACGTTTTGTGTCATTTTTTTAGAAGGTTTGGATGATAATATCGGACATCAGCTTCCTGTTAGAGCCACAGGTGTGTGTGTGTGTGTGTGTGTGTGTGTGTGTGTGTGTGTGTGTGTGTGTGTGTGTGTGTGTGTGTGTGTGTGTGTGTGTGTCCAGGGGGGGGGAAAGGGACTGATTTAGCCCCCCTCATTTGACTGTTAAACTTCTCTGTGCGTATAAATAAATCCGTGCGTAAAGACAGCAACACACCAGTTGCATGTATGCAACAGATGTCGGCTAATAATAACAACCTGCTGCGCCTTTAAGAGCATGACCGAGAAGGAAACTCAATATCTCTCCCCATCCAGCTCAAGTCTTCATCAATTAACCGTGAGCGCAAGAACTGGGCGATATCTGACTCAGTCCCACTGAACCTCACCTAACTTTACCTGATCATTGTGTGTTTTTCTGAGAGTCTTGTTTTGTTTTGTCACACATAACCCGGATTAAATTACGCATTGCACCTTTAAGACGCTGTCGCCGGGATTAGAGTTACTCGTTGTGAGCCAGGTCGCCCTCCGGAGGGGTTTTACGCACCACTGAAGGGTCGCCTCCATCGACATAACTCCCATCTGTCCCTCCTCCTCTTCTTCGCTGGTCCTGACACCGCCGGGGAGCCTCCACGCCGTGCGACATGGCCGAGCCAGGGAAAGGGGTCACCGCCGGGAAACTGGCCATCAATGTCCAGAAGAGACTGACCAGGGCGCAGGAGAAGGTAGACTGTTCTCTCAGCTGATCAGAGGCTCGCATGGCAGCGGGACACTGTGTCCTCTTGTCTCTGTGAAACCAGATCCCTCAACTCTTTACCATTGAATTCCACTAATCTGAATTTAAAAAGGGTCTTGACATAATATTCTCTTCTAGAAATCAGTGAGTTGTTCCATATCAGGGTTTTGAGGGGGGTGGTCAAAGCAATACTTACCTGAACTTCAGATGTGAGGTCAAACATGTGAGCTAAGTTTTGCTTACTTAAACTATCTGTACATATTACTATTATCTGGTTTTAAAGAGAAAACTCTGAATTGTAGTACACTGAATATGCCTTATTAGAGCCATGACTCCCAGATTAATTTAACATTGAGATTGTCTTGAAGATCGTAGCCAGATCGTAGATTATGTAGCCACCATACCAAAACACTGATCTAAATTAAGGAGTTTGATGTGCTTTAAAGGCTAGATTAAGGATTTAGAAAGATATTCTCAGTGTGTGCAAGTTTAATCAACACAGCTGAAATTTCTCAGAGCAAGAAAACAAGCTGAAGAGCGGCTGTTTGCATTTTCAGCCTCAGTGTCAAACTTTTAACACAAGTAAACATTTGGCTTCATTAGCTGAATTTATTCAAGTAGTTAGTTACAATTTAAAAATAAAGAAGAGTGCAGGGAGTGGAGTCAAGTGTTTAGCATCTATAGCATCTCGTTGGTTGTGTGATTTTGAAAAATCCAATTTAGCTGAACCAGAATGCTATATCTCTGAGTTTACTAATTTTATTTCACAGTAAGTTACTACAACATACAGAATTAATATTTGATGATAGGGAAAGCTCTTTATAGTGACAGAATGAAACCTGACCAACGGTCTGTGTTCAGCTCGCTGTCTGTGAGTTATTATTGTCTGTCCTAATCACTCCTGTCGCTTAAGCCTGCTGGGGTTTTACCCTCTAATCACCTCAGTACCACACCAGGAGTGCTGTCAGTCAGTCCCACACTTTTCACCTCTCACTTTGTTTAACTTAACATGTTTAAGAGTCGCTGCTGTTGGTATTTTATTCAGACTCTTCCAAAAGTCTCCTCATTCTGCCCTTTTCCCTCGCAAACTTGGCTCATCCTCCACTCTTTAAGGTTAAATTTGGCTAAAATAGTTGGTTTTTAATGTGCTGGTTTGCTTTTTTCAGACTTGAGTGCATGAGAAGTTCCCCAGCAAAGCTAACTTCACTAAACACAGACATAGTCCAACTACTTTGAGAGTCTTCCTGCTGTGGCAGAGTCCCTGTGCAGAGCTAATCGATCATTTCAGCAGCTCTGAATGAACTTTGGACAGCTGCTGTTGAATGAAATAGCATCTGTGTCCCACGTTCCTCCTGGCCTCATGTGGGAGCTTGTTTAGCAGCAGGCTTGTCTTTAACATCGCCATTGCGTACTCGTCTTTTCTATGAAAATAGCATATTATGGACAGCAGTAAACCCAGATTTCCCCCAAATAAAAGGCTTTTTTTTCTACTGGCTGTAAGATAATTCTATCATAAATTAATAGCAGTCTGTGTTTTCATAACAAAAGTCTTGTGACACTCCAAGTAAAAATAAATAATCCGTTAATCTCTGCATCTTAGTCACCTTTTTAAATTGGCCCAACCTTTACCAGCTACATGAAGGAGGTTAATAAACCCATTACCCATGATAGGATTCAATCAATTAGTACAAAGTAATAAATGCAAATACTACAACACTGTAAAGCTCAGATGAAAAGGATTTATAACATAAATGACAGATTTCATGTCTTAAATTTAGCAGGCGAAAGATTTCAAGTAACTTTCTGCTTTTCTACTTAAGTCAAAACAAAAGACCAAACTCTGCAGAGCTCTAAATGAGCTCGAAGGAATTAATACCTGCTCATGATTGCTCAGAGGTTGAGACTTTGAGATGAGTCCGAGCCCTGAGTTAAAGCTCTGAGGGTAAAGAGGAAGGTCAGAGTATCATCTTCCTTCTGAAGGCCGGCCGAAATGGAGGAGGGGTGCGTCGGATTCAGCTGTCTGCTGGCGCGCCGTCCTCCACCCTCAACCCTTCACCCTCCACCTCGCCAGCTCACTTTATGTCTGAGTCTCCTGTCCTGAGAGGAAGCTGGACTCTGCTGAAAGCTAGAACTAATGCAGTCGTAGATTTGCAGTAAAAGAAACAGACTCAGTTCCTGCGTTCCTGCACACTTTGACCTACAAACACCTTTTAACTTTGGCCTTTCTGTGCACCCTCACAGAGTAATTTGATTTATTGACTCGTACAGACCCTTTTCTAGAAATCATCACGGTTGCCATAGTGATGTAATCTCACCCTCTCATGAACTGGTCAGCTGTGTAGCAGGGCATGCTGGGCGAATTCTCCTTGGTGGAATCCGGATGAGTTGGGTGACGGAGAAAGGGTGGGGGAAGGAGGAGGTGGAGTGGGGGCTGTAGGAGACCCACTGAGGTGCCAGGAGGGCAAGACCCTGGGTCTCTGACCTCCACCCTCTCTGCACTCAGAGCCCCCCCCCCAACACCCCAAATACACCTCTCACATCCTTCACTGACCTCCAAAAATGGTGACTCTTATCCTGCTAAAAGTCCGCTGCAAAGTGCCTAAAGTACTGAACGAAGGTCCTGTGAGGAGTTTGGAGCTGGTCATGAAACAAACTGAAATTAATATTTATGCCTCAACAACCAAAACAAACAAACAAGACCATAAACAAGATCTTAGACCGCTTCTATACAGTTATTTGAAATGTCTAAAACCACCATCCAGAGGTGCCAGACAAAGCGATAAACTGCTGGTACAGCTTTATACACGTTATATGGCAGAAAATCTTACTTAGTTAAAAAAATCATTAACTGAACACACAGAAAAATTAAAATCAACAAAGACTGCTCTGTCTTTGTCGCACAAATGACAGAAACCCAAAGTTCCTCACAGGAGCTTTAATGACAGATAACAGCGGGGAGCGACAACCTCAAAATGTAAAAACAAAACAAAACCTAAATGAATAAAAGCCAAATTAAAGAACAAGTAGTGGCTTAATATGATTAAGTTTCAAAGAGGACCATCCCAGTAAAGGGCCTCCAAATTTCAGAATGAGTCATAGTTTTCATCAATAAAAGCTCAAAATGAAAGTGAAGTTACACAAAGAAAAGGTTCTCTGACATTTTCTCACTTTAACATCCAGACAATTTCCCAAGAAATAGAAACAATCAAACACTGTAACTACTTTTCCGTAAATACCAGTGTAGTTGCTTTATACAACTACACTGTAGAGCTATTATAATCTGTAAAAGGCACTCTCAAAACTCCTGACGATAACTGCAAAATGTTTGTTTTTAACTATTTATGAAATGTTTGTGAAAAGCTTGTTGAAGCTAAAAAAGGGGGGTTAGATGTAAATACATGTTTTTTTTTATTTACTCTGTTATCATGTTAATTAAATATTATTTATGTAGTGTATCAGGAAAAGCATAATAAAAGCACGTCTTTATTTTAAACGTAAAGAAAAGTAATGTAAATCCAAAACGATCAAACATCAAACATCAAACCTCTAAGTTTCCACTGCTTGGCCTCCACACCTGCGCTCGCCCCATGCCCCACCCCCTTTCATGGACTCCCAGCATGCCTCACTGCTGTGGGCGGAGTTCAGATATGTGTGTGAGTGTATGTGGGGGGGTGGGGGGGTATCTATCTATAACTCTTGTGGGCCTTCTCCTCCTCTCTGCTCTTAATACCCCACAAACCTGCTGTGTGTAACCAGTATATTTTTGGGAGGTGAAATTGAACACCAGTGGTTTTTGGATGACGCTGAACACACACACACACACACACACACACAAACACATACACACATATAATAACACACTAAAGAGTTTTCCTATGTACCAGAGTTTACAGTAAAAGTGACTCTTTGCTTCCACGCATTAATGGTGACTTGAAAGCAGCGAGGTAACATGATCTTTCCAGACTTTTCAAGAATCCCCTGAATGCATCAGGAGACATTTGAGTGCTGCACAATGAGCCACAGACACTGAGGGCTGTAAAAGATACACCAGGTGTGTCGTCCAAATATAGATCTGGAGTTTAATAGAAACAACTTGTTCATGATCTAATTTTCAGGAAAGGCTTTGAATTCCATACCTGCACTAGATTAATAATGCAAATATATTACTCTGTTTATGTGGCACTAACAAGGAGGTAGGAAAAAAGTCGTCCGTTTTCCAAGCTTGGTTGACTGAAGACCTGTTCTTCACTCACAAACATGACACTGAAAACTGAAAATGCAAACAAACCAATGTTCATGAGAGTTAATTTGGAGAGAGAAAGAAAAAAATGTAGTTTAAATGTTGTTTTTGTATATTCAAAGCACAAACCCTCAGTCTGCTTCGTAAAAGTTCTTGGTGAGAGACACTTTGAATATCCTCAGTGTTAATATTTCATGAAAAAAAAGGAACATTACACTTCACTTTTTATTCTCTATGATCTTTACCTCTAACTAAATCTGCATGACTATAATAGATCGATGGTTTGAATACGCTATAAATAGACTGTTCCTCTGTCGTAGACTCTGATGTGTGTATGAATGTGTGGATTCTCAGTGAGCAGGTGTGTGTGTGTGTGTGCGTGCGTGCGTGCGTGCGTGCGTGCGTGCATGTGTGTTTGTGTGTAAGTGTTGGGGAAGTCCCGTTGTCGTGTTGCTCGTGGTTTGTGTATCTGTCACAGGATTATGGCAGCAGGTGGTGCTGGTGGTGTCGCAGCTCTCGGTTAGATCAGATTAGCTGTGACCTTGTGAACAAACCAAACATCCTCATTTCTTGTAAAGGAAACTTTCAAACACAAAATGCAGACATAGAAAAGACACAGAAACATGTCTGCTTAAAGATCTGAATAAAAAAAACACATTGAATGAAATGAAACTCAGACAGACTGATGAATCGGTTCACTGATTGACTTTCTGCTCCTGTGGCCTGCTCTGCAGGTGATGCAAAAGCTCGGGAAAGCTGACGAGACCCGGGACGCTGCTTTTGACGAGATAGTGGCAAACTTCAACAAGCAGATGGTCAGAATGAACTTCATTTCTTTTTTTTTACTGATATTCTTGACACTTTTTGCACTTTTTAGGTTCATTTCTCTGTTCTCCTCCTTCTTCTCCCTCAGTCTGAAGGCACCAAACTACAGAAGGACTTTAAAGCTTACCTGGCAGCAGTGAAAGGTGAGTGTTGGTCGTTTTTTTCAGTAAGTTTGTCTCTTTAAATGAAACAAAAGAAGCTCTCTGGACAGGTTTATGTCGATGTATGTTTCTCCTGTTACGCTGTTTGTCTGGTTTTGTTTCAGCAATGCATGATGCATCCCGGCGACTGCAGGACTGTCTGGCTGACATGTATGAGCCTGAATGGTTTGGAAAAGAGGAGATGGACACACTGGCAGAGGTGAGAGATGGAAACTGTTCAGTGATGCATACGAGTGGCTGTAAAAGAATCTGGGACTGTCTCTTCTCTCTCTTCTTCTTTTATCCCTATGTTTCTTGTTTTCTCTGCTTCCAGCTCAGCATCAGAAACACTTTTCACAAAACTAACACGAATTTCCTCTTTCCGTTTCTCTTTCCACTCATGCTTTTCTTTCTCTAACTGCATGAAGGAGATGATAGAAAAGGAGATGGACAATAATTTGGAGGTAAAGCGCAGACAGAATCCAAATCAGGGTCAGGATAAATTTACAAAATACAGACATTTGAGGGCAGATTTCAAATCTAATCCAACTTTATCGATTTTTTTGTAGATATAATGATGGTTCCCAGTTTGGCTCTTTGTGAGACACACTGGTTCAGATCTGCTGTTAGGTTGTAAAGTCCACAGGTCATCTGATATTGACCTTTAAAAATAAGTATTTATTCTTAATTTACAGCAGCTGTGACCAGGATATCTTGACAGCATTAAGCATCAGTTTAAATATGATATGAAGTATTTGTAAATAATTAAGGTTTCTTATATTTTACTTAAAGAAATTATATTCAGTGTTTTACTTTTGCAGACACAGGCATTCACAGAAGAAAAAGACTGATTCAGTTTGCATTATAACCAAAGAAATTATAAATTAAGTCTAGAGCTGATCTTTATTTTTTTCAAAAAATCTCAAATCTTACAAGTTATTTTTATCTCGATTTTAATACGATTGTATGTTTTTATTTCAGGACACAGACACTCTGTGGTTGGATTACCACCAGAGCCTTACAGAAAAATCGTTGGCCCCCATGGACACATACCTGGCTCAGTTTCCTGACATCAAGGTTTGTCTCAGTCGGCTTTAGTCACAGAGAAGTAAAGAAGGAAACCAAGTTAAAGTGACCTTTTCATTTCATGATCCCTTCTGCCGCAGGCCCGTATAGCAAAACGAGACAGGAAGATGGTGGACTTCGACAGTGCGAGGCATCACTTTGCCTCCTTACAGAAAGGAAAGAAGAAGGATGAGGCCAAAATTGCCAAGGTAACCCCCAGTGAGAGAGTGTATTTGTTTGGGTCTGTCCCATAGACTGTATATACAATGGACAACTTGGTTCCGCCTACCGCCTGTATACGGATTTGAAGCCAAAAAGCTGTCGGTATTTCCAGGATTTTTCTTCATTTCCTGAAACCAGCGCTGTGTAGCAATGCGCACATTCGGCCACGCAGTCGCAGAGAGTCGCTGTGATGACGCTCGGCTCAAACAGCATATCCCCCGGGAGAGCTACGCAATCACTGAACGCCCATAGGCTGTATCAGGTGTCGATCATAGCAAACATGAACCCCCTAATAACTTTTAAAAACGGAGCTTCACAGAAAACAGAGGACTTGAGCACAAACCAGTCTGACAGTAACTACATGTCAACATTGCAAGCAGGGGGGAGAAAAATGTATGTTCTGTGTTATGAATTTCTAAAGTTTGTCCACAGCCCCATAAGCTTTGCTGGAGGAGGCGGGATTTATGACCTATACTGCAGCCCATCAACAGAGGGTGCTGTTCTCGGAGTTGTTCTCGAATGCGCGCATTGCTACTGCGCAGCGCTGGTTTCAGGAAATGACGAAAAATCCCTGAAATACCGAGAGCTATTTGGCTTCAAATCTGTATACAGGCGGTAGTCGGAACCAAGTTGTCCATAGTATATACAGTCTATGAGGCAGACTATGAGGAGTATCAGCTCCATTCTATATACAGTCTATGGTGTGTCCTATAAGTGACTGTATGAGCATGCTCTGCAGTTTTAAACTTAATATGATTTAAGGTTGTATGAGCTAGTTGTTTTACGGACGAGTCAAAACAAAAGTCGTTGTGTGACTGAAAAGCTTCAGCTGATTGTCCAGATTAACAGAAGTGACTGATTGTCTTGTTGACTTTATGCTAATTGACATGCATTTGTCTTGAATTGTTCTTGGTTGCTTTTCTTCTTTCACCTCTCTTCTCTACCTTTCCTGGCCTCTTCTCTCTCTCTCTCTTGTTTCTTCTCTTCCTTCCTCTTCCTCCTCCTCTCTCTTTCTCCTGCATGCTGTGTGCGGTTAGCCAGCAGCCTTGTTGGAGATGGCGGCTCCCAGCTGGGCTCAGGGTTTGATATCAGCCCACCAGGTGGCTCAGACTAACCTCTCCTACAACCAGGTGAAACTCTGGTTCATCACTGACTCCCCCCTCCTCACCCCAAACCTATAAACCTGGTCCTCCACCCGTAGGCTCTCCACATGAACAGATATGTGAGCAGCTTGGTGAAGTGAGGCAGATCAGTGCTTAAACATTTTAAATATTCATTTCATGGTCAAGTTTCTGCAGAAGAAATTACACTTTTTTAATGAACCCTGCTTGTTTTACATTTGTTCTCTGTCTGCAACACTTAAAATCAGTTAAAAGAATGAATTGAATTAAATTTGTGGACATGAAAAGAGGATTTTTTTAATAAATGAAAGACTTTCTGTCTTGTTTTTCGAAGTAACCCAATAATGCACACACTTACTCACAAAATACGACCAAGGTTACACAGTTTGATGGCTTTTAAGAGAACATTTTTGCTGTTTTAGGTTTCAAATGAAGCATCTCAGTTTTAAAGAAAAGCTCAACTGATCATGTGCAGAGAGCCTCACATTAATTTGATACCAAACTTCTGATTTTGTTTATTATGTGTCACAGATATTTGTGCATTTGACGGAATTACCCTTAATTTTTTTGAATGCAGTTGTCAGCATTCTTATGTCTGTGGTTATTAAACCCTGTTGTTTCTGACTTTCTGCATGCATGTGTGCTTTTAAAAAAAAACCCTGAAATGAATCAGTTTAGGTTACTGTTTACATATTTATTAAGATCTGTGTGTGTGTGTGTGTGTGTGTGTGTGTGTGTGTGTGTGTGTGTGTGTGTGTGTGTGTGTGTGTGTAGGCTGAAGAGGAGCTGGGTCGAGCTCAGAAGATTTTCGAAGAGCTGAATGTGGAATTACAAGATGAGCTTCCGACACTGTTTGAAAAGTGAGACACATTATTCTGTTTTATTTCCTGTCGTTTAGATTACTGTAATGCCCTGCTCTCTGGCCTCCCCTAAGAAGAACTTACATACTCCTCAATTATTACAAAACTCAGCTGCAAGAGTGCTGACGAGGACCAGAGGGCGAGAGCATATATAACCCCAGTTTAAGCATCCCTGCATTGGCTCCCCGTCCGTTTCAGGGTTGATTTTAAGGTTCTTTTATTAGTTTTAAGATGTATTCACGATCTTGGCTCCTCCTAATAGCTGACTTACTTTTATTGGCTTTTCAGTTTGGGCTACTTTCAATTTCTATGGTCCCCAGTTTTGGAGCAGCCTGCCAGAGAGCCTCAGGGCCGCAGAGACTGTTGATGTTTTTAAGAAGAGTCTCAAGACTCATCTTTTAACCAGGCTTTTCACTCAAAGCCTTTTCTTATTTCTCTTATTGCTACTGTTCATTGTAATCAAAGTTCTTAGTGTTTATTTTATGTATTTTTATTCTTACTTAGTTGTTCATTTCAGGTTTTACTTTTTCTCTTTACTGCTAAAGAAATCAGGCAAAGTTAAAAAAGATGTTTGGGGGCTAGTACTGTGGCTGGGACCCTATATGTACTGTTGATGAAGTTAGGTGCTGTTCTGAGCATTATTTGTGGCTATAGAGTGACTTTTTGGTTGAGGTTTGTTTATGGCTCCTCAGACTGCTGTGTATTGCTATTGTGCGGTCGTCACTAAAGTTGGTATAACTGGAGAAGCAAGCGGTCGGCAACATTCATCACTCAAGGGGGTGTCTAACTTGGTGTTAACGGTGTGTTTGACCCTAAATTTATTTAACGCCGGAATATCCCTTTAAATGCTCGCTTTGTGCACTTGTGTGTGGGTGGGAGGGTCGGGTTTCACTGTTGTTTTTAGCCTCTTTAAGGCACTTTGAATCACACTCTTTTATGAAAAGTGCCATATAAATAAAACTGAATTAGAATTTGAAAATGATGTGTTTGTGTGTGTCGGCAGTCGTGTTGGCATCTATGTTAACACATTCCAGGGTGTTGCAAGTCATCAGGAGAAGTTCCACAGGGAGATGGGCAAGGTGAGATCATTGCTTCAACAGTTAGTAAACAGCTGATGTTTTGATTTGTCAGAGATTCTCATCTGCTTCATTTGTCTCCTTAGCTCAGTGAAAACCTGAACGACATCATGACCAAGCTGGAAGAACAGCGGCAGCTCAAGTAAGTGACAACGGTACCAAGTACTTAAAGTTTTACGTAATGTCAAATCAGTTAGAGTAATGTCTCTCATACCGCCCCTTAATACAGAAAAAGTGGTACTGCAGCAGCAAAGACAGGAGATGATGCCAAGAGGTAAAATGGTCTGCATGCAGGTTTTTGCATGAATTCAATCTTTGGTTTATTAAGATTACCTCATTGAATATCTTTGAAATAGGAGTTCAGACCACTGGAACAGCAGAAGATAGAAACAAACAAAGGATGATTAGGTCCATAAGTATAACATTAAATTTCAATATTCACTCTGATTCATCTTGAGAGCACCCAGAAGTTCAGCATGATCATTTTAACAGTTCCTTCCCTGCACAGTGCACACTTCTATTTGCTCTTGCTGCCATAAATTAATGAAAATAAAAATGATTATTTGAATGTTACAGTCAGGTTGCTTTAGTACAAGGCCGAGCAAACACTTGTTTGATAATTCCTCCTCCTTACGGTCTACTCTGCATGTGTGCCATCATTTCCTGTTAACTCACCTTTTTGTGTACAGCACATTTATTTATAAAGCTATTTGCCGCCCTCGTGTGGATGAAAATGAGAACTGCATGTCATTAAACCTGACTCCTTTTTTTCTCTCTGCCTCTTTGTCATATCTTTCTTCGCTGTTTTGTTCAGCCTGTTTTCATTATGACATCATGACATTAAATCATCTTTATCTTTTCTGTTGCCTTCTTCTTTAAGTGAGGAAGCCAACCACAGTGAATCGGCCAGCTCAGCACCAAAGGTAAAAAAAAACTCACTGGCAGCATCTAAAAACTCTCTGACAACATTAACAATGAAAACCTGAACTAGTTAGTTGTCTGTTGCCTGATTGCATGCATTTTTTAATTGGTTTGATACTTAACCCTGTACATGGCGCAGAGGCCAGGTCCTCCTCCTAGCCGTCCTCCGCCCAGACTGACACCGTCTCCAGACCAGAGACAGCAGCATGCCAGCCTGTTAGAGGACGAGGCCACAGTGCCTGACACTGACACAGACTACACCTCCGCAACAACACAACAGGTCAGACCATAGATCCTTCTGCTTGACTGTGCAAGTCAAAAGTACGATCTGTAAAGTGAGAAGTAAGAAAAAAGTCATTTCTTCAGGGTATTGTAGATATTAAAGGATAAATTTTGCCTTTTATCATTTCATTACTTATTAGAATATTTATTCAGTTTATTTCCACAGTCAGAGCAGAGGTTTGCAAATCAAAGTACTTAAGTGTGGCGACTATTTCTCAGGCAGAAACCCCTCCTAACTCAAGTGTATGAATGAATGAGTGTGTGTATGTTTACGTGTGTGTAGCAGAATGAGCTTTGGTCAGTGAGCCTGCTGGATTGGGATGTAGAGGTATTACAGCCCGTCACATGTTCAGCTCCTAAGGTGGGTGAAGGTCAGAGCTCTGAGCAATTGCATGCCGAAGAAAACGTTAATTACATGACATACATTTGGATAGGGTTCCATTCAAAGAGAGTAGTTTGAGCAAGAGAGCAAACTTGAAATCTTTGACATTGAACCGTGCATGAGTCAAATAGTTTTGCAAATTTTTGACTGCATGTAAATACATCTAATCATTCATTTCAATGAGTGTATGGTTGAGTAGTTTTCTAATACTCTGCATGGCTTTCTCAATGCATGCATGTCCAGCCTTACTTTGCATGAGAGTGTTTGTTTCTCTGGGTGCTGATAACACATTATCGATGACTGAAAAGATTCAATAGGAGTATCAGCTCCACATAGTGTATTCTCAGATTCATATTACAAGCATAAAAAGAATTATTAAAAAATAGTAAATTAGTAAGCGCTAAATAATGGATAAATACAGGAAAAGAAACTTTATTTTAACAGTTCAAAGATGATTGAAGTTGTTTTTTCAGCTAAATTCTTGTGTGTTTAAGTAGTGTCTGATGTATAATTGAGATCTAGAAAATATCCTCTTGAGCACTTTCATCTCATTTACCATCCTGTCTCTAAATGCTTACGTAAGGAGCCGTCATGGGACTCATGGGTAAGCTTGAACTCCACAGAAATCTTCCTCTCGTTCACAATCACAGAGCTTTTGAAAGTGGAATAATAACAGTCCAACTGCATCTTTTTGTTATGGCAACCTCCCACACTACACCTTGTTGTGACTTCCATTTTCCTTTCCAACCCAACAACTACTTGGGCATTCAATTGCTTTCTTCTTTTGCTCACCAAATCGACACATCGCCCCCCAAAATCCTGACCTTTCATAGAAAGAAGAGGACCCTACTGATCAGGTTGATGACCAATATTCAGAAGAAGCTGGGGGCTCCTGGGAATACAATGACAGCAACACACAAAGCTACACACAGCCGAGCTGGGACGACACAGAAACAGCCCAGGATCAAGAGAGCTGGAATGACGATGGAGGATATACCACCCAGTCATACACAGAGCCCAACTGGGACGATGATGGCACTCAAGTGGGACAGGGTGGCTGGGGCAATGATAGCGAGGTACAGGTAGAGTTAGATGGGTAGAGACGTAGGTGTGACCTTAAAGCCTGGAATCCAAGGACCTAAAGATTCTCTCCTCTAAACAGGCACTTCCTTCCCTTCCTCTTTCCCGCTCTTTCCTCCTAATCTGCCCAAACTGCATCTTGAAACAACATAAAACATTTCTTCTACCCCTTCAATAACACATAGACCTGTTCTGCTTTATGTTTGTGATTTAGAGTGCGGTGACCAATGGCTCAGGTGGTGACCTCCCTCCAGGATTTCTCTACAAGGTTTGACATTTTAATACCTCCATGTATTCACCATTGAAATAAACAGTTTTAGAGAACGTCAACATATATATATATATCTATGTAAAAATTTGTTCAGTTGCAGTTGTTGAAATCCAGTAAGTTAGTAGATTTCAGTATGTTGCAGATTATGTATAAAGCTCATAAGAAAATTTTGCCAGTCAACATCCAGTTGTTATAACTTAAAAGGATTTGAAATATTTAAAAAGCCAAGATTCAGAACTAAACTGAAAGAGCTGTGTTACAGTGAGAGGAATAAGTTTGTGGAACAATCTGAACAAAGAAACTAAAGAAGCTAAATCAAATTTCATCTTCAAAAAAGTGTCAAAGACAGTATGTTGATTAAATACAGGGAAATATGTTCATCTAAGTCTTGGTATGTTTGTTTTGTGGAAAAACGTGGATTAACGTGGTCTTTTCTTCTTTCTGCTCCTTTTCATTCACATGTTTGAGATTTTTCCTTGTTTGTATTGAATGTTTTGAATATTAACTGCATGAAATAAAGTATGAAAATGAAAAAATGGAAATATATGGATCATAAATGAATCATATTAAATCAAATCTTTTGTTTCCCCCTGTCCTCTAGGTAAAAGCGATACATGATTATGCTGCTACTGATGGTGATGAGCTTGAGCTGAAGATGGGAGATGCTGTGCTTGTTATGGCCTTCGACAACCCCGATGAACAGGTCTCTCTAACTGATTCTTAGTGTTTTTGGCTTTAAAGAGAGCGATTTCAACCCTTTCTGGGCACATAAGTTATTGATAACCCATTAATAGCTCTTAGTGAATTCAGGCTCTTATAAAGTGATGAGTTGTAAACTGTTTCAGATGAAGTCAAATTGGTTTTCTGTCCTCCTGCAGGATGACGGCTGGCTGTTGGGTGTGAAGGAGTCTCACTGGGTGCAAAGCAAAGATATTTCAGCCAAAGGCGTTTTCCCTGAAAACTTTACTCAGAAGGTTTGAATCCCAGGCCTCAAAATGGTTCTGTCCCTCTCCTGTGCCCAAAACATGTCAGATGACTCTAACTGATAGAGACTGGGTTGAATTGTCACCGAACATCCACAAACCAAAAAGGTGCATGATTAGAAATGTGCACTAAGTATAAACTCTTAATCTAAATAAATGCTGTTGAAAGATAATGAAGCTTAACCTAAACCCAGAACCTTGTGGAAAACATGGGTCATCTTAAAAATACAACACAAATTAAACTCTTTTATTTTTTCTGTTTTGTTTTCATTATTTTCTTTCCTGCAATATTTATATTTTTGTTTAATTAAAATGAGGCCCACAACATTGCATTGGGGATATCAATAACAGGAGAAAGGAGTCATGATGTACTGTATGAATGAACTACTCTACATTGTCTATTGTTGATGGATTTTGGATGATTCTATGTTTTGAGAATATTTCACAGTTCTTTGCATGAAGCTTTTAACTGTACTGTCATTTTCTTTTTTCACACACCAAACACTGTGACACCAGACACCACTAATAAAAAAGTTGGTGTGCAGGGCAATGCCTTGTATTTTCACAGTTCCTTTACACACAGGATGATCAGAGGGAACATTTTTTTTGTTTGTTTTTTTTTTCATTTATAACATGGCCATTTTGCCTGTTTCCCAATGCACAAATGGGATTATTTAGTTTTTCAGTCATCTTCTCGTTGATGGATAAAAGCAAGATCTAAACCTGAATCCCAGTTACTTTTTTTTCTTCTTTTATATTTTCACCAAGTGTGATTGTTCACCATCAATACAGATATCATATTACTTTCTGCAATCGGGGAAGAGGCTATCTGACTGGACTGTCAACCTATTTCTGCACACCAGAGAACTCTGGGTCACTTACTGTAGTGTTTTCACAATAAATATGAACCTGTGGCTAAAACATCCAGAACCTTTATCTGGTTCTTGGTGAGGAGCCTGCCATCCAAACTCTAAGAAAATATCCAGCAGTATAAGGAAACCCATGCAAAAGGTATTATTATTACATTGTGTTGAAGGAGTTAGAAAGGAATAAGTCTGAGAGATAACTAACGCACCATCTGTTGGATGAAAACAACATTAAAGATAAATGGAACAATGTGCTTTGTCAATGTGACCTGTGTCTTGTCCTTTTTACTCTGTCTGAGTTGTGGTGATATTTTCCTTTTAGATAGATATTACATTTTAATTATTAACATCAGCTCTCAAGGGTAAAAGAAAGTAATTATTAACTTTTTTGTTATTGTAATGTTGAAGGTAATTGAAAAGGCATGCACTATAGAGCGTGAACTCTCTGCCATCAAAATTACACATGTGCACTAGTATTTAATGTGATAAACCAAATTGAACTTTGTACGAGGGGCAAATAACATCCTTTTTTTAAGATAAGATAATAAACTTGATAAAATTTTTGACTACCAAAACTGTAGGTATTGTTTCCTCCCCCTCTCACAGTCTGAGTTAATTAGACTCACCTGGTGATTCTCGTTAGGGTTAGCTGTTTTTAATGGGGAACACCTGCTGAGTCTCTTTAAGGTTGGCTGTCCACTGTATCAAAATTAAATTGTTCAAGGAATTACATTTGAAATCTGTTCAGTCTATTTAAAGTCAAACTTTCTTTTAGAGTCCACATGAAGTGTGAGCGCAAATTTCCTCCTAACTTTATAAAGGTATTTGACATCTTTGTGTTCAGGTTTGGTAAATATGCTTCAGCATACTTGTTTGGTTTGTGTATTTATGTGTTTTGTATCAGTACATCAAGCCAAACCGACAAACCACAGATCAGACTGGCCTCTACCATTATTGTTCTGTTAATCTACATTTCTGCTGACAGTCTGAGCTTCATTCCGGCCACGGCTAATGTTTCTACAACAACAGGACACTCAACCATGTGGAAAACACAACAGAGCAACTCAGCCAGGCCTCATGACGTGTGTGTAGGGGGGTCTTTTCCCCTATCCTAACAACAGATCACACTGCATCGAGAAGTCTGATCATAGGGAAAATAAAATTTCAACATAAGTATTTGAATCTAGGAGATATTTAATCTCCTAGAGAATTTTACTCATGACCACCTGTGTTTTTATTGTCCCCAACAGTTGTAGGCTTAATAATGTACACACCACTATCCACAACTCAAAGTGCATTTACTTTGCACTACAAAACAAGAACCCTTTGTGGAAAACCATGTCAAATTATGAAGAATATGTGGGTGATAACTTCTTTTTGTGTTGTTTCTCCTAACAAGTATGTTCTTCAGCAGATTGTTGCCGTTGTTTGCCATGAACACACAAATCCGCCTTCCAGTCAGGATTAACACCACCAGAGAGTAAAAAGAGCCTTTGAAAGAGTGAACAGTGAAACTCTATGAAAGTGTGTTCAGTCAATCATTACTTGGCAGTACATCATTATGTTTCCAAGGTGACTTAGAGACAAATATATAACAGATATTTGAACTAAAAAAGGATAATATTGAACAAAAACTGTACTCAGCCCACTGCTGGGTAAAATATCCTTCTATTAAAACAAAATTCAATGATATATTTTTTTTAGGTTTACAGCTCGCTTAAGCGCACTGAGAAATAAGTTTGGTCATTTGGTCAAAAACAATGCTGGCCTTCATCTGTATGTGGAAAATATTCTGTAGAAATCATAATTCTGTGTTAATCTCCGGCTTTCAGTGTTACTTGAATCCAGCCAACTCAATGTAACCACCAGACATGTTTTCTTTTTCTGTGAAGCACTAAAACTCAGTCGGAATAGTCATTGCACACACTGACGTTGTGTTACCTCCAGGAAATAAATCATTAATCCTAAATGCCATCTGCTTTTTAGAAAGGTGCGCTGTAATGTTGTCCCCAGTTTTGCATTGCAAATGAAGCTGGACCAGAGTGGCAATGCAATGCTTATCTGTAACAAAAGTCTATGTAGGTCACTCCAGTAAGGTGTCTGTTTTCTGTCCTTAACAAGAAAAGTGAAGAAAAGTTCTAATGGGCTTTATGCACAGCTCTACTACTTCCTGAATTCAAGGCAGCTCCTTTTTTATTTCCTGTGTTACATTATTGGACAAACTGATTAATCCAGGTGTGTCTGATGAGTCAAAATGATCAGTCACACCTGGATGAATAATGTAAGACAGGAAATAAAGGAGCTGCCTTAAGTTCAGGAAGTAGTAGATCAGTGCATAGAGCCCAAGTTTTTATATTATCACAGCTCAGCTACAAAGTCATTTTTAAATGAGAGCAACTATTTTTTTTTTAGTAACTGACAGCAGGCAAAAAAAAGTGTCCCTGAACAAGTTTGAACACATACTTATTCATTGCTGAGCAACAGCGACTAACATACCTCAAATCTAAGGCGTGTAATTAGAGGAGGGGGCCAGTGGGTCATATTTCACCGCCACTATTATCTTTCTCTGTGGTTACTCATTTGTGTAACAACAGCCTTTGTGCAGGGGAACATTCCAGTTGATATTTTGTGCTTCTTCCTCCTTATGGTGTTTGCTTCTCCAGCTCCTTCAGTAACCACAACATGCCAGGTTGTTGCCTAGTTATAGGACACTATAAAGCTGTGTCCCAAACCCTACCTGACACAACATCCCCAGCTGCTCTTCAAGGTGACAAGGGAACATTTAAAGCAAGGAAAACATGGTGAGAAAATCTTCATTCATTCTTTAATTCTTACAGATTAATTAGATAAGTAACTGGAAATCATCTTGATAAGAGATCCTGAAGACCTATCACATTTAATATTTGCAAAAGTGACTGGATTATTTCATACTGTAATAGTCTTAAATCCCTCTAAGGTGTAGCTTGTTTTTTATGTTTTCCCTCCAGCTTCTCCTCATTCTCTTTTACATGCACCATTTAAAATAAAACCAATAAGCCTGAACTTGTTTTTGCAGCGTGAGTGTATTTCTGTGCATGTTGGCCAAGCTGGAGCCCAGATAGGCAATGCATGCTGGGAGCTGTATTGCCTAGAGCATGGCATTCAGCCTGATGGACAGATGCCCAGTGATAAGACCATTGGAGGAGGAGATGACTCCTTCAACACCTTCTTCAGTGAGACCGGAGCTGGCAAACATGTTCCACGTGCTGTCTTTGTGGACCTGGAGCCAACAGTCATTGGTAAGATGATGAGATAATTTAATGTTTCTATCAAATATTCTTTATACACAAAATAGTGTATAGTTTAAAATGTTATTTCCATTTACAATAAAGATGAAGTCCGGACTGGAACCTACCGCCAGCTTTTTCACCCTGAGCAGCTGATCACTGGAAAGGAAGACGCGGCCAATAACTATGCCCGAGGTCACTACACCATCGGCAAGGAGAGCATTGACTTAGTTCTTGACAGGATTCGTAAACTGGTGAGTTGCAGTAGAGAGCGTTTTACATAACTTTTATTGTCGTCAGCCGCTGTGTATCAATCATTTGCTTTCCTGCAGGCTGACCAGTGCACTGGACTCCAGGGTTTCCTCATCTTCCACTCCTTTGGAGGAGGGACTGGCTCTGGCTTTACCTCTCTCCTGATGGAGCGTCTCTCTGTTGACTATGGTAAAAAGTCAAAGCTAGAGTTTGCCGTTTATCCAGCCCCCCAGGTGTCCACAGCCGTGGTGGAGCCCTATAACTCCATCCTGACCACCCACACCACACTGGAGCACTCTGACTGTGCCTTCATGGTGGACAACGAGGCCATCTATGACATCTGCCGCAGGAACCTGGACATTGGGCGCCCCACCTACACCAATCTCAACAGGCTGATTGGACAGATCGTGTCCTCCATCACAGCCTCCCTTCGCTTCGATGGAGCTCTGAATGTGGACCTGACAGAGTTCCAGACCAACCTGGTGCCTTATCCTCGAATCCACTTCCCTCTGGCCACTTATGCCCCTGTGATCTCTGCAGAGAAGGCCTACCATGAGCAGCTGTCCGTGGCTGAAATTACAAATGCCTGCTTTGAGCCTGCAAATCAGATGGTGAAATGTGACCCTCGCCATGGCAAGTACATGGCATGCTGCCTGCTGTACCGTGGAGATGTGGTGCCCAAAGATGTCAACTCTGCAATTGCCACCATCAAAACTAAGCGTACCATCCAGTTTGTGGACTGGTGTCCCACAGGTTTCAAGGTGGGCATCAACTACCAGCCCCCCACTGTAGTTCCTGGAGGAGACCTGGCTAAGGTGCAGAGAGCTGTGTGTATGCTGAGCAACACCACAGCCATTGCTGAGGCCTGGGCCCGCCTTGACCACAAGTTTGACCTGATGTACGCCAAGAGGGCCTTTGTCCACTGGTATGTAGGAGAGGGGATGGAGGAAGGAGAGTTCTCAGAGGCCAGAGAAGACATGGCTGCACTGGAGAAGGATTATGAAGAGGTGGGCACAGACACTGTTGGAGAGGAAGGAGAAGAAGAGGGGGAGGAATACTGAATGTGCAACAACTGTCAGGTCCACTATTATTATCCACTATGTTTTTATAATATTCTGTATTTGACATATATTTGTCAGAAAATGTCAAGCCTAAATAATCTGCTAGATAATAGTTACAGACTACAGACAGTAAAAATAAATTACCGTTGATGCTGTCTTTCCATAATGTTTATATCTTGAAACTGTATACTGAACATGCTTTAACTGATGTACTTTGTCAATGCTTGAACACAAACCTAAATCCATGTGTAGCTTACTTACTTTACCCACTTTACATTAAGCTTACTTTTGGACATTAAGCTTTCAGTCTTACTTACAGCATAATCCCCTGAACAACATAAATGCCGCAAGATTTATTTTGGACAGACTTTAGCAATGTGCTCAACAGTTACGAGAAGTGACTAATAGTTGTTGTTTTGAATTATTTTTTTAATAATTAAAAAGCACACATTTATTTTGACCAATTTTAGCCAATTGTCCCTTCGTTTATCTGAAGACAGTTTGTGGTTAGCATTTGTATTGATGGCTATAAAAGCAATTATACTATTAACAGGAAGAATGATCATTTTAATTCTTTTATTCTCAGTGTCTTAAATTCTGACAGTGGTGTTATACAATAAGCCTGTTGGTCAACTGCAAAACATTTTAATGACTGCAAAAAACATCACAACCCCAGAAAATATTATAGCTAGATAGATAGATAGATAGATAGATAGATAGATAGATAGCTAGATAGATAGCTAGATAGATAGATAGATAGATAGATAGATAGATAGATAGATAGATAGATAGATAGATAGATAGATAGATAGATAGATAGAGATTTATGTCATGAAAAACAGTTTGAAATTTCCTTTTCTTTTAGTTTACCTTTTCTTATACAATATGTAGGTTTTGGGTTTAAAAAATTAAGTGGCAAAATGCTTGGCATTTAATGAACCGTTTTTAGTCATAAATCGTTTGTACTGTTGACCTTACGGGTCACCTTAGATTCAAAGAAAGAAAATAATAAACGACATCATAATACCAGAGGCACATGTTTAACATTCCTGTTTTCTATAAAGGATGAATGAATCAAAGTTGTCTTTGAGTGTGTATAATGAGTTAGACGTTGGTAACTGAATAATTCGAGCCTCATTTGAATGCAGCAGCCCCCAACGTCTCATACCGCCAAAAGGCCGTTCAAACCGCCTCTTTGGCTCCGCCCCCTTTGAAAAAGTACAAATACCCCAAACGCCCCTCCACTTCGTCAGTACAGCCTTCAGAGACCGATACTTTACCGTCGGCAGGAAGGAGAAAGCTACTAAAATGGTGAGTATTGATGATAACGACATTAAACATGTAACGGTCTTAATTAACTTGATTGCAAAAGGGCAGACCGTTAGGAGGGATAAAAGAAAGCTGTTTAGGGGCGCCATTTATCTGTGAAATAAGAACGAACAAAATCGAGTGTTTTTCTTTCAATGGCGAAAACTGCATAATTATGCTGGAAGAAAGTCGTGGTACCCTTCCAATTAATTGTAAATTAGTTCTCATTTCCAATCTCCAGTCACATAAGGGAACGTGGTCAGACTTCTGGCGCAGTTTCATTCAAAATGGCCGACACTGACCGTTAAGTGCGGACGCGGAACCAAATGTTTGTCCCTCCTTGGCGGCTTTTTGTTCCTGTTTTTTTTTTCTACTTAAATTTCGATTCCTTTGCGCAGACTCTGTTGGGAGGGGCAGGAAGCCAGGTTTAACCACCCACCCCCTGCAGGTCTGCCACCACGTGACACAGGACCCACGATTCATTCGACTAAAATTTCTCACCCGAGCATATTAAGATCGTTATAATCCCTCTTCCCAAATAATTATTTCGAGCTTTTAGAACTATTATAAGGCGGAAAGTGCAAAGACAAACCGTTATTTCGAAAATCTTTGTGTTTAAGATCACATAAGACCGTGTTTGTGCCATGGTGCCCCTGAAAATCGTGCAAAAGCATGGCGTCACACCCAAACTCTCATGTAATAGGTGAAATATATTGGCTAAATAAAAAATCCTTAGATTATAAGTGGTAAATTATTTTGCAATAGGATACACTGTTGTACAAATAATTAAAAACGTGATGAATTCTTATGGCAGTAATGCAAAAAATAGTCAATAAGCCACTGTTTTTCTTTTTTCCCTGCAGCGTGAGTGTATTTCAATGCATGTCGGCCAGGCCGGAGCCCAGATGGGCAATGCTTGCTGGGAGCTCTACTGTCTTGAGCATGGCATTCAGCCGGACGGTCAGATGCCCAGTGACAAAACCACCGGAGGAGGAGATGACTCCTTCAACACCTTCTTTAGTGAGACCGGCGCTGGCAAACATGTCCCCAGAGCCATTTTTGTGGACCTGGAGCCAACAGTGATCGGTAAGATGATGAGATAATTGAATATTTCTATATAAATATTTACAAAAATTATTAGTGCGGGTCTTCGTACACAGAATTATTGAAGTCTAAATGTTATTTCCATTTAAAATAAAGATGAAGTCCGGACTGGAACCTACCGTCAGCTCTTTCACCCTGAGCAGCTGATCACTGGAAAGGAAGATGCGGCTAATAACTATGCTCGAGGTCACTACACTGTTGGCAAAGAGATTATTGACCTTGTCCTGGACAGGACCCGCAAACTGGTAAGCTCTTTTTCCCATTGTGAGTTATGAGTGAGTGGGTTTTTTTTTTTTTTTTTTTTGAACCATTTTTAAAAAAGCATGAAAGACATCTATTAAATAATCCCGTTAAATGTTTCAGGCTGACCAGTGCACTGGACTCCAGGGTTTCCTCATCTTCCACTCCTTTGGAGGAGGGACTGGTTCTGGCTTCACCTCTCTCCTGATGGAGCGTCTCTCTGTTGACTATGGTAAAAAGTCAAAGCTAGAGTTTGCCGTTTATCCAGCCCCCCAGGTGTCCACAGCCGTAGTGGAGCCCTATAACTCCATCCTGACCACCCACACCACACTGGAGCACTCTGACTGTGCCTTCATGGTGGACAACGAGGCCATCTATGACATCTGCCGCAGGAACCTGGACATTGAGCGCCCCACCTACACCAATCTCAACAGGCTGATTGGACAGATCGTGTCCTCCATCACAGCCTCCCTTCGCTTCGATGGAGCTCTGAATGTGGACCTGACAGAGTTCCAGACCAACCTGGTGCCTTATCCTCGAATCCACTTCCCTCTGGCCACTTATGCCCCTGTGATCTCTGCAGAGAAGGCCTACCATGAGCAGCTGTCCGTGGCTGACATCACAAACGCCTGCTTCGAGCCTGCAAATCAGATGGTGAAATGTGACCCTCGCCATGGCAAGTACATGGCTTGCTGCCTGCTGTACCGTGGAGATGTGGTGCCTAAAGATGTCAACTCTGCCATCGCAACCATCAAGACCAGGCGTTCCATCCAGTTTGTGGACTGGTGTCCCACAGGTTTCAAGGTGGGCATCAACTACCAGCCCCCCACTGTAGTTCCTGGAGGAGACCTGGCTAAGGTGCAGAGAGCTGTGTGTATGCTGAGCAACACCACAGCCATTGCTGAGGCCTGGGCCCGCCTTGACCACAAGTTTGACCTGATGTACGCCAAGAGGGCCTTCGTCCACTGGTATGTAGGAGAGGGGATGGAGGAAGGAGAGTTCTCAGAGGCCAGAGAAGACATGGCTGCACTGGAGAAGGATTATGAAGAGGTGGGCACAGACACCGTTGGAGAGGAGGATGAAGGAGAGGAGTACTGAGCTCCTTAAACATCTGTAGTTCGTGTTTAGTTCCTGCAATGCAAGTTTCCTGGTTTGTTCTTATTCATACGAATAAAAGATGAAGATAAGTCTTTTGTCCTGTGTTTTTTTATTTTTATTTTTTTATTAAAAGAGAAGCAAACTTTAAAATTTGAGTAGCTGACGCATGTAGTCGTCCCATGAGTGTACAGAGTGCAAACAAGTCAGACAGGTTTACAACTTAATCTGTGTTCAAAGGAGATTTTATGAAATCTGGCCCTGAGGATAAGGTTATACCGTTGTGCTGAAAACCATCCAAATAGCTTCATAAATCTGACTCTTTGACTTACCCAGGCATCGTAACACGTTGAATCTGTTGAACTAAATGAGTAAATTAGAATTAATCGACTAATGTATAAATTTTAATCAGAAAAAAAGTGCAGCATGATCAGGTTTTTGAGTACAGAAAGTCAAAAGTCAAGAGGGTGATTGCAGCACTTAAACACGAAGAGATTTATTTAAGGTTTCACAGATACAAAATAGCTTTCTTTTCATACAATATAATTTTTTTTTTTTTATCCATTTTTAGACTTGCATGAAGTATACAACAACAGATATTCATCCAGGATTTTCAGATATAAATGGCACACAGACACCATAGTTTTTTTTTAAATCGTTTTTTTCAGCAGTCGGTCGTGATGATGGGACAGGAAATGACGGGCCAGGCAGGAAGTGGAAACAATCATTACTTGCCATCTTCCAGGACATTTCATATTCTACCAGTGACTTTAACTTTGAATAAATGTACTAATTCAGGCATTTTGGAGGATTTCAGATCATTTTTAAAATACTTATATTTCCTTGTTTAACAGAAACAAATCACATATAAGAAAGATGGAAAATTAAATTCAAATAAGACACCAACTACTCAAGTGTCAGGATGGATTTTGGTAAGAGACAAACATCTTTAATTAGTGCCATGTTCACATTTAAAGGCTGACTTCATGAGTCAACGAATCATACCCTGTGGAGTGTATAATGTAGAACTCAATGATTGCTTGCTCTACTCCAAAGCTATATTAATTGATGATTTTTTAAGTGAAACTGTTAATTGTAATTAGCTCTCATTAAACATACACCTGGATTTCCTTAACAGCATCAGGTCCTTACCAAAAACACTAAAAACCATGGCTATGTGAATCCTTTCTGACATTCAACCATCCAGTGTCAAGGTTTGTTTGATATCATATTACATTTTAAAGTATAAGTCGACAGGCAGATGGAGAAGCATCATCATCATCATCATTATCATCATCATCATCATCATCATCGACCACCACAGAGAGAGAAGGTGGAGGTAAGACAGGAGCCTGAATCAGGGGTGGGGTCAGGCGGGCAGGAGTCTGGGTTGGACTGGTTTCACTGGGGCAGAGCTTTGAGGATGGCATTGACCTCCTCAGCCACAGCTGTCAGAGCGAACTCAAACTGGTCCTGAAACGAGGAAAAAAAAAAAAAAAAACAGTTTAGTGATCAAATTTTCCAAAGGGTCTACGACACAGCTCACGTACATGAGGAGCTGTGGTTAATCCTGATTGGTCAGAACAGAAGCATGTCTGTCTCCACAACTCAGGGCAGGCTGATTAAGGAGTCAAGAGATCGCTGGTTCAAACATATTATAGATTAGTTTTGAAGGCCAGTGTTCAAAGACAAGACCGCAAACTCTTTTTTTTGTCATGATCTGGCGCTGCAGCTTGGAGACAAAGTAAGAGTGCAGAAATTGAGGGATTTTTCCTTCATATGAAATTTTAAATCTGAGTTATGGTGTCAAAGAGCGAGTGAATATCTGTAGGTGAACTGTCTGGTGTCTACCTCTGTAGCTTAGTGGTGAAGCTCTTTGACTAAGAATACAGAGGTGGTGGGTTCAAGCCCCGGAGGGTCATTCTTAATATTGAGGTTTACTGTCCAAGATAAATACTTGAAAACCAAAACTAACAAATCAAATCTGTGTGGCTCAGTGGTTTAGGTCTTGGACTGGAAATGCAGAGGTCGTGAGTTCAAGCCTCAGTGTGTCCTTCTTGTCATTCTTAATATTAAGGTGTACTCTCCCTGACTAGGACCTGAAAACCACTGTTGTGCTTCAGGTCTCTGTAGCTCAGTAGTTTAGGTCTTGGACTGGAAATGCAGAGGTCGTGAGTTCAAGCCTCAGTGTGTCCTTCTTGTCATTCTTAATATTGAGGTGTACTCTCCCTGACCCGAACTAGAAAACCATTGTGATCACAACAAGTCTCTGTAGCTCAGAGGCTTAGAGACCTGACTGGCGCTCCAAAGGTTGCAGGTTCAAAACCTTATTCAGGACACAAGTTTTAAAAGCCCTAGAGCCAAAGTGCAAGTTAAAAGGGTGACGAGCGCAGTTCCAAGTGTGGAAGGTATTCGGTAGCGTAGTGGAATACACACTCGGGTGTATATTGAGCCTGAAATGGCACCGGTCGGGAGGTGCTAGGTTCAATTCCCACTTGCAACAGGGTGCTGGAAGCAGGCGCTCCCGGTACACCGGGGCTGGGGGGGGCCGTGTCTCCCCTGGTGTGTCTGGAGAGGTACAAAGAGGGGGTTATACTAAAATTATGCAAATTTTTGCCCCCCCAAAAAAAAATTTTTTCTCGCCCACAGGGAAGACGTGTGTGCCCCCCCTGCTTGAGGGCATGTCCCGGGGTGTTCGGGGCACACCCAAACAAATGAATGAACGAAGGAAGGATACGTACCTTAGTGCGAACCATCCCAGGCCGCTGGTCCCGGATATGCTCCAGAGTTGCAGCGATGTCGATTTCTTTCACACCTGCAAGAGAAAAGGTAAAATACAGGCGATACATTAAATTCACAAAGCAATTTTTTCTCAAACAAGGGGCCTTCACATTGTGTATGAACAGATAGTATTAGTAATTATTGCAGACAAAAACTTCATCAAGCTGATAAATAAAATAAAACATGATGATCCAGATGATTACAGGCAGAAAAAAAACAACTAAAATGCAATCATACCTTTGGCCATGCGATTCAGAACCATGTCAATCAGGATGTAAGTTCCAGTCCGGCCTGTACCATCACTATTGGTAAAGTACAAAACAAAGACAGTTAGCTAAGAAAGCACAGAAAAACTGAGGACAGACACATGCATCACAAATAGACCCTAGCCCTTCTGTTTTCCAGCTGCCAGACTCTTGATTACAAATATTTTAGAGTTTGCTCCCACTAAGTGGACATAAGTGGTACTACAACAGGATGCGTCTTGATCCATGTATGAAAATTCAAAAGTCCATATTTTATTTCTTATTGTTTTAAGATCTCTGTAGTCAAGATGTTATCTTTGTTAGGTACCTGCAGTGCACAATGATAGGGCAGGATCGTCCTCGGTAGCACTTGTTCACCTTCCTAAAGAGAAACGAGAAGAAATATATTGTGTAGACCAGATCGTAATGAAAAATAACAGAAGATAAGGGAAATTTGAGCTACTTTCTGTGATCAAGGAATGAAGCATACAGAGTTGGACTTTTGAAGCCAACGTGCAAAAACTAATGGTGTAAAAATGTAACCTTTGTCCCGATATATGCTACGTATGAGCGGGCAGTGAGAGATAGAGAGAAAGAGAGAAAGAGATAAAGAGAAAGAGAGAGAGAGATCAGGAGGGGAGGGGTGGAAAGGGGGTTTTGGCGATGGACCTCCTGCTGCAGCCACATCAGTCCATGATCATTTTTGTGACTATGCAACTGGACCCAGACTACTAGCTGCAAACCACAAGAATGACACAGACAGATATGTTAAAATTAAAGCCATGGCTCCGCTGACCTCCATCGCACAGGGAGAGGAGGGAGGAGAGGAGAAGGGGGGTCAGAGGGACAGGAGGAGAGGATAATGAAGGTCGAGGGGCTGAAGCAGTGCATCATCTTATGTTCTCCCGCAATATCCAAAGTGATCCCCCATGTAAAGTGGAAAAGAACTTGTCTAAGCTGATTTTTACTACACCATGGCAGGGTAAATACTTGATACTGGGTCAGGAATGAAAAGTGGAGTTTGAAGGAGGGAATCTGGTTAGTAAAGAAGAACATGTAACTCAACTTTTGTCTTAATTAAGAAACCAACGGACACATTTTACAGGAGGTTTAGAGCACATGCATAATAAAGAAAAATATTTCTGACCTTCAGGTTTGAAAACAACTGAACTCTCACTGGCTAAGAGTCGAGTTAGGAGAGTTTTAAGTAAGGATATACATGAAGCAGCAGTACCTGCGAAAGTCCAACAGGGGGCGTGTGGAGGTAGGGATGCCCTGAGCTGGCCAGCTCAGGAAGTGGAACTGAGTGAGTGTCCGAGTCTCCTGAGTCTGCACGTTTTTCAGGTAGAAGCTCCGCACCAGGAAGTCGTTACACCAGATATGTTCTGACACCAGGTTCACCTGGATGAATATATAGAATACAGCTTTTATCAGGACTCAAGATAAGAGACATCATTCATCTTTCAACATTTTCAGCACTGTGATCACCTCATAGATGTGGTAGAGAGAGGAACCCTCATCAGGCCAGTATCGATCGCACTGTTTCTCTCCGTCTTCTACCAGAGCTGACATCATCACGATCACAGTGCAGCCGTTCTCCCAGACCATCTGAAAAAAACAGGCAGAAAGTCATTACATCTCAATGTCTTAAAACTGGGCTCTTCTACTGCATGGAGCCTCTTAAGTATCCCCCAGCAGAGCTTAGAAAAAAAGGAATTTCAATTTTTTGATGCAATTCAAATAAACAAAAGTTATTTTCAGGCTATCTAAAGGTTAAAGGACAGACGGACATTCGGTCTACAAAAATATCACAAATACAGCATCTGTGTTTTCTGTGGTGTTGTGCTGACCTGCCAGAAGTCAGAGATGGTGTGTGATAGTGGGCCCTGGGTAGCGATGTAAGCTGGCATCCGGGGGTCATGCTCAATCTGAAGGAGAGAGGTTAGAGGTTAAAAAAGAGAAAAGGTTGGAGGTGACCCCAAAGACTGAGCACTAAGAGGGCTTGATTACTCAAAAATTCAATTATCAAGAGACACAGTTACATCTTTAAAAAAAACTCTAAAAAGTTGATGACAGAAGTGAGGAAATCTCCAAGTATGGTGATAAAATAATAAACAGTAGGAGAGCCTTTAGAGATTAGATACAAGGTGATCACCACAGGGGACTTACTATGGTACTGGCGTTAATGTAGTCAGAGCGTGAAGGATTAATCTCCGCCTTCAGCTTCACCCTTGAGTGGTCATCTAAAGGACAACAGTGACATTTAACCTCTGAAATCCCCATTTCCCTGGTCAAACACCGTAGTCAAATATCAGATAAAGTTTTGTAACGTCTTAGACTTATCTTTCTTTTTTTTTTAACTTTATTAGTTGTAATCTTTTCTAACTGTTCATGTGCTTGACTAGTTGTAAAAGGAGTCGGGCAGCTGCAGGAACTCACAGGGCACAGAGTCTTGGCAGCGGTTCTTCTTGGCGTTGGCTTCGCTCTGAGCCACAGAGACAACGCTGGGCTCAGCCTGGTAAGAACACAGAGCCTCCCACTCCTTCATCAGACGGTCCTTGTTCCTCAGGTGATCCTCCATGTACGCCTGAGACAAAAGTGCGGAATAAGTGGTGTCAGACTTTGGACTGTGGCCTGTTGAAGTGAGGTATTCCTATAAATCAGTTTGTCTTGTCTCAGTATGCTCCTGTCACTAAATACTGGACATCTTCTACACTTCTCTGAGAGATGACCTGATGCACACACTGACCAGTATCATGTGACCGGTGGAGATGTCCATGTTGGCCTGCGCCGGTTCCTCGCACCATGATGGCGTGCTGCTGTGGGAGCTGGGACTGGGCTGAGCCCCATCGCTGAACTGAGATGACACACTGCTCACCCGCGAGTCTGCACCTCCTCCTCCTGCTGCTCCTCCTCCACCAGCCCCTCCACTTGCACCCCCTCCGCTCACTCCTCCCACAGCACCAAGGGCAGCAGCTTCCAGACGTCCGAAGGCGCCTTTGGAGGCCATGTGCTGGCGACACAGGTCCTGGTGAGCCAGTTATGTATGTGTGTGAAAATCACAGTTTGATATATATATATATTTTTTACATGTCCACAAACACAAAAACAACACTTTAATGTGTTCTAAATCTGATCTGAACATGATGATTCACCTGGTACTCCTGGTGGCTGAAGTTGCCCCCCTCTGGTCCCAGTCCCAGCTTCTTTGCAGCCAGTCGGTGGGCATGGTGGCGCAGGCAGGCTATGGTCATGGCCGCCACAAGGATGCTTCCAATACAAGCCATGGCCACAAGAGTGGCAAACACCCAGCGGGATCTGGGCTGCACCCTGGTCGCCAAGGGCAACGCTTTCCCATCATTCCTCTGTGGGGATCAGGGGACGAAAAGGGACATCAGTCTTTGTTTATAGATCATTTTTCAAATACTCACACACTTTTAAACAGCGAGAAAACACATGGGGTGTGTATGAGAAACTACAGCTGAATGAGGAGTGTGAAGAAGAAGAGGAGGAGGAGGAGGAAGGATCTCAGCAGGAGCTTGGGACAAAATGTGCCACAGTGCTGTGAAATGTGACCCTGTAGTCTTGAAGATGTGTCTCTATAATTCAGCTTATCACAGTAAGAGCAGAAACTTTAGCAGGTTTAAGACTTTTAAATCAAATTTGCTCCTGATATGATTTGTAAAATAATATTCTTACAAACCTATGTTTCTAATTTTCTATTTTTTATCATCCATCTATTTCATACGTACTCTAGGTTTCTCCACACCCTTTCAATTCTTCATTTTCCCCCTTTTATTCTTCTCACTCCCCCTCCCTCCTGTCCTGGATGAATTGTCTCTCTTGACCTTTCAAACCTCCTCCTTCCTCTCATGGGCCTCAGGAATGTGAAGCAGTGTGTGTGAGTGCCTGCCTCTGCGTGTGTGTGTGTGGTTTCTGAAAGACATTAAAGTTGAGCTAGGGGGTTAGGGAGTGTATTTCTCCCGCTGAATAAAGGGGCCCAGCGGGGTTCAGAGGAAAACAGGAGAAAAAACTCCAATGAATGACTGATAGTAAATGCGGTCTACGGACAGAAGTGGATTTAAAGTGGTTTGCTACTTCAAAACACATCATAGCTCAAGTTTAGTGATGGTGCTGTGAGGCCACACAAAGACAGTCAAATGGTAATGCTTTAACTGATTAGAGCGGCAGAAATTCAAGGTTCAGTTTAGGTTCAGGAAATTATGACTTCTTATTCCAGTCACACAAAAACACCACCAGAGAAAGCTATGGTCCAAATAATATTACTGGTGATACAAAAATAAAAATCAGATCACTTATAAAATTAGTATTGAGGTCCTTGTACTGTGACACATTTTTAAAATATTCTGCAACTAGAAAAATGTAACTTTAAATTGAATATTAGGTGTAAAGAAACTACACCAGCATTTAGATACATAGACTGATAGGTGAACAATATATTCAGCAACATTAACGAGTTTAAATTCAGGACTATAGTGTTAAAAGATTACATATTTGATAAAATTGTACAATTCAAACTAGAAATTGAATGCTAATATTATCACACCACAAGTGATAGCATGTTCTTTAACGACAGAAATGTCACAAGAAACTTATTTTTCACTCTGTAGATACATAACATTGATTCTGTAGGAGACATGAACGTCGCTGAGAACTTATATCAAGTCAGAATTTTTCCCGAGGTGATGAGAAGTGATCAGAAATGGGTTAAATTGACATCTAGAGAGACTTTAGGCTGCTGTAACAGTAGATCTGCTGTTAAATATTAATTTAGGGTTAATTCGCGCCGGCAGAAGTATCAGGGAGCTTTTATTTACTCACCAATCCCACGATGTCGACCTACATACTTCAACCTCATGCTTCCCTCACGCCGTACTGTCAATACAGTCAAAGTCGACTGAATGCGAACATACTGTACTTCCGGGGCGGACTTTCAAAATAAAAGTATTCAGAACTTTATTTTTTAAAATTTTTATTTGATATGATGCTTATTAGAGCTGAAAACTAACGAAATACATTCACGTAAGCACTATATTCAAATACAATTAAGAAAAACTGGTCTGCTGTCTTTTAGAGTAGATTTTAAGGTTCTTTTATTAGTTTTTAAAGCTCTTGGTCCCTTCTTATTTGTCTGATTTGCTTTTACTGTATGAGCCTAGTAGAGTCCTCAGGTCTTCAGGTAGTGGTCTTTTTTCATTATCCCCAAAATAAAAACTAAAATATACGGTGAATCATCATTCCAATATTACAGTCCCTATTTGTGGAACAGTCTACCTGCAGACCTGAGAGCGACACCTATTGTTTATATTTTTAAAAGTAAACTAAAGACCTGCCTTTTTAGTCTGGCTTTTAATTAAAATTTTGTTTTTATTTTTTTAATCTGCATTATGTGATTTTACCCTATTATAGTTGTTGAGTTACAACTTGTATATCCTGCTTGAATGGACAGCACTTTGTGCTACATTATATGTATGTAAAGTGCTTTATAAATAAAGTTTGATGGATTGATTGGTACTTTAGTTTTGTGCAATCTTATCACCGCACCGTAGCGTATCAACGAGTTAGAAATCTGCACCAAATCAGTATTTTTCAGCATGTACAATAATATAGATCTCTTTCTCAGGAGGGTTTTACATCTACTGAAGCAAAGTCGAAGGTCTCCAGTCTACTCTACAGGCACCCACCTCTCCGACTCCGCTCTGCAGCACCTTCAGGCCAGTCTCAGACTCCAAGAAGTCCTTTTCAGCAACTGTAAAATAAAACTTTAATTTACAGCTACAACATATATCCTCTTATTCTTTGTAGAAGTAGTAGTATGGGTGAAAGTATTTAAGATATTATGATCCATTTTACAGCTGTGTTTACCTGCTTTCTCTGCCACTTCTCCAGCAGTCAGGTTCTTTGAGTTTGGTCTGATCCTGAAGGTGATTGAGGGTCCAACCACACTGCAGAAGAAAGAGCAGAGAAACAGGTACAAGGTTAAACATGTACTGTAGTACTGTGCAGTACTACAAGTCTGAGGTATTATCCTTAGTTCTTTATTTTTATGCTTCTTCCTACCTCTACTTTTCTGTATTTAGACAACTATTTCATGATTAAAACAAAAGTTTGATTAGTTTATTAAAATTTTTTAACATATCTCATGATTTTGATGATCCTGATGTTTGTGCATGGGTATTTTAGGGTAATTTTTTAACTAAACCGGCTGTAACTTCAGTTTATTATAAATTATTTTGACTCCATAAAGACTGTCTTTCACTGAAGTTTGTCAGTTTTATGTGATAACATAAAACTTCCCTAGATTTTTTGTTACCTGATGTTGATGGCAGAGGCGGTGGAGAGGCCGCTTCTCACCAACAGGCGCTCCAAAAGTCGCACCCCATCATTCAGACTGAGGGGGCTGCGGTGACAAAACGCACACATTCACACACACAGACAAACACAAATGCACACACACTTAAACATTCACCCAGTTTCTAATTTTGTGTCTTGTTTCTGATCTGTATGTCTGCAGATGTAGGGGAACCTAAATAATATATCCACACAAAGAGGACTTTTGTTTGAACAACAAACTCAAACATGCAGTAAAATCTCAGTTTTAGCTGTTGGTGTCAGGATGAAGGAAACTAAAGAGTGCATGAACTCTAAAAAATGCATGAATGGAAGTATTTGGCCCTTCAGGTTTCCTGTGAGAGGGAAGGTCTCGTGTTTATTCCTGATCCAAAAGCATCCAAGTATTCTGATATCTGACGACATCTCTTTATTTCTAACAGTACTTAGTTTTACTCACACGCAGCATTAATCAGCTTTACTGTTAGATAACAAAGTAGTCGCCTACAGGGTTTGTGCGTCAGGGCTGATTCATGCTCAGCTCGCTTCTTGAACACATTGATTCATCAGGCCTGGACAAAACTGCACTGTGTGTCAAACAATTACACAAATCACATCGCTGCCTCCTCTCTTCTCCCAGTGGACTTTCCTTTTACTCTTTTTTTCATTCCTATTTACCATCTTTGACTTCCTCCTTTTCTATCTTTGTTGTTGTCTGTTAACTTTCTGTTTTTCCCATCATCCTTGTTTGCTCTTCTTTCTTTCTTTCTTTCTTTCTTTCTTTCTTTCTTTCTTTCTTTCTTATTCTTTCTTTCTTTTTTCTTACTTTTTTATTCTTCTTTCTTACTTTCTTAATTTCTTTCTTAATTTCTTACTTTTTTATTCTTTCTTACTTTCTTAATTTCTTATTCTTTATTTCCTTTTCTTTCTTTCTTTCTTTCTCTCTTTTTTTCCTCTTCTTTCTATCTTCTAATTAGCATGTTTTCTCACTCTGATCAGTTTTTTTATCCAGACACATGAAAATTAAAAAACAATACAAAAATATAAAGAAGTTGACATCACATTCACTCACATACAGGAAGTGGCTCTGATTGGTTGAGGCAGGTGCGGTAAATGATCATACTCACCTCTGATTGGTTATGATGTATCCGAACTCGTCCACTTTGGCCGCTGGTTTGTCCTGTTTGACGGCTGCAGCTGCAGGAGGAGCAGGAGGACGAGAATCTTTCTGAGCTTCCTCTGGTGAGGGGGGCTTGGCAGGAGAGGGCGGAGCCTCAGGGGTCGCCATCTTGTACGCCATGGAACCCTCTGTCATCTGATCAAAAGTGCAGACAGCATGTGCACATAAAAAAAAACTTTCATACTTTTTCATAAACATTAAGAGGATTAAACACACCATTGGTATCATCTCACCTTCTTCCCTTTGTCGGGATCGTTTCCATTTTTATCTGAGAGTAAGCACAAACACAATATGGTCACCTGTGACGCAATACAAAAGATATTTACACATTTAAGCACATGTTTTGTCCTGAAGAGAGCAGACAAGATAATTCTTCAGATAATTTTTAATACTACTGTCACAGCAGTTACACAACAAAAAACAAAAACCTCTTTTAGAAGTGTTTCATCACCAAGATCAGTTAGATACGTTAGATTTGTAATGACCCTCACAGCTCCATGGTAAACAGTATCCAGGGAGTGAAGGCTCTGAGATGAAGTATCCATCTTTGAAACATCACCAGTCAAACGAGTTGTTTCTTTGCAGCAGATAAAATCCTAATTATTTTTGTACATAAAAGCTCGCTCACTACTTTAACTTTTCTACGAGTTGTTGAATAGAAAGCATTAAAGGTTATTCATCAATAACACAAGTATTTTTCAAAAGATATAGACTCAATCACATGATCTTGAGACATAATAGTGGTGACAAGACTTTGTTAACATGATGAGATTTGTTGGTTTGAGATCAAATGTTCTGGTATGAAAAGACTTTATAGACCTGTGAAGTCTGAAACATGTCTGAAGTCAACCTAATGTCAGGATTTTCTGATGAGACCTACCTTTATTTATTTTGTGTCCATAGGAGCTGTCGAGCTGGAGCTGCTTCAGAGCAGCTGGCAGCTTGTCTCTCTGCTCAGGCGACAAATCCTTCATGTCCAGACCGTAGTGACTGAGCAGCAGAGCCATCCTCTGCAGAGAGTGCTCTGGAAAACACAGCGGAGAGTGTTTAAAGAATACAGATTGTGCTATTCCCTTTACTTTGGATGAAACTTTCTCCCCTAAAATTTCACAACTTTAATAACGTAACAGCTACAGTTACAGTCTTGACAGAGCCTGACTCTTCATTTTTCCTTATTTCTCAGCTATCATCCTGTCTATCTCTTCCTTTCAATTCAGCACTTTCCTTGGCCGAAATTCATGAAATTATGTCAAATCAAGGATTTCATATTTGACCTTGAAATATTTCATCTCCTGAATTTTAACTCAAAGATTTCCACCAAAATGCATAAATCTTCCTTCCCTTTTTCAGCATGACTTGACTTTCTTTCTCACCATCCAGGCCTGAGAGGGCATCATACTCCTCCTGTGCCTTCTTCTCTGCCTGCTCCTGCTCCTGCTTCTGCTGCTGCTTGTTAAGCTGAGCCACCTGGGAAACATAGTCCTCGCCATAGTCCAGTGGGAAGTCCAGCTCCGGGAAGAAAGAGGAGGAAGAGGAAGAAGATGATGATGAGGGAAATCCTGCTGATGCAGCTGCTGCCAAGGCCCCTCTTTGTCGAGAAAGTGACTGCACAGAGGAGGAAGAGGATGAAGAGGAAGGAGAGGTAAGGTAAAAGGACACCAAGTCCTGGAGGAGCTGCCGGTCTCTGTCCAAAGGGTCTCTGGAGCGCGAGGAGGAGGCGAGAAGTGGGAAGGCTTGATTGTTGTCCAAAGAGTTGAGGGAGCGCTCCTCCTCCTCCTGGTAGCCGTACTGCTGCTGCAGAAACATAAATGTGTGGTTTCAAAAGTGAAGCTAAGAAATAAATCACACACGTATCTTTAATAAAAAAGTTTGCCCCTACCTGGTGGTAGGTGTAAGGATCCATCAGAGGCGTCTGCATGTGGACGGACGATCGAGATGGGTCCATGATCATGTAGTCCACATACTGCTGCATCATCTCAGGATCAGCTGGATCCTCAGGCACCTGAACCCTTCTTTGACTGGGACGTGACTGTTTGGAAAACCTTGGAAAGGAGACTTAAAATTTATTTCAAGTAAATCAAAAGTAAATCAACCATTATTCTGTCCATCCTCATGTTTTCTGCTTGTTCTTCATCAATATTCAAACCATGTTAATTTGCTTCTTACTGCTTGGGAGACTTCTCGTGAAATTTGGAGGAGCTGATGGTGGGGACATGACTCAGCTCTTGAGCAATGATTGCCTGAGTGATGTCGTCCCTCCAAGTCAGACCTGCGATAGAAAAATCACCCTCGCTGTCTTAACATGTCAAACCAGATCAGAGGTTTAATCTCAATTCTCCACATGGTGTGAAAGAGGCTCACCCTGCACCATCAGGTCTTTGAGGACTTCCTGCAGCTTGTGCAGGACAGGTACAGACACCTGGTACTGGATGGGCTCCTGGTGGGGGAACTGGCACTGCCCAAACAATCCATCTGCACAGTAAGATATGACAGGGTTTAGAGAGTGTTTTTTACACTTGCTTCATAAAACAGGTCAAGACATCAGGCTGATGTTTGACACTATGTCTACAAACGCTGATTTAAGTAGGGCTTGAATGTCAGATCAGATTCTAGCTAACCATTTTGTAAGTCATCCTTTATTCTCTTTAAAAGCCAGAGGAGTCGCCCTAAAATAAACAAGACAGGAAGTGTGCATACAGATCTTTCTTTTTTTAACTTTTGGACTCTGTCAGTTTTATGCCTCACTTGAAAGGCTGCAAGTGAAAGGTGAGCAAGATTCTCATAAAGGGGTTAAACTGATCCTTTAAATCCTGCGAAAGCCCAAAGTAGCTTAGCTTCGATTCAGTTCAGGTGGACACAAATATATGCTGCAACATTTTCTATTTTATTCAAACTTCACCAGGAACATATTTTGCAGGTTTGCAGGAAAAAAGAATATAAGAAAAAGTGCACATTTTAGCGCACAACACATTCAAATGCACACATCTACATATGACACACAGCCTTTGAACACATTCACCATAAATACACACACTTGTTCACACAAATCTCATACACATGAAAAACCTTTGTGTGAATGTGTGGGTGTGTGTGTGCGTGTGTGTGTGTTTGTGGGCCTCGATGAGTCATCACCTCTGCTTCCCTCCATTCCTCATCAAACACACATACACACACACACACACACTCATGAGGGAGACACACGGTCGTCAGGCAAGTGATGTCACTGTTGTCATAGAGACGGCCAGGACAGGCTGCGATTGGCAGAGAGCCGTGACGGAGGGAGACCTTGTTTACGTTGCACTCTCGCTCTTCTTCTCTCTTTTGTCTCTCTGTTTTTTTCTCACTCTGCATCACTTCCCTCGCTCTTTCTACCTCTGATACCCATGTGGCGAATCTTAAAGAGAAACCAATCATTTCTTACACACTCAGATTTCACCAGCAGCACACACACACACATACTCCATCATCCCAATGACAACTGGGTATATGCACACAAAAATGTCTGCTGGTTAATATCACCTCCATCAGACTTTGCGGATGTTTTTAAAAAACGTGATATATTTTTGTTCAGCGCCACCTTGAATGGAGTCGGACTGAAGTCATTGCAAAACTGTATAAAACTATATAAACTATAAAAAAAACTGCTGCTGTCTTTTGCTGACTATAACAATAACACTAAATCATGGATCCCAGATCTAAGTGCATTTTCGTTAATGAATATATCATGCTATGTGTGCTCTGAATCAACACCTGTTACTGTCACTCACTGTCAGCACCATAGACTATATATAGAAGTATTCGTATTATATTACTGTATATATAAGTAAAGTATATACAGTCTATGGTCAGCACATGCAACTCTCTCATAGCACCATCTGGCATACGTCATAAGGAGAACACCACCGATGTTCCCTCAATGTTCCCGTCTCTGGAACAGGGAACAAAACATCCTCAGGGGTGAAACAACCTTCCATCAATAATGCAGCTCCTTCTGAAGGCTGAGACACTCAGATGCACGCTCACGCTCGTGCACGCTCACATTTATGCCCACTCACACTCCTGCACGGTCTTGTAATGACATCCCTGCCATGTTTGAGCAGGAAGCAGGAAATACACAGAGGGATCATAGAGAATACATTAAAGCCGGACTGAGCGGTGACAAACAAACAGCTCTGACTGTTTGATGGACAGAAAAACACGTCACAGCTTCCTGGAGCACGGCGCCACAGCTGGAGCCCTCTGGGATCGCTCACTATCACTTGGTTTACTGTTCTCACACACTGCATTCACGGCACCGTAAATACGAGCCACCACTGGGGAAGGACATGTCCACATCAGCCAGACAGAAGCAATCATGTGAGCACTTTGGACTTGACTTCATAAATGCAGAAGATTACAATGAGCGATATGAGACAGATGTTTTCTTTTTCTAAAAGGTCAGAGGGCCCAAATTACAATAAAAAAATTATCTTGCTTTTTATTTCTGAATTGTTCAGAGTTTTTCAGATATTTAAAACTAGATTAACCGAGCAGAGTGGATTGTTGTCTTTTTTTTCTATCTGGATTGAACCTTTACCTTTTTTTTTATTTTACTAAAATCCTCTCACCTGTCCCCACACACTTTGGATCCTAAGTATTTTATATAATATGAAATTGGAAAATATAAAACACATGCTTAGAGGTTCAACTGGCAAATTCGATTAGATTAGGCAACTTTTTCTGAGATATGTGGAAGAGAAATCAGAGTTGGATGAATCAAGTTTTTGGTTCTCTTGTTTTTCCGTAACATTCTCTCTTTTTTATGTTAATATAAGTCCCTTTTTTAACATGCTTAACATACATTGTCTTAGACTTATTCATCTATTTTTTATTACTATTATTTAGTTATGTATTTATATAATTATTTCTTCACTTTATGGGGTGGGGACTCTGTTCTGAGTGTTCTTGTGTGTCTGTTTTATTGTGGAAAAACCTTAATAAACAAAGTTTAAAAAGAAATAAATTGCCTGTGAGGAGGAAATACAAATATTGATAAAGAAGTTATCAGGAAAGAGTTTGTGCAGTTGGAAGCTTTGGCTTTCTTATATAATACTGCAGCTGTTCTGTTCATATTGGCCCTCAATGACGTCAAAACAGAAACAAACTCATTAAAACAGTTTGAGATGCAATGCCAAACTCACCATCATTACAGAGCTGGTCTCTTGGACAGAGCTTCTTCTCAAACAAACAACCTGCAGACAGAGAAACAACAAAACAAGTATTCGTAAAGAAGCTGCAACATCACCTTCAACTTTCATGAGTATAAGATGACAAATACAGCTGGAAAAATAAGACCTTCTCCACACACACTCCAGTGTAATGAAAGTCAAACACAGGTCACAACTACATACACTCTGATGACCTCTTAGATAACCAATCATCAAACTTCAAAACCAACATACATTATTTGAGGGTGGGAATATATTCCAAAAGTCAGATGGGTAGATCAGTTTTTGTGTCTCAGATTAAAACACAGGCAGTCCGAGATAATGGAAGAAAATGTCATCCTAACTCTGTAACATCAACGTTGGAGATGAAATGAAAACGGACTTGTTTACAGATCTCAAATACAGACAGGATGATCCAGGGAAACCCCAACCAAAGCAGGCAGTGACACTAGATTCAATCTTGTGTTGCTTAGTGATGGTATTATTGCGTGTGCATGTGTGTTACAGCTGACCTTTTCCAGGTCCTTATCTGTTGCGAGGTAGTAAACAGCAGCAGATGTGAAGCGGCTGCTGCTGTTTTTGTTTAGTTTTCATTGTGGGTTTATAAAACACTGATGTGCATTATTTTTATGGCCTCTGATAATTAAAGACACCATGCTTTAGGTGCATGATCACAGCATGCTCCACTCTCCACTCACTTTAACTCTTTTTGCTGCAACAGTTTGAGAAGACTCCAGCGGTCACATAACAGTAACCTGTTAAAAAATGTCTATGCGGTCAATATTTGTGTTTCACTTCTTGTAAAAAATGTCTTTCATGAATGTCAGTTTTGGAATATTCTGGCTCTGTGGACAAGTCGACGCACTGATTTTTACCTTCGCAATTTTCCCACTGTATTTTCACCCTTTCAAACTATTTTTGCAAAAGTAGGTCCAGGGAACCTGCAAGATCCACATTTTTGTTTTAAACCAGACTTTCTACACAATCGTCCCCCATAAAACATCATAATTTTAAGATTTTCCAATTTTTAGGAAATCATATAGGAAATAATTTATTCCATCAGGTCACATTATTAGAAGAGCCTGTAGTCTCCAGTTTTTATGCACACAAGAGGAGTCGCTGAAGAGCATAACATTTAAGTTCAACATGATGTGTGAGTGAATATTTGCTCACTAAGTGTCTGCTCTTCTGACCACTTCAACCCCTCTTCACCTGTCAGAAGAGTGACATCAATATCTTCAGTGTTTTCTGAATAATAAAAAGACCACTGAACTGGAAGACAGACAAACAAAACTTGACAAGAGAACATTTCTGACACGAGGAAAGCAGAACAACTCTCAGGTGGATCTTTGGGATTTACTCTCACAACACCACAACCCGGTCTAATTCAATTGGCCTTTTTTTCTTCCCCCCAAAATCTATAAGAAGTCAGATGTATTATTGATCACATGTCGACACAAACCAAGCAGCTGCTATCACAGAGGGAATCTCCATTAAACGAGGGAGACGAGGCGCTGCTAAACATAGAACACTGAAGAGAATCTCCATCTACCCGTCGCCTCCTCCATCCAAACTCCACATGATGACTAATCTCTGTCCTTTCTCCTCCGCCCACACAGTCCGCCCTCCCTCTTTCCTCTTATCTCTCTGTCCTTCTGCTCCTCCCTTCTCCCTCCTCCTCTCTCCTTTTCTTCTCTGTCTGTTCCTAGAAGATGATCAGCTTATTAAATTCATCCTGCAGACTGTCAATCACTGTCAACCGCCGCTTCACAATCAATCAACTATTTAATACACAACATTACCCATTAATCACAAGAACTTTGGATATAATTGAGTATGTAATGTGCAGACTGAGAGCTGCACTGTAAAAAATGCATTAGTCAGTACTGTGGTGGATGAAGCAGATAAAAGATGGTTCAGGAGAAAGTATAAATACATGTGAGCCAATTTTTTTTTAAGGGGATCTATAATACTGATCATACAGCTGGGAAACATGGCCTCAAATCACTATCACGATATATTGAGCAGTTCACCTCGATAACAATAAATGGACGATAACTACTCCACAAGCTGCTCACCCCCTCCCACATTAACTTTGTCTACTTCAGCCACCACAACTTTTGAAGTGACCTCCATCTCCTCACCTGTCTTTCCCTCTTTGTCACAGACTGGATGAGGTGGAGTCACGTCTCCTGGGACATGAGACCATAGCCTACCTACACACATCCAAGACCAACCTTTCTTAATTTATTTTTTGACACCGAATATATTGACGTGGGCAAAATGACGTTGGTTATTGTGGTAAATTCCAGAATCATTAAATTTTCGGTTTATCGCCCAGCTCTAGCTGAACATACAAAAATGTAAACTTTAAGGCTTGTTGCTGAAGTTTGTGTTTGTATTTTATGTCGACAAACTGCACTTTGAAAACAATTGGTTCCCTTGTCTAGCAGAAAAAAAAAACAATTATAAAAAAAACCTTTTTTAAAGAAGAAAACAAAACTTTGAAACCTCTTTTGTGACTCATTAGGGAGGAGGTTTCAACAGATGAGTTGATTCAGCAGGAGTTTGTAACCCAGGCACTCAGAAATGGACCCAGCAGTGTGCTTTTCCACCTGATTCAATTTTAACAAGAAAATAACATGAAAATGACTCAACTCGGAGATGTTTCATCCAGCAGCAGGTCTTGATGTTTCTCTGGGGAAACTCCTCCATCTTTTCTTTAACAAAAACAGTACTTTAAGAAAAAGACAGTATAGGAACCCTCCATCTCATACTGAGTTTCTGTGGTTAATAACAGCGCCTGCTCCATTTTGTCTTTTAGGGTTTGGTGTGACTCGAATAAAAGACAAAGTAAGGAAAGCTTGAATAGATTTCTATTCCTTACATCATCAAGGACGACAGAAAAAAGGAGCAAATTGGGAGTTGGTTTTATCATAAGGAGGGCAATTTCTATCATACTTTGTTGTTTTTTAAAATATTTTTCACATATGAAGACTTCCTCAACCTCTATGACCTTATGAATTTTGTAACCCCTCATTGTTGATTTCTTCTGATTTCTTTATGATGTTTAGTTGTACAAATTCAACAAAATGATTATCATTAGGGAGGCTGATAAGAACACTTGGAAACTGCCCATCTAACTTTTTATCATCTGAAAGAGATCAGTACACTAAACATGATCGATTTGGCATTTAAGTTAATTTTTAAAAAACAGATAACTTGGAAAGCCAGTACTAAAAAAGGCCCCCGTTGGTCTTATATGAGTTTTCTGTGGAAGAGTAAACATAAAGAAATTCAGGCTGACTCATGTTCAGCCCAGAAACTGATCTCCAGCCTTCCTCCATCACCATCAGTTTTTCTGTGTGTTGCTTTTATCCTCCATTAGCTTCCCACCAGATTGGATCCAGCGTAATTCTCATAATGGTTCTGATGGCATTTGTGGCCGCTCATCCTCTGGTCTGCAGGCTGACGGTGGATATTTAAGGTGGAATGAGTCAGCCAGGACGGAGGAGAGGAATCAAACCTGCGTGGTGTGTCTGAATAACAGCTGCAGAGGCAGAGAGGTTACAACCCTTCCCGGCTCAGCTAACCTTTAAACCTTTCACTTTTTACCATTTTTCACTCCAAATAAAGCTCACATTGATCCACGGGAAGTATGTCAGGGAAAAGGCTGGAGATAGTTTCTGTTTTATATCAGCATAACATCACTCACATCTTTGTCCTCTGGAATATAGATGCGATTTTTTGCTCAGATTCTGTTTTCTACTTAAAAAACATGGCTGTTGCTCACTTGGTTTATGACCATTCACTCTCAGGGTGTAGTTTAGACTATTTTGTACCCAGATACTTAGCAGAGATTCATATGTGGTTGAAAATAGTCCCTAAAGACAGGAAGTCAGACAGTGTTGAGAGACAGATAGGGTTGGATGCTCAAATTGACTGCAAGTGTATAGCAGAGTAAAGAGTAGAGCTTAATCCTTTCAGCAGTTCTGGAAAAAAACTGCAATGTTGGAAAACAATGTCCCTGTTTTGTGAGACTAATATTGTCTCATTTATGATTGTTCTAATCTTTCAGACCAGGTCTGTAGCTCCAAAATATTCTCTCTGTCTCTGGGTGTGTTTCCCATGATCCTTCATTTGTCACAGCTGCTGGCCTCTCCTGTTATCATGTTTTCTGTTATCATCTCCCACACACACAGATGCAAAACGCACTGATCTAAATATAAGTCTTTGTGAGCAGGTAGTGTTTGATCGTAGTAATCCTAATTTTGCACTTTAAATTTAATGCTGACTTTGGTAGAAGAAGATTGACTATTCTTTTTAGCTGAAGATACAAAACTGGAGGAGACTGGTTTTGTTTTGGGTTTCTGTTGCTTTTGTTGAACACTGTAAGATCCAAATCTTACTTGATAAAAACACAGTAAAAGGGTACTTAAATTAGCAGTATTTGTTTTTTTAGGCCTTAGTTTAGCCTCAAGGTCCTTTAACTCGGTTTACACTCCTTTTGGATCTGTTAGGCTAGACTATTGGTGATGAAACTTTAGGGTCCTGAGAAAATGTCTAGTTTGTGTCTAAACATGAAATTACATTTGTGTTTAGCTCTAGTCTAATGACTTATACATTCAGAGCACCAAAATAACAGAAATTACCATAAAATTTATGTAAAGTCACCATTTGAATTCAACAGGACTCTTTTTCTAAATGATTTTGACTGACAGATTGACAGTACTTGAGCACCATAAAAAGGATTTACACGTTTTTGCTGTCCATGGTGCTGAAACACTTCAGCCGGTCTCTGTCCGTGGTGCTGAAACACTTCAACTGGTCCCTGTCTCTTCTGCTGCAATGCTTCAGCTGTTATCTGTCCATGGTGCTGAAACTAACCCAAACTGTGTTCAGCGTGTCATGCAGACAGAAGATGGCTGTAGTAACTGTCAGCAGATGGAGCCCAGGGGTTACTCATGAGTCATAGATGTGAGTACGACATCGTTTATCGCTATTTTAATATTCATGAACATGTTTATAGACTACCTGCATTGATACATGGCAAGAATTTAAGTTTGAAACATCAGAAACAGTGTCAAATTCAGATTAAGATTAAGTCTTTCTTTTGTTGTATTTAATTTTCCTTTCAGAGGACAAAAAAACTATCCTTATTTAGGAAAAAAATAACTGGTGATGAGTTGTCCTTTAGTCAGTAAAAACCTAAATTTTACATCCACTGTAATGGACTGAAGATATGTTTTCAGCCCACTTATCTGTGTCATATACCAGTTTTTTCAGCCAGCACTTCAAAACATACTAAACTTCTCAAATGACTCACTATTTACCTGTATCTCTTCACATACAGTATAACTGCTTGAAGCCTGAACTGCAGTAACCCTAACCCTAATGCAATATACATGTCAGGATATTAAGATTATATGGTGACCTTTTAAGTCAGTTATGGTCTTAACAGCATTGTGATACTCTATAATGTGTCTGTAATCCGCCTTGTTGAGCTGTAATGTCTCTGTGGAACCTGACAGTCAAATTATATTGATCTTATGGATGGATTACTGACTGATCTTACAGCGTCTCAAGGTGTTGATTTACTTTTAGCAGCTGTACAGTGATAGAAATCACAGAGTTTAAAGATGTAAATATATATATTTTTCCATGCATAACTTTCCAGTGTATTACAGGCCACAGCATGTCTGTAGTTACAATAAAAAAAGAAGTTTAAATTATAAAACCTTTACCCCTGGTTTTATTACATTGTTTTTTTTTTAATGCCACAGTACTCAATGTGCTTTCTCCAGTGATTTTAGTGTGACATGAAGCTTTAGGAAGGATTTATACTGCTCTTTTTAAATGCCAGCATGATGGAAATATGACTAGTGCATACAGTGCTGTAGAATTTTGGTGGGTACTTTATGTCCCTACGCCCCTCAAACACACCACCAGTCTAGTATTGAGGTATTTCCATGTTGAAGTAGCCTTTTTGAATCATCTACTCTGCTGCGGTGGAAAAGCAGGGTGAAAGAAGCGTCTCACCTCAGACTACATCAAGCATCAGTAATGGTGGGTGTGGTCCAACAGTGACATCTAAGAGAAACGTATTCATAAATCTTATAACAATCCTATCAGGGTTTATTTTAGATCTTGGGAGCTGTGTAATAATAAAGGGATAGTGAGTCATTTTATACCCTCAATGATGACCACAATATTTGTATGGGGACACTGTATGCTATCAGAGAACTAGATTGGATTCATGATTTGTTATTGGCCTGGACAATGTCTCTATAGGGATCATCATAACAGGTGAGTTATTGCTTTCATTTCACAAAGGCTGATTAAGTTCATTAGTTTAATCTTGTTGTGACTGCTGACATGAGATGCATAATATTTCCAAATTATAGGATTTTGTCAACTATTATCATTGTATTTACACTTTCATATCATATTAAGAGCGTAAATTGATTTTATTTGTCCAATTGTGTATTTATTGTCGTAATCTAACAGGAAATTTTAAAAAATTGCTTTAAATCTCCACAAAAATACACTCAGAAATAATGAGTGTCTGAACCATCCAGACAGCCAGCTCAATGCAAGTCTAACCAGTATTTCTCTTCCCTTCTTTCTCTCTCTCCTGGTGTTTGTTTGTGTGTTTGTACTTGCCCTCACAGACAGTACAACAACATGATTCACTGACGTACACAGACCCATCAACACTGAACCCGGTCACAGCATCAGTGACGCGATTTATGGCTGGTGTAAACAGAGCCGAGAGGAGACACGCAGAAAACTGATGAAACGTGGAAATCAGCAGATCAGGTTTGTCTAAATTTGCAGCACAGTGAAACTAAACTCATCCTGGCTTGTCACGACGAAATAGAAGTGACTATAGGATAATATAACAGAACAGCACTTCCCTAAGAAGCAACGCGCATCGGAGCATCTTTAACAAATCCTGCAGAGTGTTTTGGAGAAATACGTCCAAAACATCACAGAGCACACTGCAGATTTTAAATCACTCCCAATAACCGTATGAAAGATAAAACTACAGCATACCACGCTTTAGGCTACTCTAAACTCAAAGTAAAGTACAACAGCAACTGTAGGAGAGCGGAAACAGGGACTAGTCATCGGTAAAGACGTGATTTACGCGTCGTCCGGCGCGCCTCCTGGCTGCAGTCAGTTCATTAACAGGGAAGTGCATCAGTCTCTATCGGCGTTGGATCAGGTATGGTGCTTCTTACCGTGTCGAGCGGCCGCGCAGAGCCGGCAGGAGGCGGTGAGGAGGAGGCACAGAGCTGCCCAGAGCCGCGGAGACCTCATCGTACATCCAACATCCACTGGAGCGAGGAGGGGGGGTGGAGCGGCCGCTGCTGTGCTGCACTTCTACCAGCTCTCCATCTCGGAGAAGAGGCGGCTGCTGCTGCTGCGAGAGCTCAGGACTGATGGAGAGGAAGTGAGAGAAAGAGAGAGAGAGAGAGAGAGAGAGAGAGAGAGAGAGAGAGAGAGAGAGAGAGAGACCACACTGCAAAAAATAGTCAAGTCAAAGTCTACCATTTACTTATTCAGTGCTCTGTTTCACTTACACAACATTTTTGGAGCGGTATTAACACTTCACTGAGCTAAAGCTTGTCTACACACTTCACGTTGGCCTCAAACTAAGATCATCCACACATACCAGAGGAATCAAACTAAATTCAGTAGGAGAGAAGACTTAAATGCACAAATTGAAATCATTTTATGTGCTCGTTTTCCTCACCTTTCTTTAAAAACAGCCTCCTACCTATTTTGTGTAAATGTAACCAAATTTACAGAAACAAAGCTAAACCACAGCTCCAACACTGATGCAATCCTAGCCTTTACATGTGCTCGAGAATTTTAATTTGTACACAGGTCATGATTTTTGATTTTTCAGCTTTCTTGAGAAGACAAAATTCCAGTCAAAAATAAATGAACTATTTATTTTTCATTGGGGACACAACTCCCCTCATGATAAGTAAATATACTAAAGTCAAAGTCAAATTGACAAGATGAAACTGAATATTTCTTGCAGTGTGGAGGAGGACATTGTCTCTCTGCATAGTAAAGAGGCTCCTGTGGATCACAAGTCCTCTTCATTGTGCCAACAAACTGTCCACAAACTTGGCAGAACATCACAACTGGTCTCTACCAGGCTTTTAGGAAAATGAGTGATGAGATTGAACTCACTTACAGCAGCTTCTCTTGCAGGATGGTACCTCCTACTACCACTGTTTTTGCATTCACAAAAGACACAAAAAACACAAAACTTTTCAACGTTTTATTTTCTAGAGAAGTTCAGTCCGTAAGAAATACTGAAAAATGTTGGTGTACATCTGTGTGTATTCTGTTGATTAGTGCTATGATTGGAGTACACTGGGGTTTAATATGAGGGCACACAACTGAGAAAACAGATTGTAATAGAAAAGAATCTGTCATTTTTTATATTAAAATGAGTTTAGATTCCCCACATTCCTCGTGGCCATACTCTGCATGAGCAGGTTCTGTATCCTGGATGTGTAACTTCCACCTGCCTGAACAAAATGACATCCTTTGTTTCCTTCATTTAAGATTCTTCTTGGTTCTAGTCGACAACCAGCATGCTCCTCACTGTTGGGAACAGCTCAAAAAACCCCTGCCAAAGGAAGCAGAGAGAAAGTGGTTCATAAAAAGAAAATACAGACTTTCAAATATACACAGTTTATGTATTTTCTTACAAAAAATAGTTAGCGTTTGTTGACCCCGAGTCATGCATGATCAACCTTTCTTTACTGTCAAAATTCCTCTTTGCCAGCAGAATTTAAGATGAAGCTACAAAGACTGAGTCACCTTGAAGAGGGTGGTGCTCTGCAGGACACTGGAGGTGCAGCACATCTCTCTGATGGAGTGCATGGAAAGCTGTGGAGCTCCAATGTCCATCACAGGAATCCCGAGGCGGGCGGCCAGGATGGGTCCAATGGTGGTCCCACATGGGCTGTCATTACGGACCATCACATCCTGCAGAGGGAACGGTCAAACACCAAACTGGTGGTAAATTATCAAACTAAAAAAAACCTTCAGGGCAAAGATCAAATCATTTCTATACTGGAGTTTTCTGCCTATCTGCCACCCAGTGGCCATTAGGAGGCACGGCAGTGTTCACAAACCAATTATTAAGTCATGTCCTCTCTTACTGCAGTGCGTCTATGACAGGGACGCTGGGAAATCAAACACATCAAATGGAAAAAGTGTAGAGATTCAAACCACAAAAAACAAACAGTTATAAGTTATACTGATGTTGATTCTGAGGTCAACATTTTCATTCAAAATAAACAGATTTTATGACATGGTAAATGTTGTGCACTGATTTACTTCTTCAGCCCTGAAAACAAAACTTTGTCTCTAGTCTTCCTCTTTGTAAATTTTAATTGCTTTTAGGATCCATTATTTGTTTTATTTCACACATGAATTCTTCTCCTCTTCTCTGTGTTGTCCTGGAGCAGCATGCCACGTTGCTAGGAGATCTGTGTTAGCTGCCGAGTGACTTAAGAAACACCAAGTAATGAGAAGCTGCTGAGCCTCAGTCTGCAAACATTTCATCTATGATCACAGGAACAGATACAAACACTGTACCTGCAGAGGCACGCCGACCTGGCTGGCGACCTCTCTAACGATGGAGGCAGTGACAGCCGTGGTAGCATAACGCTGGTTGCTATTAAACTTGATCACTGGGCCCTGAAAGGAAAAAATGTGGTTCATTCAATTAAAAGTGTGTTTCATCATAGCGCTCAGGTTTACATAAAAAAAACAAGTTTAAACAAATGAACTAATGATCTTTTTTTTTTTTTTTTTAACCAAAAATCATTTAAGAAATCCTTTCACTTTCAAGGTGTTTCTAAAACTTGATAATGTATTGGCTAATAATTTTCATAAAGGCACAGACTCAGGTCCTAATGCCATTAATCTAGATGACAAATAAACAGATGTGTGAACGTAGATTCCTCTGAGGCAAAAACTGACCAGATTTGAGATTTTTCTGAATAAATAAACGGAATTAGTTCAAGTGGTAAAGTCATGAGAGGCTATAGTTAGTAGAGAACATAATATACTTAATGAACAGCAGACTAGTCGCATGGTTAACTACCAAATCTAAACAAACTGCAGCTAAAAAGACAATAATTAATGATGAGTGGCTGAAATATTTGCGTCCTTTATAAATAAACAAATAAGTGATGCTTTACCTTGTGGAAAGCTGGGCGGTGGTTCTCCTCGTGCTTTTCTCTGAGAGCAATTTAAAAAAAAAATCAGCTGTTAAATGTCTTAGCATTAAAACTGAAATGGCTGAGCCATCTCTGAGAGTGGGCAGTGTAGTATTACATGTAGTTAGGGTGCGCAGCGTGTGCCATGTCAGCACTGATCATGAAGGAAAGCGGCGCTGCCTGCTGGAAGGCAGTCGGGTTCGAGGGAGAGGCGGCGAGGCGGCTGAGGATGAGCTCCGTCAGGTTTGATTGAGCTCCCTGAGCGCTTTCTGATCCCACCTGCAAAATCACACACATACACAGACAGATGGTTTTGATCTTTTTTTATTAGTACTGTATAGTGTGTTGTGTATCATGTATCACTGAAGTTGTAGTCTTCTGTAGCGCACATTAATAAATAATTCAGGTATAGAGATGGTTTTATGTATGTTTTCTCCTTCTCCCACCAGTCATTTTTTACCTCATTGATCACCCATCACTGGGAGTTTTAAACAAATCATTGCACCAGTTGTGTGTTAAAAAAACAACATCTGTTTGGGAGACACCAGACACAGCAGACTGAGCAGAAACTCATCCTCATTATACATCAGAAACTGGTCCAGTTTCAGTCTCACTCACCTCTTCATTGTCATACAGAGAGATCATTCGGATGTTTCTGTCTCTGTCCAGAGAGTCTCCAGAGCATGACTCAACCAGACCCTGAGAGACAATAAAAAAAAACAGGCTGAAGTACAAATTAAACTCAGAGGTGCAGTATAAAAGGATAAGTTGTTCTTGTATGGAGAGTGACCTGCAGGGCGCAGTAGCAGCTGTGGAGATTATCTAGACGTGGAGAGTAAATGAACTCTTCATACACGCCTCCCAGTGCCTGCAAAGGAGAGAAGAAAAAGATTACTGTAGTATTTTCTTCTACCAGACATTTTCACGAACATCTTCCTGATGGAAAAAATCACTGACGATTGATCAAAAATAGAACTCCTCTTTAAATTTTTTGTTTTTCTGCTGCATTAAGTTGTTCACTTTCTCTCAATTATTCGGTGAAAAAAAATGGTAAAATTCTCCATCTGTTGTTCATATCATAAAAAGATACCCTTTTCAAAAACTTGGACAACTCTGTGCCAGCTGTTCAAGCTTTGCATTATTCATAAATAGATAAGGATCTGATGGGGGGTCTGAGATCTGATCCTAAGGTGGTTAAACAGGATGATAACGAGTGACAGGAAGTCAATGGTTTACTTGCAGACTCACCCCGGGCTGAGTGTCAGCCAAACACAGCTCAAAGTCCAGAAGAGCTTCAGGGTTTATGCCAAGCTCTGAACAAAGCACATTCACCAGTGCTGGGTGGTGTTTCTCTGCCTGGGGGAGGAAGAGGCTTGTTACTTTTTCATCCTGAATAAATTCCCATCTCTTCGACCTTTGCTTTAATCACCTCTGGTATTTATTAGATAAGCTGTTAGAAAGTGAGGCAGATATTAATGATTTTTTTTCACCATCTCAAACCGTTTCAAGATCAGGAATACAAGCCATAATTTTCGTACACATCACACAAGTTCAGCCATGATCTGATGTTACACCCTTAGTTTCTAATGTCCACAAAATCGCTAAATTATTCTAAGATATATGGGGCCATGTGGTGTGTGGGAGGAAGACGCAGCGAGATATTGAAGGATAAAAGAAACACAGACCAAGAAGACAAGACTTTAGATTTGTGTTGCACCACGTGTTGCTCATTTCTTTAAGAGTCCACTTGTTTTATGTCACCAAAATACCATAACACTGGGTATGTGTGGGGATGTTTTCACCGTGGTAGTTGCACAGGAGGCGTCTCCACTGGATGCAGAGCCTGTTTCCAGCTCCTCTTGGATGGCTGTGGCGATGATGGGCACTCTGAAAAAAAAAGAAAAGACAGGGCAGTCCAGAAGAAATGCAAGTGTCAAACTGAAGTACAAAACAAACACCAAAAATGAGGTGACAGCGAAGATATTTTAGAGAGCTTTACTGCATAAACCAAATGTTGTCTTGCATTTGTTTCATCGTCAATGTGTGATCACAGTTGAAAAATCTTAGTAGTATAACTTCTGCTCTTTGTTACTGACAGGTGGTTCTCTTTGTTGGGGCCAAAGGAGTCATTGATGTCCCTCTGCAGGTGGATGGCCAGGTGAGGAATTCTGAGCAGAGGCTTGGACACATGAACGAGCTTCTGAAGCAGCCTGCCCTCATTCTGCAGAAGGACGAAACATTCACACAGGCAGACATACAGAAAGATAAGGAGGTGGCAAACATCTGCTTTTACCACTAAATGATGCCATGGACTTTTTCACTTTGTAATCTCCTTAAACATGCAACCTCACCAGCAGAACCTGCATTTCAGCTGTTTCACACTTCCTTGATAATATACTGATGAAATAATTACATGTGAATTTCATTAACAAAATGTTATCTTTTTCTCACTGTAGCTCTCTTGGGTTTAGCAGTGACTCATGAAACATTCATATGCCATTCCCTCTAAATGCCAACATTCGACTGAACTTTTGTCAAACAATGGCTACAGATAAATTTCTATCAGGAGAAAAAAACCCTGCTTACCTTAACCATTACGCGGCCTGCAACAGTCAGGTCACGGTCAAACCAGGTGTTCCAGATGCCACCGCCGTAGCACTCCACCCCAACCTGCAGACATCCCTGTTTGGTCTTCTTGGACCTCGGCTTCACCTGGAACATAGTTCAGTAATCTTGTAAATAGCAGACTGAATGAAACACTATTACAATCTGGCAAATTTGTCAAAATCAAGAATTTTCAGAGAGAATGCAGGAAGCTGAAACCTCTCAGACGTTAATAACTTTCATTACCATGTGAAATGATTTTGTGTTTCAAAGTGGGTGGTCTTTAAACAAAGCAATCAAACATACTTGTAAGGAACACAGCTCTATGCGCTGCACCTGACATATTTAAACTGCTTCACTGCTAAATTTTGTGGCAGCTTGGCTGCAGAGGATTTTTTCTTGCACCCTGACTGCACTCTGGAAATGTCAGATAAGTGAAGAAGTAGACCGTGATTGATGGGTGTAAGTGGGCAGGTCCTCACCCTGAGGCAGGGGCTGTCTGTGTGGGCTCCGATCATGGAAAAGCCATTTCCTGGGATGTACTGTCCACCCACAGCGAAGGCAATGAGGCTGGAATAGTTCCTGGTCACAAAGTACTATGGAGAGCAGAGAATACATTTTACATCTGATCTTTAAATTCAACAAACAGCATGCGCAAATATTTCTTCATTAAATCAGCCTCTGGCAAGATTTATTCAGTTGTGGCTGAAATAACTGCAAAAAAAAACTGCTGAAGTTAAGACTCAGACCATTCAAGCTTAAAAAAACAAACCTTCCTGGATGGCTCAATGTTCCATTTATCCTGCTCCTTCAGCTCAATGAAGCCTGCAGCCAACAGATGCCGCCTGCATTCTTCAACCACTAAACGGGCAAAATAAATAGAAAAAAAATTAAGAATTTCTCTCAATAGCAGCAAATGAAGTTTGAATCCATCGCAGAGTCATTCCTCAATGTTTATTAGAAATCCATAAGGATGTAAAAACACACACCACAGGTTTACTTATAAACATGTCAGTGCAAGATGTAGAAGTTGTTGTATCTGCTTCAAATATCCAAGACAACTTTTTCATTTGTGGAAACTGGTTTTAAAATTGTTAAAAAGCACTATAACAAATCAAATATTTTTCACTGCTTTGTGCCTCTATGATGCACCATCATCCACAGGACGCCAGAAGTCACAGTGCAAAGGTATGAGACCTTATAAAATCTGTTTCATCTGCAGGGACTCTATCTTATCTCAGGCTCAAAGTCGTCTGTTAACCTGGACAGTGTTTCTGCTTGAAACAGCTGACACGTGAAAATCTCTCTGTTTTCCAACTGGAAACTTTCATATCAGATAGCTCAGATTATTTAAGACCTTATCAAACACAACCTGCCACCTTGCTTGACTGTTAATCTTATCCTAGATAAAAAGCAGAACTATGTTCCTTAAATTGTAACTCAAATTAATAATCAGACATGAGCTTTAAAATAAAAGGTTTTTAGTCTGGTTGGTTTTGTCTGGGAAAAGGTGACACTGTCAGAGACCTGGAAAATTTCAAGACTGATTAATATGTTTTTTAATCTTCATTTTAAGAGTGAAGATATCTGAAAGTGTATGACTCCAAAACGTGTTGTTCCCAGTGTGTGGTAAGGATCAGTGAGTAAATGATTTGGTTCTGACCTCTTTTTTTCCCCTTAGAGTAACATGACAAAACCCAGGAACAATTAAAATTCCTGTGTTTGTGTGCAGAACCCATTGAACGTGCATGGCACCATTTTGACGTGTGCAAATGTAAGTCTAATAGCTTATGTATATCATCAGTGTCACATGAATGAGGACATAATGTTCTCTTCACCACTTTGAAACTTTAAATAATTAATTCAATTTGAGGACTCTACCGTGATAAGGAGACACCCCTCTGTTGACAAACTGCAAAAACTCTTTGGCAGCAGACTGCACGGCCTCTTTGGAGCTCTTCATTATCAAACACTGGAGGAAAAACAGAAAGTAAAATGTCAGAACTGCTAGATTTAACAAAGTAAGACAGCAACACCAGAAGATACCCTCTCTATGGTCACTTAACTTGAGTCATCCCGTCCTAAATGAGAGTTATCTACAATCAGACTCATTAAAACATTGATAAAAATAGGTTTATAGACCAAAATATTTACATGTTCAAGCAAAAGCCAAGCTTGTCCGATAATAGGCGCATAGGATATTAGCAACCTATGCTAGCTAACCGGCAAAGTAGCGTAGTAGACTTCTTCCTCTACTTTTTCTCTCCGCTTCCTCTGCTGGCCAAAGTCAAAGCAGCTCTCGTCTAGGGAACAACACTTCTGTACATCCCACTATAAATGTTCAGATTTATGGCACTTACCTGCATTAATTGGACTTTCGCACCCTGGACTTCAAAGAAACAGAAAGGTTAGCTGACAACTGCTTTACAGTGAAAGGACAATGTTTTCGAACAACACGCCACAGTGACATCCAGCGGCCGGGCGGTGAAATTACTTTTTTTTATTTCCTTTTTTTATGACCTTATACATAATTATTATTATTATTATTTCACTCCGTCATGTCATTATTTTTACAGAATATATATTTTTTGCCATTTTTTCATAATTAATTAATTAACATGGTGTGTCTGAAATGTACAGTCATCTATCATGTGTCGAAGTAAAACTCCTGAAAATATTGAAAAATCACATATTTACTTCACAAACTATTTGGGGGTAACACTTTGGATGTAAGGCAAAAACTTAATACTTCTTTGTGGTGTTGACATTTTCCCACAGGAGTTAAGCAATGCAATGAAATTTCTCTTTTGATCTGAATCCACTGTCCATTCCCTGTTGGCTGCAATTTATCATAGCATCATCACCACGGGAACCAGCCTTATATAGTCCTAAACAACCAGGGAGGAGGAGGGTGAGACTGAGAAATTGAGAGGAGGAGAGTCTGAAAGTGATGAAGAGATGTTTACTTCAGCTGTCAGCTCACAGAGTCACTTTTGCTCTTGAGGAAGGCCAGGACGATAAGTAGAGAAACATACACTCACACACACACACGTTAACATCAGGCTCTATTAATAGGTGTAAGAGCAACAGGCTTTATTAGACGAGCAGCAGTGGGAGAGTCAAGCATACCAAGAGAGTTTTTCTGCACACACTGTGTAGCCCTCTGCTCTTTATTTATGTTTGTTCTCAAAAAGACTATGGTCTAATTAAACTGGAAATGACCCTGATAGTACCTGGTGAAACCGAGATGTATCATTATTTCACTTTGATTACAGCGAGAATTTGTGTGGTTAAAAAAGAGATATAGAGACAAATATGAAATCATCCTGTGCAAGCCGTGAAGTTTCTGAACCTTACAATAAGTTTTCAGCAGCTGTTACGTTGTCATTTAAACTTGCAACTAATAGACTTTGGCCTGTCAAAATGAAATAAGAGCTGATGTAAACATAAAGCCCATGAAGTCTGGTGTCAAAGAAAAAAAACTCCCTTTAAATCCCTTTCATTGTTACACTGTAATGGTATTATCATCAGTGGCACATGATGTATGGGACTGTAACAGTGGGCGTGCCGACAGGCACATGTAGCTCTCTGTCTCCCTGGATGAGATAGTTTTCCTTTTTAAGGCAGGTTTGTCAACGCTTTCCCCCCACAGATGCTGTCATTTACAACCTGCACAGCTTCACCATGTGAGGACGGCGCAGAGCTGGAAAGGACACCATCCATTCTCGCATCCTCGGATCATTATGTAATGAGATCATAGATGTCGCAGAAAGGGACTTTCACATGGCCCTTTGTGATCCAACAGGTCCTTTTCTTCACCTGGGCTCCTGTCTCCACCTTACCGTATGTGCTTGGTGGTCTGAAAACCTCATGTTTGAGGAGCATCAACAATTTAGCTAATAAGGGAAGTCTGTGTTTGGTTGACACATCAAAAAGCCAACGCAAACAACTCCTAACAAAATGAAAACCAATTGTGAAGAAAATCATCAATTTCAGAGAGATTGTGAGGATTATGGTTCGGAGTAGATTTGTAGAGTTGAACAATTTCCTGCAGGATAATCACATGTAATATTGCAATGCAGAAAACAGCCCAAAACACTTCAACTGAAGTCAAAAAACCTTCTCTGGTTAGAAACATGCTTATAACAAAATAAAACAAAACACAATCATTTATGAACTGTAATCTCATAGTCTTGGTCACCATTACTGGACTTCTTGGAGTGTATTTTGGCAAGTGATGAGATGGCATCTCTCACAGAAGTATTGTGTCAATAATCTCAATACACTCATTTACATATGAGACCACAGTAGTGGCAAGGCAAGTATATTTATAAATTATATTGTGTATGTTTGCAAAAGTGAAGAAAAAAACACACGGAAAAAAAGATGTTTGAAAGTCATCAAAAGAAGAAGTTTGTTTCAGATATTTTGAACATGTAAACTTGAGGCTTCTTCTCCATGTTTGGTTTGACTCAAGGACAGAAAGCAGACCTGTCCCTGATGACCTCAGCTGTCTGGATGGTCCATACTGACTAAGAAGATCACTGATGTGTTTTAGCCAAGAACCATTTTGTGTTTTATAGACCAGCAGCAGCAGCATCAAATAAATACTAGATGTTTAGTTTTACTAATTTCATTAATTTCCATCATGCACAGTTTGTTTTAAATGTTTCAGTGGTCTCACTCTTAAGCTGTTTTTTTTTTTTTTTTTTTGTCAAAACAACCTAAGAATAAGAATTAGAATTACTTTAACTTTATCCCCAAAGGGAAATTCAAAGAAGAGTGATGGAGAGAGGGGGCTGGAAGAAAATAAGACAAGTAAAGTTTTTCAAAAAGGTGGTAGATGATGATAAAAAGGGAATACTAAGGAGAAAAAAAAGACAAAGAGGAAGAAAAAGAGAGCTAAACACAATAGAGGGAGTGAGATAATGACTGCAAAGACTCGAGGAGGGCTGTTCCCAGAGTGGAGGGGGTATAAAGTGAGGGAGGGGGTAACTACAAATAGCCAAAGGCAGCAAGTTCTCCTCCAGTGCTCTCCTCTGTTGCACCTCTCATCAGGCTCTCCAATCCACCATGGCTTCCTACAGCTCCTCTGCCCAAACCGCCTCCTCCTACCGCAGACACTTCGGCCATGGTGGCTTCGCCTCACCCTCCCTCAATCGCTCCATGCTGGGCCATGGTGCTGGTGGGGGGGGTCATGTCACCTCCAGGGTCTATGAGGTGACCCGGTCCAGTTCCACACCAGCCTACAGGGTCTCCTCCGGCTACTATGGTAAGCCTCTGGGATCCTCCAGGGTCTCTGTTGGTCGCTCCTACGCTGGCATGGGCGAGACGCTGGACTTCAGCCTGGCAGATGCTCTCAATCAAGAGTTCCTGACCACACGCACCAATGAGAAAGCAGAACTGCAGCACCTGAATGACCGCTTTGCCAGCTACATTGAGAAGGTTCGCTTTCTGGAGCAGCAGAACCAGGCGATGGCAGTGGAGGTGGAGCGCCTGCGTGGACGCGAGCCGACACGCATCGCCGACCTGTACGAAGAGGAAATGAACGAGCTGAGGAGGCAGGTGGAGATCCTGACCAATCAGAGGTCACGTATAGAGGTGGAGCGAGACAACCTGGCTGATGACCTGGACAAGCTCAAACTCAGGTGGGAGGGACATGATGGCGTGTGTGTCTCTTTAAAAAAAGATCCATATTTGTAGAAACTCATAAACACAGAGCTGAACAGAGTGAACAAGTCTGGGTGATCATGTTGAACCTGGAACAAACACGTTTAGTGGAGAAAGTGGATGAATGGAGGAATATGGTGATTCATAGGCACAAGTGATGACACATGAATGTGACCTTATGGGAGCTAGATTTAACTCACTAAGTGGGAGATAAGAGGGTCTCAGCTGGCACTACCATCTGCTGTTGGTTTTGGTTACAGGGGGGCTAATTTTTGAAGGAACATGAACTTGTTTTTAGAAAATATTTTTGAATTTCAACATCAATTTGCATTATGGTTGTTGATGTCTGAGCTGTAGATGTTAAAAGACCAGAGGACTGGTTCTGTGATCCAGTTTTTACAATTACAACTCCTAAAATGAGGCTTTTGTGAATTATTGTTTGCGTGTTGGACTGTTTTTTAAAGATTTTCTACTCCCATTTACACCTGCAGGTCTGATATTGATCAATTTAATGAACATGATGCATGGCTGTGGAAAGAGACACAGCATGTTTACACTGTGCCCTTCTATATAAGGAAAGGAAAGCACTCCCACACATCTTCAGGGCCTTTAACAACCCTTCCTCTCTCCATGGTTTACATCTTAAGTGCCAGTTTTATAACAAGTGAAAGACAAGACAGGCCTTATGCAATTCAAGGTAAAACAATAGATAATCACTGAAATCTTTTATGGGGATTTGAAGGTTTTCACTTAGATTGCAATCAAAATGGAGCTTTAAAAACTTAATCTTAACTTCATTTTAATGTATTTTGATTCAGGGGTCCTTTGCAGCCTGATGACATAAAACCAGCATCTATTCACAGGAGCATGGTTTTACAGTGGAGCTTTCATTACAACCATATTGTGTTGTTTGATTTGTCTTTGGCTTGTCAGTACAGATGACTAGAGCAAGAGTTTCAAATTAACTCTAGATTGTGTTAAAACTTAACTAAGTAAATATGAGAAGTTAACAAGGAATTTTGATTAATTTTTACGATGTCTGTTACCTGCTCTAGACTCCAAGAAGAGATTCTCCAGAAAGAGGAAGCAGAGAGCAACCTGGCTGCTTTCAGGGCGGTGAGTGCCTCATGCATTACTCCTTTTATAATAGTCTGAAGTAGTTACGGCACGGCAGTCAAATGCATGTTTAACTTGGTATTGGTATTCTTTGAACTTTTAACATCTTTCAAATCGTCTGCTGCAGGATGTGGATGCCGCCACATTGGCTCGTCTGGACCTGGAGAGACGCATCGAGACACTGCAGGAGGAGATTGCATTCCTTAAGAAGATCCATGAAGAGGTTCTGTCTTTTTTCCCCTCTGTTATAACCTTCATAAATCTAATGGATCGTGGAAACTTTTTGTTTTGGCAACAACAGTCCACACTAAAATTAAATCTGGAGTAAGACCACGGGAAAACATACATTTAAAACCTGTGATTCCCTCCTCCTCTTTTTATCCCTTTAGTGCACATTTGAGATGACGTGTGCACTCTTCCAGTTTGTCAATCTGCCTGTCAGCATCTGTTGTTACATTTGTCTGCATTTGTCTGTGTGTGTGATAACAACAAGAGGATTGGAGAAGCACACAAACACAGAGAGCTTGTATGCTGGCAGCAGGTCCAAACAGTGTTACAGTAGAGCTCTGAAATCTCACACAGCAGATGTACTGCTAAAATTACTCTGTGTACCAACACTGGACATCATCGTCTCTGGACCACAGGGGCTCGTAAGCTTAGATGTATGTGTGCATGTCTGATTAAGCTTCTTTCAGTGCAAAATCATAAAAAAAAACTTCAGATCCAGATAAACAGATGGGTTTTGTGTCATTGGTTGAGGTTATTTCCTAGGTAAGCCTCAGGGAAATGGATGCATGTCAGTATCATGTTCCCAGTAATCATGTCCGTATGAGCACTCTCAGCCTGGGGACGGTCTGGCTGATGATGGCTACATGACGCCAAGTGGCTGCAGCCATATTTGAAAGCAGTCTGTTATTGTGTCTACAAGTTGTTGAGTTGCTGAATGAGGAAGTAATATTCCTATGTGTATGCATGTGGTTCTTAAGATATAATTTGACTCTAGTTAGTGAATCCTACTGTACATAAAACTAACCCTGTTGGAGACAAGTGAACACACAAATATAACCCCACACAACCAACAACCACAAAACTCTGACCTCCATCTATCTTGAACTTCTCCTACTCGACTGCCTGCAGGAGATTCGCGAGCTGCAAACTCAGATGCAGGAGACCCAGGTGCAGATCCAGATGGACATGTCTAAGCCTGATCTGACAGCAGCACTGAGAGACATCAGAGCCCAGTACGAGGGCATTGCTGCCAAAAACATCGCCGAGGCTGAGGATTGGTACAAATCAAAGGTAGGAGAGGGAGAGATTATTCATAACACATTAAATATTTTCTGACTTTATATTGTTTATATTTGACAGCTATGAATATGTGGTTAATTTATGGGACATGTCTAAGCATTCATGATAACAGTATTGTGGTGTGGCTGCAGTTAAACCTGATCTGGACCTTTATCACTTCAGGTGTCCGACCTGAACCAGGCAGTGAGCAAGAACAATGAGGCACTGAAGCAGGCCCGGCAGGAGACCATGGAGTTCAGACACCAGATCCAGTCCTACACCTGTGAGATCGACTCACTGAAAGGCACCGTATGTCTCTTACACACAGAGAAAAGATTTCAGAGCTGTGCCTCATCCTGCCCAAACATTTTCACCTTTGTCTCCTGGAAATCTCCAGAACGAGTCCCTGATGAGGCAGATGAGGGACATGGAGGAGCGCCACGGACGTGATGCGGGTGGATTCCAGGACACCATCACCAGGCTGGAGGCAGAGATAGCGAACATGAAAGATGAGATGGCACGCCACCTTCGAGAGTACCAAGACCTGCTTAACATTAAGATGGCCTTGGATGTGGAGATTGCCACCTACAGGAAGCTGCTGGAAGGGGAGGAGAGCAGGTGACGTTGTCTAAGGAAATCTGGATTGTAATTGGACAGAGTTGTCATTTCAGATTGTTGTAGGTTTGTACTGACTTGCTCTGTCTGTCTGTGCAGGATAAGCCTACCTGTGCAGAGCTACTCCACTCTGAGCTTCAGAGGTAAGACCAGACCTGCAGTTATCTAAACACACCACTAGAGGGCACACATCGCAAGGCTCTGAGTCTGTTCTCAACCACAGTCGAGTTTACACACAGATGCAGTTTTTACACTTGATTTATAATACATTGTTGTTTCTATAGCAAATAGAAGTAGCGCTCACAACGTCCATTGTGACTTAAGGTTATAGAGGTTGTAGAGGATAAAGTCAGTGAGTATCCCACTCATGAGACACTGAGATCTTGAATAGGAAACTTTTGTGAAAAAAAAAAAAAAAAAAATCATTTGCTTTGTGTTTGCAGAGACCAGCCCTGAGCAGCGCTCCTCTGAGATGCATTCAAAGAAAACTGTCCTCATCAAGACCATCGAGACCCGCGATGGAGAGGTAATCCAGATATGACCATTTTAGTTCATTTTAGTTTAGCTCCTTTTTAGTTTGGATGGAAATTACAGTCTATCTCAAAAGGGACTTTTTTCGTATTTATTACCTCACTTTAAAAAGTTTGGAACAAAATCTGGGCAACATTTTGATCCTATTAAACTTTCTTTACTGATTTAATCTCTCTTTATTGACTTTACATCGTCTGTCATTTAATACTGATCAGCACTCTTTAAAATTAAGTCAGTTTTACACTTGCCCCTTCTTGTGTTGTCCTAATGTAAGTGAATCTGGTCAAATTCTCAAACTCAACCCTAGAAGCCAGCAGCATTTTGTACCGCTCTGTAAAACACATCCTTTTGCCATATCTCTGAGAAGGCATTCCACATCATTCCAAGTAAACACCTACACGCATGCAGTGACTAGTTCACACAGTGTGCCACCTCTAACCCAATATCCTGTCCCACCTGTGTGAAAACACGCTACCCCTGCTGCCTCCTGGGGAAACATACATCCCAGACGTGCTGAGGCAGGTCATGGTTGCTCTCTTATTCTCAAGAAAAGGTGATTTGCATCATCAGACTGTCAGTGATAAAGGTGTTGCTTTTCCTCTGCCTCATATAATAAAAGCATGAAGAGATTATTGAACTTTTTCAATATAAATCATATAATTATATAAAAAAAGAAGAGCTAGGTTACTACACTTGTATGAAGACAAATAAACCTTCAAAAATACATTTGGAGCGAGCTTCGTTACATTCACATTTTAAAATGATTTCAGTTATTTATACTGAGACAACATCACAAAGACTCTTCTCTTTAACAGTGAAATCAAGAGTTGTGTATTTACACAGAGACCCTGTGTGCCGACTCTCACTCAGTATATTTCCACACACTTGAATGTCTCATGAATGTTATGAATCTGCCCCGCAGGTCGTCAGCGAGTCGACACAGCACCAGCAGGACATCATGTAACCATCTACAGAAGATAAAGAGCCGAGGAGCCGAAAAGAACATCTGATGTTCCCTGAGACAAACCGGGGTGAAAACAAACATGAAAAAGAAAACAAGTAAAGTAAAAGGACTGTACAAACTCATCAAACTGGCCTGTAATGCCCTTTGTAAGAAGTAAAGCAGGATGGAGGTTTATTAATCTCTTCAGCATAAAAATCTCCAACTTTTTTTTATTGTTTTACCTCAGAGTCAAAAACTGTGATTGATTATGTAAATTTACCCGTTTCTGAAGTGTCTGTATCTTCACAAATGATTTAAAAGGATGGGCTGCTGCAAAAAAAAAAAATCAAAAAAAGGCTTTTAGCAGTGTAAAATTCACTACATCACATGGAGACTTGCGACTAAAATGGCAAAAACAATGTAAAAGCAAATAGGGGGGCAATACTCGTCTCTGTCATCTAATAAAGAGTAGCAAATTTATCTAATTTAAAATGAACTTTAGGATCCTGTAGACTTTTATCCTGTTTGTCAAACTCAGTCTTTTTTCTTTACAGAGAGGATAAGGCTATCCGCAAGTGTGTGTGTGTGTGTGTGTGTGTGTGTTTGTGCTTATCAATAAAAGGACAGAAAGGACGGATGAAATGAGAAGATGGAGGAGGAGATTAAAAGGTGTCTGGAGATTAAGAGCGAGATCAAAGCAAAGAGGTTGTACAAGAAAGAAAACAAAGATGGAGAGAGAATGAGAGAGAAAGAGAGAGGAAGGGGCTTGTTTAGATGAGAGGTAATCCCTTTGACCTTTAAATATTACTTGCTAATAACGGATGGAAGAATGTCCTCGGGCGGAAAGATGACTCAGACACATTGATTGTATACAGGCCCATAAGAACACATGCTTTAATAACCATAATAATCATAATTCAGTTTTTAAAAAAGCATGGAGTTACTGGCCTACAGTGATGACATTGCACTCTCCTTTACAGAAACGGCTCGAAAATAAATAAATCAGCGAATAAATACATCCCACAGGAAAAAAAACGTGTTTCAATAAAATTAGATTTCTAAGAAAATTAAAAAGAAATGAATAAAAGTAACAAAAAAAAAAAAAAAAAAAAAAAAAAAAAAGTTAGTAAGTGCTGTGTTTTATGTACAAATTTCACATTGATGCACATGAAGGGGTGGAGGGTGTTCAGTGGAGGCCAAAATGGAGCCACACAGGGCAGACCAGGGAAGGAATGAGGGGCGAATTCATGCATTTCTGTTTCCCAAAAATGAATCTAAAAAATGTTTCACATACCCCACCCACCTTAACCCCACAATTTGCTTGCTTCTCCTTTAAAAAGGTCAAAGGTAACAAAGTATTCACATTTTCACAGGTGACAAAAATGTTACATTGTCCTAAATAAAGAAAATCAATGCACATGTTGGAAGGATTAGTCGGTTTAAGTACAAGTCTACATGGCCGTTTGTCCACTTTATCGGTCAGAATCTCTGAGCCTTATTTACATCAGCATCTCAGCCTGGTTTGGTTTATTAAAGGTGATTTCCAGCAATCAACTTCTATTTTTTTTTCCCATGCAGTTGTGAGATTTTAGATCCACACAAAAACGACCATTCCTGTGACAGTTTTTAGCTTTGACTGGTTTTCTTTTACTTTAAATTTTTAGATTTTAGCATGAATACTTTTTCAGTTGCACAGCAAAGGGTGCCATCAGAGAATGTTAGTGGGTCTTACAGCTGTGTTGGTGAAATGAGACTCTTCAGCTATGTAAATAAACGTGTCAAGGGTGAACATTTTGCACTTCAAAGGATGAAATTCAAGTTGAAAAATATGAAACTTCCATTCAAGATCTTCTTGCATTTTTTGTGTGTGAAATCTCAGCTGAGTGCCAGTGTAAATATGGCTTTCTTGTCGTCAGCTTTACCTAAAATTTGACTCATGTATCCTGACATCTGTGGATACAAGCCAGTGTAACTCGATTTTTTTTACCCTGCTTATTGTAGCTCCATGGCAACCCCCTTAAAATCCTTCTGCGATCATGTTTAATGCAAAAACAAGCCACCGATGGGAGATCTGCCAGTAACCCCCCTCCTTTTGTTGAACGACGTAGTCCATGGAGGGGCAAGGCACCCGTTAAAAACAGATCCCCCGGCCAACGGAGAGCAGTTTAAAGAGGTGAATCGTCCAGCACCAAGGGTGACAGAGGGGTTTCCCAGCTTTAAAAACAGTGAAGACGTCTCTCTCCATTTAGAGGAGAACTGAAGTCGTCCAGATGGCACACAGCAAATAAAGAAATCCTGTTTTTCTTAAAAGGGCCCTTGCTTCCATTTATGGATATTTGTTGGATATTTCAGACATAGAACATGGGCAAGTCGTATTTTGATTTTTCTGACTGTGCCTGCGTTCGAACCTGAGGCAGGTTTGCACTGAAACTGTGATACCTGATCCGCTTGGACAGTGACACGAACAGCAGGCTGCTTTGGTGTTCTTGGTTAATGCTCAAGAATGCAGCTGCTGTTCCTGCTTGTCCGAGTGCATGCATGCATTTGTGCATTTGGGACTTCTGGAAGTCAGTGCTAGGAGGTCGACCAACCCTCTGCAGCACACTGAGGCCTCCATAAAGAGAGTGGAGCTCTCTGTACTGACATATAGCTAATAAAGAGTTGACCAGATCTCACCTTTTAGGTAAGTCCAGTGATAAATAAATTTCCTTCCTCTGTGTAGCTAAGTCCTCGTCATTTTTGCAATAAAACCAGTGGTGGTTTGTTAGGTGTGATTTTACCCACGTGGAGTTGTGATTGTAGTCATGTGTCTCCCTGTTTAGACGGTTTGTTCAGGCCTCTGGGAGGTGAAGAAGTTGTCAGACCCGTAGAGAAGGTCCTGCAGCTCCAGTGAGGGGTGCAGTAGAACCACAGTCATAGCCAACATCCACCACAGCGTGGGGTCCACCGACTAGCCGGCTGGGAAAGGGCTGCCCCTGCACCTGCCGGTCCCTGAAACTCTGGATGTAGCTCTGGATAGAGTGAAGAGAGAAATGTTTTAAGATTATAAGTGATAGAAAACTCAGCATAATTTTCAACAATGGATCAGAGACTCTAAAAGCAAGGTCAAAGTTCTTCACTGGTGAGAGGACGTCTGTGTCGTAGCGGCGGATCGGGTTGGGTTTGCGTCGATAGGCCGGCTCAGCGTGAAGTTGTTTGGCCTGGTGGTGATGGGTCGAAGAAGAGCCGTGCTGCTGCTTCTTCTTCTTTTTCCGATAGCGGTCATCCCGTTGGCGAATCCGCATCACCTGCATTCTCCTCTGCTGCCGGCTGATGATGACTACAGGGAACAGGTTGAAGACAAGTGCACGGTAACTTTTTAATCATAATCATCAGTCTGCATCACAAAGAGGAAACAATATTTAATGAATGACACCTGCTTTGTGATGACAGTGACTAAGAAACTGTGAAAAGGTGGGTTTTAGGAGAGGAGGATCACTTTGTAAAATGTGAGGTTCTCATGGACATGTTTTTTCTTTTAAATTTGTGCAGCTTTACAGACACAATTTTCAATAACTCAAACACTAGATAGAAGCATAATGTTTTACTTATTAACTCCCCTATTTCAAACATGTGCTACTTAATATATAAAACAGGGTATACTTATACTTATAATTGAGATTTCAGTAAACATGCACAGTGGTTCTCACCTTTAGTGTGGGAATATCCCTCAGCTGTCACCTTCCACTGGACTATGACACCCAGCAGAGTAAGGGCAGGCCACACCCCCAGCACCACCCACGTCAACCAGCACACAGGCTTGCCAGGCGCTGCTTTCATTCGCTCGTACATGTAAAGCACAAGGGCGAAGAGCTCCACAAAGTAGTCCACAGCCACAGTGATGACTGCCGCACCAAACACAGCTGTGGACAGCGTGGTAAAGAGGCGCTGCCACTGCAAGGTGAGCACGGCAAACAGCATGCCCAGGCCAAGCAGCACGCCCAGAGGCACCCAGACGGAGCGCGGCGGGCTGTCGGAAAGCTCCTCCATGCCTACCAGGGTGGCCACGGCCACCAGCAGGCCCAGCAGCAGGCCCACCATAAAGAGGCCCACGCTGCGAACCAGCATAGTGACCAGGCCACAGAGCGTGCCGATGCCAAGGCCGATGCCCACTGAGGCCTCCACGCTCAGCTGGGTGTCCAGAACGCGCTCCTTGTAGCAGAGCATGAAGATGACGACAGAGCCGAACATCAGGCCCGTCAGGAACATCACTGCTTTAAAGCAGCGATAGCCTGAAGGAGGAGAAAGACACGGGATTATTAAACAGCTCTGCTACCTATTCACACTTTTGAAAATGAACAGATGTCTTAAAAAGTTTAGGACTCACCAAAAAAGCAGTAAATGATGCCAAAGAGGCAGCACATGGAGCAGACCACAGAGGGAACCACTTTGTAGCGTCCGCCAGGGTCCCCACAGCCATCCAGTCGCTCAGGACTCAGCTCCTGATCGGGATGGGCCAGCATTGTATCCAGGGTAGTCGTCATGGTGACCAGGAAGTAAGAAAAGAAGGGAGAAAGGAGGTGGAGAGGAGAGACGGAGGAGGAGAGGAGATCAGGTGGGAGGTGAAGGACAGGAAAGGCTATGGGGCACCACCTGTAGAGGGTGAAGGACAGAAGAAGAAGAAGATTTCTGTCACTCTTGGCAGTTGAACGGAACAGTGAAGTGAGACCTCTACTGCTTTGTGACAAAAATATATTTAGCTCAAACGACTATTTCAAGATGTTTAATTTGTATGGTGCATTCAACAACCCTCTTATTACTAGAGATGCACCGATCCATTTTTTTCCGATCCAATCCGATACCAATATCTGGGCTAAGCTGATATCCGATACCAATCTGATACTACTGTTGAATGAATGAATGTATATATCGCCCTGTACGTGAAGGCACCAGGCTTGACATTGGCCTTGTAAAAAAAGGTAACAAATTAACTGATATACATTTACTTAATATTATTTATTAACAAATTGCACATTAGCACACAACAAAAAGAAGTAAGAATTCCATGTAAACATTTAGTGCAAAAGGATAGACAGACATTGAATACAGAGGGAACAGAATCGCTGTGTTGTTGTGTTTGATATTAATTAAAAGAAAAAAAAAAGACTGGATTAGAACGCTGGATTGGAGTCATTCATCTGATATCCGATCCAGTTAATCTGTCAATATCAGAGCCGATATCCGATCCAAATATCAGATCGGTGCATTCCTACTTATTACCAGTTTCAGACTTGTAACACACCAGTTCAAAAAACTTGACTTTCTTATCACACGATGTTGCTGCAGAATGTCCATGAACGCACCACCAAGAGAAAGTTCATCATATACTAGCGCTGAAGTAAAGCTCAGTCCTCTCTGTTAAACAGTCTCAGCTTAGTGCAAAAATCTTCCTTTTCGTAAAACTGAAAAACTAACTGGTCTGGTGCTTCAGATTGGATCCTGCTTCAACATTAGAGAGCGCCACTACAGTCTAAATGAGTAAAAAGCCTGCCAGGAATCCAAACCTGTTACACTGTGAAGAAAGAGGCTTTCATGCACTGGTGGTGTAACATGATTTTGTTTTTAGTCCACACATAGTTTGGCATCCCCAATGGCAAAAACTGGAGATAATAATAGCCGAGATATCAGCGGGTGTTTGAGCCAGGGAGGCGAGCTCAATCACAGACAGGATTTTCTCTCTCTCTTTTTGATCAGGAGGCATTTAAGGGGAACAAGAATGAATGTCTTTCAGAGCACAAGGCAAACACATTTCTTTAATGGCTCTTTTTTTCTCTTGATCATCAATCATTCTGACCTTCAGCCATGACCCTACCTACACAATTCATCTAATCTAAGACAAATAATAAGATCAAGATTACTGAATTAAAATTACTTATAGATTTCATACTTAAGTTTTCCCTTCCATTCATCTGCGGTTTTTACACAATGTCAGTAATTTCTCTCTTCATTCATTATCCTTTATCTTTAAGCTTCCTCATCGCATTTTGTCTTAATGAGCAGCCACTTCAATCCTGCATCCTAAAATGTCTTTATTTTTTTCATCTACAATCTTTTTCTATCTCTTTTTAAAGTTCCCTCTGCGCTCACATAGGCCCTCTCTTTTCTTTTGTTCACACTTCTGCAGCCTCATCTGTATTCCTGTAATGTCTTTTGTTCACAGCACTTGGTAAATAAATTTGTCTGGATTTTCTCCGTCTTTGTGTCTACTCTTGTTTGTGAGCAGTCTTTTTTTTTATGTCTGCTGCACCTACATCTGTCAGTGTTTCCTGGCATGTCTGCTAAACCTCACCTTATTTCACCTCATTTCCTCCTGCCGTCATTCTTCAAATCTCTTAGTTTCCTCCCTGTTCTCTCTCAAATCTTCAATTTTCTTCGGTCCTCTCCTTCAGCAGAACCGCCATACAAAAACAAGGGGATTTACTTTGTAGTCAACCACATAGTTTTGTATATTTAGCAGTGTAGGAGTACTGCTTCTTGCAAGAACACCCACATATACTCAGAACCAGAAACAATTTATACTCAAAATATGCTAATGTATGCAGACAAACAAATACTATACAATACAGCGGATACTGTTCAGTCTATAAACCTGGTCAAACACCCTAACCCTCAAAGATAAAGAAACTGCACTAAAGTAAAATACATTGTTATATTTATATTTCAATGTTATGCTAAAAGGCACAAAAAGGGGAGGATGATAATTTGACTTTCACCTTTTCCTCCTTCACCTCCTCCCTCTGGCTGTTTTCGTTCTCTCCATCTCGGGGTGACTTCAGTTCAGTCTGACTCTGTAGGGTTTCTGGGTCAAAGTTGCTTATGCAACTCTCGTCTAGGGAACTTTGTTCTGATATTCATGAGCTCCTTCACCCCTCACTTTCTCTTGTCCTCTTTTTACCACTCTCCTCTTTTGTTTCCTTCTTTCACATATCCTACTTCCTCTTCTTCCAGTGCCTCCTTTGCCCTACTTTTTCTCACTTTCATCACTCACTTTCATCCCTTTGTTTTTAGCTGCTTTTCTCCCTGAGCGCTGACTCATGTGCGCGGCTAATAATCTGTTTGTGTCATGTATGGGGGATGAAACAGGTCTTGCATGTTTGACAATTTACAAGGGCGGCAGACAAAGTGGTTACGTGCTAAATCCTTACTGTGTCTAGCTGCTTCTGCTTTAAATGTGACCTTTGACCCCTTTTTTTCAGCAAAATAATCTCCAAAAGCTTTCAAAGATTTTTTCTAAAAAGTTCAGGCAGTTTTTGATGAAAAAATGCTTTCTATTTAAGAGTTTAGCAATCACTATTAATCTAGTGTTTGTGTCTTTACGTTAGAGATTAAGGCACGCTCAGTTGGAGCACAAAGTCAGAAAATACAGGGAAACAATGGAGTGGTTCTCCCACAAACATGCAAATCATCAACACTGACATTTAGAAACAGGTTCTATCTTGTTGTGACTGCATAAACCAAAGTGTCATACAGACAAATAAAACTACAGGGGAGGTATGAAGTGTAAGTTCTTCTCAGCAAACAACAGTCCAGATCAGTGATTTCCAGAAGTCTCCTCATCAGTGAACATCCATCTGACAGACAGGTTAAACAAGTGCTTAAAATAACCTGCATCAGTCGATTTAAAACTACATATGAGAACAGCACTTTAAACACAGTAATACACAGACATTTTGCAGTGGTGTAACTCTTTTCTTTTTGAAGAATTAACTTCCCTGAGCTATAAGACAGTAGAAACTGAAATGAGGAAATTTGACTTTACCCAAAAGTAAGACTGTGTTAATGGAGCATTTTTGGAGAAATCTTGAATGTAAACACTACCCCTCCCAACCAGTTTTCCAGCAAGCCCCGCCCTAAAAACAGACGCTCGTGCTCGCTCGTACCATTCCAATTAAATTCAGATATAATGCAGGTAAATACTTCAGATAATTACAAATGGGGCCCAGTCAACGTGAAAGTAAAAAGTCCCCATCCTTTATGCTTCATTGACGTCAACCCAGCTTTTTAGCTCTGTCCGGGTGGTCTACCTCCGTTTTAAGCGCCCGTTATTCTGCCAGAGTCTCTGGTATTTACTTCTTTTTCTTGTGTTGGCAGTTGTGGCCAAAGGAGGATTCAGACAATTTTCTGTACTTTCTGGTTGGTTTCTACTGTCCGATATTGTAGCACGCTAACTTTGTTTGGGCTTGTGCACGTTGTTCGAGGATGTAGAGCGTGCCTCACAACCAATCAGGTCGGGGAGGTGGAGAACGACTCTGTTTACAATCAGAATGAGCGGACCACCCAACAATTTTAAAATGTTGACTACACAGGCACAAGAGAGCACAGCGATATCGTGATATTCCCACATTTTATCAATAACTAATAGCTATTTACTGATATTAAAAGCTTTTTGGCATATACACCACAAAAAGAATACTTTTTTAACGGATTCCTGCCTACCCCACATTTAAGTCAACTGCACAGAATACATGGGTTTGGCAGAGAAGCATCTCCATTTGAATAGAACCATAATATTAAAAACCGTCAGTAGGAAGAGGCTGATAAAAACTTCAATCATGCCCAAAAATGTCTTCACATTCACACACATGCAAAAGCACTCATGCACACTCACAGTCCTCAAACACTTCTAGATACACACTCACATTTTTATCCCCATTTCCATCTAAGCATGTCGTATTAATAATCATCTCTTGGTGGAGGATTAATGGGTCATGACCGAGTAAACCTGTGTCTGTTTGTGTGTAAAAGCCGTTTTTGTGCAGCACTGCTTATGTTTGCAGACAGATCGCCCTCTAAAAAAAATTAAAACACACAAAGAGAAAATAAAGGACTGAGGAACTTCTTCTGCCGCTGTCCTCATCAGCTGCACTCAAAAAAACAACAACACAGTTCCCCTCCTCCCGACCTGCTTCCTGTCTGTTGCCATGACTACAAAAGGATGCTGACAGACAGCCGGCAGTTGGCTCCAGTCCAAAGTCTGACCAATGGAGGAGCTGCTTAAACTCCCGTAGCAACAGCATGAGAGCCAATCAGTGGGCTTGTCTGTTTCCTCTGAATGTGTTCAGAGACAACAGGATGTCTGAGTGTGAGTGTGTGACATAGCAGCTCCTGCTCCTAAAGAAATCATAATTAATCATAATTAATTGATCACATTTTAATTGCAATAATAGACCTACATCAGTTTGTTGTTGTACATGCACCCTTTTACACTCAGTTGGCACATATACACCAAGAAATACAGCAGAGGGCCAACACAGGGATTTTGGGATGCAAAGATACAGGGTTAAATTTGCAGATGAAAACTGCCTCTCTCTTATTTTCACCTTCTGCCATCTCTCTGTTATAACCAAAGTCACTAAATAAATAAATTTTTGTACGTGAAATCAAAAACTAAGTAAAGTAGCGAGATCTAAACATTTGAATTGCTGCTATCTCCTCTAAAATGTCCTCTTGTCTGTCAGTTTGAAATGAAGAGCTAAATTTAGTTAAAATAAAGTTTGAAATAAACAATGAAGCAGCAAAAACAACAAAAACCTCTCTATAACTATAACTCCTCCGAACACAGTCATCATTCTCTTGTTTGAGGTCAAAGTTCATCATTGTTCTAAATGTTTGTGGATCAGTCAGTCAGATCGGGACACACTGACACAAATGAGCAGTCCTCTCCAACCATGACATCATCAGTCTGAGCTCTGCGGCGGCGGTGGCAGCGGATGAAAACACGACCAAGTCTTTTCATGAATAAAGAAGTCGTGTCTATTAATAACCACCGAGGATGAGAACCACATGCTGCATCAGGTCTGACCTACATGTTCAAGTCCACAACACAGCTCAGCTCCTTTTGTTTAACACTTACATCTCTGCACGAATGAAGTAAACCGTGTTATTTTAATTATGTCTGCACCACATTATACTAAAATCTTTAACTGGAACCAACCTGTTTCAAAGGCAGCACAAAATACCTCAACAAACATGTAGGGATGTCAAAACAAGACAAGAAAATCCTTGTCTGCGTACAGACCAGGACTGCATGTAAACAAGGCTGATGTTTTTAGGTGTTATAGGAAGTTTGAACAATGACGGTTCATAATTCAAAACTCATTAATGATTTATGTTTCAACAAAATTATCTTGACCTTCTCTCAGTCTACCAAAGACCGAGAACTCAAAGACCTGAAAGGGAGACGCGCCCACAGCATATATCACAGAGTAAATACGCCCTCTTCTAATGCTCTCATGCCCACACAGGCCGAGTCCAAATGAGTTACATCACTGTCCTGCAGCTCAGTGCTGATGTATGCTAAAAAGAAACATCACTTCAGAGAAGTTTTCTAGAAATGTCAGCCTTGACCAAAGTGGCTAATCGGCCAGCTAACAGATGCTACAGGCTGTTTATGATGTATTAGTTTCTTTTTTTTTTTTCCAAATTGTACTTTCTTTTTCCTTTATTGGTTTCTACAGTTCATAAAACCACCATAAGGGGCTTTTATTTGTATTTATTCTGCTTGAACATGCTGATATGTGATGTTGCATGGAGAGTCAAATGAATTTAAGCTCAAAGTTGTTTTGATTTCCAAATTATGAAGTTTATTGATCTCCTTTTTTCATTCTGTCTTAGTGTGTTGGCAAGTTCATGTGTGTACATGTGCAAGCATTGATTGACAGCTCACCATGTTGATCCAGTCAGACGAGGGTAGGATGTCTGGTGTCGTGTTAAGCTCCCTGAATGACCTTGACAGATTCCTCTAAACAAGAGGCAGAAAATCAAATAGCCTGGTCTCTGAGGCTTTGTTGATTTACCACTCAATGTGTGCTAAAAAACTTGTCCTTATTTGTGGTTAGAATTTGGACTGAAAGATTTATTTAAATTAATGTAAAGCATGACTGCAAAATGACCAGAAAGCAAAGAAAGTTCAGTTCAGGAGTCAGAGTTGTTGTTCTTACTGAGAACAACAAATCTGCAGAGTTGAAAAACTTCACACCAGACCATCTGTATAATAGATCAAGTGCTTCATCCTTGGCTGTATCACACAACAGATTCCTTCACCAACATAAAAACAACTAACAGCGTGATTATTATGTGTCACAGTCGTGACTGACGCCGAGGCCGTGATGATGCATACTACCATCCAACGAGGAGGTAAGTGACATCTGACAATGACTGATCGTGGTGGGCCTGCTGTTGAATGAGGATCCAACTGTGCCAAAACAATCTAGATCTAGTGCATGACGGTACACGGATCTTGATCTCTGCGTGTAATTCCCTTAAAACTGACAGTTACGGATGACAAATGTGAAAAAGATTGGATTTGTTTTTCAGGTGAAGACCAGATTTCACAACAGGAAGAAGAAATGGTGAAAGTTGAGAAAAGCTGACTTAAAAGTATCAGATTAAATAAAGGGCCTCTGACAGGAATTACATTTTATAATAATCAGGTTTCTCCCTAAAGATCCTGATAAATTAAAACATTCCCACCTCTAACTTTTCTCTCACTTGTAACCACCATAAACAGAAGCAGGCATTGTTTCTGTAGATGAGCTTGGCAGACATCCTCCTGATACTCCTCATTCATCTCAAGCAGGTTTAGAAACATGCGGGCAAAACACTCTGGATATAAACAGACAAGGTGGGAGAGAAACGACTAGATGAAAAGAGAGTCGTAAAGCAGAAGAAAAAAAAAGGAAAAAAAGGGAAAACAAACGCCAGTGGCTTTCCCACAATGTTGTGTTACATAACTGCCTCATGATGCTTTACTCACTGCACTTCAGCTCCTTCCCAGACCTTTTGGAAGTGGCCACAATTCCCTTGATTCAAAACAAGGATTAATAAATATAAACCTCACTGTGTTGGCAAGAATTGCTGTGCTAAAATAAGACCAACTAATTCTGCACAGTGAAAAGGAGAAAATAGGTTCACAGCCACAAACACAGAAGGATGGGTCAGATGATTTTCACTTGGCTGCCTGTCGTTCAGGGTCCTCCTAGACTACCTCAGGATGTCTTCAGACACAGCTTTGATTTAAAAGCCCCTGGAGGTGTGAATAATTACATAATGTGTATTTACAAGTACGATTGAAAACAGCGTTGACAGAACTGTCATTACTGTTCACAACAACAAACAACGACCTTTCTTGGATCACTTAACAAGATCGTTATCAGAGTGTCACACTAAAGAAGATCCTCTAATAAAAAAATAGCTGGCCTTAAAACCAAAAGATTGCAAGTGAATCTCTTCAATCTCTCCATCACTGACCTGAGAAATGTGCCGGGCTGACCGAGGCTGCAACATGCCCTCATCCAAACCTCTCCTCCCTCAAAAACCGTGTCTGAATTCCAGTCGCTTAATGAGAAAATGAGCCGGAGCACATGATGGAGACAGACCTCTCTCTGTCTCTCTGTGTTGTTCATGAGCTATCCAAGGTAACAGGCTGGTGGGAGAGCTGCCAGAAACAGGCCTGTTCATGACGAGCCCAGAGCGAGCTGCCAGCATCCCACCGCTCGCAGCGGAAGGCCTAGTGTGTCACAGACTACATGTCAGCTTCCGGGACAGAGCGGCTGTTGTCGTCAATGGCCCTGCCGATAACCTGGTATGCCAAACACTATTCCCCTGCACATGTCAATCAATACCAGCTTGGGTTGCAGTGGAAACGTGACAGTGCAAGGGAAAGCATGTAGTTGGTGGGGGGAAGGATGTTTGCATCTGTCTGTGTGTGTGATCACGTGTTTGAGTCAGACTTTGACAAGAGGCAGATCAGACAGGTCGAGACATGATATAACACAACAGCTCCAAGACAATGCTCCAAACATGACAGGGGGATTCTGCTTTCCAGGGAATGATGGAAAGGCCAGAAGAAAGATAGGAAATAAAACACCAAACATGTCACAATCACAGGGTTTGCTGCACCTCCTTATCATTGATAAAAGTCAACTGGGCCGCTGACTGTTCCTGGACAAAACGAGCAAATAATAATGATCCTATTAATAACTTCAAACATCAAAATAATCTGATAATCAACCGCCTGAAACTTGGGGTTCGGACCTTTAACAAAACCGACCACCAGAGCCCTCAAACAGCTGATATACAGTTCATTTCTACAGATCTGCAACATTAAACAAAGGACATCATCAGAAAAACACAAAAACAAATACCAAGCTGATAAACAAAATAGATGCTGGGTCTTCTTTACACAGACACAAACAGATTATTGAGATTCTTTACGAGTGCCTACCAAAATGAGTCAAATAAGGGTGTCATCTCTACACATCATAAAGGACTTAAAGACACCTAACTTTGGATTATATTGGAAAAAAATGGGAAAAAAGGGGAACATGTTAATATCAGATGGTGTTTAGGTTGAGGTTATATGTGTGCTAACTCCTGTAGAAATGCACCAACTCTCATGTATGGCTTGAGTTTGGATGGAAATGTTTGATTAGAGTAAATATTTCACAGGAGGGGTTTTAAGGAGGTGAACTGCTGGCATATGTTCTTGGAGTAACTAGAGTCAAGACCCTTCTAGGCAAAGGTTCATAAAGCATGAAAAAGTTGACTTAGCTTGGATTATTCTTGGTAAATTAAGATTTTCAGAGAAGGTCTGCTGATCAATTGTATCTGTTTAGCATTTTGATTTGGAAGTATCATGTGTTATGTTTGACGTTGCATTTAGTGATGAAAATTCTTAAGTACTGAGGACTGTAGAGGAAATTTACATTAGTCCTTTGTGATAGCTGCTGTCCCATTGCAAATCTAGGTTATTTAACAACTTGAAGTAAAATCAAGGCTCTAGTCTTTAAATGAAAGAGGGTGACTCACTTCAGTTATTTTAAAACAAGAACACTCTGTGATTTGTGCTTATGAACATTATTTACAGAAATCGGCAGCTCTCACCCACAGACGCCCGCACCGCTCCGGTAAGAGTCGTGGCACGACCGCCGGTGCTAAGAGGCCGAGGCGTTTTTACACCTCCTCAGACGCTCGCTGTGCAGGTTACATAAGGCTGAGAGTGAATGGGTTGCTCCAGTTATAAAACCACATTTAGCAGATGCCATTTCCTCTGATTTGACAAAATGTAGGGAATCTGCTGAGAAAATAATATCAAAGAGAGAAGAGGAAGAGGAAGTCTCTATCTGTGTCAGACTCTTTTTTTTTATAGCTGTTATCCTGATTGCTATATCTTCATTCACTGCAATAAATTAGGAAATGATTAAATGTCAACAATGTTTCTCTTACTCAGCATGAACATTTTACTTGTTGTAAAGAGGCCATGCTCTTTTACCGCTTTGATAAAGTCAGATGAAGCTTTAGCTAACAGTCTTTGATCATTCAGTGGTGGAAAATCTGCTTTGTACATGGATCTTGCTTTGCAAACACAGTTCATGTGTAAAGCAAAAAAAAACAGCGGACACATGACAGAAACTGTCAAATGTATCAGCTAATAAGCACTATTTTAAATTTTTGTTAAAACAAACTTGTTAAAAATGGCAAAATATTGAACAACTTCAATGAACATGACATTTTTTCCTCATCCTGCAAGAGCTGAACCAAATGTGGTCAAAATAAGAAAAGTTATTCATTTTAAAAGACACAGCTGTCAATTCTTAGCTGTATTTATGTCAATTTAAAAAACAACAACATTTTAATGGTATTTTTTTTAATTCAGTAAATAATGCAGAGAGAGAAAATATATCTCCTTCCAGTCTTACAGAGGACAATCACACGCTGTTTTCCTCCTTTTACTCGTGAACTTTAAACGTAAAATCACGGGATTATCAAATATGGAGGGGTTTCATTTCTCCTCTTTTCTGCAAAATAAATCCCAAACAGAAACCAAGACATGTCAGTTCTAAAAACTACTTAAAGTTCAGAAATGAGATAACAAAAAACGCTCACATTTTCATTTCCATCTCTCCTTTTTTCCTGGTATCTTTGTTCAGCCTGCAGGAAAATGAATAGAGAGCTCTAAGAGTTTAATCGTCTTCACTTTGATCACTTGACATCGGTCTCTTTGTCATCAGAGCAGCATTGATAATCCTCATCTCTGTTTGGTCTGTGCATCGCTGATAGAGAGATAATGAGATTCGATTGAATGTTGAGCGGCCTGAGAGGAGGTCAGGCGAGCTGTGGATTAACAGCAGGCCTTTTACGATCCTTCAGGTCCTTCAGTCTGCACTGGAATCCTGCAGGTTCCTCTCAGGTGACAGGAGACGTGCAGCAGCATGTCTACGGACTTACAGAAAGCAAAAACATATTTACATAACAGCTAAACTTCTCAAACAAGGGCCTCTTTTCTTTACCCTGTTTAATTCTGCAGCTCAGTATGACCGGACAGCTCCAGACCAGCTCTCTGTTTTCCCCGTCAGCTGCCACCCTGCAGGAGCAGCTCAGGAATATCAATGATGTTTGTTCCCTTGAAGGAGAAACTAAAGACAGGGTCAGAGCTCAGTCCAGCATGAGAATCAGCTTCCTTTTGACTTGAACTCTAGTTTTATTCACAAAACGGATGAATATCACAAAAGCATGATGTGTCCGTGTCATTTGCAGAAAATTACAGGTTCCTAAAAACTTCATTTGCTGCACAAAAACTGTTTTCAGATAGTGGTGCATCGATCCGCTTCCAGTTCAGACACAGTCTCAGAGATTAATTTTGGACTACTTAAAGCTTTGCAGGGTGGAGGATGGGACATACTTCCCCCTTCCCATCTGTTTTAGCGCCACCCTGCTTTTCTTCTTCACAGAGCATCAGTCTAAAAAACTCTTACTTTAGATGTCATACTTAAAAGGAGACTCAAATACTGATCCTGATTTTGTTCATGAGATATTCAATGATGCTGATCAATGCCTGGTACTGACACGTGCAGGAATAACCCATGATGCTCTCTGCCTACCCTTGTGTGACACCTCCAATCGCAGTTTGGTGTAATCACACAACAGGGGAGAGTCGATACCTCTCGACGAGTTTCCAAAGAGAGATCCTGCGATCATCAACCCATCAGTGATTCAGCCACGAAAGATAATGAAGCACAATAACACAGCGGTGAACTTCAGAGTGCAGGGCTTTGAAGCTTATTGTGCTATGAAACTAATTCATTTGTATGCTAAATTACAAAAGAAAGGATTTCAGATAACACACTAACACACCTGAGCAGAGCAACAGTTTTCAAGAAGAGTCCAGAGTCTCTTCAGGTTTGCACTATCTGCCTCCCTGCACCTGTCAGCTCCAACAACAAGCTCTGATCCTCTGTGCCAACATCTGGCCTCAGCTGCCTGCAGGTCTCTGCTCACTGTGAGAGACTGTACACTCATTAGCACATGTCTGTCCCATCATCGCTGCTCAGCCATAAATGCTTCATAGCAAACTCAGACATGGACTCACCCTGCTGCTGATGCTGCAAGCAACTAGGAATGGTAAACAATCAGGAACTCATGCTATCAGTTACCTTTGTAGGGGCAAAGGTACACTCACTGATGCATATAACAGTGATTATTTTTATATTTATACTTGTCAAGGAGGAAAATATGACCAAAATGTAAATGCAACACATAAATGCAACGAATGCCACATGTAAAAACAACAACAGCACAACAAGAGGCACAGCTTGTAGCTCGTGCTGTTACTGGATGTTGATCAGATCATAGAAGATGCAACAGCTGGAGAATAAGCTGCCTTACCCTCAGCAGACTCAGACAGACAAGAGAGGAGGGGGTGAGGAGGAGTCGGGGAGACAGGGCGAGGGAGGATGCAAGCAGCCTCATGCTGGAGATGTTGACCCACTCCTGGATCTGAGGCAACGTGTTGTGGCATTTTCATTCCCCCGGTGAGGCTGCAGAGCTCGAGTTGTGCCGCCTGACTGCCCTGATAAGACGGCATCCTGACACTCAGTGAATACACAAAGAGCTCGCAGGGACTGTTAAAAAGTCTGCAGGGTTTTTATCAGGCAGCTGCTCTCCCTGTTTCATAACTTCAGATTGTAAAGCTCACAACACATCAAGAGTTATTTTTGACATGAAAAATCGTCTTTTGACTTCTTTTCAACCTGCTTCTGCTTTAGTTAGCAGTTTCCTACATTACCCAGGATGCCTTGAGATGCCCCCTAGGGAACATCAATCCAGTCAACTTGCACTGGATTATAGATGAAGGTAGAACAGTCAGAGTCAAACTCCTTCTGTCAAGCTTGAACCCGGATTGCAAAGCTCCTGGAGAGGCTTGATTTCTTCGAGTCTGACAGATTTAGTTATGTCAAACTGCAGTTTCAGATAGAATCTGAGTAAACAGAACTCTGATGGGAGTTTTAGTGTTCAGTGTTTGGGGATTTTGAACCATTTACAGAGACGTTTACAGAGAGACAACATTTAAGACTCATTCCTGAATCATTTCCACTTTCACTTCATTTCAAACTAATGAAAGGTGAAATCAGGCTCATCACTCAGAGAGGACCCCTGGGTGTCTCCAACCTCCACAGCTTGTCACACGGATCCATTAACCAGAAATAGAAACACATTACAGGTCTCACACTCTGAGTTCATCCAGAGCCAGTCAGCTGGAGTCACAGGTTTCAGCCTCTGGGTGTAACCTCAGATAATATATCAGTTATTGTGTTGATTCATTTGTGAATCATATCAGGAATATATAATAAAGCAAATGGTCTGTGCCAAAATGATCTGAATTATGCACTGGTACAGTAGACAGAGTGAAATCCTCACACTTGAGCGGCTTATATGGAGAATGTTAATTCCAGATTTTGCAGGGTTTAATCAGCCCAGTTATCCTGTATTATGGGGATATTAAACCTACACTGAGTTACAAATTGGTCCTCGGTTTGTTTGGGACTCCTTCAGGGACCCTTTTGGTGAGCTCATGTTCCAGAAAAACTGGACACAACTTTCTCTGTCCAGTAAAGACACCATCTATTCATCCACATCCATCTGCTGTAATGAGAACCAATTGACTCTGAGTGATGATCGACCCTGATGCGGCCATCCGGGTCAGACATTACCGACCTCCATCACACGCAGCCAGCTGACCTCAATTACAGCGACAATACTCTCCATCAAACACATCAGTGTTGCCTTCAGGAACACCGGCCCCCTACTGTTGATTTAATACTACATTTCCCGGTTTCATCCTGTTTGATAGCAGGTGTGTGCGTGCATATGTCTGAGACAAAAGAGGCGCACCGTGCGCGTCTGTCGGCCACTTACCATCATCCCCGACAAACTGACGCTCCTCGTCCGCGTTCAGATGTCGGCAAAAGGAGCGTCCTAAGCCCGAAACATCGAGCATTTTCAGCGTTTTCTTCCTCCACCTGAGTGTATTCCCGTTAGTGTGGAGCTCCGTCTCTCCCCGGCAGACTGCAGGGCGGTGGATCCCCGACCTGACTAGTCCTCCATGGGGGAAAACACATATAAAACACCGACTGAATCCACAATAATCCGGTTACATTCCGGATGGGAAGCGCAAATGTTTCTGCAAAATGTGCACGAGGAGATAGACCATCCAGGTTGTGGTCTGGATGGACGGATGGTTGAATGGATGGAGGTGTTGAGCCTCACGGTGAGTCTGTGGAGGAAGGTGGCCTCCGCTGCAAAAAATGACGGCTGAACGGCTGCATGACATTTACTGACTCTGGAGAAAAAATGTTCAGAAAGCAAAGCTGGGGATTTCTACAGCGGCTCCTACAGGCTGAGACTTTACACACACCCTAAAGTAACACCAAACAAATCAATATTTGGACAGACAGCTTTTAAATCCTCAGATTAAGATTTTTCAAAAGAGCATAGGATTTCTTCTGCTTTATTTAACATGTAAACTAGACTTTAATCCAGTCCTGACAGAATAAAGCTTTACTTTTCTCCTTTTTCTCTCTTTTATTCTCCTGTTCCCCGTGCATGTCCATGTCCATCATCCTGTCTTCTGGCAGGCATCTAAAATAGTCAAGACTGTACTATTAGCTGTCTATTTAATATCAACATGTGCAAGAAAAAAACAAAAATAAAAAAAACACTGAGCTGGACATCTTTTACAGTACGCAACGTCATTACGCAGAGGAAAGTGGGCGACGTCAAACCTTTCAAAATAAACTTCACAAACACATGAGGGAATAACAACTACAATACTTCACAACTATCCAATATTCATCAAGAAAAAAGCCATTAAAACCACTGAGTTATGCCTTGTATGTATTTTATTGAACTAATAACAATGCTTTGTATACTATTTGAATACTGTGACCCCCTGACATTGTATTGTTCTGTTTTGTTTTCACCTAACTTTGAAATAAAGTTTAAGATATAATAATAATAATAATAATAATAATAATAATAATAATAATAATAATAATAATGATAACTGAGTAGACTTAATGAACACCTATCGCCTCACAAGGAGTTAATTAAAGTGAATCTGCAGGTGTGACAATTGAAATGTAAACTGATACTTTGGCACCTGGACTTTAAAACTCAACTAGACCTGGGTAAGAATTGAACCTGCAACCTCAGGAGTCCGAGCCAGACTTCTTATCCTCCAAGCCATGTAGACACACAGAAGTATACCAGTTTTTTCCTATTTAACTCTCCTTTCTAGACACTAGACTTTAAATTTCACTTGAACCTGGATAAGGTAAGGATTGAACCCACAACCTCAGGAGTCCTAGTCAGTCTCCTTATCCTCTGAGGTATGTGGACACACAGAAGTAGCCTGCTTGTTTCCTCTTTAACTCTCCTTTCTAGACACTGGACTTTAAAATTCTTACCAAGACTTGGATATGGTTCTAACCCACAACACAGGACTGTAAGTCAATCCACGAACCCTCAGAGCCACTGAGACACAATCTTGACATGTTCAGTCCTTAACATACACCCACTAAAACTAAATTCTTTCTTCAGCAGGTGAACAAAAAGATACCAAATAAAAATACTCTGAAAATATACGTTTTATTTGTATCTCATCTTCAAATACATTTTAATAGAAGATATAAACTGCTGCTAAAACAAAAGCATACAAAGGTGATATTAAGTACAAACACAGGTATGGTTAAAATCTCTTTAAAAAAATTGAGCTTAGTAAAATAATATATCCAGTTAAAGCTATTTACACATTAAACAGATCAGAGCTGCTTCACCTTCTGTACCTTTATTCCCACCTCTCCTTTCCTACTCTCTTTCTTTTTCTTCTCTCATTTCGATCTTTCTCAGTCCTCTTGTCTTTATCAATCAAATCTGATTTCATGATAAAAAAGCTAAAACTGGTATCATAGCAGGCTGTTTGTCTTGTTGCCAGAGGGGGGCAGCAGAAAGCAGTAAAACACACACAAACATACCAGACATGCCTTTTCAGAGTCTGAGCATCAAACTTAAACACTTGATTGGAGGCTGTGAGCTGTATGTCACATTTTGGGGATGGAGTGGGCACAGTGTGTCCCCCAGAATCATGAACTGATTTGTTCCATTTCTAGGATGACTCAAGCAGTAAGCACCTTTAGTTCAGTCCCTGCAAGAATATCCCGATTAAACTTAAAGGAAACTTGTCGAATTTGTTTTTAATTTTTTTTTAATCAAGTGGGAAGATCGCTTTCAGTGCAGCAAAGTTAGAGTTATTACAGCCTCAGTACACAGGGTGGAGCCTCCATCAGGCTCGTGGCAGGAAGCGCAGGTTGATGGGCTTTGCAGGGATGAGCAGGGTTCTTGTTTTCGGCTCCACGACCGTGGCGCCATCTTTAGGCTGGACCTCATAGTGCTGCATCAACTGCAGGATGACACACATTAATCACTGTACCTATCATGACTAGCCTTTCATGAATCAAAGCTTTATCTCTCACCCTGGACAAGGCAAAGTGCATCTCCATCTCGGCCACTCTCTTCCCCACACAGGCTCGTACCCCAACACCAAAGGGGATGAAGCTGTAAGGATGATGCTGGTAGAAGCTGGACTTCCCCCTTCTGCCACAGGTGCTGCTGGGTACCTCAGCACGAAGCCAGCGCTCTGGGATGAAGAGCTCTGCATCTACAAACTCCGCCTCATCGTGACTGGTTGCATAATGACACAGATGGAACTGAGTCTGAAAAGAAAGTCGGCACATCAGTTTCTCTAAAGCAGTTACCACCACACTCTCAAAGAAAACCACATCCTACCTTTTTTGGGAACCAGTAGTTGTCCACAACCACCTCGTTCTCTGAAATAAAGCGTCCATTTCCAGGGACCACAGGATAGAGGCTGACGTAGACACAGATGACAATCACATTTCAAATCAGAGCAATGTGGCCTGGAGCACATGTTTGTCTAGTAGTCAATTCCTCTTTATTGTTTTTGGACCTCTGTTTAAGACCAGATAAAGATAACAGCTGATGTCAAACAGGTTTGTAGCTCTGCCCGCACAGATCAGAGCAGAGGTAGTAGATGTGAAGCAACATGCCAAAATACTCACTGACATGGAAAACTTTTGAATAATCAAACATCTACTTATGTTCCTCTTCTATAGTGGAATATTTAACAGATGGCAGAAAACAATCCAGCCGTTGTTTATCATTTGCACACTGAAAAAAATGCTGCAGCCACATCTCAGCATTGAATCATTTCCCAAAAATATTTGACATTTTCTCTAATGATTGGCATTGATTCTTGGTTTCTGTCTGTCTCTTTAAAACAAGTATTTAAAAAGAGGAATCAGTGCTCAGAACTGGTGCACAATCTTTTGTGTTCATAGAGACAAACCCTTTCAGCTCACCGTAATGTCTCTTTGATAACAGCTTTTAGGAACGGCATCCTGCTCAGGTCTTCTGTGGTTGGCTCACGTCTGCCCGGACACACAGAGTTCACCTCTTTGTATAGATAATTCTGGGCCGCCTGGTCCCCCGCTAAATGGTACAACGCCCAGGACAGCGTGTTGGAGGTCTGAGGGGAAAAGAGAGCAGGAGTAAAATAGGGGCTTTGTTCTCTGAGTAGAAACGATGGAAACAAAGCAAATGAACAGTCTTTGGAGTTAATGAATCATCACTCCAGCTTGTTTCTTAGTTTTCACTTCTGTGTTTTTTGATTCCACAGAAAGTGATTTCCAAATCAAACCATGATGATTTCACCCTCAGGCCACAGTTGAGCAGAAATAACATTTCACAAACCTTCAGCTTGTAGCCAGAACATTAACAAGCCTCAACCTCACCGGGGAATGCAGCCAGACGAGCTCTGCCTACGAGAAGCAACAAAAGCTGTGCTATGTCCCTCTGCAAAACACTGGTTTAACTGCGGGGCGCAGAGAGCTGCAGGAATGTTTCTTTAAGAGAAATCAGTCTGATCTCTGTCGGCGTCAAAATAGATATATCCTGACTGAAAAGTGTCTTTTTCTGACAAAGTGACAAAGTTAATGTGTGTTGTACAAATGTGTGAGGAAGAGGGAATGTTGCCAGACGATCCTGAGTCAAAGTCCACACCTCTAGTTAAGTGAGTAAGATCAGAGCAGGAGCTTTTTCAAACCAAGTCAGCGGAAAGTAAGAGTATGGGTTTTTGAGAAAAGACAGCCCCAGAGCTTCGTAGGAAATCCAGTTTTAGGACTGTGCCAATCAGCTACATCAGCATATGACGAAGGAATGAGAGAAGAAAAAGCAGCCCAGAGGGAGCGGAGACAGAGGCACAGTGTTTATCTGCAAAAGCTCTTTTAGCTTGAACTTGGCAGCACAGCTGTGTGTTTTAAAAAGGCAGGAAGCAGAATGACAATCATTCCCCATATGGTGAGATGTATGTATATGATGTAAGTGTATGAACTAAGACCATCACACCCCTCTCACCGTGTCGACCCCTCCCAGCAGCAGCTCCGTGATGCTGATATAGACCTCAGCCGTGGTCAGTTTGTCAGAAGACAGCAGGTAGGTCAGGTACATCCCCTCTGTCTGCTCACCACTGCACATCTGAGTTTTTATCTCAGCAAGTCTTCTGTCGATGAGGGTCTGAGCTGTCCGAGTCAAAAACACACAAACACAACACTCGCCAGGTGAGACACGAACACAATCGAATCAATACAGTGAAAAAAAGGACAATGAAACAAATTAAAATCTGTTGAAAAAATGAAATAAAGTCCAATTAGTCTAAGATCCGGATTAAAAGCTTGGTCTTTAACTTTAACATATTTTCTTTTTAAACACAGAAAGAGCTTGCTGTCCTAATATTAAAGGCAGTGAATTCAAGAGTTTCAGTGCAGATACACACAAAGCTCTCTCTCTCAGGTGCTTGTGTATTTTTGTGTAAACTCATGAAAAAAGGGAAAAGGGAAGATATTTTCTTCTTTAACTGTGTCTTATGCTGCATACCTACGTCACAGAGGTCGTCCCAGGCCTTCACAAAACGTCCCCAGTAAGGGAAGATACTGCGGCTCCAGCGGGGGAAGAACACCACAGTCTCTGACAGCTTCAGCATGTCATTGACGGCACGGATGAAACGCAGCGTGTCCTCTGGAATCTCCTCCTGCAGGCAGCCCAACCTGGTCTCAAACAAGATGGAGGAGATACCTGCAAGGAGGCAAGATTTAGTCTGAAAGTGACACCATGACCTCTATCACTTCTACCGTGACAAACCCACCTTCAAAGCCAAATTTGTAGAGCTCAGCAGCTATATCCGAGACAGTTGTCTGATCCTGGCTGCGACATCGGAGGAGCTCAATACGCTGCAGCAGATCCCCAACCACCTGATGGATCATGGGGGCGTAGGCTGACACTTCCTTAAGCTTCAGCATCTTGGGGTTTAGAGCGCTGCGGATCCTGTACCACTCCTGTCCAGTGCTGGAAAAGAAAAGAGAGATAGTGGTTCTCCAGCGCTGAAAGACTCATTCACAGACAAGTACAGTCTGACAGTCAGTCGATCAGATCTGACATCCAAGTCACATTTCAGATGATTATTTTACATAAAAAAAAGCCATTGTTTGTCTCCACTCACTCCACGTGCAGACCATAGGCCTGTCCCCTAAGGTCTCGGTACTCTTTCCAGTGTGGCAGCTCAGCTCGGACCGGGTACCGACCCTCCTGTCGAATTACTTGAGCTATAAGTTCTGGAGTCGCCACATTGACAATGTCAAATGGGCCGAACCTGGAGCGCCAGATGGGTCCATACAGATTCTTTTGAACATTCTGAAAAACAGTGTCACAATGTGTGTAAATCTAAGGATTAAATTCATGTTAAAGGTCATTTATGAACATTCAATCATGTCTTTTATCTTCAGGAGTATTTGAAGTGTTTTCTATAACAGCTGGACCACAATCTGAGCTCTCATAATGCTGTTTCTGTTTTTACAACTACATAAAAAGTAATACTCTTTTGATGTAGACAACAGTCACTGGAAATGTAATTGTAAGATTATAAAAGAGTTCACCTGAGCTGTTTTACTGCGAGTACTCCTATTATAGTACTCACTATCACAGTAAACCCCTGGTCTTTGGATCCTGACTCAGATTGGTCAGAGGAAAATAAAGGCTGCTTATATTCTTTCTTGAGTTAAAGTTGGCTGTGGTTTACAAGTTTTAAAAAGTAATGGTTGGCTTCAGGCTTAAATAAGTGAAAGAGTTATCAACAGAGAGGCGAATTTACCTGGAGTAAATGGCTTTTGTCCGCATATCCTTGGATAAATAACCAGTATAAAGTGGTGGGTAACCGGGGTCCTGGCAAGTCATCGATGCTCTTCAGCTTCCCTGACTCTGTCGCCGCCTGGACGTTCAGGTCTCTTCGGTGTTGCAGATCCGGAGATCCGGTTCGTTCGGCTGATGGTACCCGGGCGCACAGTGCTGACAACCGGAGAGGCCAGGCTGAAGCACCCGGACACCTCATGGCGGACTCAGAGCGTCAGAGATACACAGGACTAATATCTGCATGTCGATGTTGTGTGCCTCATCCCAGACTGGCATACTTTCACTACTGACTTTTATTTTGTTAACCCCCGGAATGTAATTTCCGGTACTGCATGGACAGTTGCGTTAGAAAGTTAATATCCGTACTTTATAGATTAATTTTTAAAAAGTAAAGTTAAAGTTGAAAATAAGACAATTTTTCGCAAGTTTTTAAAACGTTGAAAAAGTTTTGGAAATCGCTGATATCCAGTTTGTTCGTAACGTGTTTCCTTTTAAATGTATGCTACAGTGTCGACGGTTAAGCAGTAGTGACTCTTTTTTATCACAATTTATCTAACAATGAAACATAATAGTGATGTAATGTTTCACTTTACAGATGTATCCATTAATAAACACGAACACTGCACCCGACGTTTTAATGTTGGAAAATCTCCAACTGTATGTCTTATTTAGAAGGTCTATACCGGAAGCAGTACTCTATCATTTTGTCTAGCTTTTTAAGACAAATAAATCCGAGTGCCCTCTAGTGGAGACATATTTTCATTACAATTTCAGGATTTTCATCTTTTCCTAAGATGAATGTTTTAAATGAAATAACCGATACAAAATAAAAAATATAGAATAAATAAAAAATAAAAAATAAATAATAATAATAATAATAATAATAATAATAATAATAATAATAATAATAATAATAATAATAATAATAAATAAAATAGCCGATACAAGTAACAGATAGTATGCAACAGATACACCCTAACAACTTTTAAAAAATATGTGGTATGTGGTAAAGGTATGTGTTGTTTTCATAAAAATATAATAGACATTTCTAAAAAAAAAAAAGAAAAAAAAGGGGGAACATAAGGCTGTGAGGCGTAAAATAATACCTACATACCTACCACTGCCGATTAAAAAACGGCATTACAAATTTATTTATACCAACCATACAGTATAAGTCAGGGGGCTCGTACATATAATTTCTTTAAAATGTCCCTTTTCCTTTTTTAAAGCTTAATATTAATCCTTAGCTCGAAGTTTCTATCATGTAAGTGTATCATGTAGTTTGTTTCACGATTGTCCAGCTTTTGTTTTCCATCGCCATAATCAGCCTCTCTTCATAGTTCGTCCTCAAACAACAGCAAAGATGTCACTGGTTATAAGTCTCATTATTCCAAATGCAGTTAAAGTTTTGGCCACCGGAGGGCGCCAATGAGTAACACTATTGGTATGAGGAAAAGTAAGACATCTCACTCCGATGCTGTTTTGATGGCTTAGCGGCAGCTGAATTTAGCGTCTCATCACAATGTTCTTTAATCCATGTGTAGTTCCCGTTTTGGCCACCGGAGGGCGCCGGTAAGTAAAGTGACTCAAATTTACCGGAAACTGTAACGGTGGTATGAGGAAAAGTAAGACATCTCACTCTGCTGCTTTGTCGATGGCTGAACTTTACGGTCCGGTCTCTGAGCTGAAAATAAACAACAAAAGCTGTCAGTTTGTTGCTGCCAAACGCCATTACAGTCTGAGTTAATAAATGTCTAACAACAAACCAAGATAAATAGTTTTCGCCACAAGAGAGTGGCCGTGAATAAAGTTAAAAACGTTTAACGGTAACGTGAACCCAGTTTTACCGCCATTTGTATTAAGATAATGGTATAAGGAACAGTAAGACGTCTCACTCTGCTACTGTTTTGACGGCTTAGTGGCAGCTTTATGTGCCGGTTTCTGAGCTGAGGATGGACAAGAGAAGCTGTCAGTTTGTTGCTTTCAAACTCCATCACACTCTGAGCTCATTTATATTTTGTGACAAGACGCTGAGGACCAGGAGACATAGAAAAAATAATGCTGCTGTTTTTAGCACAATTTAACACCCCTGTTGATTGTGGTTCATTTTTATATATTAGTGTTCACATCAGTCGGTCTCGTTTTTGCTATTTTCACTTGAAAGACGTTAAAACAACAGAAGAGGCGACCCCATACTGCTGTTTGAGGTTCTATTTCTCCTACCACTCAGTGCCTCAAAACGTTTCACTCTGCTCACGACCACTCTCTGATGGCGAAAACTGTTTAATTTTGGTTTATTGTACGATGTAAATGAACTTAGAGTACGATGGAGTTTGGCAGCAACAAACTGACAGCATTTCTTGTCCATTTTCAGCTCAGAAACCGGTACATAAAGTTCAGCTGCCGTTAAGGCATCAAAACAGCAGCGGAGTGAGATGTCTTACTTTTCCTCATACCACTGGTATTACTCATTGGCGCCCTCCGGTGGACAAAACTGTAACTGCATATGGATTAATGCGACACTACGGACCAGGAGTCAGAGTGACTTTTTTGCAGCCGTTTGAAGACAAACCGTAAAGAGAGGCTGATTAATGCGACGGAAAAACAAAAGCTGGACAATCGAGTGAGTGTGATGGATTTTGGCAGCAACAAACTGGCAGCTTTTCTTGTCCATTTTCAGCTCACAAACTGGTACATAAAGTTCAGCTGCCGTAAGGCCATCAAAACAGTAACCGAGTGAGATGTCTTACTTTTACTCATAGCACTGTTTCATCTTCTTCCACTTCACATTGTGGTAAAATGGCACATTGAAATAAATGAAATTCACTAAAAGGGTCCACGGAGAAACATAAAAACATACAGGTTTCATTTTTGTTATTATAAATGAGATTTTTTTTATAAAATGTCTCCCTTTTTTTCCTCCACGTGTTATTATTTTTTTTTAGCTCAATATTAACCATTAGCTCGGAGTGTCGATCACTTAAATGTGCCACTGAGGCTTTTACCATTAGATTAATTATTTTTACTAATAATTATTCAATTATTTTACATTAACCATAACAATATAGCGTACAGTCAGCGATGACGGCAGCTTCATAGATCATGGATGTTTGCTGCCCTCATGTGGACATATCGCGTTACTACAATTCGTACCGTTTTAATTTTAAATATTTACCCTGATGTGCGACTATTTTTAAATTTGTCACACGTTAACATAACCAAAGAAATTCCTCTAATTATTCTAAACATTTTCTGTGTATTAATACACAGCGTTATGTAATATTTCACTGTTTTTTTCTTTTAGAAAACAAGAGGGTTGAAGGATGCTATTAGCCTAGCTCCGGCATGAAACAAAGTTGCGAGGAGTTCCACACTGTACATTTATTCACAGATACGGATCATACCAGTTAAGTCTCACGGCATAAACTACAACCCTCAACAAAATAATCAAAAAGAGCAAAAGCGTTCGCGGATTGAAACCTTCACCGGCATCCACATAACTGTAAGTCTTCTTCTTCTTTGGTTTTGACAGAGGAGGGGAGAAGCAAGGGTGACACCAAGTGACCAAACAAAGGGAGGCGCCACCGTGTGGTGTCAACTGGCAATGCTCCGTCATACTACAAACAGAAAGGGGATAAGGAGGGCAACTCAAATATAAAGGAAAAGAAACCTACAGGGAGAGGGAGGCTGCACATAAAAACAAAATAAGAAACACAAAAGAGCTTCATGGACAAACATATAAACACACAGATTTAGTTTTTGATATTGTATACAAAAATAGTTTGCGTTTAACCCTGTTACCCCTACGTATTTTCAATCAAATATATACAACAGTCCAGAAGGTTTAGCAGGATAAACCTTCTGAACATAAAGTTCAGCTGCCGCTAAGCCATCAAAAGCAGCGGAGTGAGATGTCATACTTTTCCTCATACCACTGGTTTTTCTCACTGGCGCCCTCCGATGGACAAAACTGGAACTGCATCTGGATTAATGAAGATTGTAATGAGACACGATGGACCAGAAGACAGTGAAAATTTTGCCGCTGTTTCAGCACAAGCTAACACAACTGTTCTTGCCTCTGTTGATTGTGGTTCATTTTTATATATTAATGTCCGAGTCAGTGTGTCTCGTTTTTGCTATTTTCACTTGCAAGACGCTAAAACAACAAAAGAGGTGACCCCATAGTGCTGTTTGAGGTTCTATTTCTCCTACCACTCAATGCCTCCAAACGTGTTTCACTCTGCTCACGGCCACTCTCTAGTGGCGAAAGTTGTTTAATTTTGGTTTATTGCAAGATGTAAATTAACTCAGAGCGTGATGGAGTTTGGCAGCAACAAACTGACAGCATTTCTTGTCTATTTTCAGCTCAGAAACCGGTACATAAAGTTTAGCTGCCGTTAAGGCATCAATTCAGCAGCAGAGTGAGATGTCTTACTTTTCCTCATACCAATGGTATTACTCATTGGCGCCCTCCGGTGGACAAAACTGTAACTGCATATGGATTAATGCGACACTACGGACCAGGAGTCAGAGTGACTTTTGCTGCCGTTTGAGGACGAACCGTGAAGAAAATTAAAACATATCAAAACACACAGATTTAATTTTTGTAAATATATGTATATATATATATATATATATATATATATATATATATATATATATATATATATATATATATATATATATATATATATATATATATATATATATATATATATATACGTTTAACCCTGTTACACATACGTATTTCCAATTATCTAAAATTGACAGTCTAGAAGGTTTAGCAAGAGTTGTCTCTTTTTTTAAACACAATTTCTGCATGTAAGAACACAATCTTTATTTAACAATAAAACATAATAGTTTTGGATTTGCTTGATGTAATGTTTAGACAAACAAGATTCAAGATTTTTTTCAAGGTTTGTTTATTTGTCATGTGCATGTTAGACAAGGTCAACAGTGCAATAAAATGTCCTGGATGAGAGGACCGCTCCACTCAAAGGGGTATAGATAAAACACACAATAGTACAGAAAAAATGCAATAAAGCAAGGATACAAAAATAAAAATAAAAATAACAATCTATTGTAAGACAAAGGACGCAGTACCGAGTCTGACCACAGGGGGGAGTTAAAGGACAGGACTGCAGAGAAAAATAATCTGGTAAATGCATTTGCAGTCTGTTGTCCTTCCTCTAAATTTACTCCCTCTGATTTTTTAATCTTCATAACAGCAGAGGGCTTCTATTTCTTTTCTAGACCCTCATTATTATTTATTAAAAAATCATATTATCAGGCTGAATCAATCTATTTGCAATTTCATGAACTTAAAGCTTAAAAATCAGAACTCTTGTGTCAATTCTCAACAATAAAAAATTACATATAAATCCTGTAAATAAATCAGAATTAAGGCATTGATTGAAACCTGGTGGTGTTTAAGTAACTCTGCAGCTCATCGACAGGTTGAATGTGCTTATTAAAGACTCTCAGTGCTGGTATTAAACCCTTCAAAGCTCACTCACTGTGGGAAACAGCAGCCTGATGCCTTGCTTATTTACTCAGCTTTAGTTCCAGGTTACACATCAGTGGTTTGATTTTTTCCCACAGTATCCAGTTTCTTAAACTTATCACCAGGTGTGACTCCTTAAAAACCTTAAAGATAAACTAAACATGTCTGACTCTGTGAGGCTCATAAATGATCGTTTTAGGACTTTAAGGAGATTTTTACAATTATTATATTTTCTTCCCCTCTGACTGTCGGACAGATTTGGTTTGTTTGTATTAATCACAGCATGTTTGCTTAGGGGTAGACAGGTCAAAGGTCAAAGCACCAAAAAAAACACACACACAGTAACCCACTTTTAACTCAGTTGTTCACAGGAGGGTCTTCAGAGAACATTTGATGCTCTGACTTTCTCTATTTCTATATTATGAAAGAGCCATGCAACATTTACAAATACAATCACGTCAAATTTTCTTCTTCGAGAGACAAATTCAACAGTTGCCCGAGTTTCCTCGTGAGCTTTTTGTACGTTTTTGATTTTCTAAATCATGTCCTGCAGCTCTCCTGCCCTCTCTGCTCATACCTAAACTTGAACCTCTCACATTGAGAACGACAAATGAAAACTTCAGCACACGGCTGGTTTGAGGAACGTGTGGGGGTTCATTTTCCATTTCCGCTCCATTATATTTATCTCCCCCTGTCATCAGAAGAAGAAAAATAACCCTCGACTACCTTTATTTCCTTTCCCCATACATGACTCACGTCTTTACTTTACGTCTGGATCTTTCACAGTTTTCATGATTTAAACTAAGTGATTTCTACTCCTATTTTGTCAGTCCTTCAACTCAAAGTTGAGCCTAAAGCTGTGAGCTTTTCTGTGTATGTTGGCCTGAAAGAGACACTTTGATTTCATTTGGAAACAGTCAGACTGTTTCCCTGCAGAGTGACGGTACAGAAAGTCTCTATCTCAGCCACAGTTGATGGGCGGTGTGAGACGATTTCCCCTGATAAGTGCAGCTGCACAAGCCAAGTGAGGAAACTACCACTTACACTGACTTCACTCTGTAATTATAAACTTAAAAGACGAGGAAAACTGGGGAGAGGGATCAGGGAAAACTGCAGATTTAAGGAAAGCTGCTGAAAACTGGCAGATTCTTTTAGTGATTTATAAAGAGAGACAGAGTGCTGTATTTGTATGTCTCTGTGATGATCTAGTTATCCAAACCTCCTGTTCACAGTTTTCAACTAAGACTTTATGTTTCTTTCTTTTTTTTGCTCCTAATTTTTGTAGAAATGCTTTGAAACAAAGAAAAACCTGAAGAACATCCAAGAATAAATGCCTAAAAACAAGTTGAATCCATGTTGTCTTCATGACTTTGTTGGTACTGAAACCAGAGCTTGTAAAATGACAGTATTTCACCGTCACACGCTTTTTAAACGGTCCTGGTGTCAAAAGAAATCTGACAGCCTGCTTTAAAAAATGAAATAATCTTCCTCCTGCACATTCAGCTCCGTCTAAACAGCCAAATGGATTTAAAACATTTTCACGCCGTTTTGATTCTCCAGGTTTCAAAGCTCCTGCAGCATCAGCAGAAATGCAACAGCCCTCCGATTTCTGGGCGAGGAGGGCGGAAGTGTAAAGGATTATCATCAGGCAGGAGGAACACAGATAAAACATCAAATCCCATTCACGCCACCCACAGACGAAGGTAAAGAGACAAAGAAACAGAGAAACCTCGGTGCTCTGTCAGCGGTTTGAGAGGAGAAACATGGAGATGTTTGACTGAAGCTGTGAGATAAAGACGTTTGGGTATGGGAAGATGGAGCAAAACGGTAAAAACAAGTCAGACTCTCCCCCCGCAGAATAACACAGACCATCTTTAAAGCTGTAGATCAATAATCCTGCAGATGATGACGGATGATTCTGCACATGGATCATTTCAGGAGTTTGGTGGAGTAAGACCACAGCTCCTCTGAAGGCCACATGTTCCTCTACATACAGCTGAAAAAATGGGTCCCACTTTCCACGAGCTACAGAAGATGCATCAGGTGCATCCTTTGCATCCCAGTATTTTCAGGAGTTTCAGATTTTTTCTCCATCTGATGAGATTTTAGAGTCTGGAGGTCTTAGTATTGGAAGCCACTACGCTGGACTAACACCAACATGTTGCTCGTCTGTTTTCCAAAGTGAATAAAACTGTATTCAAGTATTTGGATGTTTTTTACCTCCAGACTTCCAGCTCAAAGGTCATCATCTTACCCTGAAGAAAAGCCAAGACTCAGACTTTTGGAAAAGGTTCAGCGAGTCCTAAAAATGAGCGTTGTGTTTCTGTTTCCTCAAATTAAACTGCTTGTATCTGCTGGTCCTGGTCTGAGGAGGCTACCATGTTGCACCAGCATGTTTCTACGGTAGCCTGGAGCAGCCAGATTTAACAGAGGTTTCAGAGCAGGGATTTGAAGTGGTTTTTCCTTCACCCTGAAGAAGGATGGAAGAAGAGAGATGAGATGTCTTCCTCCTGGTTTTTGGACTTTGCTGATCATGCAGATGCATTAAAGGATGATATATTACCTTTAAGTGATCGAGTGTTGGGGTTTGTTGGAAATGATCTCATGCAAACAGTGCAGGAAGCTGTGGGAGTTTGTATGGGAGTAAAATGCACATATGATTAAGATCCAATCAAAACTGAAAATATTTACAGTAAACTTGATTCTCATGTTGGCGACTTGAACCAGCGACCTTTTGTCCTCTTCAGCTCCTGGTATGTCTGATGTTTGATTTACAGCAAAGTTTGTTTTTCCCAGAGGAGAGAGAAACTTTTTCTTTTTTTATATCAGGAACACAAAGAAAGCAGCTCCAGGGGGACAACAAGTTTCCTCATCGGGGATTACACAACAGCAGCGGCTTTGAGGAACCACAATAATACGATGGGAGGAGGTTTGACTGTCAACACAGTGACTGTTTAAAGGTAAATTTGGCTCCAGACAGAGACGCACAATAAACAACAAGGAGGGAAACATGTATTTTATGAGCACTTTCTGACTCTGGAAACGGAGTCTCTTTCATTTTTCTCCTAAATCTTTTGCAGCAAGTTTGAACATGTTTGTTTTACGAGGAAGTAACTGTATGTTGTGTGTAATCACAAAGATTATACCCAACACCAACTCACTCCAAAACACTCTGTTTAAGTTGCACTTGGAGATCTTCTGGGAATTTCCCTCCCTGAGAAAACAAACAGAGGACACATGAGTTCAGTTACAAAGAGTTTAATCCCAAAAATACTTCTTCTTCTTCTTCGTCTTTTTTTTCCATTTTGGTGTGTCGTACATTGTTTGGTCTCGCTGTATCTTGGCTGTAACTCTTTATTTTACATTGTGTAACATGGAGGCTGTCATGCAATGTTGAACAGAGCTCGACTGATCACTGCAGGAGGAGGATGCCACATTCATGTCGGAGATATTCAATCCAAACCACAAAGTAAACACTCATGTCTGCCCCCCAGATGGAAGGATAAAAGTTAGCCTAAGAGAAGAAATAAAGTCGAGGAACTTCAGCCGCATTTTTCCTCTTCTGTTGTGACGTGAAAGTGGCATTAAACAGTCGGAAAACATTCAGCAGTCTGGTCAGTTAAGACAAAAAACACATCGCAGCTTTTCTGTAGAAGACAAGGCCTTTTATGAACCACCGCGTCAAAACCAACATCGAATATTAGTCTGATCACTCAACTGAAGGAAATCTTATGTCACCTGATTAAAGAATACGCCTTTTGAACAACTGCCATCACTTATTTTATGCCTTGTTCCTGACATCTCTCTACGCCGACGATGACATGTTGTTTTCTTCTATAAAACAAAGAAAAAAACTTTCTTTAAAACTCGAATTTTAGGATAAAACAACAAACAGCACAGCCCTGAAAACAGAAGTGGAACGCCAGAGTGGGAAAGAAGCATGAAAACGGAACTATAAAGATGTTTTCGACTTCCCTCTTTGTTTCAACTTACGTACAAATTATACAACCAGCTGCTGCTACATCTTTGTTTAGAGTTTTCTGCACCTGCAAGAAGAAACTAAGAATAAATGCAGCATAATTTGCAATCAGCACCCTCTCTCTGGTGACATTTTTGCAGCTCCAAACTAAATCTGAATATTTCTACTTCTTTCTTTTATCGGAAGGAACTTGGTGACGCAGAACCGAGGCTGAAACAAAGAGCTACATGAACACTTCAAGTTGAAAAACCTTGGAGAGTTAAGCGTAACAGTCAAATCAGAGATAAAATCAGACATTTACTGAGCTGCGAACACCTCTGATACACCTGCCAGTGGACGGTTTCTCCAGAGCTCAGAAAATGTCTCAAAGTGCAATTTGAACACAAGGTCAAAGGTTGACTTTCAATTAAAACAGTCGTATCACAAGTCCGAAAGAAACGGGCACCAAGTAAAACATTAATATAAACAGATTTTGATGATTTCCTTTTCACTTAAACCCCATTTGGTACTGTTGTATAGTTTTAAGCCTATGCAGTGATTCCCACTACAGAGTCATGTCTTTTTTAATGACATTATGAACCACAGTTGATGAAATTCACTCATTCTTTCACACTCAGGAACATTATTCTGAAAGTGTTGAAATGTTAGCTCACACAGTCTCTCACAGAGTTCTGAATCTCTTCCTTTTTAGACGCAGCCATGTGACAAACCTTTGGAGATGTTCCTCCAGCTGTTTAACTTTTTACCTGTTTGGGTGTTTGACTAACAAATTTTACCAGTTTTTTTTTTATTCTAGTCACAACTAATTAGAAACATTTTACTGATATCAAATTCAAAAACGCAGAAAGTTACATGTTAGTGTTTAATGATCTGAAGTCATCAAAATCTGTTTTTATCAACTCCTCACTCCGTCCATGCTCCTGCAGACTTGTGGTTTCACTTCAAACCGTATTCCAGTCCTGAATCAAACACCAAATCCCAAAAGAGCAGAGAGGTTTGTAAAAAAAAACAAAGAATAAAATAATCAGAGGAGATGGATTTGTCTTCTCAGGGGAATCATCTTTGGTGTAGCATCAGCTCACAGCTCCACACAGCAGCCTGTGCCTCAGTGCATCTCTAATCACATTTACAGTCAACAGTGTGTGTGCACAGCACAACACGCAGCAACAGGGAGCTCTGCCAGAAGATCCATACACTCCAAAAAACCAACACCTCCTCTATAAAATGGACCTATTAATGCTGGAACATCAGGGACTCACTCACAGGGAGGTTAAAGAGCGTGGATCGATACTCTGAACATTAATAAGAGTGTTTCCAGACTGCATGTCAATCACATTTCTCTGTTTTTACATGTCTGAGTTGTTTCACTGCAGATGGAAATGTTTGGAGATGGAGAGTAAGCCGGTTTACTTTCAGTCTGTCCCTCTGTGACATTCATTTATAGAATCTAATGTTACTATCTGTCTTTTTATCTCATGTAGCAGCACTATAAATATAGATATATGTATATATATGTGTGTATATATATATGGAGGCTTGCAGTGTCTGTGTGATGGATCAGTTCTGTTTAATATTGAGGGTGAAGTCTTCATCACTGTCTCTTCTTCTTCTGCTTCAGGGACTTCCTCCTCTTCACGATCATCTCATACAGCTTGTCCATGCCCTCGTGCAGCCCCTCTCCGATGATGGCGCAGGCCGGCTGGACGTGGTACGGGGTGGAGGGGCTCAGCTCGGCCAGGGCCAGCTGCCTCTCGATCTCCCCCACATCCAGCGCGCGTGGTAGATCTTGCTTGTTGGCGATGACCAGCAGCGGGGTCCCCTGGTTCTCCGCGAAGCGCGTGATCTTGTGCAGCTCGGTCCGGGCCTCCTCCAGCCTCTCGGCGTCCACGGAGTCCACCACGTACACGATCCCGTCCGTGCAGCGGCTGTAAGGCTTCCACAGGGGCCGCAGCTTCTCTTGGCCCCCCACGTCCCAGAAGTGGCAGCTGATGCCCCGGGAGGCCCCCGCGCCGCCCAGCCGGATCCTCTCCGTGTTGAAGCCGATGGTCGGCACCGTGTTGACGAACTCGTTAAATTTGAGCCGGTACAGCACGGTGGTTTTACCCGCAGAGTCCAAGCCTAGCATGACTATGTGCAAAGACTGGAAGGCACCCAGATTGGTGAAACTGTTCCCCATCGTGCAGGTCGTGAGGGACGGACAGTCCGACTTTCACAGCCCCGGAATCACCGCTCAGATGTGCCAGGAGTCATCCATAAGGTCGTAAACGCGCACAAACGGCTGATCGGTGCCTCAGCAGCTGTGCAGGGCGCAGCCCCTCTTTGCACGGAGGCACTCCGGCAGCCAGACAAGCCTCAGCATCCCTGGACCCCCTCCAGCAGCTCCAGACCTCCAACAGCCGTCAAACCATCACACGTGCAGCAGTGTTTTCACGGCGCGCTCAGCTGTCCGAATGCGCAAATTACGCACGGCTGAATGTCACATCATGCCTCTGCATGTGTGTGTGAGCATCTCCTTCATGTAGTAACACACGCCAGTGATGGAGTGTGACGCGTGGATCTGCCTCCGAACGTTAACGTGAAAACATGCGTCAAGCTTCGGCAGGAAAGGACAAAATAAGACGATTTTCTTTCAGAATAAAAGCCTATTCTCAAGAATAATCCGCAGTGAGGCGGAAAGGGATCTTATTTTGAAGGGGGGTATGCCTCTGGGTACTGAGCTATTTCAACTCTCACACCTAGTGGTGAAACATGGAAAATGACACATTAAGTGGAAGCTGCAGATGAAATATGAAAAATAAACGTCTCTAATATGATTGTGTGACTGAGATCTTTGTTGAAGAATTGGAGAAGAGGCTCAGGTTATTGTTTCCTCACTGATTTTTTAAAAATTATACTTTTTATTGGATAGTTCGTCTTTAAAATGCATTTCTCTCTTATTTAAATTGAGCTGAAAGTTCCTGGATAATTTTCTGCCCTTACTTGAAGAGTTGACAGATTAAGGATTGGTTTTCGTGCATCTTTCTGTTTCTGTTCTTTTATGTATTTATTTTGAAACTTTTGAAACATGGCTCATCTTCTTCTCATGCAACTATTCTGTCACTAGATGGCAGCAAAACATTACAAATGTCAAATAAGTCAAAGGAAAGAGAGACACTTTGGTTCAGTTTTAACCTTTAATGAAGGTGTGCAGGACTGACTTATATTTAATACACTGATCTGAATCTTTATTGGCACTAACACTCCAATATCAAAAGTTTTTTTTAGCCATTATGCATGCACTAAGTTTTTCTTTAGGTACTGATGCAGAAGGTTTTTTTGTTTTTGTTTTTGGGGGCTGATCTGACCAACTAACCTGCACACCAAGGTGACCGAAAAGGTCAAAGTTCAGGGCGCAAAGTTAGGATAAAACAGTGAATCTCTATTGTGTGGTTACTGAACCTACTTACTGGTGAAAAGTTGTGGTTTTTGCGTCAACTTAAAGATATCTAACTTACCCCAGATTCATTATTTAGACTCCTGGTCAAGGCAGTAGGGAGCGTGGTCAAATCAGCTGTCATTTGCTTGAGCTGCACCTGTTAAGATTGAAAAATCTGCATGTTCACCTTATATTTTATGGAGCACTAATTCATGAACACACCACATTTTTTATTTTTCAAAAGCTTTTTCAACGCAGCAGGAGAAGTGAACTTTTCCTGGAGCTTATACTTCAGTGATCTGCACCGTGAGAGAGTACGCATCCACAGCATGTTAGTAATTTAGAGAATTACGCGCTTGGTTGGCAGTGTTTCTGTTCCTTCTTTTTCCATTTTCACCTTGATTCTGCTTTGCACTTACAATCGATATAAGACAAAGCTCCAGACACAAAAAGAAGTCAATTAGCGCCTCTGGTTTGTTTCAATTTGACACAAAATAGCCTCTGAGGCCTGAACAGGATCGATGGCTGAGTTGACAAGTAAACAAAACATTTGAAAAGTGCACACAGGAAAACCTTTTTTTTGGTTTGGATCGGAAAAAATGCTGACAACTTTTACAAATGTCAAACATCTCATGAATGCAAGTACGGCACCTGAAGGAGGAGACTTTTTGGAGTATTCACTGAAGTGAAGTGTGATATCTTAGCTCTGTCTCATTTTTTACCTGCCTCCACTTCAGTCTTGTTTGATCCCCGCAGGTCCCACAGCCTCTGCAGATGCTGTCTTTTTATTAGCAGGTTCACTTTGTTGACCTCAGCAAACTGCACACAAATTGAACCTGTAATGAGACCTAATCAGCAGAATAAATGAAGAAGCATTAGTGTTAACGAGGGGGAGAGGCGGGATCTAAACAGACACAAACAGACGACGACACAACCTGAGTCATCAAACGGCTCTAATTGTTCCTCTGTCCTCCTCCTCCATCGATCTCCCCTCTAATGACTGAGAACGATCAATAAAACAAATTTTAAACAGCCTGTAAACATGCACACACACACTTCTCTCTTTCACTTCCTCTAACAAGGCTGAGTCACCTGAGTGTCTCTCGCCCCCTCGCCCTCCTCATCCATAAAACACGAGGCTCCTTCACTGATTCTCCTCTAATTTATTCCTCCGTTCCTCAGGTAACAGACGACAGGACGCACACAGATGTGGAGGAAGGTTAAAGGGAAACAAAACGTGTTCTTGGACGAGCTTGGAGTCTAGTCTGCTGCAGAGCTGAGGTGAGAGAATTAGGAGGACCTTTCAGAAAAAAAAAAATGAGAAGAAATGAAAAGGAGCGGTTAAATTGACGAGTTTCTGCTTGAGTTTGAGGATTTTTCTAAAAAGTTTGTACAAAACGCTCCAAAGGAATTCAATCGCCTGTTACTAATCTAAGTTTTTCTCTTCAAAATTGGAGTTATTTCTTGATTTGCCAGTTTCTTTAAGGATGTGTTAGTTGTCCGGCTCCTCTCAGGTTCATCGTTTTCTCATTTTGTCTTAAAAGAACGTCAGGAAAACTTCATCCTGACTTAGCACAAAAGCTTAAAATCACAAACTTGAGAGAACTGTGCTCCACATCAATGTCATATAAATCAGAGATTACAGCAGCGAGGCGCTATAAAAAGGAGAAATGAGAGTTTTATTTGGTGTTTTCAGTCTTTTGAAGGTCTCTTTACATTCAGCAGATCCAGCAGGTGAATTCATCCTCCGCAGATGAAACAAACCCAGAAGCTTTTCATCTCACCACCTGTCTGCATTTTCAAAAGCCTGTTGACGGCCAGTTTGTTCTGAAAACACTTTCCTCTCTAAAATAAATCCTGTGGTTTTGGGTGAGAGTGCTTTTTAATGACGTATTAAATCTGCTTGTGTATAAATTTAAGAGTAAAAGTGTATAGAAGGGCTCTTTGGGGTAGTTTGGAGCTGTGGGATCATCCCTGCAGAAAAGGCCAGATTAGACAGCTTCGACAACCTTTAGTTGAAATCTACCTGAGTACCTCTCCCAGCGTGAGATGATTTACACCCTCAGGTTATTAAACCTCCCTAAAAAGAGTTTTATCGCCCCTGTCCGTTGCAGAGTTTCATCACTCTGAGTTTTGTGTTGTTTCCAGGAGAAGTGCAGGAACGTGGAGCGTTACTCATCCAGGAGCAAAAGGACGACACTGTCAAGGTGGTCTGTCCTCTGAGGCTGAATAATTATCTGCTTTAATTAAAGCACTTCTGTGTGTGTGTGGGAAAGAGCAAACAGAGAAGGATTTTTCTGTGCAGTCATGTGTGATGTTTGTGCATGCATTAGCACATATGATGGTTTGTGCATTCATGTGTGATATTTAGATGTGTGTGTCAGCGTGTGTGTGTGTGTGTGTGTTTAAACAAAGGAATCTGCAGGGGAAAAGAGTTAATGAACACTCTTGTGCAGAAGGAATCGCAGTCCAGACGTGATTTCCAAACTCACAGAGGCAGAATTAACACGTCGACCCTGAACTAACCCTGCAGGATCTGTCTGACATACGTTTAAGAACGAGTCTTTCTGCCCCTTGAAGAGAGATGCTGGGGGGGAGCCAGGGGTGTCCAGCCGAGCTGAGCACAGAGACAATTCTAGTTTGGCAGACTTAAAGAAAATAGGTTTGTGGAGATGTGGACGTGCAGTTAAACATCATTATTCTGATGTCAAAACGATCACCATACTCAAGATCTTTTTAAAAAATGTGGGTTAATATATCCTCCGTCCAGCTAAGCCCCGCCCACCACCAACATTTTACAGGGTCCAAAAAGGAGAAATCTGCTCTCTTACCAAAGACGATGTCGTATTGAAATCTGGTCGATCAGAGGGAGTATATGAGGAGGCTCCCTTGCTCTGGAGGAGTCGCCCTGAAGCTTGAAAACAACAAAAAATCTGAGTTCACTTTAAAAATCACAAAAAAAAACTTGAACATTAACTTTGAAATCTTGTCAGACAGAAACAGAGATTTCAGAAAGATGCTGTTTTCACTTTTATTGAAACTCTCTGAGCAGAAACACTGAACAGATTTCAGATCAGTCTCCTCTCACAGCCGATACAACCTCAGTCCACCATCAGCCTTCAGTACAAATATATATTTTCATATTTATATATATGTGTTTTTAAAGTCCTCGTGCAGTTTCTGTTCAGACACGACAAATATATCCAAAAGAAACACAAAGAAACACGACAAAGCTGACGATTTCATCCTGCAGAGATAGAAAAATATGACGAGCTATTAAAAATCTGACAAATTCAAACTGAAATAAGACGAATGATGAGTGTATTAATTCTGGTTTCACTGTCTGATGATGTAAACTGTGTGACACTCCTGATCCAGAAATGAATGAGATCTCACAGACTGAAAAAAAAAGTTAGAAAGTTAGGTAGTTCAGTCCCTAGCATTAGCAAGCTAACAGGCTTTTTAGTTTGTCTCAAAATGATGAATACAGACACAAAAAGAGATTAAAACCAAACAATAACACTGTCGATATGATAATAACACTCCATCTGTTTAGTGCTGAAGTATAAAAAATAGAGTCAAATCTCTACAAACAAACAAACACTCTGCAGCATTACTGCACAGACTTTACCGAGTCACACGTGAGTTAGCTTCTTGCTAACGCTTTTTGGCAAACTAATAACTGACGTATGAAACTACTTCTGCAGATTTATATAAGACGTTTGCTCTCCTCTTCTGTAAAAACGTCCCAGGGAGAGGTGGTGAGGAAAAGTCATCGACATGAGATTTAGCCGAGTTTGGGTTTGAAATTAAAGTTCAGTCTTTGTGATTCTTCATGTACAGCAGAGGCTGAGGTCTGTGATGTTGTCCTGAGGAAGATGTGTTCAAAGAAACAACAGAGGAAAAAAATCACTGCCAAATTTAAAGAAACAAATGAGTGAACATTTAGAGATGATAAAGAAAGATGAGAAGAATAAAGGGTGAGGTAGAAAAGAGAGAAGCAGAGAAAAGAAAGATGAACAAATGTCCACATCTGAGGGTTCACTAGAACCAGAAATCCACAACTCAAAGAAACCGAAATGTTCAGATATGACCCAAAGATCCAAGGAGTAAAAGATCTGGATCCAAATCCAATCCACAATCCAAATGCTGTTAATGTTCCAGACAAAGTTTCAGTGTCACCCAGACTCCACAGCTCAATCCTCAAATCAAGAGACTCTATCTTTTCCTGACAAAGACAAACCTTTAAATAAAAAAAAAAAAAAGAAGTTCCCAGTCAAACAGCAAAGTCTCCGTATCCTGTGGGACAGAAGGCAGAGCTTCGGAGGGTGTCCAGGCAGTTCACCAGGATCAGTGTACCGGTCAGATGCTTCCACCTCTTGGTGATCGGGTTCCTCATCTTGTCCAGGCCGAGGTGGAGCTCCTGCAGCACGTCTCTGTAGCTGTCGCCCACGTGGGCGGCCCATGTCAGGAGGAAGTCGTAGGCGGGTTTCCACATGGACTGAAAGGTGAAGATCAGAGGAGAAGAAACAGAAGAACTTTTATGATAATGTCTGTATATCAGGGTCGACTGTAAACAGGATTAATAATCAATTAACATTGATCATGAAGATTTTGTTGACCATAAATATACTGACAGCCTTGAGGTTCCCCCGTTCTCTCACCTCGTTGTCCAACAGACCATTCTTGTCTCGATGTGGAGCCTCGTATGCCTCCATCTGCTGTCTGGACACTCGAGCCAGTTTCTCGGCCAGCTCCCTCCACCTGGACGCCACCTCCACCGCTGTGGTCAACAAGACGAAATCCAGGACTAATCTGGCAACCAGACCCTGGCAATCCATCTTCAGCAGCGCCTGATAGGAGAAGGACAGCATCTTTAGATTGATTTATGGACATCAGATAACAACATGTCTGAACTGAACCAGTGATAAACAAAGTTCATCAACTTTTCAACCAAGAAATTCAGAGGCAGCAGACCCAGACATCCCTCTCCCCGGCAACACATCACAGCTCCTAAGGGTTTAAAAGTCTGCCTTGGGTCTCCACCTGGTCAGATATGCCCTGATACCCCTAAAGGGAGGAGGCATCTCAATCAGAAACCATCTCCTCTGGCTCCTTCTGGTACAGAGGAGCAGTCTTACTCAGAGCTCAGGCCTGGAGGTGAGGGACCTGTTAATCACACTCACAAGAAAGACCCTAAAATACTCCAACTCCTTCAGGATGAGCTACCTCTGCTACCCGACCCCAGATCAGCAGAGGACAGCAAAGTAAAGCCAGGAATGAGATAGAGAACTGCAGAAATAATTTGAAAACCATTGACCCCGCAGTGTTTGTCATTCAGCGAAAATTGGAACAAAATCAAGATACAAGAACCAACAGGGGCTGAAAACGATCAGGTCTGAGGTTCAGGAGCTGAACAAAGATCTGAATTTCTGGTCCAGAGGTTTTCAAAATTGTGGACTCAAACCTCGTTCAGGGTACTGATTCAAGACCGGTTCTAACAGATTTCTGAGTGTAGTGAACTTCCAAGACAGATTTGACCACAGACCATACAATTTGAAATGACCACAGCTGCATGAAAATAACACAATTTATAGGAGAACATGTTCGGTTTATGTTACCCGGTTAATCTCATCATCTGTATGAAAGGCTCTAAAAGTGAGACTTTCACGTGAAAACTGTTTCATTTGAATCATTTTAGACTCCAAATAGGGTCACACATCATCAGGTGTATCAGAAAATGTAAAGACGGTCATCGTTGTGCAGTAGACGCCGTTTCGGTCTCTCTTAATCTCTTCCTTTCATGTGGTAAAAATATCGGCCTGATCACAATCATAACATGAGGATTTTCAAAGTTGACATTTGTGTGAGAGAAAACATGCTTTTGGTTCTCTCTTAATCTTCACGTGATCCCTCAAAACCACTCCGGCTGCAAACACGTCTTCCATGCACACAGTCCCATTGAGGTTTTCTGTTTGTGTTTCAGAGCCGAGAGGAGCTAAAAACACGGCTCCTAAAGAAAAACCCCACCGCTTTTATGTGTGAGTCTCTAATCCCAGTCACGTCCCTCAGGCTGCTGCTGCTGCTGTAAATACGCTCTCACTCAACTAACCCAGTTCAATGAGGGTTAAAAACTACTGAGCATTAAAAGCAGCTGACTGGAAAAACACACTGGAGGCAAGAGTTTCTTCAAAAGAGGCAACAACAGCCACGGAGCAGTTTTTCCTTTTTGTTCTGTCCAAAACAGAAAACAGCGTGAGCATCTGAGGGTGTTTGTCCATCCTCAGATAAGACTCTAACACACGCACGCACGCACACACACACACAGGCATGCAGGGTCCAGACTGCGGCAGCATCTTTAAAGACCTGCTCCCTCCTGTGCTGATACAGGAAGTTTCATCTTTGCTTGCAGTCTCAGAGAGCAGCTAAACTCAACTGAAAATATGGAAAATAAAAATTAATGGACGTTTTATTTCCTCCCTGAGAGGAGATTTTCCACTGTGTAGCCAAGAACTAGATCCAATAGAGCTGGAAGGGTTTCAGCGGAATCACACACACACACACTTTGAGGTTAGCATTACATGTAAAACAAACATCAAGATTAAGACAAAGGGGAGTCTATGGTGCAGGCTGTGGCTTCGATCTTATGGGTCAGTTTATATTAGGGCTGGGCGATAAACTGAAAATTTACCGATATCCAAATTTATGACAACAATCAACATCATTTTGCCCATGTCAATATATTTGGTGTCAAAAATAAATAAATAAATAAAAGTTGGTTTTGGATGTGTGTAAGTAGGTTATGGTCTCATGCCCCTTTAAGATGCTGTCCTACATCAGGGACGTTTCTATATAGTCTCTCAATCCATCTTAAGTCCTGTCCTCTAACTGACATAACCTTAAAACAAAGAAAAGCCCATAAATTTTCTTCAAAACAATAACATATGATGAGGTTCAAGAACACCAGGCAGAATTTCTTGGATTTAAACCACCAAAGCATTGAAGAAGAGAAAAAAAATAACTTTTTATTCAGCCAGTTTTTACCTTCATCTAAAGGGACTGGAGATAGACCTCTTAGGATTGAAAATCGACATTATTTTTTAGGGTGTCACCTTGAAACTCATTTTCTCGTTTGCCTTGACGGGTTATAACGAGACATCAGCTTCAATTTCAATCATTTGGTTTAAACAAAAGTGAAGAAAACTGTCTTTTTGCGGCCAAAAACAAGACAACGCTTTAAGAGGTTTCTTCAGTTTGTTAGAGATGAAACCGTAGAAGTGGCGACCTAATAGGCAACAAAATCTTTCAGCGCATCTTTTGTAAGAGGCTGACGTTTAAGCTTGAAAATACCAGACAGAAAGAAGCTCCTAATCCAGACGTCATGTGACTTAGATTTACTCCAATGATCAGTTCTTCAACTCTTTTTTTAAACTTTTGTGTGATGAACTGCAGCGCCGCAATAAAGTGAATTAACCTGAATAACCTCACTCTCTCTCTCTCTCTGCCAGTGTCTCTCTACCACCTGGTGAAGGAGAACTTTGGCCTTCTGCTGATTCAGGCTTCACACGCGCGCGCGCAGGGTCAACTCTAAATTTAGAGACACTCACGCTCCAGAGTCAGGGTTCAACTCTTCAGCCTTCTGTCTCAAAACGAGCATGATGTGTTGAAATGCAAATCAGGAGCTAAACTTGTCGTTTAAGCCGGAAAGGATTACAGTGAGAGACAGGAAGGGGTTTGAAAATAAAGGTCAAGCAGTCAAACACCTTCAGCTTTGAGATCAGAGTCATCGAACAGTGGGAGAACTCGGAGTTTGTCTCATGGTAGCTAAAACTCTGGCATGTAGAGGTGAAAGGTCAGCGTCCTGCTGTAGGACTCTGTCAAACTGGAGTGTTTTTAGACATGAGTGAATCCTGTTTAAGAAATACAAGCAAACACACCACATGGCACAGCAGCTTGTTTTCGACATTGACTCCTCAGCTTCCAGCCCGGAGTTTGTTGGATGTTTCCATGTTATTAAAAACAGGATGAATCTGCTCTAAAAATAGACAACGGTCCGCTCCGTGAGAGAGCGAAAAGCGACTGAAAAACACAAGATCGTGACGACCTGCAGGGAGCCCCGGAGCAGACGGACAGACGGTGCTGACAGCTGAGCGAGCGGCTGTCAGCCAAATGAGCTTCAACAGGAGGGAGGTAGAGGAGCAGATGAGGAGACTGACAGGTAGAGAGGAAAAAAAGAGAGGAAACGAAGAATGAAGCAGGAAAGGAGAAAGATAAAAGGAACAGTCAGCAGCTTTCACTTCTCTGAGTTATTAACCTTCGATCTTAAAACACAGCTATCAAATCAGAGTCTTTCCCACTGCAGGAGGTCGATGTTATATCAAACAAACCATAAGATGAACCTGAGAAAATAGGAACAAACTTTTTATTTCAGGGTTATAGTAACATTTGACAAATCTTTTATCACCTGATGTTTGAAAATGAGAAACGGTAAATTAAACGGCCACACACACATGAAACTATTCTGTGTTTTCACTGGAAAATCTTCATCAGAAAAGACCTTCAAGGGCAGCACTTTTGGTTTGATCATCAGAGGGTGTTATGCAGATTTTATACAACAGTCTGTGTGGTCTTGCCAAAGCTTGAGCAGACTTTTTCAGCACCCCACAAAGATCCGTGCAAGATTTCAGGACATGTAGAGTCGAGGAGCTTTTCCTATCACAGTCCAACTCTGACTTTATTTGTAATTTTAGATTTAAAATCAGTCGGGGAATTTCAGCCCAATTGTCCGTTGTTTCCTGGGGGTCACTAGAGCTGATCATGGTCCAATCAGCAGCTCCTGACTGATCTGATGAACTTCAGGGCCTTTTTTTTCTGATAAAATGACAAACAGTCTTTATGACCAAACTTGCCTCATGAAACAGCTCACTGTGTTTGTCAAAAAACAGAGATTTTTCTGGGTCTGAGAATATCACATTTTCTTTGCATAATCATGATCTTTGTTGCAGACAGGCTTTGCATGATCGGCAAAAGTTTTGGCTCTGAAGTTTCGGATCAGTCACTTTGTTTTAGGAGCAGGTTTCACGGCAGGACCAAAGGAAAGTTTTAATTCATTATGATTCTCCAAGCTGTCTGTTGAACGTTTGTTTCTTCATATCGTTTGTTGTGATTGGCTGAAGCTGTGTGTTTCTAAAGACATCTGACATGCAGCTGTTTCCTAACATTTGGGTTTTACGAGTCCACAAGCCCGGGATTGATTAACTGCGCTGTAGGAGTGATTGGCCCCCTCTCCTGTGTGTATATTATTAATGGACAGTCTCCTGGCCTCTCAGCCTCTTTCCTCCACTAACAACCACAAGAACCGGCTCTCATTTGTCCTCAGCCTTCGTAACTTGAGTCTCAGCGTTAACAGATCTGCCGGGGTGGTGTCAGATGTTCCCTTCAGAGCCTCCAGCTCCGTCCTGATCAATGCCGACTCACATTTCACATGAGAACACCTGTCGGCTAGTGTGGAGGAGAGACATGAAGAGCTTTGCTACAACCCCAAAGACAAACCGTAATCGTTTGTTCTGCTGCAACACTTTCATTTTTCACAGGCAGGACAGAGCAGCAATTAGAGCCAGCAGGGTTATTGCTCTGCTATATTTGAGCTCCTCAAACTTTTCTCCAAGTTTACAATTGGCTTTAAAAACGAAAATCAGTCTAAAAATAAAAAAACAACAATTTCCTTTATAAGCAGAGATAGCAGGATTAGCTTGAATTTGTTCTTGGTGCTCATGTTTAATAAAATCTTTAAATATTGCAAAGAAAATGTCTGAATCTTTCTTTTACCAGTAGACCTTAAAAAGTTGTTTTTTGTTTTGGTGCATCTAGACTGACAAATGCTACAGATATCAACAAAAAAATGTCTGCGAGGGAGGCTAAGATAGTCAGCTGAGATAGTCAAGTTACAACTTCGTAACTGCAGATATGCAGCTCTCTCCAGCATGAACTGAATAAAAATCCAGTCAAAGTCCTGACATAAGTGAATAAACAGTCCTCTTCTTCTTCTTCTCTTTCTAATACTCATGAAAAAAACTCCAAACTAGCTCTCATCAGGTGTGTCCAAACTCCCATCTCTCCCCTCATGGTATCAGTTCTCACTTCCCTCCCACCAAAGCCATTTCATGTTTCTGCCTCTGTGCCTCCTCCTCTCTCATTACAGAGACCACAGGAGGGACAAAGAAGCCACTTCATCTAGGCATCGCCCCCACCTTGAAACCCCTCTATAGGTTCATCGATTCCCATCTAACCCCTCCATGCACCCCTGTGACCTGAGATCGTTTCATTCCAGCTGTCTCCAACACGTTTTTAATGACTTTGCAAAAGAACGTTTTCAGTTCAGATGACTGTTTTTGCATTTCTCTCCGTTTCAACACAATGTTGCTTCAGTTTGACTCATTTCACAGATCGGTGTGGATCTGAGTGTGTTCCTTCTCAAAGAAATCAAGGTCTGGCTAATTAAAGCCTGATTATCAAGGTAAACCACTCAACGTTTGCTAAACCAGGTCAGAGTTCTGAATGCAGGAATGTTTTATTGAGTAGTGATTGTATAAGCCAAGCTATTTTTTCCTTTGAGCAGAGGATTTTGTAATTCAAGCCCCTGTGACTCACTGGACCTTGTTCTTGCGGCCTGATGACAATTTTCTGCTCTCTGGGGAAAATGTGGCACAAGAAATCCGCATTCACACACGTCCTGTGGAGGGTTTTAGCGCTGAAGCTCAGGGGCAAACGGAGCTGTGACTCCTCGCAGCTTAAAACAGCAAGTTTTACACGTCTAGACATGAAATCCAGAGGAAAATCCGCTTTGGTCATGGTTTATCTCAATGCAACATATGACACAGCCAACCATGACATCCATTTAGACACCAGGCAGCTGGGCTTTGGGATCAAATCGTTTATTCCCTACCTGAGAAAAAGAGGAAAGAAAATTGCTCCTCATCCCATGAACTGAATAAATGTGACATCCCTCAAGGTTTAATTCCAGAGCCTCGCCAATTGTCTTTGCACATGCTTTGGTTTTCTTTGCGCTGATGACACCTGATTATACTTTCATGTTTGTTATGTCTGCACCTGCACAACAGATGACCTCTTTATCCACTGAATCCAAAAAAAAGATGGCAGCCAAAGGAAACAAAACTGAAAAGAGGTTTGATCAATGCACTTAGGTTCCCGTCGGAAAATTAGGTTTTCTTGAAGCATCGCTGAATTTCACAAGTCGGTTCAAGTTGGCAACATACCTCAGATCATTTTTAACAGTTTTCTTATCTAAACTCAAAAAGAGCTATCAAGACGACGGAGTATTAGGGCCACATTAAGAAAAAAAAATTAAGACTTTGAGATTAAAGTCGTTAATTTACAAGAATAAAGTCATAACTAATGAGAATAAAGTCGTAATAAAATGATTATAATACTTATGATAATGTGATGCTGATGTGCCAAAAGATAAAGTATCTCCATGTCTGAGAAACTGATATTGAAGTACATTTTCAAGAAATGCTCCATGGCTCTCATTTCAACAACTGTCATCTTAAACAACAGGTTAGAATATAAGGACTTTGTTTTCGTAAGTAAATCTTTATTACGACTTTATTCCCGTAAGTAATAATTTTATTACAACTTTATTCCTGTAGGTAATGATTTTATTATGACTTTATTCTCTTAAGTAATGACTTTATTCTCGTACATTCTTCAGTCTTTATTTTTTTTTCATGATATGGTCCTAATACTCTGTTGTATTGAGAGCTCTTTTGAGGTTACAAAGTAGTTACCTTATCACGATTTTTTTAATCTTGAAATTTCAACTTTAATCTCAAAATTTCAAGATTAAAATAATCAAAATCTCGCACATTTTTTTCATTTCGAATTTTTTTTTAATTTTGACTTTAATTTCGAAATAGAAACTAAAAAAATCTCTCTCCTGTAATTATTTTTTTCTCTTCTTGCAGCCCTAATCCTCTTTCGTATATCAATGCTTTTATCACCTAACTGTATTTCTCTAAATATTTTAGGACTCAACCCAACTCAAAGTGCAGCTGTACCATTTCATCATGTTTCACAACTTAAAAAAAATAAAAATCTGACCTCACTCTATAACTGCACCACAGGACTCAGGAGAAATGACTTACACATGACAGCAAATTACTCTGTGTACTAGTATACACCATCTATGTGGAGAAACATCTGCGGACAATTCTTCCACCGAGGTCAACGGGACACATTTCTTTATCGCTGTCCGTGATGAAAGAGTTTCTGCTCGCAGGAGCAGGAAAATTGCTGGACTTCAATAAAGCACCTGTGAGTATGTTCTCCTTTTATTTGCTGGAAAACACGACAAAGATGGACCTCCTAGGAGTCAAGGATGGAGCCTGGTTCAGGGATAAGAAAATGCCCTTTGTGCGCACAGTATGATGAAAAGCCTCAGCGGGAATCAAAGGCAGCCGCTCATAGAAAAAGCTCTCCATAAAGCATAAAAACAAACCTTTGCTTTCAGTTTTAGGAGATGTCACATGACTTACAGCCGAGTAAGTAAAGATGAGTGTCTCAAGGTAAAGAAGTTTGAGCAGCAAATGAGATGCGCTCTTCCTTCTCCTGCCATAGTCCCCTCAAGCAAGGCACTTCACCCCCCAGCTTCTCCTACTGCTGCTGCTGTCTAAAATAGCCCAACACACATGCTCCATCAGCTCTGCCTGGTTAAACCACGGTTGGAAAAAGTACTCTGCTAAAGTACTTTTTGAATAATGGTGTCTGGCAAGCACACAGTCTTGGGACAATTTTGCTTCCCCTGGGGTGCTGGCACTGTCGGAGAAGAAAAACACATCGAAACAGGCGTGCGATTGCTTGACAGAGTTGTTTTCACTCAAACTGCAGATGTTAAGTTTAACTTCTATGCAATTTTCCTCCAAACATCATCTCCTCCTTTATTTTTCATGCGATGGCTGCGAGCCACCCCAGGCTGTAGGACACTTTGTTTACCATTTATGAGACTGAGTGTAGGGACCCAAATCCTCCCAGTTCACAATTACATTGTATCGCAGAATGAGGCTGTTAGAGGACAGAAATCATGTAATGTACAGCAGACAAGGTGCACAAATCATTCAGACGGCTGACCGTTTTGGAAATTGCATTTTGAGCATCAACAAAGCTCTGCAAACAATGCAGCAGCCATCTGGGAGACACTGATAAAAACACTCTGAAATGTATATCGTATGAGAACAAAAGCTGCTGCTGCGGTGGTGTTGTGGCACAGTTTCTTTGACATTTATCTGAGCGGCAAATGCATAACTGTTCTCAAAAAAATCAAGCTCTCTCTCTCTCTCTGTTCAAGGACAATTTGGTGTTTGTAAAACAGCTGCTATTTTAGAGAAATAAAACAAAGTATTTGTTAAGTGTCTCCTACGTGTGAATTTACAGCTTTAATCTAATTTATATTGGCCATTATTGGGTTTTAAATTGCTGGTCAGTGAAAACGAGCAGGTTAAATGTATCGCCTTGGGCCTTGCAAAATAGGGTTGTCACTTTTTTAATTCGCTGGGAGATAAATGGCTGATAGAAATGACCTCAATTTCATCTATTTGTCTCCTTGACTCGTTATTTTTCTCAATCTGGTGAGGAAGATGGCTGTCCACCTGTCAGTCCAGTTCTGCTCAGGGTTGAATTTATTCCTGGCTGCAGTTACAGAGTGCTAAACAGCAACAAAAGGAGGAGGGATAAACACTTCTAGCTCTAGCTCTAACTCAACTTTTTTTATCCAGAGCAATTTCATGAGCAAACATCTGCCATGTGCTTAAAAAAAACATGTTGATGGTTACAGGGCATAAAGGCAGGTTTTTTTTTCGTTTGTCCCTCTAAAAAAAAAAAGGTTGAGCTTCACAGTTCCTGACTGAATAAGGCCAAGGCTCAAGGCCACTTTACAGCAGCTGCTGAGACGGACTGCTAACCCTTTTCCAGGAGAGCTTTCCTCAGCTGAAAGCAAAGCTGACATCAAAATATTCAAGCTGCCCTCAAATCCAACAGGTTCTTAGAAAAACCCAGTATGATGCAGGAAAATAGAAAAATGTGTCTCACCATCATGAGTTCCCGCTGGAAAGACTTCCTCTCCTTGTGCTCCATATTCGTACACTCCTCTTTGAGTTTCTCCAGAACCGACGCCACCTTCTCTGGCTCGTTGTCCAGCTCTGTCCGACAAAAATAATTCAGCGGTAAATTCCCATAACCCAAGGCGTCTGCAAACGCCCTCCAGTTGCCCACATTCTCCATCAAAACCGTCCTCACAGTTGCGTAAATGTATGTGAGAAACTTGCAAGGCTTCAGGATCTGTTCCAGTAACATTGTGGTTGTTAGATCCGGCCCACACCAATAAATGGGCTTGACCTTACCCAGAACTAAAACGTTCTTAGCATGGACAAGCCCCATCTTCCCCTGATAGTATCCGATGTACCACTCTTTGGTCCTCAGTTGACCTCGCAGTTTGATTTTCTCCTCGCTGAGTAAAGCGATAACATCCCCTTTTTTGTATTCCAGCAGGTAAGTGCTCTTGTGCTGCCTGATCACCGTTTTGATCAACTTGCCAAATTTCAGGTTGATGATGCACCGGTCTTGAAACTTCAGGTACTTTGAAGTGACAGCCAGTGGTGAGAGGACAATCTTATCCACCTCTTTCTTCTTCAAAAACCTCCTCTGACCTGTAATCCTTGCCCCAGTCTTTGGTGGCGGCGGTGGAGTTTGGACGCAGAACTGGGTGAGAATGCAGTCCAGGGCGTCCTTGACTTGGACCCTGAGAGTGAAGTCTGAAATACTGTTGGGGTTGAGTGATGAGATCATGTACAGGAGCCTGGTGACTTTCCCCAGTTTGACTTGAAATCCCTGAATCACCCCTGCACCCTCGGACGTCTTCACTTGGTAGTTGGACATGTTGGAGTACAATCCCACTCTGAGGTCCTGAGGGTACCCCAGCACAAACTGGTGCCTCCCCCACAGCTGGAGTGCTACAGGTGGGGTAGAACTTGCCTGCCTGCCAACTTCGTTTACCAACAAGGTCTTGGGGGCGCAATCATGCCCAAACATGGCCACGACAGTCTTAAAGGAAGGGTGGATGTGCTTCGGTCCGTAGACGCCCAGGGTGACTTTCCTCTGAACGTGGTCCCAAACCGTGGTATTGTGGCTGATGTACTGGGACTGAACCACAACAGCCACGTACATACAAGGCTCAAGACTGTCCAACTGCACCTGGACTGTGTCCTTGTAAAGGTAAGCGTTAGGGATGGGTGTGTAAGGCCCTTCTTTACAATCACTGCGAACACAAAGCAGCTCTACGGTGCGACAACTCTCCTTCTTGATGGTTACAGATACCTTCATCTCCAATGTAATAAAGGACTTGATCTCCATGTTGCTGAGCTTGATCTCCACAACCGGGCTCACTGTTGAGCAGAGGTCTGTATTGAGCTCCAGAGGAGGGTCTAATAAGGCTTTCATGGAGATCTGCTGGTGGTCTCCATGGCTAACGTGGCCTTCAGGGATGTGGGCGCTGATATGGGTATCTGGGAGTTGGACAACTCCTCCATTACTGTCCAACCTGCACACGATGTTTGTCTCCACCGGCTGAGTCTGACCCCAACCCAGACTCTGGCCCAGGGAGTCAAGGTCATGGCAAGACCTTGCCAACTTTCTGTGATTCAACCAAGCAGTCCTGAAGTCCTCCCTGCTCTGGAACTGCTCCGGTAAAGGAGCCGTAAGGCCTGTGAAGAATCCTGAAGAGGGTAGGGTTGGATTGGACTGTGCCTGGAGGACAGACAGTTCTGAGAGACTGTGGGAGCGTTTACTCCTGAAGAATGGGTTATCCCTGTGGAGGTTGGGTAGGATCTCTTGGTTTGGGCTGGTGGAGGTGGTGTTGTTGTTGTGGCAACTGCTGAACCCGTTGGTCATCACTGTGTTGGTGTTAAAGTTGGAGCAGGATGACGGGGACGCCAGTGTGTCAAAGAGGATCAGATCTGAGCCCCTGATATTTGTATCTTTGCAGTTTTGATCCACTGAACAGATGAACGGGTTTGCTGAGACAGGACTGTTGATGTAATTCAGGGAGGGTTTCGGGGCCACCCCTGTCCATTCTCCTAAACCTCCAAACTCCCTGGACCCATCCTCATACCCTTCCTCCAGACTGTCAATCATCCCACTGTCGCTAAGACAAGAGTTCCTGAAGTTGACCGGCTGGACGTAAGCGGCTGGGATGTAACCCATCTCTGTGTTGTTGTGAGCGTACCACCACTCCCCACCTGATGTGTCCAGCACATAGAGGTGATCACCTTTGGAGAACTTCAGCGTTGTGAAGCTGCTCGGGCAATAATCCTTGATGGCAACCACTTCCTGTGCTGCTCCATAGGAGGCTGAGGTGTCCAGCCGCAAGGCACTTGGCGAAGGCACTGAAAAGGATGAGGATATCAGAACAATCACAATTTAATGATGGTCATTGTCTTGTCCTGATTGTCGAGTATCTGGAGGCTGAATTGGCCTCTTATATAAGTGCACTTGCTCACTGGCTGATTACTTAAAACACCACTATTATCTGTGCTTATCTCATCATCAGACTCAGACATAATGGATCAGATTCACTAACAATGAGATGGTACAGAAACCAGACACATAGGTTTGTCTCAAAATGAGTCAGAGGTTGAACCGTAAAACCAGACTGAAAAGAAGGAAGAAGTGAAAATGTTCCCCCCATGACAGAAAAACTTATTTTCCATCCTTCTTCATGCAATTTTTTTTCAGACCAGTAGGTAAATATCTGAGCAGATGAACTGCATAATTTAATGCATAATTTACTATTTTTAGTCCACCTCATTAGCGTATATGGAGCATGTAAGTAAAGCTGTAATGAAGTGCAACCAGTGAAGTGAAAGAGCCAAAGAAAGAAAAAATAAATCAGTTACATAAAACTGAAGCGATGAAAAGAGGAAAATGGACGTTATTTCTTGATAAAATGATAAAACCGTTTCAGAGCATGTTTTTTTTTCTCCCAGGTAATTGAAAAATACTTAAACTGGTGGAACTGACCTTTAACATCATTGAGACTGGCTCCAGTGACCCCTTCGCTGAGGTCGATGAGCGTCCCCTCAGATTTACAGCGAGGGAGGATAAGGTTGTTGTTAGTCACTCGGATGATTCGATGGGCAGCCATGGCCGGGTCTTACTGTAGCATCCTCTCATTGGCAGCTTTTCATCTGGACGGGAAACAAACAAAGGATTTCAGGATGGGAGAGATGAGCCAATTTTAAACACATCTGCATTCAGGCGTTCAGCTGATAATCAAATCTGAAGAGACTTCCTGAAGCACCGCAGCGAAAAAAGAGGCTTAATTTTCTAGATCAGTAGCACAGCTAGAGGATAGACAGGTTAAAACTGGTAAAGCAGAAAATAAGATTGATTAATGTCACTGCATTTTTGAAGGAAGTCAATATGAAAGATGTGCTTGGAAAAAAAGAGTGACTGCTGGCTGAAGAAGAGAGAGAGGTTTCTCTAAATCAATGCAAAGACCGTGAGCGCTGAGCTGGGAGAGAGAGAAAGAAAGATGTGATTCTGGGAAAGGGAACAATCGAATAGCAATGAAAGCAAAACAGATTTCATTTCTACGTGACAATGACAAATTTGAATGTCAGCAATATACTTTAAAAATAGGGAGAGGGAGTAGCATAAAGAGAAATGTCAATTCTGCATTTTGTAAACGCCTGAACAATACATTTCTGCAGGCTTTAGTTGTGTTTGAAAACCTCACACTCTAATCTGCGCTGCTCTCCTGGTTGGAGGCTTTATAAGATTTAAGGACCTGGCTGCAGGGATTTGCACCCATTCAGTAAAAAGAGCATTAGTGAAGTAGACCACTAATGTTTGGCAATAAGGCCCGGATTTCAGTGGGAGAAAAAAAATGGTGTTGCGAGTCAATGCTGAATCATGGTTTCCTCACTTTTGGTCAATGGCCAAACAAAACAAAAAAACCTAGATTTTTCTCACCACGTTGACTTTGACCGATTTAATTTGTTCAAGATATCAATGGAAATTTGAAAACAGAGGGGCAAATCCTAAAAAAGAAAGCAAAGAAAAGGAGGCAAGGCAGTTACATATGCTCTCCGACATTACGTCCCTGTGGTGAATCAATCATCTCTGCCTCTCTGACTGTATCTGCTTCTCCGTTCTCTGTGTTTTGACCGGTTACATCTCTGCTTGTGTCAACCAACTTTCCAATTTCCTCCTGAGAACTGAGCTGTGATTCAATTTGTGTATGAAAACACAAACTCAGCAGAGGACTGTGATCTGATTAGCGCGGCAGCAAGAGGCTGTTTTGCAGGAAAACATCGCTCCCTTCAGTCACATCAGACTTTATTATTCCTGCAGGATGGAGGGAGAGAGAGAGAGGCCACGTTTGCGTTTGCACCGTAATGACGGCAATTTAATCTGATTAAAGCAACATATGCTGGAGAGGCTGCCATGTTAATGCCTTTCAATTAGTTTCTTAATGAGAGCTGTAATATGTGAGGCTAAATATGCACATTAGACGCAGATGCAGGTGTTTGTTTTCATTTAACACAACACTGCAACACAACTTTATATGTCTGCTAATAGCACAGAGGAAAACAGGGATGTTTGATGTACAAATAAACCCTCTCCTTACACATCGGGAGGAAATGAAGAAAGAAACAAAATCTGGCCAATTACTTTTCATTTTCTCAAAGTTTCTGTGAGATCTTTCTGTACCACTTTACTCTAATTTAAGACAACAAATCACAGCGTCACAAACATCAGAGCCGAGACTGGAATAAGTAGAAATATAAAGCTGAATTTCTTTTCTTACTCTTGTGTAATATTTTGGCTGTGAGTCTTAAATTTTACCAGTTTGCATAAAGCCAATTTGAACTCAGACCTGGATAAGAAATCAACTTTCTGGAAATCAGGACTTTCAAGCTTCTGTCCTAACATGCATTTGAAATTTACACAGCTGTTCTGAAATCAGATGATTGTAAAAACTATAATGTGTGTGTTTGTAACACCAGCACAAAACCAGGTCAAATCGAGTTTCCACAGGAACTGCAGGAAGAAGAAAAAGCTTTTTTATAACTCTGGATCTTTAAACCAATTTTAGGTTGAGGTTATGATGAAAAATGACAGAGTTGCTTCAGGCTTTCTTGTGCTTTGTGCTGCGAAAACAAAGATGAAATGTTTCTTCTGAGCCCAACAGCTGAAGTCGACTCTTTCAGAAAGAGAAATGAACGGATATATGAACCTTGAGTCTCTTTTGCTTCAAAATGACAAAAGAAAGTTATGATTTCTGAGCACTTCTTCTCTGGAGGTCAAAATCTAGTGCAGAGATGCACCCTGGGATGTGGAGCTCTTGTTTAATGGTTGCATCTGTTCACCTGGGAGCTCCTGCTGAAAGCAAGTAAGACTCCTCAGACGTGACACTTCATTTTCCTACTCTTGTCGCCCCTTCGATAAATCCCCTCTCCTGATGGAAAATAAGCACTCAGCAGGCAGCTGGAGAGATTCTGTGATCAATACGAACCCAGCAGACAAAGACGCCTTTGATATAAAAACAAGGAGAGCGTCCCTGAATGCAGCAGGAGGTGAGGATGGATCTGATAGAAACAGATTGGAATAAAGAGAATCAAGAGTTGGAGGATGCGGTCCTTTGAGAAACGCAGTGGGAGATTCAGATCAGAGCCGAATGAAGATCCAAGATGAGCCTCCAGGAAGTCTTGGATTTTTCCCAAAATATTCCAAGATTGCAGAAGCAATTACAGAAAGTTAAACAAGACTATGATACCCTATGTGCAACCTTTAAGAGACATGACTTTTTACAGAAAGTGAATAAAAACACAAAGTTTGAGCAGCATCGGGGGAAATGAACTTCATTTTCCTTCATCTTAGCAGAGAAAAGTCAGGAGGAGAGGAAGGCTTTAAACCAAGTTTCCAGGGGCTGCAAAAAGGAAAAATGCTGCAGGGTTGGTGCGTTTGCTGAACATTTTTTCCTGTTTATGCATTAAAAGGGGAGCTGGTGAAATATTTTGCGTTATGAACTCATTTCAGTCGGGACGGGGACGCCGGGGAGTCGAAAGTTTAATTAGCCAAGAGTCGGTCGGTCCTAATCCCCGGATGACTGTTGCTGTAATAACCATTTTCATCAGACGAATGCCAGCAGAGTTTATCGCTTTTCCATCGCAGCTGTTTGAAATGAGCAGATTACAGGACGGAGGATGTGACCTGCCATGTGAAAACTATAAACCAGAATTATGGAGCATTCAATTAATCTGGAGACAAGGTCCCTGAATGAGCTCTCAAACAGGCAAAACACCAAAATCACAGTGAAGGACCCTGAACAGAAGATTCAGAAAATTCATTTTAAAGGCTTGTTAGCTGATTCTTCAAACGGTAAAACAACCCTAACCCTGAGCACTCTTACACTAAATCAAACTGAACTCTTCCTTCCTCATCTGTCAATCTAGAATAGAGGAATAATCCTTGTAAGCATGGTTATTTGTTAAACATGTTTCAGTCTATGAAAAGAGCTGCAACTTTCCTAGTCCCTTTGCTGTGCTCAGTAAAAAAGGTAAAAACATCAAAAATTCATCAGAAGTTTGACTTTAGCCTTCACTAAAGGTCAGCTCTGCAGCACTAATTCAGTCCTCACTTCAGGGACAGAAACACATTAAGGTTCGCTCCAGTCAGGTACAGATTTTGACGCTCTGTTGTGGCCCACAGCCATGCAGTTTTTCTCCCAGCATGCATTACGGCATGTGTCTAAGTCTGCAATGTTGCAGTATTGAATGAGAGAAGAAATGAACAAGGCTTCGGGGAAAGAACGTCCTTGAGAGTTTGTTAAACGCCTGTCAAAGTAAGAGCGCTCTTGTGTAATGAGGAGTTTTACCTCATATTTCTGTTGATTAATTTAATCCTGCAGAGGTTTGGAAATCATCCTCTTGGGGCCAGTGTTGAATGTTTTCTGAAATTCTGTGTAAATTCTGCAGGAGTACAGCCCTTCAAAATAAACTCATGCAAACTACACGTTTTATTGTCCCGCCAAAAGAAAAGCTGAAATAGAGCTGAGATTTTAGAAAGAAAATAAAAACCACATTTCATCCTTGAAGTCATTATTCTTTAGCATTACTATGATTTTATACAGATGCTGCAATCTGGGGTTTAAAGTGGTATACATGATGGACTCCAGAGCTTCAGACAAAATTCAGGAGCAAACCCATGTCTGTAGATGAAGAGGTAATTTTAATTTTACCTTTAAAGTCCAGGAGGAAATTATAAATGGCTAAAAGTGTGACTGTTTGGCATCTGGTCAAGTACATTATACTGCAGTGCTGCTCCTCTCTGACCGCCACTGTTCATCACCTGAGAAATTCACCGTAAAATATCACATTTGCTGGTCCCTTCTCTGGGGATGGATATCAGGAAAATGAGCCTGCTAAGTGCTCAGTTTTTAAAGCCAGTTTCACCTCCACGCCGAGGGAGACTCTTCAGCTGCTGACGCTTTGAGAAAAGAGGATGAAGCATTTGAACGCCTCGCAGGTCAACTTCAGGGCAGCGGGTAGTTAATTCACCATGATTGGAGATTCTAAAAGTGATCATTTGCATCCTGCGTCTCTGTCTTCAGCAGGAGAAACAGCTGAGTAGCAGTTCAAAATTCATTTATCGATAGATAATGAAAGAAAAGTGGATTGAAAATATATGAGATTAATAAATTTAGGGAGGTTTTAAAGCAGGAGATTGTCTCATTTCGCACTTTTATAACCCCATAGGGTTGCTGCTGTAATAATCCTGATAAATGAAGTAAGAACAGGACTCAGTGAAGTTTAATCAGTGCGACTAATGGGCTTAATGTGATGCAAACTTACATCATTTAAAGTAGTTCATACAGGACATTTATTTACGTAATGGTTGGTGTGGTGAGACGCCTCCTCAAAATACATCACACGCCACAGGTTGGGATGTATTTCAGCAGGAGTTGGCCTTGTTTATATGGATTTATGTCAAGAAAATTAATCCAATTTGTGCACACACCTTAAGACTTCAACTGAAGGACCAAAACAGAAAATGTGTTTCATTTTTATCACTTTATATCGTAATATAACCTTTTTCAGAGGCATGTTGATGTTGTAAGACTATTAAACCACTTCCTAGGACTACTTCCTACAAAACAAGCGTATGCTAAAGATGGGGTGAGATAATCATCTAAAATTGCAGTTGAAAAAATGCACAGATTGACACTGATCTTATAGTTTAGATCAGAAACATCCTTTGTCAACAAGTTATGAAACCCACGTTTGCAATAAGAATGTAAAACTATAATTTTTCAGCAGGAGAGAGAGACCAATAATCTGTTAATGTCTCAAAATGAGCAGGTATTTTATCAGCAGGAACTTAAGCTCTGAAAGAACCACAGGAGAAGTTACTAGAGGAGTATTTTGACTTTGGTGGCAGTATTTTACTCCAGATTGTGTGTGTGTGTTGTGATGAGTGTCCTTTAATTACAAAATGGAGAACACCTTCACACAGAAATCGATGACACGCTGGTTTTCAGGCTTAGTCTCAAGGGGGGAGGGAGGTGATGAGAGGATGAGAGGTGGAGCAACAAACAACAGAAGGTGTGTGTTATTGTGTGAAGCACAAATGATGCGTGTGTGTAGCTGGGGTCTTAAGTGTCACTTTTCCATCTGTGTGTGTGTAGAGAGCAGGAGAAGAGAAAGGGTCAGGAGAAAACTACAAAGAGGTAAGAGAGAGGAAGATGAGATAAGAGAGTGTAGAGGAGGAGGGGGAAATGAAGAGGAGGAAACATAGAAAAGTGTTGGAGGAGAGACTTGAAAAAGAGGCATGCAAGAAGAAAAGAGGAAGAGGAAGAGAAGAGGAAGATATGCTTTAAAAGAGAGAAATAGGGAAGAGATGAAAGGAAGGAGGAAGAAATAAAAAGGGAGTGAAAGGAGAGAAGGACCCAAGGGAGGAAGACTGGAGGAGGAACAGGTGATAAGAAAAGGGTAAGATAAAGGCAAAAAAAGGTTGAGGAGGAAAAGTGGCAGCTGGACAGATGATGAAGATTTAGAAGAAGGGTAGAGGAAGAGGAGGAGAGGCAGGAATCCATCTCATTAAACAGACTGTGCAGGCTGAGAGACAATGTGTGGGTCTGTCTGTGTTTTAAACCTTGAGGCTGCTGATAGAGAGGGAGGATTTTCAGCTTATCAGATGACCTTATTGGCAGAGCCGAGGAGGAGCGTGCACGCGTGTGGCACGCTTGCACGTGACAGTACATGCTAATTCATCTACTTGTCATTTTCTGTCTCCATCTGCTGCTGAGCTTTCCCTCTATGAGCGATCTGCATTTGTTTAGACAGATGAGGAATGGAAATCAACAGCAAAACTGAAGGGACTGGGACTTTCACTGAAATCTACTGTAACTTCAGTGGGTGACTGCAGGTGTATCACAAAATCAAAGTACGGTGGCCCTGAGGGGCAACTACGAAAACATTTCATAACTACTAAAAACATCTGACCGACAAAAGCTTTTCATTGAATACAAAAAAAATCATGTCAGTGCAAACACAAATAGTCCAGATGCAAATGTAAAAACAGCTCATTGAAAAAAAAAAGTCCTGTTTTGGGTTTTTCATAAAACACTTTCATGTTTTTTTATGTTTCTGTTATTTTCTGTACTATTGTACTATTTCAAACATTGTGAGTCTTTTGTGAAATATTTAATGATTTCTGCTAAATGTTCTTGCAATTATTTAAATGTTTGTACGGTTCACAGTTGGGGCCACCAGCATTTAGACGCCTAAAATAAAAATTAATAAAAACAGACAAGTCTTGACACTAGGCGGCACAAACTCAGAAAAACGCTTCATAACAGTATTACAGAGCAAAAACTGATTAACAATTATAATAATCCATCATCAGGAAATGCTCTAAAAAATCTAAAGGCTCATGACACAAAGTTATAAACTCACTGTCAATCAGAAAAGACACAATAAGGACTCACTACAGAGCACAAATGCTACAGAAAAACAGAAATACCACAAAAATACTACAGATTCTTTTTACCTGAATGAGGCCGAATTGCTTGTCTCACATTATTGTGCAAATGAGTTCAACAAGACAACAATATTTTTGCTTAAATCACCAATAGTGACTGTTTGGAATAAATTTGACAGTATTGTGGACGGAAATTCGTCTGAGATTACTTTGGACAAGTGCGTATTCAGATTACAACAGCGTTGTCACAGAAATACAGTTATTTGTCCTTTTATTGGAGCCAAAATCTTATTTTGTCTCTGTTCTACCGAAGTTGTTTAAAAGAAAAAACAAATTTATAAGTTTTGGCAGTAATTAGTTTAATTTAAGTAATGTTTTATAAATCAGCACGGGCTAGAGTTCAGCACAGTAATATCAAAGTAACACTGCTAAGATTTCTGCTAAGATAAGCCGGCTTCTTAACCGATCGTTGCTCCGCTAATTTAGCAAACAAAAGCAGCAAATAATGGCTTTAAAATATAAGTTGTGGTACTTCAGTATATATTCAACAGAAGGGTACACTGACCTCCGTCTGGCTGAACGCCCGGTCCCTTAGAGTAGGTGTAAAGTGATAGGAGGGTGAGCTGATGGAGAGCCTCTTTCTTCTTCGTCTTCTTTTTCTCGTGTTTTCTCTGGTCATTTGGGTTAAAAATTAAAACTACAGCAGGAAAGAAGTGTTTGAAGCTTTAGATAAGATGTAGTTTCCAGTCCGAGAAATTTTTTTTTCGGTGATTGATGAGCCAAAGGTCTGTTTCAGCCCGTGTCTGCTCCGGTCTGTCGGAGAACTGAGAGAGAGCTGCTCTGCTGGAGGAGGGTGCGTGACGTCAAAGAAAGGGGGCGGAGCCATACGTACACATTTGGGCTAGTTTGAATATTTTAATTTATGCTAAAGTTAAATTGAACTAAATTCTACTTTTTATCGTTTAACTTGTAATTTCATACATAAAACACTATTTTAAATGTTGGACTTTTGACCGCTTTCATAATAGTCTATGTGTATTATTACACTATTACACTTATACTACACTAATATTTTTGTCTCTAACTCGTGTATCTGCATATATTTCAAGATGTTGTGCATCCCTGCAAACCAACAAACTGAGTGTAAACAGAACTGTATTGATAATACAGCAAGCCAAAAAATAAGTGGTCTCCTATGGTCAACTTACCCCGTGTATGGGGTAAGTTGACCATAGGAGCGGGGTAAGTTGAGCTGTATCCCTACGACCCCCGTACTGTCCACCCCAGCCCTCCCTCACCGTCCCTCTCCCTAAATAACAGTCACTCACATTCATGAGTATTTCTGCCTATTATACACTATTCAACTGGTACAATAATTCTTTTTATTATTACTGCATATAACTGCTAAAAAGCTGTTTTGTAAAAAGCCATTTTAACTTGAGAATGTCTTTAAGTTATTCAGAACATTCACAGCTGTATCTCTGAAAAGAAAAAGTCAAACATTTAAACAATCTGAACTGAAACTCTGATCTTCTCATCAGACTCCTTTACTTTCTCAGTTACCCCAGAACTACTATGATGACCTTCACCCATGTGCTTCTAACCTTCACAGACTCCATAAATTGATACCCATCTCCTAAATATTTGGTCACATGATCAATTTCTTGACCCTTTGGCTCAACTTACCCCACTCTCTCCTACAATCTTTCAGTTGAGACCAACTTCTTGATTCAAATACAAAAAAATCTAAGGTAGTTCACTAATTAATAATTATTCATTGTACCTTGTTCTCTTGTTTTGTAGTTGAAATTACTGAAAAACAAGATAAACAGTATTTTTTTCCAGCTACTAAGGCACATGACTGCTGTAACCACAACAAAAATAAAAGAAAAACAGCATATGTGGACGTTGTTTGGTTTAATGAATGAAAAATCGGTTAAGGGGGTTTTCATCCCTCTAATGCACAGGGGAAACCTGTCATCACGTAATACATTAAATTTTACTGGAGGAGCACCTAATTTGGGTTTTTATGCTTTACATTTTAATCCGGCTGTTTGAAAAAACACTTGAATGGAGCATAAAAAGGCTGGATGAGTGTATATATGAAAAGGTTTCCTCTGAACTCCACGGAAAAAAGCACCAACATGGAGTAAAACAGCTTTCATCAGTCTAATAGACCTTCCGCTTTCATCTCATTGACAAAACCCACTCAGACGATCCGTCCTCCCTGCTGTGTAAAGCTGCTGTCAGAGCAGAGCGGGGAAAATGGTTCTGGAGCTGACAGTGACTCCAAAAGACGACAAATTGAAGACAAAATGACTCGAAATAAGCTGCAGTTTAGAAATGTTGCCCCTGAGAGGAAAATCGGGAGCAGATTTAGAGGATTTACAGATCTTTTATGGTCATTCCTCTCTTCTTTAAGTTTAGGTAGTTGTATTTTGCATTGATTATAGATGATATACCTCTATCTATTTAGACCCCCTGTTCAAAATATTAAAATCTATGGTTATAAGGCAGAAATTATGTGGTAAGGTGTTTAGGATTGTTGTATCCTAATGTAACGTACAGTAGTTTAACGAAACTGGTGTGATCTAAACCTAAACAGACTGTATAGACCTTTGTAAAAGTGCCATTAGTCATGTCCTTCGTCTGCTTCAGCCTAAAAGTCTTTTTTTTCTCTGCTTCGAGCCCATTAGATGTCAGAGGTTTGTATTGTCTGAAATGTTGGATTCAGTCAGAATTTAGTTTCTTTGACATGCTCGCTGTTTGAACTTAATAATGCACTTTGTATGCTCCCTAGTGAGACACATGTCACAGAGGAAATGGGCAGCCTTCACACTGGGCAGGTTTATTTTCAGGTGTTCTGATTTAGACACCAGTGACGGCAGTAAAAGAGTCACAGCTGTCACCCTGCATTCAGAAAGCCCTGACCTCGGTTACTTTCTTTGTGTCATGTGTCTGACAGAAACAGTCAAGTGTTCGACGAGCTCTACCTTTAAGTCCCACCCATCGGGATTCCTCACATTTTTTGAAACTCCCTGATTTCCAACAGTCTTTAAATGCATCATAACAAATCTGTCATTATGTATTTCAAGGTGATTCACTGCATCAAGAAAAAGCATCTTCAGTTCAAAGTTTCAAAGACAAAGTTTCAAAATCAGACCTCTGCAGCTGGATTAGCAGAGAGGCAGCATGTGTCGTCTTCCCCCTCAGTCATGCCTGAAGGAACTTTTAAAAGGCAGCATCCAAAGTTTGCTACAAGACAGCTAATTAGAGCAACAGCTGGAGAAAGGCAAACAGAGAGCCGATATTAAAATGCATCGTCCCACTAAATCATGTAAAAATGAGGTGCTGCTACAGATTTGTTTCATCAAAATGGGTCTAATTAATTCTTCAATTACCTCCCTTCCTCCATGTGGTGTTTTCGTGCCTGTTTCCTGCTTTTTCCTGCTTTTGATTTGTAGAACGTGGACTCCACTACATCAGGAGTCAAGGGTGAAAAATCCTCACTTTAAGGCTTCACTTTTCTGTCTTTTTGCTGTTGACTCATGACTTCCTCCTCCATTCAGCTCATGCTTCTGCATCAGACACAGACGTTTCACTCAAAGCAGTAGGATTTAAAAAGCATCCGGCATTTTTATATCTTTCTTTCTAGAGTTCGTGATGAATGTTAGAGCAGCTTTAGAAGAGAGAAAGCGGGTGATTTATCTGACCGGCCAGCACATGCTCGCTCTTATTTGCCACTGTCAGAGGCCGAGGGGGATATGATGGATATCGGAGAGACGACTTATAAAGTGATGAGAGATCAGTGCAGAATTTAGATATCTGTACAACTCAGACTGGCACTTTTGGAAAAGGATTTCTCAAATGTTTCTGCAATCCGCAAAAAGGTAGAGAGTTTTCAATAGTTGTTTTCTGTTAAATGAGCTGAATTTGCTTTTTGATAGAAGTTCGGATGGTTTTCGATAGTTGAAATTGGTTTCTGTTCCTCCTTCTTCTGCTGAAAGCTGGATATCCTGAATTTGATATCATGTTTTAAAGCATTTATTTGCAGTTTGTGTGAAAAGTTCAATCGTATCTGCATCATAAAACGGACTAATCCCGAAAATCTTGCAGAGAGTCATGACCCGATGCCTCCTGAGGAATTTGGCACAGAAAACTGTGAGTTTGTCTGGAAAAAGAAAATGTTTTCAGTTGAAAACGGTTCAGTTGAGAGCGTTGGCCGTTGCTGCCCCTAAGTTCAGCTCTCATAGAGGCTCAGACTGGATTTGACGCGTCTATTCATGAGGGCTGAATGGAAAACTGTGGGGCCTGAAAAAAGAGCCCTTCTTTTCTTTATGAAGGAGCCTCGATATCTGCCGGCTTGCTTTGCATCAGAATAACTCAGCACTTGCTTGTCAACCAGGTTGGTTATGGGAAGAGGAGACAGCAGGAATCTGGTTTATTTGGATGCTGCCTGAATGCAAACACAGGAATTCCTGAATAAGTGGAGAATTTCTTCTGAAAAAACCGAACATCAGCAACACTATAAAAGTGGTCAAAGACACACGCAGATGTACTAAAAAGGAACAATATTTCACTGCTGAAAGCATCAAAAACACTTCAGTGTGCAGTGAAGATCCATCCTCTGCTTCTTTTTGTTGCTTAAATCAAACAAACTCCAAACACTGGATGGAAAATTCATCTTCTCCTCCAGCACGGCGAGGCCCTGCTCACCATAAAATTGGAGAAAATCTCGAATTTCTCGAGAGGATGTGCTCCTTTTTTTTCTCCACTCCCAAGCTGATTTCTCTTTCTCTCACCTCCATCTGTCCGCTCACTCCATCTCCACTCTCGAGGCTGCACAACCTGTTCACGGGAAATTACTTATTCATCACTTCCTCGGCTGTAGCAGCGAGAAAAGGCCGCGGATTAGCTCGCTGTATCTTCAGGCAAACACACACTCCCAAACACACACACACACCTGAAATCTGCAGCCTCCTCTGTCCTTAGGCAGCAACTTTTTGGATTAAGTGTTAATTCTTTGTGATGAATGTAATGAATTTGCCATCATGCACTCAATAAATGACTGCAGTCATCCTCCAGAGGTGGTCAGTTTAGGGGAAGAAGCTGATTGCTGCAGCTTTTTCACGCTGATCTGAGATCTACATCGGCCTCTGAAGAAAGAGAGAAACCAGCTCTGACACGATAAAACTAAACGATGCTACTCTCTGAAGGGCAGCCTTCAAATCCTTAAATCTTCAAATCCCTGGTTACTAAATGATTACCATTTCACCGCCTGGATCCTTTGCACCGCAACATTCATCTTTGCCACTCTTATCCCCACAAACTTACAAAAAGAACGAGCAAGAGGGATTTCAAGTTTCCCTCAAGGACACTAAGATGAGATACGGGACGATAAACAGACGGTGATGATGTCTTCACTCACAGAATGGATGAACCAAGTTTTGGCAGCGGCTTCAAATGACGAAATTTATCTTGCAGGAGAAAATTAAAGGATGTGAGTTAGTGATAGGGTCAAATATTTTATAGCCTGATCAGTTCAAACTCACTTTTCACTTTGAATAGTTCCCCTTTAAATAGAGAGAGTAACCTTGTGAACGGAGATTTCAGGTGTGGATGATGTGTTTGATGGATGGAAGCACGCAGCTCTGCATTTATAAAAGCAGATGTGTTTAATCGTCTCTGTTTTATCGTCCAGGCTTTCAGGACTGGGTCGACATTTTAATTTTAGGAAAACTAAACTACTTTACTGTCAGTCAACCCTGGGAGTTTAAATGCCATCTTCCATCATGGTGGTCTGTGTTCTGCCTGTTTTTGCTCTCCGTACAAGCTGTTTTTGTAATGTGGACTCTTGATTTTGCAGCAGAATAAGAAGAGATCGCCACATTGATAACCCTGCCCTCTGTTCAGAAACACACTCTCTCGTCTTCCAGCTTCACAGATTTTTTTTTGTTATAAATGTTTGAGAAAAGTGGCAGCAGCTTGAGACGTCATCTCTAAAAGGTGAACTTCGTCTTTCAGCCTGTTCTCCGCTCAGGTCTGGGGTAATTACTTCGGCACACAGACAGATTTACAGCTCTACAGCGGGGCACTAAATCTCATCTGGAGCTTCACAAACGACAGCGGGCGATCGATCAATAAAGAGAGAGAGAGATACACAGAGCGCTCAGGTAATGTTAGTCCGCTCCATACGGCTGAATCCTCTGCAGGGTCTCCTTCTGTACAGTCATTATCCCTGAACCCTCACCAGCACCTATTTCAGTCCAACACCAATTACCCACAAACCCCTCTGTTCATCTGTGAGAGCTGGGAGAGCGTGAAAAGGTCTGAGATTTAACGGCTTTCTGCAGGAGTGAGCATTATTGTACTTCATAATTTAAGCTTATTAGCATACAGGTGATAAAAGGCTCATTTAAAGCTGTTAATTACAGGCAGACAGACAGGTGTGTCCACTTTTTGGCCATTAAAGAGACAATAAAACAAGATATAAAGTAGTAACTAAACTAGGGGGGTCATTTGTGAGGACATTTTTCCTTCAAAGATCTGGATTTTTCTGCAGATTTCATCCAATTAAAGTCGTTTATTCATGGAGAAAACTGAGAGGCCACTCCCTCCCCCGTCAATGTTCTGATCAATTCAGTATAGATTCGCCCTCTTTTAACACCATTATCCTCATCTCCTATTGAATGTTTTTTGGCCTTCATTTGCCCGAGCTCCTCCCCGTCGATCATAATTATCAGTAGTGATTGATGAAACTGGAGAGGAAACAAGACGCACACCCAGTCACTTTCAATGCAAGAGCAGGAAGTCAACAAAGTGGAGTCTGTGGGGCTTTTAAATAGGATGAGGAGTTTGGAGGGCCTCCTGAAGTCGAATAAATCTCATTCAGCTGAGTGAGTTTGTGAAGCACGGAAGGCTGACTGGAAAATAAAGCTCCATAAAAAGGTTAAACGGCTGTTTCACCTCTGGAACAAACACAACGGTTTGCTTAAATGAGTGAGCGACAGCAGACAGATGGAGATGTTTGGACAAAAGAGGGTGAAAAGTACAGAAGAGACAGAAACTTTGAGACTCTGGGGTCACTGAGGTCACACAAGTTCCTGAAAACTGCATTCTTCCTCATGCCTCATAACTCTCGTAGTTGAATCTCTCAGGCAATTGATTTCCCTCAGGCTTGAGGGTCTCACTCTCTAACTTTATTTACTTTATGTTAGATGGGATTCGTATCTTCAGAAAGTTTGAAACAGAACTTTTTATACTGTTTGTTACTCAAATTAAGCAAAAGTAGTCAGTAGTGTGAGTAAGTTTCCTGCAGTAGCTCAGAGTTCTGTTATTTGGGGGTGAAATGACAGAAATGGTCAAAGAAGGAGTCTAAAAGGATCTGAAAGTTGCTCATAATCCTTATTGGATTCCTCAACAGAATTAAAGAGGTGTTCACTTAAAGCCTAAACCCTCAGCTATCGTACTGTTTTCCATTCATGAGTATCAGCATGAATAAAAAACGACAAACTAAAGTGAGCTATGGCAATCAAAGGATTGAAATTCAGGGTAAACTCGACTCTGAGGTTAATATTATGTCAGTTTTCAGGATTTCTCTAAAAGCAGGAATATAATCCTGCTCCGTGTCGTGTTTGTTCCTCAGTTTGATAAAGAGGAACTCGTGGTCTCTGCACTAATCCTCTGCAGCCCGAGGCCGGGACGAGCCGGCCTCTCTGAGAGTTTGAGGCAAAGTGTTACGACCTGACGGGAGCTTAGTGTTCACCATATGGTGTTGTGGTTTTCAGGGGCCATTTCTGTGGGTGAGTGTGTGTGTGTGTGTGTGTGTGTGTGTGTGTGTGTGTGTGTGTGTGTGTGTGTGTGTGCGCGCGCGCACACAGGAGCGGTTTGGGGGAAAAGATTAGCTCTGTGGTCGCTGTCATGCTGTGTGCTCTGAACTCTCTGTAGAGGAAATTTTTATTGATTTGAATTCCTTCAGTTTGAAGTCTGGAACGTAAACCTGAGTTAAAGTTTAAGTTAAGCTAAAGTTAAGTCTAAGTTACAAATATAGTTATTGTTATTTTTTTTAGTTGTAGTTACATTACAGTTGAACGTTTGTGATAAAATTGAGTTTCTTGAATGAATTGAATGAATATTATTTTTTTGTTTTCTGTATTTAAAAGTTTTGTTTCAGCAGTTTTTGACACATTTAATGAAATATTTAAATTTTTTTCATTTGGTTAAATTATTCCTGTTTTTTATTTTAACCGTGGTTTATATTTTTCTATTTTTCATGTTTTTTTCTTCATGTCATGAAATCTTTTGGTGTCCTCCGGTTTTCCTTTTTTTGTTTCGTTAATTTTTTGGTGTTCAAGTCTGTAAATCTGAACTTTTGAAACATGGGACTCATTTCAGTGTCAGGTTCAACCCTGCAGTGATTGGGTTTTACCTCTGGGCTTGAAGGACCAGGGTTGACTCATCTGTTGCTGCAGGCCTGGACTCAATCTTTTCCTTCTTGACTCAGCTGAAACTCCTGTCAAAAGGAGAGACCCTGTGAGTCAGCACATCAGAGACGGTTTCATTCAGTAAAAAGTTCTTTAAAACTCTCTGTGGTTTCTTAGAAGTTTGGGGTTGACCTGTTGATCTGAGTCTGATTTAGAGGATAATGGTTTTCAGAAGTTTTTAGGGACATGAAAGTGATGCAGATAGTGTCACTGAGGGATATTATCAGCTGAATTTTCTTACTATAACATCACAGGCTCTCTCTGTGTCTCTGGTTCGGCTCAGACAGGTTCTTCTCTGTGACCTGAACATCTTCTGCTGTAACAGGGCAGATAAATCTGTCTTGTGGCCTCGCCGTCTGCTTACGAAGGAGGTCCAAACACAGTGTCGTACTCTTGTGTGATCCGTCTGCAGTCTGATTCACTTAATTAATTAACTAATGGGCTGAAAATAGATCAGATGACCCGGTCACCGTTTGACTGACGGAGTGGAGCGGGAGGTGGAGGACTCCGTCATCGAGGTAAAAACAGGACAGGGATGTTTGGCACAGCATGGATCGGACTATCTGCAGCGTTGCATCAGGATCCTTTAACGCTGTGAAAATGAAGGAAGAAGAGCTGTCCCTGCACACAACATGAGAGTGTGTGCAGGGAACCTGAATAATAACAACTGTTTAATTTGTTTGTTTGTTTGTTTAAAACTTTAAATTAGCTGAATAACATCGAGGAGTCCAGAAACCTGCAGGCTGACTGTGCTGTCAACAGGTTCATGCTAATTAGATTTAAATGAGTGGACGATAAGGGCCTGAAGGAGGGTCTGCTTTATTGCTTTGTTCCTCAGGCTCTCAGCTGAGTTAGTTAAACAGCCTCTACATTTTACACTAATGCAGGTGTGACGCTTTCTTTTTATCATCTCTTTCAATGAAATAATCATCAAATATACTCTGGCACTCTGCACACACGGACTGAGCTCTGAGGTACTTTCAGATGAACCCTGAAGCTACTTTTTTAATAGATTTTATTCATTAGAAAACACAGCTAATCCTCCAACACACAAAGTACTGAGTGGAATTAAATCTGACGAGGTCTAAAAATCTCAAGACTTTTCCCTCCAACTGTAAAAACTTACATTTTAACAATATAAAAGCATCTCGTAGATCTGAAGCATCAGTGTCAGACTAAACAGCCTGTGTTGATACTGTTGATGTTGTTGTTGTAGTGGGTTTGTGTGAATCACTACACCTTTATTTAGTCCACAGCCTGTTCATTCAGCCCTCTAAACCTGTTTATTGTCGTGTTTCCCGTCAGTCCAATTAGTCCAAACTGGAAGAGAGGAAGTGGATATGTAGGCCATCAGGTAAGTGTATGTGTGTGTGTGTGTGGAGGACAGAGCGCTCTGATGCAGGAGCCTCTAATCCAATGGAGAAGGGGGGGAGAGAGAGAGTGTGGACACAGCAGAGGATTATGGGATTAGAGATAGGGAAGATGTGACATGAGATGGCCACTCTGCAGCTGCAAAGCTCTGTGATGCTGGCATGTCTGCGGCTGCCATGGCAACAGGGGCAAGGACAGGTACTGATACTGTCTGGTGTGTTTTTCTGAGGGGTAAAGTGTCTCATAAAGTGCATTTGAAAACTCTAAATCTCTTGGACAGATTTTAAACTTCTCTACTGTTTGTACCTGTTGATCTCATTGTTACAGATAGATTCTTTAGATTCATAAAAAACTTGTTATTCGAGTAAAAATTGGTGTTAACAGCAGAAATCTGAGGAGTCTGAGACAGCAGCATGTCTAAAAGAAGAGAAACTGACTAAATTAAAGTCACTCATGGGTCTAAAAAAGCAGAATTTCCCTCCTTTCCACTCATAAAAACATCATTTTTCTGTCCTGACTGTTTAGCAGAGACATCCTATCCTCTGAGCTCCAGGCAACAACTGCTGACCTTCAAGAAAACCACCTGAGTGTCTCGATTGCAGCCATAACTCAAGGTAATGCCCTCCACAGAAACACTCACAGCCGCTCTGACCCTCAGAAAACTCTTTCCCGCCTCCTAATATCCACTTTATGGTGGTTTGTCGGCGGCCACGGCGTGAACAACCAAATGAGCCAGATGGGATTCAGGGTCTGAAGGGAGATTAAGGATGTGTCCAGATTACGCTGTGATCAGCAGCCAGAAACACTGACACCGTGCCAGGAGGTAATCCAGCCGAGGAGGATGGCAGCCAGGCCGGGCGCCACCGTGACGCCACTAGACAAGAAGTCAGCAGAGCTCCTGACACAGCAGGAGGGACAGCCTGTGATCTGCCTTTTATTTATTTTATTCATTATAGATTTTTAAAAGTGGGTGACACGACCTGCTGCATCCTCGAACATTATAAACAACTTTTGAAAAAATTAAGTGAGCATCAGTGACCATTTCCTGCTATTCCTCTTCATCCCAAACTGTCTTTCCTGACAAATACCCGTCATTTTGAAGATTGCTCCATATGTCCAAGGTCTTTAAGAAGCTAAGAGGTCAGAATTTGTGCTTTCCTCATCTGTTTCAAGTTTATATAAGTTAAACTTGAGTTTCTCTTTATTTTGGCGCACAGATTGACCTTTTTTAACATTTTCCACCAGAGAGACGATACTTTTATAAAAATAATTTGTCTGCTATTTGAGGAATTTCATGTGTTTGGTCAGTTAATGTTATGTCTGCTGAGGTCTTAAAGAATCCGGCTGTGAAATGCCAATTTATAAAATGAGTTTTTAATTTTCTTAAGGAGCATTTAAGGCTTCTTAAGTACCTCTTAATATGAACCACTTCTGTTATGAGTACCTTTAATAAACATAATCTTCCTTTGAATTCCTTTTTTTTGTCATTTTTGAAGAGAAGAATCACTTTCCAAGGCTCAGAGTGCAGTTAAAAAGCCTCTAATGATGATGTAGAGACAAAATTTAGTATTTTATATAAATGACTCAAGTTCAAAAACCAATTATATGAAATGTGAAAATTCAGATTAATGGGATTGATCTGATTAAATATATGTCAGTTTTAAGGGTTTGAATTTGAGTTTGGACTCTTGGAACTTAATAATGTTATGCATTGCTGCCATCTAATGGTGATTTTTGAGAACTACAAGCCCCAAAATGCCATTCTGTTGTTACTTCTGGCTTTTAAAGGCTTGTTGTTCTGCCCAGAGAGACTCTAGCAGAGATAAACAGGGTTATAATTAAAGTGTTAAAAATAACGAGGTCAAAGGTTGTAACACTCTGACTTTAAATAAGATTGACTTTCCGGCTTTAAAAACAGTCAAATAAACTGATTACACCAAGTAAAAAAAAAAAATGGACAAACCTGAAGTCTCGGTTCAGCACAAGCTGCCAGATCATGACTGGCAGCCTTTTTATGCCCAGCGGGAAGGATTGACTTGTTGCCAAGGCGACGGCTCAGCTCGGGGTCCCCAGGGCCGGACCGCAGGGACGCCTTGGCGGTTTGAGGACGCCGTCTCCCTGGACACGAAATCCTAAAAGGCGACACAACAGAGGAAGGAAAGAAAGAGGACGGTTCAGGAGAGTGTGAAAATCTACTGTGGTTGTCACTACAGATAAAGACTGTTCAGGACCTAAATTAACAGTTTTAGACTTTATCAGCTGTTTGCTTTCACTTAAACACGTCCCAGGACACTTGAAATATGGGAGTTTATTACAGCATCTGTAAAAAAATAACACGAGAGCAAAAAATACCCAAATGCACCAGTTTTCAAGGAGGCCAGAAAAAATGTTTTCAGTATCAAGAAATAATTACAACTTCCTATGCAAATATTTTAATCTAAATATAATATTCTATATTAGTAAACGCTGGAGAGGGTAGAGTGTGTCAAAATAAGAAGTACACAGGTCAAAACTGTGTGAGAAATCAGGGAAATAAGATTTGAATGAGCTGGCAGTCAAAATTCTCTGAATAGAAGTGATGCTGTGTCAGATTTAGGGCTTGATAAACTCCGTACAGAAAGATAAGGTTATCGCTTGGAGGATCATTTATCTCCTGTCATATTTTTAACACAATAAAAACCCATTTTTCCCAATCAGATGTATGCAGCAGGAGTCAGACCTGAGGATAAATAAATCCGAATCGATGGATGTTTCCAGTATGTTCTGTCGTTTCTGCACACAGAGTTTCAGTGTTTGAAGAGACAAAGAGACGTCTGTTTTCTTCCTCGTGAGGAGTGAATTTATCTCCAAACAAAGACTCAGTTTATCATCTAATAAACGGCTCTGTTCTTGTTGCATATACAGAGAGCGGAGGGAGGTCAAAGGTCGCAGAGGGCGCCAAGTCATCCAGGGAATTCAGCACATTGTGCCAACAATCGACGCAGAAATACTGTAAGAAATAAAAGTCAGCAAGAGTCAAAATATTAAAACTTTTTTAGAAATAATTCCTGCAATCACCATGACGACAGTTCACCAAACCAGGGAAAATATTGAACACAAAAATACCGATCTATGAGAGGAAAGTCATCTTTTATTTGCTAATGTGTTAAAGTGAAACAAAAACTATGTTATAAAACTTTCTCTGATCTTAACATGATTTTGCTTTGATCTAAAAGCATCTCTTAAAAGGACTTTATGCTGCTCTGCTTAAAATAGATATTGTCTTTATTTTCGTCAGCTGCAGCACAGACACGTGCTCAAGTTTTTATACTTTAATAGTAAAAACTTGTTCATTGACAGTTATTTTATTAGAGGACGTTTCCTGCACAGATGTTTGCAACAGTTTAGCACCAAAAATAAAAACAGGAAACACCTGCTTCTCTCTAATCTTTTTTTCTTTTTGAATTTTCTGTTTTAATAAGTAAAGTCACAAAAGCCTTCCTCACACCCACATCCACAAAATTATTTTCCTAAATTCACGACCAAAAGGCCGTTAAGTCTTCTGTGATGCTCCAGAGGATCAACCTGTCCACTCTGACCAAACCTCACGTATATTTTGCCCTCAGATAAATTTGTTTTCAGCATTCAGGATTAGAAATCTGGCTCTGAAATGTCTGAACTCTGGCCTGTTTGTCCTCAGCAGATTTTCTACTCGGGCTGCAGGAGGGCACACGTCTGGCCAACTTCAGCAGAGAAAAGAAACGTCTTCATTAACATGCACGGCCAGACGCTTCCTCTGAAACCAGCTTTTGTGGCCTGGCAGATGCACGAACACAGCGAGGAGAGGCAGATGGGATCAAACAGTAAGGACAGAGGGATGGTTTACCGTGCAGTGATAAACGGACAGAGAAACAGAGAGAGGAGCTTACAGCTTCATGAGGCCACAGCTGCCTGAATTTGAGCTTTTGTTTGAGCTCTTTGAACGACTTCTGCTCTTTTATGGACTCCCTGAAATCCTGCAAAAGCTGCTCGATTACAAGTCCATGTAAACTCACTCAGTGCTGTGTTGCAAAGTCACTACAGAAGAAGACACAGTTTAGAGGGAGTCATGTTGAATGTCAAAAATAAAAAGTATCAGTTAATATAAAATGTGAATTTGTGACGATGCCGATCTCCCGTCCAATGGGATTCAGCACCTGTCCCCAGCACCAAAAAGACCATTTTACTGAGCTGAACCCCTAGAACCCCTAGAGAGTCTGAGGGATATTAATCACAGAAGAAGATGATGAACAGCCAACCAGCACCCTGAGGTACATTTTTCATGCATAAGGTAATTTGCAGACGATCCCTGCACACTCCGGTCACACTTATCTGTGAGTTTTAAGGGCAGGGTGATGATAATCAGGCTGTAACTCACCATCTACTTCACTACAGCATCTCCAATTATTAGAGTATTTGTTAAATGAACCAAAAAGGAGTCAAAGAAACTCTCAGAAATGTTTGATTGAATTTATGCTTCATGTAACCATGAATTCCAACATAAAGGAGATCTGCCTCTCGCTCTGTTGGGGTCTTATTGAAGCCCTGGTTGCTTTGATAGTGGCCCTCAACTGGTCTGTAATCTGGGGTTGGCTGTTTCTCATTGTCCTCTTGATAAATATGTACCTAAGGTTAATTTAGGATTCCCCTGAGTGAATAATGTTGGGAGATCTTGCAAAAGTTCCTCATGAATGTTTCTCAAGATAAACCCAAAAACATGTGTCTGAAGGAGCTCCCAGACCTGAGGACACTTATCATCATACACATCTGAAAGCAGAGTGTTGGTTCATGTGTTCAAACAGTTAAATCTTTGTCACACTCAGAGTCAGCAGGCCCATCAGCTCCCAGCCTCAGTGGAGTGAGGGGAGGAGGACGGAGCCGATTGGTCAGCAGTTTGAACGACAGGCTGGATGACCTCAGCGCTGCACCCACAGCACCACCACCACCGACACCGACACCAACCACATCAGCACCCTCCACCCTGCCGCAGTATAAATCCTGCTGTCCATCCTGCGGCTGCACTCTCTGCAGACTCATCTGACACAGCCTGCCTGAACTCCCACTGAGGTAAGGTCACCAGAGTTTATGATTCAGAGAGAACAAATCTGCATAAAACTTGAAATGAATACCAACAATGCTTCTTTAAAGGGATCAAATCCTGTTAATATTCAGTAAGTTTAGACTAAGGCTACTGTTGTGTGCCTGACATTGACTAAATACCACTTTTTGGTCATATTTATGTCTTAAAAACATTTAAAAAGTTTGAAATATATTAGATATTTGTGAACTCCTGTCATGAGTATTAAGAATGCACAGCACTGTTAGGTAAAGAGACGTCAAAGACAATCACTTTTATAGATTTTTGGCACAAATACATGAATTTGAACACTGTTAACCCTGAAGTACTTTTAAAAGAACTTAAAATAAACAGTCTTTACCTTTTAATCTTTGTTTTACCAAATATCTACAACCTGTAAAGTTTGAATTTCTTCAGATGATGTTGAGCAGAGTGTAAATTCTCTTTCTGCATCATTACAATCATCCTCAGAATTAAAAATTGACCATTTTCATGATTTTGTTTGGGCAGAAAACAAGTCAACTCTGAGAGGACCATGACTGACCTGGAAACCTCGATGGCGACCATCATTTCCGTCTTCCAGAAGTATTCGGGGCGAGAAGGCGACAAGCACAAGCTGAAGAAGAGCGAGCTGAAGGATCTGCTCCACGACGAGCTGCCGGAGCTGATGGGGGTGAGAAACAGAAACGCGTAAAGAGGTTAAAGGACAGAAAAGAGATTGAGGGAATTAAAACATCCAGGGAAGTTTACACCAAGTTTGAATAAAAAGAAATGAGGAAAAAATGAAGATACAGCTTATTCCAACAAGATTCAAAGTTTTATACCCACAATTGTAAGATATGATCTTGAGCACAGGTGATCATTTCCATGCTAAAGATGATAACTAAGAACTTGTGTGCACAATAAAAAGTGATCACCCTGCTGATATATTGTGAGCACACCAAAGTTACTTGTTCCAACTTTTACAGTTATCTGTTGCAAACACACACACACACACACAAAATAAAAAATAAAAAAACGATCCAGTTTGAGCACACAAATAATTATTCTGTGCCTAGAAGATCATCATTTAGATGACTCTTGGAGGTTTTGGATTGCTTTTTGTTGTGAATTTAAGTCAAGGTGAGCATGTCTGCTTTGTGATTAAAAAAAAAAGTCTGGTGGTTTTCTAAAAAGTTTGAGTCAAAGTTTTTCAGTACCAGAAGTGATCAGAGTTGTTGGAGATGAAGTACTTCAGTCAATGTTTGGAGTCTGTTGTCGTCTTTTTTTCACGTTAACCCCGTTATTCATCGCCCTGACGTCCTGTAAATGTCCTGATGTGAACCCTCTCCCCCCCTACAGCATGTGAAAGACCAGAGCACACTCGACAGTCTGATGGAGAGCCTCGACTCGGACGGTGACGCCGAGTGTGACTTCCAGGAGTTCATGACATTCATCTCCGTGGTTACTGTCTGTTGCCACGAGTTCTTCGAGCACGAGGACGAGTAAAGAGGAGGCGGAGGGGGAGCTACGGTAAATTAAGGAGGAGAAGAAGAAGCAGAGGAAGCCTAGCAACGCACAAACTGACGGTGCCTTCAGAGCAGTGGAGCAGGGTGGGAAAATACAACACCGGCCAGCAGCCAAAATGTTAGAGATGGCTGAAAACAGCTCAGTCTAGTGGTAACTTTAGCTCAAAAGCAAACTCCTTTAAGACTCCTGCTATTGTCAACTGAGTTTTAAAGAAATAGATAGTTTGAAAAAGAGTTTGGTGAAAGAGCAGCGTCATTTACAGACTTCAGAGTTAAAAAAAAAAAAATCTGCTTAGAGGCATAGAGGCACCTGTGTTCGATAAAGCGACCTTAACCATCAGATATTTAGAGTTAAACTATAACTTTAAGTTCATCTACTCTACATTAAATAATCTTTTAAAGCTTAGTTTTCAACTTTAATTCACTTCTCAACATTTAGGTTTAGCTATGAAGAAGTACGAGCATTTTAGATTAGGAGTCAAGGAGCAACTCAGAGGCCCCTTATTACCTGTTTGTAAAAATTAAAAAGAGTTTAAAAAGAGCTGAATTTAAATCAATCTGTAAATGATGTAAAAAATGATGCAAACAGATAATCAATCAGCGGTCATAGCTCTTCAGTTCACAGTAAACTAAGTCACATAAATGACATTTAAATTTTCCTCACTGATGTATAAAATTACGGGGAGTTTTTTTTCTTCTTTATCATAAGGAGGGTTTACAGCTCGATTTCAGGTGACTGGGGTGTCCCAACTGAGACAGCTGGGACAGTGGGTGGCCAGAGCTTCATACCAACAGAATCGAATAACATTTACCGGCATCCATCTCCTCCATCGACACAGACAACAACTGTTCATGTGTAATACAGCTCTTCCTGCAGTTTTAACTCTCTCAAAAGAAACTAATTAAGTTTTGCGGGGGACACCCCCTTTGGGCGTGTCCACAGAGACACCTCTTGCCGTCTCTTTGGACACGCCCCGGCTTCATGATACAGCTCACAAAACTTAATTTCGCTCTTTAAAAACCTCAGTTTAGCTACTGTCCGAAGCCCCGCCCTCTTTAGCTCTCCTGAAGCCTCCTCCACTGTTGGCATGTAACAGTCATCCTCAATGAGCTGAAGTGTGTTTCTAGGTTGTTTTGTTTTTGCCAATCAATCTGGTTTCTGTCACTATTTTCAAATGAAATTTAGATTGTATGTTTTGAAACAGTCAGATAATCACTGTAGACTTTGTAGACTTATGGTCGACTTCAGAGCCCATTTTGATAGAAAACCAACACCTCAAAGGCGTCTTGTGAAGAGTTTTGTTGACGATCAAATATTAGGTGTGATTTTAAATTGGTTCTGATTTTTAAAAAAAAATTAAATCATTGGATTGGCTAAAAAAGTCTCTTTAGTTTTCCTTTTCCTTTAGCTGCTAGTTCTGCAGAAAAACAATCTCAGACTGGAGTAATGATGTCAAATTAAAGTCTGGCTGTTGGATTTTCGTCATGTTTGTTTGTTTGTCTTCCATGTGTTACTTTGATTTTAACGTTTAGATTAAATGTCAGACAAGTTCTTTATTTTTAGCTTGTTTTCTCTTTTAAATACTTAATTTCCTCCATATTCAGACTAAATGTTATCAACAGTTCTTCAAGTCCTGATATATTTCAAACATGTAGCTCGGTGCTGAAATAATCATTAAGCTTTAGGACTGAGCAGTTATCTTTGTTAGAGTTTAGCAATATAATCCAGTCTGTTAGAGTACGAGAAGAAAATCAAAATTTAAAGTCAGTCACTTTTTTCTTCATGCAAATAAAATTTAAGAAATGTGTAAAAATGTTCCTCACAGCGCTCAGTAAAGAGGAGTTTGTTTAATTCTGTGTACTTTGAAATGCCAGTGACGAGATTTTGGATGTTGGTGATGTGAAATTCAATAAAATGTTAATGTGGGAACCTGAGTTTGTTTTGAAAAGGACAAGCAAATGCATGAAAAAAGATCTTCTACCTTTACTTTAGTATCCTCTGCAAGCTTCAAACTTGAACTTCCTGAGGATTCCTGAGAGTTTATAAATCCAACTTATAAAAGCCAATAATTAAGATAAGATGTTCCTTTAATAGTCTCACAGGGGGAAATTCCAAATCATCAAAAGACTTTATCAGAAATGCTTCTCGATTCTAAAGCATTCTGGGAAACGTAGGAAACCACGTGCAGAAGTCCAAACTCTTGCAAAATACTGAACTTGACCTACATTAGCTAAGAGGCTGAGAGATTATTCAGCACAGTAAGTGTACACACACATACACACACACGATCATCGTGTGTGTGTGTGTGTGTGTGTGTGATTGTGTGTGTTAACAGATGATGTAAGAGGCGTTGTCAGCTGCACAGTTTCGGACATCTGCAGACTGTTTAACATCAGAGAGGCGGAGCCTGCGTCTTGATTGGCCAGATAGGGAACAGATCCCGACCCAGGGGACTGACACCACACCCATCTGAGTATGTGTGTTTGTGTGCATGTGTGTGTGTGTGTATTGTGGGTGTGTGAGAGTTGTTCAGCATATGCTCTGTTGTGTTTCTTCTTCTTCTTGAAAGTGAATGAAGAGCAGCTTGCACAAACGTAGAAGTGGTGAGTTTTTGGGGTTGTTTCTTTCCCGATGATCATCGGCATTCGAGTCTTGTTTTGTTGAATTTTTGAATATTTCCATTGATTATTTATGAGCGACAGCTTTTGCAGTTTGTGTTCACTTTGTCACATGAAGTAATCCCTCAGAAATCTGCAGGTGAAGTCATGCATCCTGCTGGATACTCTGTATGTTCTTTGTTTTATCTGCTCTTTCATGTTGTATGTGTTTAAATAACTTCTGCAGCGTTAACTTCCTCAGACCAGGGAGAGAATTTCAGTTAAGAGTAAAAAACAGTATCATTTTCAGGACTGTTTGGTGAGAACAGAAGAAAAAAAAAGCTTTAAAATATATTAATGATCTTCAGTCTAAAGAAAGTTGCTCCTAAGTGTCTGAGATGAACTCTGACTCTTCAAATCGTGTTTTTGGAGTCTGGTCTTTACGCATAATCTTTGAAAAACAACCAAAAAAGGAGATGCAATATTCCTAAATTGTTTAGCAAATAACAAACTTAACTTCAATACACAAAACTTGAGAGCATGAAAACATGTTCAGGTACATTTGGCTCCATTTAGCGCCTAAATCCTGTGGAACTGCATCACTTTGGGTTTAAAGTTTAAAGGTGCAATGCGCGGTATTTAGGGTAATTTTCAGAACAGACTTGTTAGAAGTGGAATATTTAAAAGTCTGTTTAAGTTATTGTACTACCCTCTAAATAGATTTAAAAAATGTTGTTTTTATTTATAACAAGATTTTTATATCTACAAAGGACCGGGTCCCCTTCCATTTTGCATGTTTCTGGACAAACTAGCAACAAACACTTTTTGTTATTTACTGAGCAGCTGCATGAAATGCATGGGTTGGAAGAAGAAGAGAGGGTTGTTCCTCTAGTCTAGTCCTTTTAGATATCACTTAATATTCCCATTTCTACACACTGTACCTTTAAGCCATCACCCTCATTTTCTGCAGCAAATTTATCAAAGTCTGCAGACAACGCTGCAAAAAATCTGCAGTTTTAAAAAGGAAAGTCAAAATAACGTTTTTAAAAACAAACGCGTTTTAAATCTTTCCATGCTCTGCCATAATTTGTTCAATTTCTTCACAGTTTTCAGCACAGCCGGACGCCATCATGGATGTTTTTGTGACCAGTGTCCCTCCAGGGACTGCAGCTCCAGCTCCTCCGCCCGGGGACATCGTGACGAAGGGTGGGAAAAGATAAAACTCAAGTCTGCAAACTCTTAAGTGTGAATTAAGGGGTTAAACACTAACAGAGGGAGCTTAACTAAAGTTGGACTCATCATTACAAACTCAGATGCTGACTTGAACTTAAAGTAGCTTAAACTAAATCTTTAGTATGCTACAAGCTGACACAGTTATAATCTTATTTCTACAATATTTCCAAATGGATATTGTGCTTTAAACTGCCTGTGTATATATTTTACAGGATTAGATACGCACAGTTTTATACTGTGCTTTTTAGAGGGTTGTTTTGTCTTTACACAGTCAGCTAAAACTTTTGGTTTCATCTTTTGCTTTTCACTAAAACAAAGACAAAGTTTTGATTAAATTCTAAAGTTTCAGAAAAAACAAACAAACAAAAAAAAAACCTGAAGATCAGACTCAAAAAAAAAAAAAACTAAAAAAGGTCAAAATCCCTCCATTAACCTTCCAAAGACCACTTTGGTTGTCCTGGTGAGCCTTTGGAGGGGCCCCAGCCTCATGTTGGGAACCTTTAGAGGAGGAAGAATCCAGATCGGCCCTTAAAAACGTCTGACAGCTTTTTATACAAACAGATCAGAGTCGGCTGTTGTCTTTGGCCTCGCCGTGGAAACGAGGTCCAGCCGGTATCAGTGTGTCAGCTCTTATCTCCACGGTGACAGACCCTGGAGGCGTCACACTCACATACTCCTACCCATGATCCTCCCCTGAGTTGGGCTGATAAGACACTCCCTGAACACAGTGAAAGTACTAAAAATAAAGGGTGAAAACATTTCTTTGAGCGCAGAAAAACTTGACTTTAGTGGGACAAAGTTTTATTGGAGACATTTACTCCAAATTACACTTCAAGTTGACTTTGTCCCCAAGGTTTAAGCCCCGCCCCTCTGTGTCTGTCACCTCGTCTTTAAAATAGATCGAGGGTGTTTGAATACTTCACATGTTTGGATTCAGCTGCTGTGTGTACTCTGTCTCACTTCATGATGAGAAGTGAACACACGGGCGTGTCGGCTGCAGACTGAAAATGTCTGCAGCCTCACACAATGAAATTCAGTTTAAATCCATCATTTTTTGACACTTTCCAACATCTAAATACAGAATTTAGTCACAAAAAGATCCTAAGAGTATTATTTACATGAGTGACATGTTTTCAATGTTTACTTTACAGGTCCCAGCCCTGATAACTCAGATTTTGCAGCTGTAATCGGAGGTGAGAAATTAGATTTCTTTCTTTATTACATTTAGTGATGCAGCATGTAAGTGTCATGGTGTATTCAGCTACGCAGACATCTAGTTTTGCAACATAAATATCCTAATATTATACTGGTGTAACAGACAAAATAAAAACTGGTTCGTTTTTGGTATTTACATTGACCCTGAGGGATCAGCAGACCTCTAAAATTCAGTGAGTGCATACAGAATAAAAAATGAGACAGAACTCAGCTGTGCTGGTGTTTCTCCTCAGGTGTGGTCTCTGTGGTGGTGCTGCTCCTCATCCTCACCATCGCCCTGCTGCTGTGGTGTCTGTCTAGACATAAAGGCTCATACGTCACCAATGAGATGGATGAAGAAGATGATGTGGATGTGGATGAAGATGAGGATGAGTCTGTGGGCTCTGACACTGCGCTCCAAAGTAAGGAACCTCTGAAGACCAAAGAAGAAGAATAAAGGAGACAAACAGGAAACTTTGACAGACTTTGATTTCAGCTTTAGAGGACTGACAAGCGTTGAAACTTGATGACTTTTTTGAAAGTAAGTTCCTGAAGCTGCACAAAACGACTTTGCACATCGCTGCATTAAAACAGCAGCAAACTAAACTTTATTTTGGTGACAAAAATAAGACCAGACAGATCCACCACATTCAAAAATGAGAATTGACACATTTTTAATGTTGACTATTTTTCTGCTGAAACCTGTAATAAGACAAAAAAATTCCCATAGAGATTAAATAGTGACTAGAAAAGGCCAAAATATTAAACTAGTAAGTTTTTTAACTTTTTAAATGAGCTGGGGGTTTTTTCATTAATGATCACTTTTTTTCACCTTTTTCTGCTTCAAATCACGCTCCGATCCAAATAAGAGAGATGAACATTTCCAGATGAATCGCTGTTTATTTCACAAATTTAGCAACGAACCCCCAGTTTCTGCTTCACTTTAAGTTTAACCTGTCAGACTTTGTCCATGACTGCGGTTTAGATAAAGAAATCGTTCACAGGCGGCTTTCTCCACCTACAAACCTCACCTGTATCGTTTTACATTTACCAGGTAATTTACTCTGTTTCTTCTTCTTTTTATTAAAAGTGGCGGTAAAAAAAACACCCCTTTAGACCAGCTGCCGCCACCGTGTGGCAGTTTTACCGAATTACAGAGGAAATCAATGAGATCATTTAACTGTTGTATGATATAATCGTTTATTTTTTGTTTATTTTTTTATATACTATGTAGAAAATTCAACAAAAAATGGAAAATATGACTTGTTCCTGGTTAAATTTGTAATTTGTATTCTACTCTAAAAAATTCATAAGCTGACCTGGGTAAGGTATATGAAATTCAAATATTTTAAAAAGCTTAAAACACATTTTTAACAGTTAAATTTGTATCTCAATTCAGACAACTCATTTTTTTCTCTGTTCTATCCAGTTTTCAGAGATTATATTATAGTTGGAAATCTCTCACAGAGGTAATAGAAGAAAAGACTAGGAGGAGAACACTTTTATCATAAATATTTTCTTTCTACGTCTAGAAGGAGAAGAAGAATTTCAAGATTTTTGTAATAGCTAGTTTTTAGCCTTTTGCATTTTGTTCAGGTTTGATTTCTACTGACATTTTTGAGAGTAAAGTTTACACTTTTTTATAACAAAGTTGTTCATTCTTGTGTTTTTTCTTTTCCTTCCTGGCTGATTTAAACTAACTGCCCCATCTAGTGGTCAGAAAATGTACTATACTAAATCAGAAAACGACAACATTTTGCTTGTTTGGGTCTCCAAATAGAAGAAAAGATGCACAAAAATAAAATAAATCACACAATTTAAACATAAAGAAGTAGAAAACAAGAGAATTCAAAGAAACTTTGAGGCATTTTCAGCCGTTTTGATGCTTTGCTCTGCAAACTCAATGGTCTACTTTTATTTGCCTCTGATTTTCCTGATATTTTTGCTTAGCTTTATCTCTTTCACATTTGTGTTTTTATTCCTATACATTTGGTTGTTTTTACTCATATTTAAGCTATACATTCACCCACTTTTTTAGCCCCAAAAGCCTGCAGTAAAACCCTCCTGAATCTGTCTATAATACCATTAAATACCAGTAGATAGTGCAGTTGGACAAAACAATACTTTACTTACAAAACTAAAAACTTTGTGTTTCATGAATAATCAATAATATTCATGATCAGTCAGAGCTAAAAGGAGAAGAGAGAATAAAATGTAGAAAAATAAAAAGGTTTTTTTTAAAGTTTGGTCTCTGTCAAAGGATTATTTAATGGTGTTTGTTATGGGAAGAGCAGTTGACTTCATTAAATATTTAACCAGGTTCACAGCCGAGCAGCAGCAGCAGGGTAAATATAACCTGTCTGTGTCTGTGTGTGTTTATCGGCTCATAAAAGCTGCAAATTAAAACAGTCTGATGTTCATTAATGAACTGCCTTTACACACACACACCAGAGCAGCTGTCTGACTGCTTAGTAGGCAGAAAAAAAGTCACCCTGTAGGTGGTTTTAGAGACAAATATTATTGAAGTATGTTACCTTAACCAGCATTTAACAGCACATATTTATTTATAACTCAGGATTAAGTGAGGAGAATTGAGTGAGGGTTTTTTTTTTTTAGATGGAATCTTTTCATTTCAGGTATTAAATCACATATCCCAAACCAAACTGGGATAAACACAAAGCGATGATAAGGAGGTTAAAATGATTGGGCCTGCATGTTTGTGGAAAAAATATGACATTATGTGCAAATTCAATCAAATAAAAATAAAAATAGTCAACAAAATCATCACTTTTGAGGAACAATTCAAGTGTAAGAGCAGTTTTAAGCTGATAAAGCAGGCTGCACTGGTGCAATATGACAGCAAAAGCTTCACATCTCAGATGGAAGTGAATGACACACACAACTTTTCCAAAACTTTTAAAAGTGTAAAAAAACAAAAGTAGACAAAACTTCGTCGTCTTGCTTTTCTGCACTTTTCTAGAAGAACAAAATGTGTTGTTAGAGGATTAATATGTATATAACATACTTGAATATGAAGGTCAAAGTGATTTAAATAAAAAACACCATTCCAGATTACTGTAAAAGTGTGTTAAAGCTTTAAAAACAAACTCAAAACTGTATGTAAACAGTCCCATAATGACACATAAGTGTTTGAATGAGAATGCAAATAAAAACTTAGAAAACATGAGTCACGCTTTGGCGGTTTGACAAGACAAACTGTCTCCATGTGGAGCCGTTAACAGGAGGATTATGGGTGTCTTTGTGGCGGAGGTGAAGATATTGATTCTGATAATGAGAGGAGACTTTGTGATGAGCGCTGCAGCTTCAACAGGATGATGAGGGTGACGATGTCTGGATGCTTCCTGCAGGTGAAGCTGATTCTCTTAAACGTCCTGAAAACTGGCGAGGATTTGGAGGGTCTTTGACTTTTTTGACACCACCCACCCAGCTGCTGAAGTGCTGATGTTTGTTTTTCATAACCTTCTGCAGGCTGACTCACACAGGGTTCAGAGTGCACCTTTGAAGGTGAAGTGCTGTGATGGTTGATTAACTTTCAGTTTTATGAGCCCGTTTGTGACAACATCCCCGTTATTGGACGTCTGCTGAGAGCCGAGCAGGTGAGGAGGTTAAAAAAAAAAGTTCAAAGAGAAGACTTGGACCGCGTGAGGTTTTTTCCCCCTCTTCATCAGTCATAACTGCGTTCATTAAAAGCCCAAGACGTCAAAGAGGGAAGGTCTCAGAGCTCCACCAAGTAGGGAAATTTCTCATCTGACTCACAAAGTCAAAGTTTGTCAAATCAGTTGAAACAGCGAGCCCAGTTTCAGGAAGCCTCAAAAACAACAGCTCTGCAGCGGCCAAGGAAAGAATGAGCCCACAATGTTTGGAGGAAGAAATCAAAGAGATAAAATTCACTGAGAGTTTCCCTCGAGAGCTGAGTAATTTCTCAACAGTAACACCGACTTTTCCAGAGAGGAAGGGGGAAGTTTGGGAGTCGAGTTTCCCACAAGATCGTTACTGGAATGCGAAAATACGTCAAGTTTAACATGATTTATTCAACCTGCTATTGAGTCTGAAAAGACGACTCCAGTGAGACTGAGCAGGTCCGCTCTCAGTTCAGTTTTCCATAATTTTTCGGAGCTTTTATTATCTTTGTGCGAATGTTTGGTTTCATTTGGCCATGAGTGTAAACACGAGAAAGTCCTTCGAGGAAAGAGGAGAGAAGGAACTGTAAAATAAAACTTTCAATATTTTGTTTTTCTTATGATTTATGATAGTCTGAGTCTGGTTTAGTCACATTAAATACAATTTTACACATATTACAGTGAAAAAAAAAGTCAGCGTATTCATGTTCCTGGATTATTTTCAGCACAAAAGCTCCTCTGTGAGGCAAAATTCGAGAACGATAATAAGAAATTAAACCAGGAAAAACTGGCAGAACTGTTAAAACTGTTAACCTGTTTATTATGGAAGCTGGAGCAGGAAAGAAAAGATGCAAAAAAGTGACTGAGTAAAAAAAAAAGTTATAAAAGCTTACAAGGCCTTGAGAAAGCCCTGGAAAAAATGAAATTTCAAAGGTGTAACTGTTGCATAAATTTTGGCGATGTTCAAAGGTTTTTTTAAAAGTACTGGAAAAGTCCCAAAGAGTTATGAAATGAAAGTTATTCAAGAGCGGAGGAGGAGGAGAGATAGTTAAACCTCAGCTTTTATTTTGAAAGGGGTGACTGAGTTCATGGGAAGCCACCCTCATATTACTTCTAAGTGTGTGTGTGTAAGTATGTGTTTAAGTGTGTGTGTGTGTTTAACTTACAGAGTTTGCACAGTCATAGACCACAGCTCATATCAGTGTGTGCGTTTTGTAAGAAAATGTGTAAGTGTGTGTGTGTGTGTGTGTGGAAGTTAATCAGCCCCAGATGAGCAAAGAGAGGCTCAAGGAGCCAAGTCGCAGAGAGAGAGTGAATGTGTGTGTGTGTGTGTGTGTGTAACAGCAGTAATAACAGTCTGGGCTGGCGGGGTTGGACCCAGAGGCCAGCCCCCCGAAAACCCAAAAGCTCGGTCGGCGCACACACACACCCACACACACACACACACACACTGACAGCTGAAGTCACCACCTGAGAATGTGTGGACGGGACACGGGGGCCAGCGCAGCACCTTTGCGTGCAAACGCAGCCAGCGTGTGTGTGGGTGGTGGAAAAACGTCCAAATAAATTTACCTTGGAGCTGCTGCTCCGTTTCTCACAGGAGCTCCTTAAACTTCTCGTCTTAGCCGTCGTCTTACACAACATTTACTCTGTCTCATGTTAGGGTGAGTTTTTCAAGTCTTTCCTCCACTGAAATGACTGCAAACTTCCATTTATCCATGAAACAACCCGCTGATTGACTGATCTTTACACGTTTAGGAATCTTCTTTGAAATACTCGAGGTGTGTTTTCATGATACAGACTTCTCAACATGTTAAATGTTCAATGCATTGGGAGTTGGGTTGGGAATCGTAGGATATGGGCTGTAGATCATTGGAAAACTGCAGAAGCTCATTTAAAAACGAACCTGACAAATCAGAATCTGACACGATGCTCCACTGGAAAGAGGAGAGGGACCACCTGGCTTGTTCAAAGCCAGCATCCCTGACTGTATGGGGGTGCCTTAAGTGCCCATGGTATGGGTAGTTTAACACCAAAGCAGAATCCAACAGTGAGTCAAGGCGCTCAGGGATGGAGGTGACGGCTGCTGAAAGCTTTGTGTGAGCAATTTCCAGTAATGTTAGGAGCTTCAATCAAGAACTGAAACAGATCCAGAAAACGGCTGTCTTGGTTGGAGATATCTAAAGATTGATGGATATAAATGTGTATAGCTGATCAGTCCAGAGCTTTCTGGATTGTTTTGAACCTGTGTTGCTATGTGAGTGTTTGCCATATCTCTGTAAATGAGCTCAGTGAGTCAGAAATTATCCAAACGAACAGGAATGGCGACCAAAATCAACAAAATAACGGAGTTTTCCATTTGGTTCAAGTTCCATTTTCCAACTCAGCCCAGACATGGTTACCTGTTAGTCACCATGGAAACATCTCTGACAGCAGAGCAGAGAGTCACTTTGATTCAACCTCTTCTCAATCTAATGAGGAGAAAAGATTGGACTTTTGCTGTTTGGGTCCAAGGATTAAAACAGCTTTTCAGGAACACCCCACTTCTCTGGTTGACTTTCCATTTCACCAAAAACACCGGTTTTATTTTTCCAGACACTTTTATGTCAACCAGAGAATGAGTCCTCAAATATTCAGTGTCTGGAAAGAATGGCTACTGACGAAAACAATTCCGGTTAGTCACATACCAGGATGATGGATCGAAAGCTCTCCCAAATAAATACATGAAAACAAATCTCCACTTCCCAGGTCGACTCTGAGGTTTTTATTCAACCCCTATTTATCCAGGGAAGCGCTCGCCTTTCTCAACAATGCCGTGATTGGGTTTCATAAAGCTGTGCACATTATTATTAAAGAGCTGCCCAATGGGACCACAGCCCTCTTCTGTCAGCTACTGGGAGCTGCCCAGTATGAAACCACAGCCTGCTCCAGCACAGAGTTAATGGGAGGCAGCGTGTCTCCTTCAACGCTACAGCTGAGGTTAGAGAGCGGCGCTGCTCCGTTTCAATGTGCATAACTCCTGATCGGTAAAGACGGTAAAGCTGTCAGATAAATGTAGGGGGGTAGAAGTATGAAGTGGCATAAATATAAAAGACTCCAGTGAACTGCAAGAGCATGAAATTTGTCCGGCAAGAGGAAACGTCTGAAGTTACCCTGAGCTTGGTTATTGATGGCCAGTGAAGTGCGTGGGACGTCTAATATGAGAGGAATGAGGTGGGAGAGAGAAATATGTAACTCTTGAACATATTCCTCATAAATTCACTTGTTTGGGAGATTTTTTCTTCCACTCCTGGCTCGAGAACAAAAGCCTGAGGGGAGAGTTATCTCTCAGATAACCTCTAAAAGTTTTACGCTCCGAGTATGAAGAGTGTTTCTTTAACACGGCTTTCCAAGAAGTGCAGAGAGAGATGAAGAGATGGTTCTCTCTTGTTTGAAAGCACGAATTCCAGAAGTGCATCAAGTGCCACAATCGGAGACCACATCAGAATTTGCAGCAGTAGTTTGTTTTTGGTTTACTTTAAACAATGAACCTGTGACGAACTGAAGAGCTTTGCTTTAACTTAACTCTACTTAGAGCCAAAACTCTTGTGCATACATCAAGGAAACAAACTAAGACCAAGCATTTCTCTGCACTTATCCTTGACAAAGTGTTGGACTTAATGAAAACAGATGTGCAAAAATGCAAGAGCGCCAAATACTGGATGCAACCATGTGCACCTGCATGCAAAGAGAAAGCTGAGACAAAACTGTGCACGACTTCATACAATCCCTCCCCTACAGCAGATATGTCTTATTTTACTGCAGACGCTCTCTTTCAGGCTTTTATCAGTTCTTTATGGAGTGTTTTATTTCCTGCACAAATTCAAATTAGCAATAATTGGAGAGAAGGAAGAGAAAGCTGTAAACACTACATTTGATTTGTCTGCAGTTGGAGTAACCATTTGCAGATACATTTTTGTAAGAATAATAAAATGCTGAAAGTTTGCATGTTAAAAAAGTGGGAAAAGTCCCAGTTCTCGTTCCCATTTTATCGTCCCAGCTCATGCCAAAGGGATGACAGGCATCGAAAACAAGGCAGAGTAAAAAACCACAACAGCATTTTTTATTGTCATGCACTAAATTCTCCTCAAACCCAGCTTAACAAACAGAAATGTCCACCAGTAGGGAACAGATGGGTTAAATGAGCCAAGCGCATGACTTCCAGCAGTCTGTGTTCAATTCTGCCTCCAACATCAACGCTTCCTCAATTTTTGTTATGAGGAGTTGCAGTTTATTCAGCTGCATAGTTTGGTTGCTGTTGTTATTGAAATCTCTGTGTTTTTACTTTGTTTTGTGGGTTAGCTTGGTGAGGGTTCATGTGGGTCGTAGTAATGAGTCGAGTGCTTGTGTTTGTCTTCCTGCAGATGTTGAGGGGAATAAATGGAAGTCAACACCCGAGCCTTAATTTTCTGACTCCCTGCTGTAGGTGCGGTGTTCTTGTGTCCTAAGAAGGGGGCTCTTATTGTGAAAATAACATAACCCACAGGTTCCCCTTTGTTTGGAGAAAATTTAACAAGAGCTCACAAGTGGAGAAAACACGAGAAAGGACCTCTGAGGTGGAGAGAAATTTGTGGAGAAAAAAAAAAACCTCACAGGCAGAAAAGCATCCTCCTTAGAAAGTCACTGACAAGTCCTCGCACCCCTACTCGTCTTCAGATTCCCCCTCTGAATCTCATGAACTTTAATCATCTCCTGAGCAGCTCAGGATCGGAGGAGGAGAAGGAAGCTGTATTTACTCTTCTTCTGATTTGTGATCTCTCTTCACATCATCGCTGACAGGACGGCAGAAAAATGCTCCCACTTCAAATAGTCCTGAGGCCGACGTACAGACAGCTGCGTGGGCCGTCGAGCTGCCGCTAAGTCGTTTCTCATCTGGAGAGGTTCGACCTCGATGTGTAGTCGAGGGATTCTGAGGCAGGAGATATCATGGACGAATGAGGAGTTTTATTTTTAAAAAAATGCTTCACCTGCTTCTTGCAAGGGAGAGTGGCTGATTTAAATATATTCTCATACACTTCCATGGATTTAATCTTGCACATCTCCTACTTACTCCCACAAAAACATGTCCTGCAAAGGCAAATTAATGTGTGGCCATTTCACAGATTATTTGAATATCTGTAGAATATGATTTGCATGCAGCAAACATCAAAGGCACACCCAAAATCATATGCAGCAGCCTGCCTGATAACTTCCCCCCAAACAAACTGCTAACACACTCACCGTGCACCACAAAAGCTGCTTTTATTCAGTGCTAAAATTCAGCTGTGTGCACGAGGTAAAAATAGGAGCAGAGGTTTCCATTGGCTGCTGAGTTAAAAGTACAGGGTAGGAGGATGTCGGGTCAGAGGTCCAGATGCAATCATGAGCGGGAAACAACTGGCAGTCGATGAGATGTCGTCGTGGGAGGGCGGATCTTTATTTATATCCCTTTAGTCTGAAACAAGTAAACAGATCTGTGTGTTGCCTGATTATAATTTGGATTCTCTGAGCTAGAGCTTTCATAAATAGATGTGCTGTCGATCACGAAAGAGTCTGCAAATCCATCCGACTCTGAATTTTTTGGTTCAATTTGTTGAAGCAGTTTTGATAATTTGATCTGAACCTTTTGTTTTGAGTTTTTTTGGTTTCTTGAATGTTGGTGTGCTCTTGTTTGATTGAGGCTTCTTCCACACCGAGCCTGGTATTTGCTTAAACGGATATATTTGATACATTTTGGCCTGCCGTCCACAAGAAACCACAGGATTACGTCATTAAAAACTGTGGTTTTGGAAAACTCCAGCTTTTTCTTGACATCCGTCCTTTTAGTTTTGCGTACATACAGCTGTACTTAGAATTAACTAAAAGTGTTTATTTTTTTTAATTAGTTGAGTTTTTTTTTTATTTACTGATATCGCTTCCTTGGTGACGCAGTTAATCTTGACGCAGAAACTGGGTTTGGTTTCGATTTTGTGCATTTTTGGTAAACTCCCTTTCTAAATAATCTAATTACTTTCTTTATTTTATGTTCATTCACTGTTTTCAGAAGAATCACTGCTGTTTGATAGAAGATACAGATATTGCATACCCTAAATTCCAGCGTTGCAGCATCCTCCTTCCTGGTGATAGATAGTCTCCAGGACAGTCTCAGGTGAACTCTGAAGACTGATGTTCTTCTCTTGAAGTCTGGGACAGGGGATATTAATACTTCTTTCAGTTCATGTTTGAACCTTTGCCTTCCTGCATTTGATAAACTTGCATCTTAATAAAGACAAAAATGCCCCAAAAATAACTGAAAAATAATTCTTCATAGGGCTGGGCGACATGGGAAAAAGTTTATCACAATATATTTTTTCCATATCAGTCAATTTAGATACATATCACAATATTAAAAAATAACTAGTCAATCTAAAGTGTTCCCTGTTACTCTTAAATGAAATTTAACACGTACTCGACATAGTTTGCAGTGCACATTACTCTGCTTCATGTCTGACCTCAAAAAAACAAAATACCTCCACACCACTGACGTTTTCGTGCCAGTGTTGTTGATGATGTCGTTATCGTCAACTCCCCTTTTCATTGGCTATAGTCTACCAAAACTTGTCTTGTCCAACTTTTGGAGTGGGGTCTTCATTTTTCTAGAGCTTTTTTGCTTTGACTTCTCACCTTTGGCTTCAGTGGCGTCGAGCTAACTGGAATTTGTGACTGGACCAGACCGGACAGGAGAGGGTGTACGAGAAATGTTCTGCAAAAGACCACAAAAGAACTGTTCATACACCCAGAGATCACCAACAACAACAGCAACAACAACAACAACAACAACACAACAACAATCTGAGCGCTCGGGTCTGCGGGGAAAACAACTCATGACTCAACAGGTTGTTGAAAATTTCTCCTGCAAACACTTCAAAGTTTGAGGCAATACAGACATACTCAGAAATATGATGGTGATGTTATTGATTTAGCAGGCCTCCTGAGGCGCAGCGCAAATAAGACTAGTGGGTTTCTGTGTTTCACTGTGAGAAAGATGAGTGAGGAAGAAAGGGCTGCACATTACAACTGCTTTAACTACAGCCCAAAGAAGTCCTTATAGGACTACATAAAACTTTTTTTTTCAGTTTTACATCATGAAAAATTCTTTTTATTTGCAGCACACTCATGCCAAGTTAAATGACTTTTAAGATCTCCCCAAACCAACATTAAACAGCGAACAAGAAGAATAACATTCATCTAACCACAGCCAAACAACTCACCATGTTTACACATTAATACAAAAACAGACATAGCCTCTTAGAACCAAGATGCAAATTCAAACACAAGAGACCTCTTGGACAGTGGAAGTAAGCTTTACAAAACACTAGATTTCTGTAAGTTTGAATCTTTTAAGTTTGAAATTTCAGTTAGACAGCCCCAAACTCATAACGCAGACCAACAAACAGGCTGAAGATGTGGAAAAACTCAGAAACACACTAAACATCTCAAAGAAAGTATGAAAAGACATGACCAGGGGGTCAGGCTACAGAGCTCTGCCATGAGGCCCTCTCTGCCGCCAGATCTTCTCCACTGCGAGGCTTTGTTTTCACCTGTATAATCAGGCGTATGTACTGTCGTGCAACTTTATTCTAAGTTCTTATTAATGTGTATCGTACTTGGCACAAGTTGACTGACTTGCACACACACAGCGGATGTTTTGTTGTTCTGGAAAAATTGTCTTAAAATACTAAAGAAAGAGGATGTTGAATAGCTGAGGTGACTAATAACTCTGGATGCTGTGAACACTTTCTTTTCAGCAGGGGGTGACTACTAGTATAAAGTATTATTTCTATTTTAATATTCATCTTTCAACTTAGCGGATTATTAATGACCACAGATATTTATTTAAGGATTATAGATGCTTTTTGTAAGATTATTCGACCTCTGCGGTCTAATCCTGTAGATAATGACTAATCTAGAAGTCATGAACACGGCTCAGAGTGACTCACCCTGTCAGCGATGGAACAGGGAAACAACAGAGGATGGCATCATCTGGGTTTACTGTCGGTCAGAGACAGTTGGTGGGTGAGGTGTTTTTTTTCTGCACTGATACAGAAACAGATACAGATACTGATACAGAAACAGAGAAAACTAGGCATCAGAAAATGAAGTATAACAGAAGCTGGATCTCTTAAATTCAAACTGTGTCCTATCAGCGGTAAACATGCAGTGAAAGCATCTTATAAAATCAATAAAACTAGCAGTAAATAGAAAATGAGGTCTCCACTAAAAAGCCACAAACTCCCCAAATATGCAGACACCTTTCATAACATCAGCTCATATAAGAAAGAGGGAAAACTTCATCTCTGTGTCTGATTCTCTCCATGAATGTGTAATGGTTTATGCACAAGTTAATTTCATCAAGTGCCGGAAACAGAGTGAATAAGTGTGTCGTCCATTCCCCGGTTTCAAAAGGTCAAACTGGGGCAGGAAAGAGCTGGTTTAGAGTCACTGATCATGGCTGGAATAAAAAAGCATCAAGCTAAAATAAAAGCAGAAATAAATGAACAAGGAGCTGCTTTCACAAAAGAAACATGCGATCATCTATCAGGCAGAGAAACCTCATGAGTTCAATTTTACAGATTTATCACTTTGAACTTAGTGCACAAGTTCAAGAATCACACGCTCCACATTTTTATAAAGTGTCTTTGAACCACATCATGGTGCAGGAAAACAGAGGAGCATTTCAGGGCAGCATTGAACAAAGACTCTCAGCGGTGAATCAGGTCCTCTTTGTTTGAAATCTATCGCTCTAAAAGTTTGAACTTTTAGACACAACCCCAAACAAATAAGACTTAACCATCAGAATCAACCAAACACAAACAGGATAAAGCGTAAAACACTACTGGGTCCCTGTAATGGTTTTAAATTCTTTCCACAGTTCGATTCTCAAAGTCCTGATTTACATCCAAACTCGCCAACATCTGCCACCGATTTCCCAGAACTCTCCTGTCCCGGATACGACTATTAACCATCCTGCCGTGTCTCCTCTGGCTGTGTCACCGCTAACCAAGCTGTAGGATGGGCCACAGGTTCGAACCCTTCCAGACCGACCTGACATGGAAAATAACATGAGCGCAACAGGCCTGTAATTTCTCCTGACTCTGACCTTTAATCATATCTCGATCTGCGTCCTCCATCCCTGCGTCTGTCACTGAATCGATGCTAATTTGAGAGCTCATATGTCTGATGGCTTCCCATGTTTGGTGGCAAATTCTGGAGAGCTGAGGGAGAGCGAATGGAAACCTCGTCAGCCATCTGTGAAACCAGAAAACAGCCAAAGATGAGTCAGAAAGTTATACTTTTACAGGAATAAGTGAGGTTTAATCTGGATGTGACCAAAAATACGCAGACACCTGAACGGACGTGGAACCTGAACGTCGTTTCCAACAACAACACACTCTCTAAGGACCTCCATGTTAGTTTTTCAGGGCTAAGGAAAAAGTCTTTGTGCTCTCAATTATGACCTTTCTTCCTTTTGCTTTAACAAAAACAACAGCTTCCATGTGTTAAACCTCTGTTAGCGAACGTGTAATGAAGTTATAGACCAAACTATTGATTATAAAAAGTTCTGAAAAGTGACCCTACATCTGGAGGAGTTGCTGTTTTTCAGAGAGCGTTTTTTCTTTTTCAATGATCTTGAACCAAACTTCAGTCTAATAAAAGTGGCCTCTTTTACTTTGTAAATCAAATAAAGCACTTTACCGCTGTTTGATTTAATTGTTGCAAAGACATGGAAACTGAAAAACATGCAAATCAAATTTAGGATCAAGACAAAAGAAAGAAATATGCCAGCACACCGAGACCCAAACCCTGGTTGTCCTCCTCCGGATTTTAAAGGAGGCTCAGAAACCCTGATGGAGCAGAGGTTGACGAGTTGTTCTCAGAGTTTTGGGAGTTTGTGTTTACTGCTGTGTAAAAGCCACCTCTGCATGTCGCAGTAAAACACTGCAGCAGCCTGTGGTGGCTCGTTGGAAACTCACCACAGCACTGCAGCCGCTCTGCTGCTGCCAAATATAAAAAAGTGGTGGAGTTTAGTCATGGAGTATGCTAATGATGAGGAACAACGGCTGCTGGCATCCCAGCCCCTTCAGCTCTCTGTAGTTCAAGCTAAAGAGAAAAAGCAGGCAGGGATCTTGAAGCTGACTTGTTTAGATCAGAGAAAAAAAACGATTCACAAGCATTCTGTCAGCCAGAGACATCAGCAGCCATTATCCCTTTGAAAAGCACTATCATTTCATTTAATTACAGGCTATAAATCATTTAGCGGATGTCTCAATTAACTGCCAGGTCCTATTAGCATGTAGCGATCACAAAACCATTAAAACAGTCTCTGCAGGCACAAATCAAACTGTCAGATCCCTGAAAATCTCTCAAAAGCAGAAAGAGAAAAAGCTCCTTAAAAGCGTCTCGTAAAGAAAACAGTCTGCCAGCTCCGCAGGTCCGAGCCAAGCCGCATGAAGCCGGGGTGTATTTTAAACAAAGGTTGCATTTTAATAAGGCCAGAGGTGGCATATTGCAGATAGCTGTTGACTTATAAGTGCCGTGTTTGGCGTTAAACACAGCGTGCCGCCATGGCAACAAGGATGCCAACTGTTCCGTCTTCTGCCAGACTGCCTGGAACTGTTTGTATGCAAAGGAGACACAAATGAGAAGTAATTTTTAATTACAGGGAAGAAAAGGGGAATAAAAAAGCTTTTTATAAGACAGTTTATATAACTGCAGGTAGAATAATCAGCAGGAGCAGCCAGTAAAACCGCCAAACTGACGGCCTCATATTTCATCATAAGAATCTGATAGAGCCATTATGTTTGGTTTTTATTATCTGGCATTCAATCAGCAGTTTGACATCTTATAAAAGTCCTAACTCAAGTGACACTTTGTGCTTTTAACCTGCGTTTAAAACAGCGTCAAGTTTTTCTACTCTTCCCCAGATTATAATTTAGATTGTAATCTAGTTTCCTTCCTGAGAGATTGACAGTGGAGTATTTTATGTTTCACACACACTTTTAGCAGCAGTTAATTAAACTAGATTGTGTGCTGTCTGCAGCTTCTGTTCAGGAGGTTTTTTGTTGGTCTTTTGAGCTGCTCTGGTTTGAGTAGTTGTTGCAAGTTTGGCACATATTTATCCCCAGTGAGGTCCGCTAGAACTTGCAAATCTTGTGTGACTCTTGGTAGCAAATAAAATACAACAATTGTGTGCAACAATCTCTGGAGGAGGTCAACAGCTTGCAAAACTTGCACCAAAGACAACCTGAGGCATGTCCTGTTTAGCATTGAATTCATCTAAAGATACCTGAAGAGTTTGGCTGTTGGGATTTCTGTAACTATTTTTTGCATTTATGGCGTTTCTTTCTTTTTTTTTTTCATTCAGTTGCAGTTTTAAAGAAAACACCAAAGAGGACACTAAATCCTCTGTTGTTTATACATCAGCATTTTGAACAGCCTCTCCATTATAACAACTTAAGAGCACAACTGATTGTTTGGATTTGTGCTCTTCTGTTTCATGGTTTGTGTAAAATCTTGAAACCCAGGCTGATTTCTTCCTCTTTATCCTGAAACTGCAGCTCCAAACAGCTCAAATATCCCGCAGAGGATCAGAAACGCAGCTTTTGTTTCTTGCTCTTTCTCGTCATTATTTCCCTACAGAAGAATCTTAGTGCGTGACAACTCGTATTTACAACTGTGATGTTGGAATCGGCAGCAAGTTACACAACCTGAGCCGTCATGACAAGAAGTCAAATGAAAAATAACCAAAAAGTTCCAGTTTACATTTCAGCTGACAGATGTTTGGGGAGGAATATTGTGACTTCTGAGCTGCATTTCTGCTCTCTGAGGTTTGCTGATTTTGGTTCCTGACGTGTCGGAGCAAGTTACTCACCGAGAACAAAAACACAATGATATATCACCTGACATTTTCTTTATCAAACACAATGAACAATGCAGAAACCCTTCAAGTTCATGACCCCGTAAAACCTGGTTCACCTCACTCTGACAGAGCGTGGGAGGCACGGTGAGTGACTGCCAAACGGTCCAAACATTAAATAAATATGTACACACTTTCATGGTGTTACAATGTGATTTTAGCCAGCGCAGGCAGGGGGAGGCATCAAGAAAATACAGATATACCACACTGCAGAGTGACAAATTCACACTTCGACCTGCCAGAGTGTGTGTTCAGACCACGTGGACTGTAATTTGACTGATGGCAGACTTTGTTTTGAGCAGATGTGACAGCACAGCGCTGGGAAAATCTCCTAAATGTCAGAGTCGCAGTGAGAGCTTTTACTTTTGACCACCAGCTATTTCAAGGCCAAATAAACAGAGTTAGAGTTTCATAAGATGTGTTTAAAGTGGAGCACGGTCTGGATCTCCCTGAAGGACTGAGGCGGTGAAAGTCTGCTGAACCTGCTGCTCTGTCAGGAAGGAGACAAAATAATTCAATCAGAAAATACTTCATTAGTGCAATTCTGAATCCTTTATTTCATACAGGACTTTGGCACCTGTCAGATGGATTTACAGACAGACTCCTGTCAATAAAAGCCAAATGGGAGTCCTAGGGAGAGAAAATACTGGTGAGGAGGGAAAATATCCCTTTTATTTTAAGCTTTTATTGGATCTTAACTCAGAGAAAGACAATGTTCTAATTCAGCTTCCTGAAGTGGCATCAAAAGATGACAAACAGGAAAGATTTGAGTGAAGTTTATGACAGGTAAAAGCATGTGCACAGCAGACTCGCTAATTTTCACAATTTTCTTATAATATCAAGCATCAGTTCAAACTAATCCGCACTTTTCCGCATAAAATAGATTTTATTCCTCCTCAGATCACTTTTGCACCGATATTCTATGACCCCAAAGTTTGCACTGAGATAAATCCAAACAGCAGGCTGACCTTATTTAACAGTGTTTAATGCGCCTCCTGTGGACAAAGCAGTCTTTGCTCTTTATTGTCTTCTATACGGTTCTTAACACATTCATTTCCAATGGTATTTCATGCTGGCTGAGTTTTTCTTTGTTCTATCTTTTGAAATAAGTTTATTTTCTGATTGAATATTCCAAGTATTCTTTAAATATCTTGTTTTTGATCACCACTGATCATTATTTCTATTTTTCTTTTCATACTTTATGAAATAATATAGTTTCTATATTATTACATCAAGTTTACACACATGGGTCAAAAACGACCCATTCATCCAAGTGGGATTTAATATTGAATTACCTAACACTATAATAATAATTTGTTTCAAGTAATGAAATTAGCAGTGAGTGGGGCCAAACCATAGACTGTATATACCATGGACAACTTGGTTCCGCCTACCGCCTGTATACGGATTTGGAGCCAAAAAGCTCTCGGTATTTCCGGGACTTTTCTACATTTCTGAAACCAGAGCTGCGCAGTTGCGATGCGTGCATTTGGCCGCGCAGTCGCTGAGAGTCGCTGTGATGACGCTCGGCTCAAACAGCGTATCCCCCGGGAGAGCTACGCAATCCCTGAACGCCCATAGGCTGTATCAGGTGTCAATCATAGCAAACATAAACCCCTAATAACTTTTAAAAGCGGAGCTTCACAGAAAAAAGAGGACCTGAGCACAAACCAGTCTTACAGTAACTACATGTCAACATCACAAGCAGGGGGGGGTGGGGGTGGGGGGTGGGGGGGAATTTATGTTCTGTGTAATAGATTTCTAAAGTTTGTCCACAGCTCCATAAGGTTTGCTGGCGGAGGCGGGATTTATGACCTGTACTGCAGCCTGTAAACAGGGGGTGCTGTTCTCGGCTTCACCCAGCGAGGAGGCAGACTCTGTCCATTCTATATAAAGTCTATGGGCCCAACACTTTTGTATTTTGTATCAGCAACATGTTTATTTGTCATTTTGTCACATACACATGCGTCTGATTATAGCTAGCTGAAATAACGCTAGCTGTTTTACCTCTAACTGTGTAACTTTCCAACATGTAATGTCCTCACTCTCAAGGTAACCTAAACCTAATCAAATCAAATCTATGTACAATTATATTTCACAATTGTCATCCAATAATTTCTAAGATAATGTCAGAACAATTGAAAAACCATACTTACATGTATTAGACGGTCTTTTCATGCTAAATGCTACAGTCACTGTATGTGGGTCGTTTCTGACCCATGTATATAAACTTGATGTAGAAATACAAAATCTGTGCTTCCTCATAACGTAAGACAGGAAAAATAAAAATGATTATTTGTGCTCAACTAAAACAAGATCTTTACTGCATACTTGGAATAGTGAATGATAAAATTAATTTATGTCAAAGATATACCATAGAAACACTCAGCCATACATGAAATAACATTGAAAATGGATACGGGTCATTTTAGACCCATGTTGTGCATTAGAGGGGTAGTGATACAAAAACGGTTTTTATTCTAAAAGTAAAAAAATAAAAATTAACATAAGGATGTAGGGTCGTCAAAAACAAGTTAATTGAGGAATTCCTTGAGTACCGACTGATGGAATTCATTTTTTGAGAAGATATATAAAATTTAAACTCAGCCGGGTCTTTTTTGACCCATGTTGCGCATCAAAGGGTTAAAGGGATATTCCGGCGTAAAATTAAGTTAAGGTCAAACACACCACAACATCGAGTTAGACACCCCATCAAGAGATGAATGTTGCCAACTGCTTGCTTCTCTAGTTATACAAACTTTAGTAATGACCGCAGGATAGCAATACAGAGAGCCACGTGCTCAACCAAAACGCCACTCTATAGCCACAAGTACTGCTCAGAACAGCACCTAATTTCATCAAAAGTACATATAGGGTCCCAGCCATAGTACTAGCCAACAAACATCTTTTATAACTTTGCCTGATTTCTTTAGCAAAGAGACTAAACACAACTCACTTACTCTCTTCCAGAAGACGCTTGTTTGTACAGAGACCTCCGGGTGAGTCCATTTACTACAGCAGGGACAATCAAAAAACCAGGATTGTTTCTTTGGCTGCTCCGCTGACTCTTAATCTTGTCCCTGATGTTCTTGTTTGCTTTTGACTATAATGAAAACTCATTATTATGAAATTAAGTCTATTTCCTGAACATTAAAAAACCCTCACTGGAGCTTTAACCTTAGAATGTGATGTCCTACTGTAACCGGTGTGAATTTTTATCAGTGTTTATTCTGTGCAACAGAATGAAAAGGGAAACCTTCATTTCACATCCTTGGAGCCTGCCTCTGCTCCTAAACAGACAGAAACACAAGCTAGCATAACTAAATGAACATAAATTGGCGCGAGTTACGCTAAGCGGACAAAACACAAGAACGGTAACACTAAGGATGTTACATGAGTGAAAAGAAACTAAAAACTGTTACATAAACACACTACAAAAAAATAAAAGTACACATAAAATAAATAAATTGTGGAAAAATCAAAACTTAGTCACGGACACCTACCTCTTCCTAGAAGTTGGAAAAGTACGGAAACCAACGAAGAAGAAACTAACAGGAAGGGAGAAGCTGCACATTAAAATACATTAAATTCACAAAAATAAAAAGGTTTCAAAGTAAAACATAAAAAAACAGGTATAATTTTGGTAATTATATTTGAAATAATAATAATAATAATATACATTTAACCCTGTTGCACTACACCTCATGAAACTGAATGTGAACGTAAAACTGAAATCAACAACTTTTGAATCTCTTCTCCTGCTTTCACGGCTGGCCTTTATAGAAACTTTGAGGGACATTAAAGAGTCATGGTAGTCCTAGTTTTTATGTGAGCACAAGATAATAACTTTTGCACACATGATAAAAGATTGTGGGAACAATATAATTATTTTGTAAAAATATTTTGTTGGCACAGTTGTTCCCGTTAGATCATTTTTGTGTGTGCATAAACTTTTATCTTATTATCATGTGCTCCCGTGAAGTTATCTTGCGCAAACAAAAAATAATCTGTACATTTTCAAGAGTTTAAATCACGAACTCCCAAATCCATTTCCGCTTCTCAGATAACTTATACACAAAATATGAATTTGTCCTCAAATTATTATTATTATTATTATTATTATTATTATTATTATTATTATTATTATTATTATTATTATTATTATTATTATTGTAATTTAAAATGATTTGCATCGCAACAAAAACTGCTTTTTTTAAGGTCGACCCGGTTGGAATGCAATTTTCCATTCCTCCCCCCTCTGCGGTCTCGTTCTCGTTTGGCCCACATTTGCTCCACCTTAAATATTTCTGCTCTTGCTTTACAGTGACTTCTGCACACGCACACACACACACACACACACGCATACACGCTGCGTCGGGAGTGCGCAGCAGCAGAAGCAGCAGCAGCCTGTCAAATCACAACGGGGGTGACGCAGAGGCAGAGGACTTGAGCGAAACTCCTCCGAAGACTCATTTCGGCGTCTAAACGTGACTCGATTCCGATTATTCTGGTGTGAAAGTACTTCACAGTCGGGATTATGAGAAGTTGGGGTAGTTTACTCACGTCTGATGGACGTTTGGAGTAGATTAAGAACACAGAAGTTCGGGTTAGAAGCGTAAAGGCGCACGGACGAAAGGACGCGCAGTGGATATAACCGTGTCCGTCTGCGTCTGCATTCGTTTTCAACTTTCTTTTCGAGGAATGTGAGTTTTTCTGGACACCTTTGAACCCGTTTAGGTGAATACAAACCCGGGGGGTGAAAAAGCCACTTTTACAAACTTTGTGTGCCTTAAATTCAGCATGCTGGCGAACACGGCGCTGTACGCGGCGAAGAAACGGAAGAAGCCGGTCCAGAAAATGTAAGTCAACAAGTTTAAATGTACTTAAACCCCAGAAATGTTCCAGATGGAACCTGAAAAATAAGCCGTTTTAAGCAGTTGAAGCTCTTCCATACTTCCTCTGACTCTGAGTGACTCTGAACGCATTTTCAGTGACACTTCTGTACCTTTACTGCAACACTCGAGCCATTCTGCTCTTATAGAAACATGACTTCTGCTTTATGACTGAATTTATGCAGACTGTTACTCTTTCTACTTAAATATCACATATAGCATCACACATACATGACTGTGTTGGATGTTTTATTGCCTTTTAATGAGTTTTTTGCACGCACACAGGCAGCACTTGTAGCTCTGCACCAATACATTCTTTTTTCAAGGTGGTTACAGCTGTGCAAACATCTCCAGACTCATTCACACAGTGTGCATTACAGCCTGTCTAACACGGTTAGAAGAGTAGTGTAGTAAGTCATGCTCTGTGCCTCCAATAGTAGCTACATTGTCTTGAGCTGGATCCATGAGACCATAAAGTCTATTTTCCCTGCTTGTGGTTATGCAGCAGTGGCCGGCTAGACCGAAGTAATGTTTAGTGTTGGAGTCCAACAGCCCTGCAGGATTGTCCTGGTGGAAAATGAAGAAAAGTGTTGCTTCAGGATGATTTCAACCTAAAATTGAGGCGGCAGCAGAAAGATTAAACTCTGTTACTGTATGACTACATTATGTTTTTCTGCCTAATGACTCTTAAAGCTGGCAAAAATAAATCCTCACTTCACTCAAAATCATCATACCACCTTTGTACGATTAAATTTTTGTTTTTTAATTGAGTACGCATTAAAAAAACTCTTCTTTTCCTTTTGATTTGCCCTTATGGACCCCTGGAGTATGTAGTTTGAGAAAAAGTGGATTTTATTTGTTATTCCCGGAACAAAGAGTAGATTATGGTCACGTTTCTCTGTTGATAGTTATGTAGGATTTCTTTGGATGTTTCAGGACCTCTTCAGGAGTTCCTCAGGGAGCAAAAGCAGTCGGCATTTATCCTGGGTTGCCCCATAAACAGATTGTTATCGCTTCATATTGAAACCATTAATACGAGTTTCTATTCTTCCATGCTGGACTTTTGTGCATTTAGTGTCTTTAGAGAAAGATCAAAAACTCTTATATGTCTTTAAGAGTCTTGAGACAGAAGTAAAAGTGACAAAGGTCAAAGGTCAAACCCTTTGTCGACCTATAAACAACCAAGTATCACCATATTTCTCTGAGTAAACACCTGTCTGTGCTGAACAAGCCTCTGTAAGCCTCTCACGTACTCCAAATGAAACAGTCTAATTTTGACCCATTTAAGCAAATTCATTTCCAAGTTTTTATGATGAGTTATCACAGACTCTTCATGATAGCTTATGCGCCTAAAGAGGCTCTTTAAACAACCATTGGAAAACAAACCAAAGACCTTCAGTGGTGATCCAAAGAGGATGGTCACGGTCAGGCAGTTTATTGGATGCTATGAACAAGTTTTACTGATGTTTTTTAAAGCACAGTGATCAAATATTGTGTCACAGACCACTTGGAGTAGAGTAATCATGTTCGAGGAGTATGTAAGGAAGCTTTTGGGCGGATCAGATCAATTATTTTGGGCATAAATATGTTTTCAGGGGGAAAATATGCCAAAGTAATACATTATAGAGGGTGGAGTTGTAGGGCGCCCTCTATAGGAAACACCTCAAGGTGCATAGTCAAGACTGCAGGACCCTTTTGTCCATTTGGAGGGTGATCAATTCAGATTACATGGCCAGATCAATCACGATGATCGACTTGGTGATGCTGGACTGTACCTGGAAACACGAAAAACAGTCACTCCAACAGGTTGCTGCTGTTTCTCGCCAACTTCCTCCTTGTTTCTGTCTGTCGTGTTCGTCCCTCGATGATACATCATGATATGGTTTCACGTCGTCAGGTTCCCTCAATAATGGGATCAATTTACAGGACTCTCAGTTCCCAGAACCTTACATTTGACAGATGTATGTGTGCTCGTCTAACCTCAGTAGAAGACCCTTCAGGGAGACGCTCCAGAGCAGACATGGTTCAATACAGACGCTCCATCATGCATTACAGAACCCCTTAGGAAGGCTCCTCCTGGCCCATCAGGAAAGACGCCTTAGGCTTCAGTTTCAGTTTTAGCTTACATGGATTTCTTTAGTCCCATCGTGCTGGTCTGACTGTTTTGTGTTGTTGCCACCCTTGGCCTGGTCTCTCATGAAAAGAGGTCCTGAAACAGGATCAGTAAAGCTTCAACAGTACTGTTGACCATAATTCTCAAACCATGGTGCTGAAATCTCTGCGAAAAGATCTACTAATAGAAATATTCGGTGAGCTACAAACACTTCATTTAGACCCTCGCGGAGGAAATAATCAGTCTGAGGCGGTTTTGGAGAAGGATTAGACTGAAACGGTTGATCCTAGAGCTGCTTTCTTAGTGCTTAAAGTACACTTTAAGAAGTTTGTGGCATTACTGTGATTACTGGACCTTAAGTAGCTCTTTTTTCGTGTAGAAAAATGCTGAACTTCTGAATTTTAAGACTGGTTAGTGCTTTTAAACCCTTTTGTAAGAGATTCTGTGGGACATTTGTGATTGCTCTATCTTTGGTGCAGTTTCACAGAACTTTCCAGAAAAGCTTTGTGCTCAAATGGTTAATCCTCTCCTCCTCTAAAGAGCCCTTTCTTATCCTGAGAGCTGCTCTGTCCTCTCTGTCCTCTCGGTCCTCCTCACTGTGATTTTACCAGTTTGTGATTTTTTACTTTAACAAGCCAGACGGAGTGTTAACTGCTGCATACAGAACCACAGCCCCCGCTCACAGAACCACGGCAGAACCCTGCCAGAACCGCGGTCTGAGTGTGTGTGGTACTACCTGCATTAATCATAATCAGGACGTGGAGCGAGAGCGCTCTCACGCGATGTTTCCACGAGGGAGGAGGGAGGGAGGGAGGATGGCGTAATCTGAGACTCGCTCTGTTTTTTTTCTCCTCCTCCTCTGACTGCCACAACATACTTTTTTCCTGTCTTTCCTTCTGTCTCTCTGTGTGTTTTTTTGGGGGGTTGTTTCTTTCCTCCCTCCCTCAACACAAATTAACATAGTTCTGTGTCACGCAAACGGTTATGTAAGCCTGCCATGTTCTCCCGCCCGGATTTTTAGGAAAAGTTTCTCTCAGGGAGTTTATCTTTCTTTTTCCTTTTCTTTTTTTCCTCTGGAGTGAGTTATGAGTGAGAGAGAGAGCCTGTTTAACCCACAGTGGAGTCTCACAGCGCGCCCCGCGGCACTCCACCTTCATGTTTACATGCATTGTAAAAGTAGAACATTTAAATTTATGGTAATGTCTCTGCGTCTGTGTGTGTGCTTCACATAAGTCACGATTCAATCACAAAACATTTGATAGATTGGTGGACAGATGGCCAAAAATCAGCGGACACTAACATTATACTTGTGGGAGCTCTAATTCCCCAAATCCACGCCGCTGTAAAAGCCTCTCCTTCTTGATTTCAGGCTTTAAACCTTTTTCTTTTTGGATCTTGGCTGCAGGGATTTGCTCTTATGCAGCCACAAAAGCCTTAAATAGGGTCCAACCCTGATGTTGGAGGATAAAAAACCTGGCTCTCAGTTGGTGTTGGAAGAAGCTGAGGTCAAGGATCTGGTTACGTATTCCTGAATTTCAGCCTTTTTCTGATGCTGCAGACTTGTGAAGGTTTATGACAAGGAATGAATGGAGAGTCCTTTTCTAGGAGTAAAAAAACACATTTAAAAAACTCTGGTTGCAGTGTTAAAGAAAAATGAAACCCTTTGACTTCCTGCAGAGTGGTTATAATGACTGTCCCCGGCTCAGGACCATATCAAATGTTGATTGTAGGGTGTGCTCCCTCTTCACAATCAGCTAATGGAGTTCTTGTCCTTACACTAACTTTGCAACGTAATCTCTCTGACCCGGAGGCATCACAACGGCTCATGCTCAGAATGATAGCGACTAGATAAGAGCCTGAACTCTTTTCACACCTTATTCCTGCATCAGTAGTTGTTAGTTCATGATAGTGCAAATATAACCTTACATAGCTCACACTCCTTTTGTTTAAAGTAAATCACTTGTTGCCTCTTTTGGCTCAGGTGTTTGACTGAAAACACTGAACATCATGTTTGCTGTGTTCGTTTCTGCTTCGCTGCAGCTCGTCTGCAGATCTAAACTATGAGAATAAAAACCGTTCCATTTGTGTCAGAGTTTTATATTTATAAGGCAAATATGCTAAACTCACTGCTCATACCTCACTCTGATTCAGACCTACCAGCAAGGCCAGCTCAGGAAGGGCGACTGCCCTGCTTCGCTCTGCCACCGTCTCTCTGACCTACTTTTTTTGCAACTTGCAGCGCTGCAGCAACTGTCAGTGCATCCGAATTTCAAAAAATCTGTGATTTGTCTTGTGAAATGTGCCGGATGATAGAGTCAGAGTGGAATTCATATTGTTTTCGCTGTTTTGGTTTGTGTTGAAGCTTCTGTAAAAGATTATGTAGAAAGTTTATGCAGCTGAAGCACAAAGAAGTAAACACATGTAAGAAAGAATGAGACAGGACGGGGTTGAAAAAATGTCTCAGCGCTGCAACAGACTACTTAATTCAATTCCTACAAGTCCTGTAGAGCAGCAGCAGCATCCCTGCAGTTTAGTCCAGATTTTCAGAGAAATCAAAACCTCTGTTATCATCCTCCATCCAACTCAAAGTGCATTTTAGACATGCACTTTTAAAATGTCTGCATGATTAAGAGGAAAAGTAACTCTGCTAAAGTAGTGTCATGTCTCTTTTATTAATCTGCCTCCTTTCCCTCGACAAGTGTTGCTGCCAAAGAGTCAAAGAGGCTGGAGCTCGAGGCCAAACTGGTCAGGGGTAAAGTGGTCTGGTCTGGAGTAAACTAGTCTGGAATAAACAGTTTTTTGCTTTGTTTGTTTTGGTGGGATTTCGTCAGAGGTCACGCTGATGGATATGAGACTCTTATGACCCACATGTGATGGACGTCAGTCTGAAATCTCACTTCCTTAGATGTTATGACACCAGAGAAGGTACCGAACTGAGAGGCCGCTCCAATGGTTTTGTTGGCCCCTTAATCTCCTGTGCTTTTGGTTCAGAGGTTGGAAACTCTTTATTTTCAGCTTGCAGAGTTAACACAGATGAAACGTTTGAATGAAACATGGCATGCTGTTTAAGGTCATATCATCTTTATCACTTTAGTGAGTCCTCATTGCTCCCTGCTCTGTTTCCCATCTTGTCATGTTTAGCAATGTTTATTTGTAACAGACCAAATCTGTAAAACACAAAAATGTTCAATTTGCAGTAACTTTAATGGAAAAAACGGCAGATCTCACAGTTGCTGCGTTAACATTTCTGGTTATTTCTGCTAATCGGTACTTGTTTCACCTAAAATGTATAATTGATGATCTAAATGATTGCATTTTCTGATCATCAGCAACTTAAACTGGTGTTGCACCCTGCTACGCTCTCTAAAATTGTAGAAACAAACCAGGTAGATAGACATAAATCTGCATGAAGTCGAGTTTGAAAATGATACATGGCATATTGAGTATTGGTTCAAACTGTTGCCTCTCTCAGCTCTGTTATCGACTCTCTGGGTCTAAAATCGGTGCATCTGTATCATAACTCCCCGTGGGTCGGACTCCAGTTTCATATTTAGCTCCTTTTGTTCCTCGGAGGTGTCGCTGCCCTGACGAAGACAAAGTGCCTTTGTGAGTGTTTCTTTAAGTCCAACACCACCCCACACACACTCACCTTCACTCACACACTCATATATAAATCCACGCCCCTTCCAGGACTGATGGAGGAGATAAAGCGAGCAGAACCAACACTGGCCGCTCATTGTTCTTGTGCCGGCTGGAATGCAGCGATAGCCATCTCGGCCCGATTTCAGATATGTCGTGTTCAGGGGTATTATTGGAAGCAGATGTCTTATTTGGAGGAGGGGGAGGGTCCACATTTTACACATTTATGTTACAGTTACAGCTCAGACCGTCCGCTCACATGTTTCCCTGACACACTTCATCCTTCGAACATCTGGAAGAGGTCATCAGCTCGACAAGAAAGGGATTTAAAGTGTGAAATCAGACTTCTGCTTGGAGAAAAGTCCAGCTTCTCATGCCTTTTGGGTATTTTTGCACCAGACTGGTTGTTATATTTCATCTCAGATTGATGTATTTAGCAGTTTGGTTCAAACACACGTTGTTCTCTTAGAATTTCTGTCATTTTTTTAGGGTATAGGGGGTGAAATAATGCAAGTTTGTTGCAGAGGATAGTTGAAAAACTTTAATGTAAATTTTGCATATTACTTAAAGGTGGGGTAGACAGGATACCGTTAAAGAAGCATATTTTTCAATATAACGATATCGCTGTGTTTTGTTTTGTATGTGTAGTCGCCATTTTAATTTTTTTGAACAGTCCGCTCTTTCTGCCTCCCACAACATGATTGGTTATGAGGCGGAAGCTGCTCCTCAGTGCTGATTGGTTGTGAGGCAGACGTTGCTCTCTTGTGTTGTGAGGCACGCTCCATGTCCTCGATTAACGTTCAAGAGCCCAAACAAAGTTAGCGGTGCTACAATATTGGACAGTAGAAACCAACCAGAAGGACAGAAAATTGTCTGAATCCTCCTTTAGCCACGACTGCCAACACAAGCAAGAAAACAAAGTAAATACCAGAGACTCTGGCGGAATAACGGGCGCTTAAAAAGGAGGTAGACCACCCAGACAAGAAAAAAAGCCGGGTCAACGTCAATGAAGCTAGCATAAACGACGGGGGACGCTTTGGGATCTTCGTGACCCTGTAACCTTTCTGCTGGAGGTAAACCGCTTTAACAAAGTAAGCCAAGTGTCTGTAACAGAAGTGTTTCTTGTCAAACGGGACCTGCTGTGTGTCGTAGCGCCACTAAACTGTTGACCTCGGGTCCTGGACTATGTCACTTTATCCTAGTTGTAGAAGTCCTGCAAACTTTGTGTTTGCTGTTAGTCTGTTGGCATCTACAGTAGCACCAATTGTTTTTACTTTCACGTTGACTGGGCCCCATTTGTAATTATCTGAAGTATTTATCTGCATTATATCTGAATTGAATTGAAATAATACAAGCGAGCAGGAGCGTCTGTTTGTGGGCGGGGCTTGCTGGAGCAGAGAGGAAGGGGAGGAGCTGATTGGTTGGGAGGGGTATTGTTTTCATTCAAGATTTCTCCCAAAAACTGGCACTTCCTCAGATCCTGCCTACCCCACCTGCATTTAAAAAAGTTTAAAGCAGGCTTATAACTTTGAAAAGAAGACTCTAGTTGCCATGTTTATGTGTGTTGTGGTACACTACAACATGATAATCTCATTAAACTTGTGAAATTGAAGACGTTTCCTGCTTCTCAGCATCACTGGAGCCGGTCTTGACTTTTTGGAAGGATGTAAACTGTGAGATCTTGCACCCACCTTACATTTTTTGTCCATCTTTCATTTTTATTGGTTGACAGTTTGCAGCTTTTCCTCTGTGTATTTCTTGTTGCTTCAGCAGTTGAAGTCGGTCAATCATTTCTGCAAGGTCTGGCTGCAGATTGAGCAGCTTGAATGTTTGAGTAATCGTGAGGTTAAAGGGTCAAAGCCACAGTGCCTAGAAAGTATGAAGTTATGCAGGTGCACACACACACATACACACACACACACACACACACACACTGGCCTCACCTGACCTGAATCCCCAACGGCGTCATCAGCAGGAACATCTGAACCTGATTTAACTGGAGAAGCAGCAGACACGCAGCTGCTCTGAGGGACCTGTAACAGAGAGGTCACGGGTTCAATTCCCAAATCAACCAGATGCCACAGAGAAGATTCTGAGACCAGAGGCCTGTACTACGAAGCTGGATTTGATCTTAGGGAGATAACTTATGGAATAACTCCTGGGTTTTCGGTACGATGAAGGTGGATTTCTTTCTATCCAGGTCTGTTGCCCCGGCAACTTACGCGGAACACCAAACCTGCTCTGGAGCAGGTTATGTTTCAGGATAAGATCTCAGCAGGTATAAAAGACTGCCCACTGACCTATCAGATCTCTTGGAAAATGGCTTGCCCACTTGCCCCATAGCTTGCTTGGTTTAAATATTGTTGGAGTTATTTTAGGAAAAACTCATTTTAAATGTTCACTTCCTGAACCAAAAATGTTGAAAAAGAGCAAAAGCTGTCCAGAAAATAACATGAGAGTATGATGAAGATAGAAATTAGAAGTATGAAAACAGGAGTGTATTGTATTTTCACTCTCAGACAAAAACAAACCAGGTACCTGTCATCATGGATTAGCCAAATTCTCCTTTCTTTTCCATGCACCTTATCAGAAAACTGTTTCAGCCTCTATTACAGCACCTCTCTGCACCTTAATAGACTACAGTGCATCAATTTCATTTTATCCCTGAATACTCAGATAACTGCTAGATGAAACTGAGAAACTGAGAGGCTGCAGCTGCATAAAAGGCGAGTTAGACATGTATACAAGACCTTTAAAGTGTTTCTGCTTTTTCTCTAAAGATGAAGTGTCAGGATAAATCCCATAAATGATGCATGAAGCCCTTCAGAAACTCTTATGTGTTTTCTTCCAACAGAAAGCAGAAGTAAAGATGATTTACAGTTCATCTCTCAGTTCTGACTCCTACCACACATCCACAGAAATCTTTGTTTCCTCTCTGACATCAGTTTTCTGACTCTGACAGGAGTCTGCTGTTTTGTCTGACTGAGTCACAAACACGCAGGAAAAAGCAGTCAAGCTGTCCGCCGACCGTTTCTGTGTATTCACAGGTGACCTAATTTGAAATGAGAGGTGTTTGCAGGTTCAGTTTGAGGCGCTCCACAGCTTCACACCTTCTGTGTTAAAAAAATGAAAGCCTGTCTGTGCGGTGAACGTCTGGTTTGAGTTAAAGACGAGGAGCTGTCGGGTTTACTGCTGGTCACCAGAGTTCAGACACAGATACAGACCTGCAGCAGAGCCAGCGAGTCAGTGTGTTTACCTCCTCAGACCGAAACCAAACAACCGGACAGCCTCTCTCTCATTTAGCAACTTCACCTTTGTATACTTTATTTTAACCGCACAGATATGAATACAAACAGCTCCTGATGATGACAAGAAACAACACCACTGACATTTACAGTTAAATCAATGAGGTATGTGTGAAATGATGCAGGTGAAGTTTGGGAACTGACTTTTATTCTTATAATCAAGCAAGTTTCTCTGACTCAACAGTGTTAGTTTAGTAAAGAGGGTGGCGCCTCCATATTTTAATCTTAATTTCATCTGCGAATGTAAGTTTAACAAGTAGAGCATCTAGTAAGAAAACAATCACCTCTTTGAGTCCTTTAAGGACAACATCTAGAGCATCAGGAAACTCTAGATGCAGCTAAAAGAGCATTGGAATAAATAATCTGCATTAGTAATTAAGATGCACAAAAAAATCAACATCTTGACCTTCTCCGCTCTCATGGATGCAAAAGATTTTAGTTTTTTGGTGGTTTTCTGTAAACTAATGTGACCTGCTCACAGAGGTGAAATACTGCACACACTCTGTTAGTAGTGCAGTTAAATATGAGGTGATAAACAAGCTCTGCTGACCCGGTTGCCAGGGCAACAGCAGATGGAGCAGGCAGATTCGGCCTGTGAGGAGAGGAGGAGGAATAATCAGCCAAGTGTTTAGTACAAAACCACTTCATACCTGAACTTTAAGTGAGAGATGAAAGTGTGATGAGTGAGTGAGGTTTATTTATGTGAAATATATTCATCAGTCGCGTCTCTATGATGAGTTAAAAAAGAAAACAACAAGAGACGGCACCATAGGGCATGAACCTGAAAAAACAGGCGCTCCAGTCTGTGTCCTCTCTCTCTATCGTTTCTCTGTCTGCAATCTCTCTCCTTCTCTCCCCTGTTGTCATCTGTTGATCCCAGCTGCTGCAGCACTGATAGACGTCAGTACACAGGACATTTTTAGCCTCAAGTTTATTTGTAATACTCAACGGGACATCAGACTTTCTCTCTCTGGAGAAAACAACCATTTCAAGAATGTTGTCAGGTGTTTAAGGATCATTCTTAGGTTTAACTTTCTTTCTGCTCCTTTTCAGCCCCAAACCTCCGCCTCCTGATGGCGCCAAGTCAAACCCGTCCAAACGCCACCGAGACCGTCTCAACGGGGAGCTGGACAAGCTCACCAGCCTGCTGCCGTTCACAGAGGAGGTCCGCGCTCGGCTGGACAAACTGTCGGTGCTGCGCCTCAGCGTTGGATACCTGAAGGTCAAGAGCTTCTTCAACGGTGAGCGTCTGAATGGGGACACGTTTTCATTTCTGTTTATTTCAGTTCAGACAGGAATTCGACACGAGGAGCGACATCCTTAATCGGTGGCAGCTGGTGTGTGAGAGGATGTGATATTGCTGTGGGAACAGGATGCAGACAGAAACCTGTTGAATGATATTGTTTATTTTTGCTGTCGAACCCTGATCATGCCATGCTCTCTGAATCCTGGTGACAAGGTTGGACCACTTACCGAAATCCAGGCCTATTTTAGAAAACAAGATTCAGCACATTTTGGCAGTCCAGGTCCTGTAACTGAATAAGCTGTTGGATAATTTCCCTTTTTTCTTAACCTGTTTTGTCTTTAGGGCAACAAAATACGCGCTCAAAGCATCATCCTGAGGTTATTTAGGTCTTAAAGTTGGCGTTTTAAGTTTTAAATAATTGGAGAGATGTTATATTGATAAAACAGAGCTACAAGGCTGTAAAACTCAGGGGACTGAGAATTTTCTGTCCTAAATTCCTGCTCTATTTTGAAGATCTTATCCTCTAAATTTGAGCACTAACTGACACAGACTTCCAAGAAAAGTCAGAGAGGTGAGGTATCATCAGTCCTGAATTCTTGGGTAATAAAACAGCTCATATGCTGACTACGTCGGCTCGATCAGGATGCCTTTTTCGCTGGAATCAATCAGAGTTTTGTTTCGTAACAGTCCTGGAGGCCAAATGTGCCAGAAACCTCAGCCGCTGGCGAGTAATCAGTGAGTCACCGGCGTTGACTAATAACCTGATCAGACCCCTGCAGGTGTCTCTGTGGAGGATTTGTTCTCTTCGATGATAAAAATCTGCCCCTCTGCTTCTTTGAGCGTCTCAAATCTGCATGTTTTTAACGGTAAGTCAGCAGAGGCTCACCCTGTTGCCAAAGGAAACACTCAGCAGAGCTCATTTCTTTGGAGTCATCAATTATTTGGCAGCGTCGGTCACTAAGTGTCGGCTGAACAAATGCTTTTGGAGGCCCGGCGCGGGTCTGGTTTCTGTCAGACTACACCCGCAGTGATGGCCGAGGGCGTGAGCTCTCATTGGTCCATGTAGAGCTTTTTATTTCACAGGAGATCAGGACACGCTGACCCAGTTTGGAGGAATTCAACTGTCAGTGAAAGTCCAGTAAAGCCAGAGTGACACCTTTCTGCAACTGCTTTTTAAACCTTTTAAATTTCACGTTTTTGGGGGTTTTAGTCAAACTAAGACCTTTGAGAACATCATGGTGGAGTTTTTCAGATGGATCCATTAAACCTTGATATCCAAGGGCATCAGCAGGAGCAAAATGCAACACAGCGTAAACATGGATGCACATACGACTGTAAATAGAGAATCATGTAAAATCCTGCGTGCTAATATTGCTCTGAAAAGATGAGTTTTGCACAATTTTTCAAGCAAAATATGACGGTTGACTTCCAAAATACTTTAAATTAGTTAAATTTCTCTTCAGATGACATTGAAAAACTTTTTTGAATGGTTCCAGACAGGGAATAAAACAAATTTGGAGTCTTTATACAACAGAGATGGTAAAGATAGAAATAAGAAATGCACCAGAGATAAGAGGGGGTGATGGATAAGGTTTGCAGAGCTTAACTGCAGGAGAAAACATGAGAAAAGTTTAACCGAATCAGAAATCAGATTCTAACATGATGCAGGACCTGTCTTTGAGTATTGAAGGTTTTCAGAGTCTGGTCACATGACTCAAACAACTGATTTTATTGGAAATACTTTCCGTTTCTCTTCCTCCTGCTCGAAGAAACCTCCAGAAAAGACTATTTTTGTCCAAGTTCACTGTGCCTCTCCAAGCTTTCTCCCCCACCTCCCCTCACATCTTGGCAGCTGATCCGGCACCTTCCCCTCCCAGCGAGCCCCACCCATTTCCTGTGGTGGCCCCTGCAGCACCCCGGGGCCCCCTTTTTCCTTCAACTGTTCAGCCTTTTCCTCAGCAGCTCTGAAGTTCACAGCCCGCCTCTCCGCAATCCCCCGCCTCCCCCCACCTCAAACAAACGCTGCAGGAGTCCAGTTTGTTGTTACAGCGGGGAGGCCTGTTCGCACGGCAGGCCTGCACAGGGACAACTCGGGGCTTAATGCATTCATGAGAGTCTGCAGCGCACCGCCGTCCTGCTGCTTCAAAGCTGACGTTTACGCAGCATTTGAAGTGCATTGTGGTGCATGTGATTATCCACATTGAAAGCTCTTTTAAGTCCTCATTACTGCTGCTTTTGAGGTTTGACTTTTTCATGAGATAATAACAAGTCTCTTTGTCTACCTGCAGATGAATTCAGGAAGAAATACGGCCTTTGTCTGCTTTATATTAACCAGTCCTTGTCTGCTCTTTATGATCACCAGTTTTCTCAGCTCTGGCCTTGCTTACACCATCATACATTTCCCTTTTAAAGACGTGATAGACTTGTCTGGTTGCGATAGTGCAGGGGAAACGACTCGTATTTCTGAAATCAAGTGTGAAATTTATCAGTATGTGTCAGTCTTGCAGGAAACTCGCAACTCCTGACAGCTAAATTTGCACAAGTAGGAGTTGAAGCACAAAATTGAGCCAGTATATGAGTCACCAAGTCTTCCTCTCTGCGTCTCTTTCTGATAAAATCATACGACATTAACAGCAAGTTGATTAAATTGATGTTTAATATAGCAGTGATACTGAAACTTCACAGACTTTCACACACCCACATAAACCTCAGTCTGAGCTTTTCCCAAGATGGCATCTGGAAAATTTGATATGTTCTCAGTACAAAAGTCCAACACATTAAAAAGTATAATATTAAGATCATTAAATAAGTTTTTATTCACAGTTTAAAAGTTTAAAAAATGCCAAACAGCAGCCTGAAAGCTGCAGATCTGGGAGCTTTAGTTAAACCAGATCTCAGACGTGAAGGTTTCCTTTGTTTTCTCCTCCGTGAATCCGTCCACAGTCCTCCAACTGGGCTCTGTGCTGCTGAGGGTGTGTGTGTGTGTGTGTGTGTGTGTGTGTGTGTGTGTGTGTGTGTGTGTGTGTGTGTGTGTGTGTGTGTGTGTGTGTGTGTGTGTGTGTGTGGCCTCTGTGCCGTCCAGACGCTGATGGCTGCAGGAGTTCTTCAATTAGATTATTCTTCATGAGGAACTTGGACAAACCGCAGGACTGCCGAGGCTGAGAGAGTCCGCTGTGAGCCAACAAAGACCAGCATCCTCCACCGTCACAAAAAATCCACACAAACTTAACCATCTGACCGTCTTTATGCCTGATTCCTGTTGCATCATGGGACATTTTGGCGAGCAGAGGAGTCATTTTTTAACAGAGCCAATGGCGCTGATGGTGGAGATGGCGGCTGTGGTGAATCCCTCATTGTGATCGTAGTGCAACCAAAAAAAAACAGAGGCTGTCTGATGGTGAATTTCCCAGCATGCCTCTTTGTGAACAAAGATGACCCGGGAGTGCAAAGGCTCATTTGAAGGCCAGGCCGTCTGGTCGCTCTGGCAGGATGTGACTGAGAAAGAAGCACTGTGTGTCCGTCCTCCAGATCCAGATCCCTCCAGGCTGCGCCACAGGATGGACTCAGGGGCTGATGGGAAAAGCCTGAGGGTTCGATCCCATGGTCGCCGCTCACAACAACGGCTTTGTTCGACACTTTCTGAAGCAGGAACCGCTGAAGTGCAGACACAGTCCTCCAGTTTTTGTCCATCATGGTCTGTCTGTCTCTGCGGTCTTTGATTCTTTGACTCCAGGAAGAGAAAAAAGTGTCACTGCTAAAATTAGAAATAACGTGATCTCTTCATTTGTTCTGTTAGTGTCCATCCATATGAGAAACTGGCATATGACGGTACTGTCATGCAAAGTGCAGGGGCCTAAAAATACAGAGCAACAACCGGGAGATGCAAAAAAAAGGTCACAAAGATAGAGAGACACAACATTATGAGAAAATGCAGAAATACAAACACAAAAAAGCAAAATAACAGCAGAGGGACACAAACAGGAAACAAAACAACAACGAATCCAGAAAAAGCACAAAAGAACACAAAATCACTGTGACGAAAACAACCAAAAAGGTCCTGCTATGTTCGCAGAGACACAAAACAACTCGAGAAAAAGCACAAAATAACCCTGAAAAGAGACACAACTAACAAGAACTACCTACCGAGTCTGCAAATCAGGTATCTGAACCTTGGCCATGTGCTTTCCTCTTTACCCTGATGTCTGTGCATGAGTGAGTGTGTGTGTGTGTGTGTGTGAGTGAGTGTTTGAGCTTTTGCATGTTCACCACTCGAGTGCATTTTCCCTCCAGGGATTTCTTCTCCTGGAAAGTGACACAAAGTAACCAATAACCCATGAAAGATAGAACAAGGGCACAATTAACGCAAATTCACTATTTAAAATTAAGAGAGGGATCAAAAGTGGTAAAAAACCAACAAAAAAAATAATAACAAACGCAGTTTAAGAGAATAACCCGAAAGACTCAGACACACACATAATAACAAGACAGGATGCATAATAGCGGCAGAGAGACAATAGACATCCTGAAAGTTACAGAAAGATCCACAAAGAAAAATAAAACTGTCATCAGTTGATTCAACGCTCAACTAGAAAGATAAAATAAACCCAGAGAGGAAGAAACTAAGTTCAGAGAGATGCAAAATGACCTGAAAAGAAGAGCAGCAGGCTGGGATGTAAAGCAGGATTAAAGACGTCTGAGACGTCTATAAAGAGACAAGGAACAACTTAGACGATGTAAACGACATGCAAAGAAAGACGGTCTCTGTGTGTGCTTTCCCATAATCCTGCTTTGTTAGCGCTTTACATCCAAACTGAAGGATTACAACAGGAATAGTCGTGTGATTTCAAACATGAACTGGAGACAAAGCAGCTCTCTGTGAGGGAGGAGATGTTTACCCGGCTGAAACTCACCTGAGAGGTAACGACAGGTGTTAGGAGGATGTTTGTAATGAAAAAAAGACAAAAATCAAAGACAGGATGAGAAAATGTCAGCTGATGATCCATGTTTGGGTGTATTATTGAGCTTCCTGTGTGTGTTTGTGAGCGCTCTGGTGATTTTGAGGTTTTGTTGCTTTTTTCCAGTCTGGATGTGTTTTGTTTTTTCTATCTGAACTCTCATTGTTGCTGCTGATGATGAGGCCCCGGCAGAGCAGATTTCTGGCTGTGGAGAGTCGTAATTTGTGGTCTTATAATAGCTCGGCTGAACTTCCCTCCTCTGCCGGGCCTCAGGAAGCACACACACACACGCACACACACACACACACACACACTGGCGTACATGCCTGCGTACAGGCTTTTCTCTTTGTTACACATTCAGTATTTTCTTTCGCTCTGTTCATACGTTTTCCAGATGTGTTTGCAGCCTCAGAGAGGGAATGCTGGAGGTCGTTGAACTTTCTCTAGTTGAGCCACAGGACTCTAAGCATGACCTTTGACCTGTTTAATGGTCAGTGATGGAGATGCAGGGTTATGTGCAGCAAAGCCTGGAGGCCTCACAGGTTACATGTGTTTTTTTTTTCAGAGTGGGGCTGATGTTAGCAGAGATCGGTTATCAGGACTGTCTGCAAATGGTGTAAATAGTGGAAAAGTGAACATTTTGTGTGTGTGTGTGTGTGTGTTTGTTTGTTTGTTTGTTTGTTAAAAGACAAAAGCAATCGATAGTTTCTGTAATTGTCCACACATTTTGTTTGTGAAGAGAGTAGAGAGAGACACAACAAAAGTATGAGATTCCTCCTTTTTCGCTCTTAAACCGTATCTAAAAGTCTTCATACTGCAGCTTTTCACTGTAAAACGGCATGTTGGACGTTTCCTCCTCAAAAATTCACTTCAGAGTTTTAAAAAAGGAGCAGTAGACCTTTAAAACGTCAGTCTGACTATTATTAAGGATCTCTTTTATTGTAGAAATAGTTCATAAATTCAGGAATGATGGGAGCATTAGCTTCGTCTCCATTTCCTCCCTCTGCTGTTTTCCCTTCTTTTTGTCTGACAGGCTGATCCGAGGTGTCAGCAGACACAGTGCAGGGTCTGTGTTTTCTTCTTTTGGTTGTTTGTTCTGGTGTGTTCAAACACAGCGTGGACTTGTACCTGAAGATACGTCTGAGTCCTGCTGCATATCCTCCGTCTGGCAGGAGTCCCGAGCCGACTAACTGCCGTCAGGAAGCAGATGCTGGTTTTTCGTTTGGTGGGACCTGAGGCGAAACTGAAGGCCAGCTGCCGTGGAATCCGGCCGAGGGTTTGGGTCAGGGAAAGTTAGGGAAAGTGTTTTCCAGTTTTATTAAGTAGTGTCTGACTCTTACGGTCCTTGCAGGAGCTTGAGAGGCCTGTTGCTGCAGCGAGATGCAGATTTGTTTTTGTAGTTGATGTTTCTCTCTTTCTGTGTTTGAATAAAGAAATCGAGCGCGTCCGTTCCTACAGTGCAGAGGAAGAGGATAAAGTGAGAGAACTGGTTTGTGTCTGTGGAGTCTGAGCATCAATATTTGTATTGGCAAAAGAGAAAAAACCTGACGAGAGGCCTTGAAAACTGCGACAAACCAGTTCTGACAGCTCAGACAAAAGTGGACGAAAAACAGACGAGAAAAGAAAATAAAAGAAGAGAAGAGATAAGAGAAGTGACAATGAGCCTTTCACACAGCAGAGAGGTGTTAATGTAGCACACAGAGAATTGCTTTTGTTTGCTATCATTGTTGTGGAATGAGTCCTGGAATAGGTCCTGGAGAAGATCCTGGAAAAAGTCCAGCAAGCCTGATGAGATAACATCAGACCTGCAGACCCTCTGCTCTGAGGATCGCAGTCAAAACAGCAGACAGGCGGTCATGTAGGAACCTGCCCAGGCATCTGGGGAACACCACAGTGTGTGTGTGTGTGTGTGTGTGTGTGTGTGTGTGTGTGTGTGTGTGTGTGTGTGTGTGTGTGTGTGTGTGTGTGTGGATCTCTGGGTAATGTAGTCCTCAAACATATTGTTCTGTTGGGTAAAAGTCAAGCTGCTGCCGATGGTGGACAGACGTTCATTGACATCCTGCAGAGTGCCAGGGTCGTACATCTCCACATCCCTATGTCGCTGAGCCCCTTAAGTCGGTGCCAGGCATCACTAATCGATCACACATGTTCCTCTGTCCTATCAGTGACATCATCTGTCTCTGGTGGGCGCTCTTTGTTTCCGTGCCATGCTGTTGTTTCTGAGCTGTACTCCTTGTGCAGACAGCCTGGCTCTCTCTCTCTTTCATGTGCTCACTGACTAAACACTTACTCATCTTTTACCCAGCATGCTCCGCTCCTAACACAGAGTCCAGCTCCACCAGAGAGCGGTAGTCGTAGTAAAATCTGTTTATGTTTTTGTTTATTTCACTTGGGCAAGACTTCAGGTGAGCCTCGTAAAGATTTTTTTTTATCTCTGACATGCAAATTCGGTGTTTTGCATCCTTGTCTCGCTCAGCTGTCCTCACAGACCTCGCACAGACAGAATGACAAACACAGAGCGGTGAAAAACATGTTGTACCTGAGAGGAAGCAGCATGAGATGAGGTGTGTGTCTGTCAGCGAGAGCAGAAACACGCCTTCAGATTATCAGTCAAAGAGTCTGGGTCTGTGATCCTGACTGTAAAATGCAGATAAATGTTGAAAAACTGCTCAAAAAAGGCGACACAAGCTTCTCTCTTTCACTTGAACTTAAACCAGCCCATGTGCAAACTCTGCACAGAGGTCACAGTAGGCCAAACGGCGTTCGAGACGCCTTTCAGCAATGATAATAAGTCTGTTCAAGCTTGAACAGAGAGACAGTAATAACCCAAGAAACCACACGGCACATTTAACCAACACCAAAACCCAGCAGAGACTTCCTATTCAGTCTGTGCGAGTTTGTTTTTGTTTCACGCTCTCCACGCTTGGTGGTTAATGATGCTACAGCGGAGAAGTAATGACATGAATGAATGAAACGACAGATTTATAAAGAAATCAAACAGCAGGACAGACCCAAAGAGAGCCAAAGTCTCAGCTCAGAGGATTTCTGTTCAGACTGGAACTCACAGCACAGCTCCACGTGCTCCTTGGTAAATCGGGGGAAACCTGTAAAACACGTTGACTAATCTCTCCCCTGTGTCTTACAGGAAGTTATGTTTGTCAGAGGAAGTCAGGGCGGGAGGAAGCGCCCGGGGCAAAGTCGTGGCGGAGAGAAAAAGGTGTCTGCTAACCTCTGATCCAAACAAACGGGACTAATAGACGGGTGTTGTTGAAAAAGGACAGGACATGATGTGCTGTGAGTCTGCAGGCAGAGATGAAGTCCAGTATGAGGCTAAATTAGACCAGAAAAGATGGTGTGTGTAGTCTTGGCTAAAATCGGAGCACAGAAAGCCTGCAGGATTTCTCCCCAATCGAACCCGACAGCTGATTTCAATCTGGAGCCACTAATTAACAGAACGAGCCAAATGAGCCGCCGGTTGTGGTGAATCGTGGGCAGACACTCGCCCAGCTGCTGCACACGACTGCACTGCATGTCGCTGTCGATTTCCATATGTCCATCTGACAGTTTGTGATTGAAACCGTTGGTTGTTTCTCGGAGGCAGCAATCAGAGTTTTGAGGGATACTTTTCACCATTGTTCCCTCTCAAACTGGTGGGGTTTCCTGTGCAGCCTGCAGTCATGTCCCCACTCTGGGTCCAACAGTAAAGGTTGAGTTTAATGCGTTTCCTCAGAAGACCTCCAGAACAAAGGTTCCTTGAAACCAGAAGCTCTGATCTTCGCAGGAATTGACGTGTTTGTGAGCGATATCTGGAGCAGATATGAAACATTGACATAGCTAGGCAACTGTTGGCTGCGTCACCCTCTGACTAAATTTGTGACTAATTTGACCGCAGAATGAGATGGATAGAGATTATTCACATTACTGGTAATTAATGACAGCAGCAGGAATAGTTTCGGGGTCAGCAGCTGACACTCCAACAGGCTCCGATAAGCATGAAGTGATTTTAAAGGAAGATGACTCTTTGTTTTTTTCTTCGAAACTCTGACCACCCAGGATTCACACTCATCACCTCTCTGCAGAATCAGGGAACAATGAGTCAGGCAGTTTGAGCCTCTTAAAGTCAAATAAATAAAGTCAGATAAATATTTTCAAACACTTGTCTCAGAGTCAGGCTGAAAATAAATGACTCTCCTGGATTTACTGCAGGAATCTTCGGCTGTTTGCAGTGATTAATGATTTATTTAGGAGAGAAACGCTAAAAAGTTCTTCTGATGGTGGAAGATGAATCTCCACGTCTTCGTCAGAAAATAAGAAAAAATCCTCTCAGTCGAATCAGACGTTTCATGATCTCACTTTCCTCGGAGGAACAAGCTGCTTCCTGACTCCACTTCCTCTTTATTGACCCAAATCCTTGTCTCAGAGTCATCCCCCCTCTCTCTAGATAATCTGGGCCCTGATGATAGACGGCCCTTTTTATGTAACCGCAAGATCCAGCCAAGAGCTGCGATCGGTCAGAGACACAGACGTCCAGGGATGACGATAAGTCACAGAATAAAAGTTAGAGCAGAAGAAAGGGAGTGTTTCATTAATCCTCATCAGTGTCTTTGACTTTTAAATCATAGGTTTTATGTTTTGGTTTCTGCAGCCGATCTGTTTGAGATTTCTGACAAACTCAAAAATCTTCCACCTCCGAAAACTGGAGCAGAAAAATAACCTGAGCAAGAAAAATCTCATCTATAAACAATGCTGATGTTTCCTTTGATTGCAGTGGTTAAACCGTTTGTGTTTATTGTCATTACACATTACTTTCTGTAGCTTCTTAAAGCATGCATTAGATCCTAGATAACGTGCATCTTGCAGTCTTGACTGAAAGATTTTGCACGAACCAAAGTTTGTTTAAGGAGAGTTTCTGCAGAGCCACAAAGCTGCATTAGATAAAACAAAAGATGTAGTGCAACGGACTTTGATATGCAACAGAAACTCTGCAAAACTAATCCCTAAAAGAGCTGGAGGCAGGTGTTTTTGTTCGGCTCTTGATGTTAAAAAATAAGGGCTCAGCTTTCAGTCACAGGTGGATTTTGGTCTTTTCTGAGTCGTGAGAAGCCCTGACAGAAATAGATCCTGCATGTACGGATGACAGAGCTGCATCCAATCAACATGTGTTTTTGAAATCATCCAAATTAAACAGTAATCAGTCTTAACTTGAACCCACAGAGTCCATTACATAATAACACAGGGTCTAGAGTAAATATGACCTCATCTGAAGGGCTGCGAGCCACAACATGTGGGAAAGAAATGATCATGCAGCAAAAACAGGGTAACATATAAACCCTGAGATGATGCTGCTTTAGAGTCTCATGGATTCTGGCTGTTTTTCAGCAGACATTAGATTCAGCGTCACTTCAGCCTGTCAAAGTTTTCATGTTTCACAAATAAGTGAATGTTTGTTAGCTGGAAAAGCAATGACATTTTTATGCATGGAAACCAACGTGAACAGAAGTCCGTTTTTTGGCTTTTCTGCAGGGAAAGACTCCTGAATGATGAGTTTGTTTCTGTGGTGGATAAAAAACAGATTTTTATTTAGCTGTGATTATCTCCCTGCAGCTCAGTCCTCTGCTTTTTCTCCCCACAAAGACAAGCTGCTGAGTATTAAGATTAATTTTCTTTGCATGTGGTATGAAGCATCTTTGAAGAAACGTAATTTGATTTAAGAGGCCAGAGATGCGTTTAAATTCCCTAAATGTCGACCAGCAGCTGCTAAAGGTCACCACCTGTTTTTGCACTCTGTGATTTTTGCACACCCGAGACTCTTCAGAGCAGTAAATCTTAATTCAGCATGTGTGGAAACCAGTGGCTGCTAATGTGACTGGCTCATGTTTGTAAGACTGTATGGTGTTGGACGATCCACCCATAGCTGTCAAGTACCCAGCTCTGGCCGGGAAACTACCGTACTTTACTCCCTCTTTGGTTTCTGTGGTGTGTGTGTGTCGCCTATCTTGTATGGCAGCCAATCAGGAGAATGAGATGGCGTGGCGTAATTTGCATAAAAGTGACAGAGTTCAGTTTGGAGAGGCAGGATTTTTTTATTTACATATTTTATAATACAGAAGATTTAAGTGACAATACTAAAACGTGAAGATGGCGGTAAAGAGGGGTAAAATACGGTAGCTTCCCGGCCGCCAATTAGGGGTTCGTCCTCGTACTTCTTTTCCTCGCTTTTTGCTCGGTTAAGTTTTGGCAATTTTTTCTTGGTGTGTGGTGAGGTACGTAAGAAGCGTATAGTGTTAAGTGTTAAGTACTACTGTATTTAACCCCTCTTTACTGCTCATATTAGCATTTTCCCTTAAATCTCCTGAATTACAAAATATGTTTATAAAAAAAAAAACATTATTCTGCCTCTCCAAATTAAATTAGGTGTACCATCTCCTGCCCCTGATTGGACACTCCGGCAGCCAATTGGGGGCTTGTTCTCATAGTTTTATTTCCTTCTAAATTTTCCTTATGTTCCAAACCAAAACTTGAAGGTATGGATCATCCATCTTTTGCGTAAATTTGTTTTTTCTGGAGAGAATGAATCCTAGTTTGTGGAGAGTCTTTTAAAACACCAAAAGGAGCATAAATCAGCAAACCAGGAGACCATCCTGGTTAGTGAAGGTGAAATCTTGACGTTAGGAGTGATCTTGTGCGGCTGTTTGAAGGTCTGGGACTCCCCCTGCTCTCGCTCTGCACGTCTGGAGCTGCAGCGGCTCCGTGGTTTTAATGACAGGGAAGTGAGTTTAGTTCGATCTTTATGGTGGAAAATTACTGGCAGCCGCTCAGCCCCGCCTCCCTCCTCATGAATGAGAGTTTACATAGGCAGCCAGGCAAGTATGTGTGGCTCATTAAGTGAACGAAGAGCTGCCAAAGTGCCAAAGAAGAAGGTTTGATGCAGCAAGAACCTGATCTGCTGCTCAACACCTCAGGTTACAGCTCCTGTAACAGCTTAGCTTTGATTATAGAAGAGTAAATCAGAGATAGAAACCTAACATGTTCACTCTTTTCTCTTTTTTATGCACGCAATCAAGGGTTTATAGTGAATCTTTGACGTTTATGAGTCTTCTGCAACACAGAGCTCGGCTTTGCTGCTGCAGGAACTTTCTGTTTCAACAATTAAGTTCAATTACAGATTTATGACAAAGACAGAGCCACGGAATTGGTCAGGCATTTTACATTTTGTTTGTGCAGCAGGAGCTTGGAAAAAGGTTTATTTAAAGTCCCGTGTAATGTGCATTGTTTCAGCATTGGACACAGGTATCTGTAAATCAGGAAAAAAACACGAATAAACCGATTTAGAGACAATTTCAATTTGTTTTGTGCAGCAGACACTTGTGTCAGTGGGATTCTTGCAGCATCAGTTTATAATCCAGTTCATCAGATTGAATTTGAAGACAAATACTTCAGAGAAAAACAAACAGAAACTGTAAATTCGGGAGAAACTAAACCCGTACAGATGCAACTTTTAAACTGATGCATCGTTAAGTAAATCCAGTTCAGATGAAGTTTCCCAGTAAGTAATTTGAGCATTTACATTCTTACAATATTAAGCAAATATGATTTTAATTTTAATCCACAGCCTTGAGAGGAAAACTGTGCAGATATTTCAATAAAGAGCGCTAAAATCATCCTGATCTTTGTCTAAAGTCTCCCCCCCGCCTGACTTTTCCTCCACGCCACAGACTGATTCATGTTAATAACTGCAGATTTTCATGTCCTCCAACTTTGGAAACTCGATCCGCTGCAGGGAAGACAACACAGATTAAAGTAAATCTGAGCTGCATTAATGTAATCAGCAGTTTACATCGCTCTACATCTGCTGTCGTCGCTCTCACTTTTTCCTCTTTTTCTTCTTTCCAAAGCATAAAAACAAAAAAAAAAACCTGTTGAAGCAGATCTCTCTAAACCCTCCTCCCTCGCCTCCCTCTCTTCCCTCGCTCCGTGTTTCCCAGCTGTCTCTGCAGCCGTTTCTGGGAATATTTTTAATCTCTGAAATCAAAGTTGTGTAATTGATAGGGATATGAGCCACAAGGTTAAAAAAAAAAAAGAGAACAGGGCCTGTTGGGCCAGGCCTGCATCTCCATCTCAAGCGCTTTTCTTTTTTTTGTCATGTTTGTACATCTTTTAAAACTCCCGGCTGTGATCAGACGCCAAAAAGCAAAAGAGAAAAGAAAAATAACCGTCCCCCTAAGCAGAAAGGTGTGAAGAAGACTCAGCATGGCTTTAATCTGAAAGTGAAGCTGCACGTCGTCTTGTGAAACACAGCGAGCAAAGTTTCACAACACGGCCTCCAGTCCTCTGAATCTGTTTTCACTTCTCTAGTTTTATTTTGAAAGGGGTTAGGGTTACAAACATGACTTCATTTTTAAATAGTTTCTGATTTGTTTGATCGGTCCAGACTCATGGAAAAGCTGCAGAAATCATCAAATGTGATCCTTCAAAAATGACCTTTTGTTGTGGGTTCATCTAAAGTTTGCAATTTAAGATCACATTTATCATTTTAAAGCAGAATAACTTCAATAATGTTCACTCTGGAAAAGTAATAAAAGACCAACAAAAAAGTCAAACTATCTCTTTACTTTGTAATTATGAGCCACAGGCGGCTAACAGTGAAAGTTTCAGCCCAAAAAACTGAGTCAGGATATTCAAATCCCTCTCTGCAGGTATTAATGATGCAGCCTTGTGTGTGTGTGCATGTGTGTGTGGTTTACAGAAGATAATCCAGCTGTAGGTGTTGGCGTGTTGCTGCAGGACTCACTGTGACTCTCAGAATCAACATGTGGATTATCACAGTTTTTACAACCTGGAGAAAAAATCAGAATCCAGCAGTAAATCCACACAAACGGAGCAGCGTGGTTGTGATTGGTTCGACTGATTTGAGGTCAGTTTGATTTCTGCTGACAGAGGGAAGAGTTCAGAGTCACTCAGGTGGCAGAAGTGTAAAAATTTGTGCAAAAATCCCCAAAGAAGCAGGTCAGATGCGTTTAAGTTGTACAAGGGTGTATTAAGAAGCATTTGCCTTTTTCTTGTGAGAGGACGGTGAGAAGGACAGAGCAGGAAACTGTGGAGAGAGAGGTGATTGAGAGGAGAGGATGGGGTCAAACCCTGGCTGTCCTTTTGAGGATTATAACCTTAGTTTATGGGAGTCAAGCAGCACCAAAACTGAGTGATTTAGATTTTTTTCTCTCCTCTTTTTACCTGTAAACTAAATCCTGTTTGGTTGTGAATAAATGGAGACACTTGAGGACCTTACTGAGAACAGTTTCCACCAAACAGCTGAGCAATAAATCCAGGAAATGATGGCGGGTTTATTTATGATAAAATTGATGTGGTTGCAGCTCTGTTGGCGGCAGAAAACAAACATTTAAATGTGCCGATTTGTTCAACAGTCGGATAAATTATGACTTTCCCTCCTGCAGGAACATCTGAGTGTCTCCTGCAGGTGGGTCTCTGCAGAGAAACTGCTCCTCTGTCGGTGATGAGGTCCATCTGGATGCAGCCGAGAATGAGCTCATGTCTCGTCCCGCTTTTAAACGCCGCTTTCTCTCTCTCTCTCTCTCTCTTTCTCTCTCTTTCTCTTTCTCTCTTTCCTCCGGTGATTCTCTGCTCCTCTCCTCTCTCCTTGTTTACATACTTGAGCTCCTGCAGATGAAAGAGGAGCCGGCGCCTCCTTCCAGCTGGTTCAGACATGTCGGCAAACTGGCCTTCCTCGCCGCCGGGCCCAAACACCAAAACAATGGCTGCGGTTGTGTAATCGTTGTACGCTGTGCAGAGAGAGAGAAGCTTTAACCCTGTAAGGTCCTTGAGGAAAGAGAGCACATGTTAGGAATAAACACTGACTCTGCAAAACACATGGGCTGCATTCAGGGACCGTGGGTTATTCTGACGAGATGACGCCGCAGAAAACTGAGCGGAGGGGTCAGTGTGCTTCAGTGGAGTTTGTGCAGAGTAAATCTGGAGTTAAAGCGATCACATCAAAAGTTTGCAAACATCCCTGAAAAGCTGCAGCTCCAAAAACGGATCTTTGGTCCTGATTGAGAGTTTCTTTTGATGCAAAGCCTTTACATCTGGATTTAGTGCATGACGCCGACCACAATCCTCGGATCATTTTCTTTGTAGTTTGTCATCTCTGTCTCTAAAGTTAACATTTGATTTTCTTCTATATACTTCTATCTTCTTCTGCGCTGATTAATACCTCTGTTTTTTGGATTTCTCTCTCTCTTTCTCCGCTTCCTCCTTTAGTGATGTCTTCTGCACAAGCTTCACTTATCTTCTCTCAGAATTTGGAGCATTATTGCACCAAAAATGAAAGTCAGACCTTCTAGGACATAAATGTTGTTTCTGGTTCTTCATCTTACTTTGTTTAAAACCTGCAAAAATCTGTAATTCTAGTAAGAAATGCAAAGTGTCGGAAGACTGAGCATTTAGCTCAAAACTTGAATGCAACGTGACTGAAAGGGTGTATGAATGAAAGACGGTCAAGGTTAGTCGAGTTTGTTGCCTTATGTGCAGGAACCATTACCTTTATTTCGCACAAGCTGTCCTTACTTTACGTACAAAGGTCCTGAGAAATCCAACTGTAAATGTACCTCTCTTGCATGAGGAGGTCAAAGGTCAGAGCCTTTTTATAGCATGCAGCAGATGTAAACAAGATTTGTAAACATGTTTGAGTGAGTTTTTTCCTGCAGCCTTTGAGTCTGAATTCGTTTACAGCTTTTGAGCCCTTAACTCGTGCTGCATTAAGGAGCAGTTATCTCCACAAACACACACACACACACACACACACACACACACACACACACACACACACACACACACACACACACACACACACACACACACACACACACACACACACACACAGATATAAACCTGTCACCCCTCTGAGTCAGCTTATCATGTGTTTCCTCTTCAGCTTCATGTAGCAGCAGCTGACGGAGCTCTCCGACCATCAGCCTCCATGTGTGCAGCAGCTCTCTGCTGCAGGTGTATTTTTAGCTGTGTGTGGGGTTAGTGCAGAGCCAAATAAAACCTGTCGCCCTCCCGAGTCGCTCAGAGGGAGAAGGTGAGAGATTCCCCGACCCAGACGGACAGATCCGGTGTCTCATATTTAGAGATTTGGCTCAGGGGTGCAGGGCTCACAAAACCCCAAAACTGATTGAAGGTCTAGACGTTTGCTTTGTCATGCATTTGTGTGTGCAACATGCTGATTTCGGCTTCAGATGGCACTGAGGTGGTGGCAGTTTTTCAGAGCTGAATTCAACATCATCAAACATGTTGTTTTGTCCGACTGTAAACCTCAAATTCAGATTATAACAAAGATGTGACAGAAAACCAGTAAATGTGAACATTCAGGAGTTTTTGGGGAGATGGTTTCAGGATTAAAAAAAGTGACGTCATGTTGATATTTATGAGGAACCACAAAGTGTTTTCACTCACACACAAATACAAACACTGAAGGTGAGAGAAAAAGTGGGTCTGCAGTAAAATCTGAATCTGAATCTGAATCTGAATCTGAATCTAAATCTCATGTGGATTATGAGGATTTAAGAGGCAGTAAATTGACTGATCTCAAAGCTGTTTGCTGCGATTCAGCAACAATATCTACATTCTAGTTTCATTTGTACTTTGTGCAGCTCGTCTCATGGAAGCGTGCATCTGCATCGCTGAGAACGGATGCATAAAATTGTTCTGTTTTAGAAATAAAACAGCATCAGCATTTACAGAAGTGTGGAGATAATGAAAATAGATGTTCGCTTTGACTTTAAAAGGACTTTATCTTTGTCCTTGGTGTTCTAATTTCTCTCTTTCCTCTTCTTGCATCAGTCTAGTTTTTGTTTGATCAATAAAACCACTTTAAACAAACTCCTGCAGAGTAAACTCGGAGTCCGTGAAGACGAAAAGGTGGAGATGTCGGGGTTTCTTGAAGCGTTCCTGGCGTCCTCGTCTTTTCTCCTCCACTGTGAGTGTTTACTGAGAGCAAGCAGCAGTCACTCTCTCTCTTTCTCTCTATCCTTGTTGATGCCATCCAGAGTCTCCGTCGCTGTGCTGGAGGATGAGACGCTCCCTCCGGTCCCACTCTGGATGTTTAGGTTTGGGGAGTTCTGTGGCGAGGCCGACTCAGAGTTTACGTTGGAAGAGGCTCCTTCCTAAACACCATAAATCTCTTTAGGAGGAGAAAATCGAAGCCTGATGTCTGTTGAGCAATCATAATTAAAGAAAAGCTTTCGGCCCGTCCTGTGAGTGATGCTCCGTGAAGTGAGGATGGCTGCAGGCTCGTAAAGTTGTACTTTGAACTGACTTTGGCAGAAAAGGTGTCCCTGCTCTTCAGATAGTGGTTCAAAAACAAAGCAGCGGTTCAGGGAGTTCATGTTTCTGCGTTTCCACTCTGGACTCTCAGGGGTTCGATTTCGTGACACAAAGGGAATACTTGGGTCGGTTTTCAGAGCCGCAAACAAATGGAAAATGCCCCTTTTTCTTCTGGTGGGCTTTGGCATTTCAAGAGGAAATACTGGAAACACACACAGCAGAGTCTTCTTCCTTCTGCAGTTTGATTTGAAACTTAAATTCAGAAATATGGAAGAAGTTACAATAGAGAATAAGACTTTAATTCAAGCAAACACAGAGATGGGCATGAAAAACCACAAAAGTGGATTTTACAAAGTTTCAAATAAACCCAAGAAGACATTTCGCCTTACACTGCTCGAGTACTGCTGTACTTCAAAGTGAAAATACACGAGTCATGACAGAGTCTCAGATATTTCACCTGCTGTTTTTGATTTGACCTGAAAGAAATGACATTTTTCAGCCAAACCGTGCAGTTTTTCTCATTTGCATGCATCAATCTGTGCAGGAAAGTGGCTGAAGCAGTAATAGATCTAAATCAGTTAAAAAGGATCTTTGAATTTTATGATTGCACAAGTCTTTCTTCACCATTTATGTAAATTTTTAGTTTGCACACGTCTCACTGTTTCTGATTTTTTTGTATTTCATGTCTTAAAACAAACTCCAAACAAATTCAGGAGTCTTGTATTCATTTATTTATCTGCTCTCTTCTATGAGTAGCATGTCTTCAACTCGAACCTCTTGCTAACCTTTGAATCCTGCTGCTTATCCTCAGGTAATGATTCTTAATGATTCCTAATGATTCTTGTTTTTCTTCTTTTCCATGTCTGATGACTTCGTCCTTCCTCTGCACTCACCTGACACAGGTAAGATGAGTTTAAGTTTTAATATTTTCTCCCTCTCAACCACCCTGAGCGCTGTAGTCTGTATTCTGTATTCTGTCGGTGAGAACTGTTACTTTGACTTGGAGTAACATTCCTCTTGCGGACGTGCAGACACAAACCCACCTGTCCTGTTTGACTGCATTCAGCTCACACCGTGTCCTCACCTGTGCTGTTATTAAAGCAACAACATCACCGTGCACAAAGACCCAGAACAACAACCTGCTGCAGAGTGATGCATGATGGCTTCCTCTCACACAGCTTCCCCTGAGTGTTGAAGCTTTTATAGTCTCCGAGTTTTCAGACTGAAATACCAAAACTGCAGAGCAAAAAGAACAGATTCAGTTTGTGTTTACAGGCTGCAAACACTGAAAGAGAGATAATCAGCGATAAGAGCCTGTTATATGACAGAAGAATTCAGTGTGACAGAGGTCATTGTGTCAGTTTAATGACCTGTAATAACTCCAAATAATCCGCAGAATTTAACTGAGTTTTATACAAAATTTAGATCGAAGCTTGCATCTGTTTGTCAGCAGTTAAAGATTTGGACAGTCTGAGTGATAATAGTTTTACAGATATCAAAGTTAGGAGGCATTCATTGTTTTTACAACATCACTGAAATCAAAAGTGTAAGCATGTTTTCCATTGCTACCTTTAAAACTGAAATAAAATAATACGGATGAATAATAAGTGAGGATTACAAAGTCCGATCTCTTTCATCTCTGCTGCTGATTTCCATTTATGCCCGTCACCTAAGTTTTGTAACATTTAGTCAATGAAAAGTGCTGAAAATACGCTTGTGGTTGAAGCTCACACAAAGTGTTGTGATATATGAAGAACAGGGGGTTCACAACTTCCTGTTTAGTGGTGTTTTATATGTGGTACCAACCCTGTGCCTTATTAAGCGTCTTACATGATATTGCTGAGTTCTCATGCATTATCTTTGCTTGAGCATGAAGTACAGATGTTTCGGGGCTGAGCTTCACCTCACCTTGTTTCTCAAATAAGAATCAGCTGAGCGTCTTTGTGCACAGTTTGAAAAACTTTGCAGCAGATTTGTTTCACCAGGCTGCAGCTTTAGAAACTATAATAAACAAGCTTTTAAAATTAAGAGGGAAGGAAATGATTCAGTTGCAGGTTTCAGATGCAACAGAAAAAGTAACCTCAACATTTCTGTGTGTTTTTCTTTCTCCTCTTGAGTATCAGACATCAGATGTACTTTACTGATTATCTGGTATCTTTGATTTAATCCGTTTTAGTCCTTAAACTCAGCACTGAGTGTTCCTCCTAAACTGCAGTCTGCAGCTGTTTAAGTCAAAGTGACTCACTTCGATCCAAACAGGGAAAAACTCTGAGTTAATTTATGAGATTTGCTTGTTTCAGGTTTTTCCAGACTGTTTTTCTCCCAGCGCGATCAGTCTGATGATATCTAATATGAAATAAAAGACAAATATTAGCTTTGTATATCAGATTTCCGTGTTATTCGCAGGTGTGCAGTCTGGATTTGATTGCGTTGGAGGCTGCAGGGAGCGAGCTGTCCGATATCTCCTCCTCTAAAACATCCAGCTGAGCTCTCTCACTCTGGGATGTCAGGGCATTTTGCTTCTAGTGAGCGATAAATTCATCCTGCCTTCAATTACCCAATCCCACAACTTAAAGCTGTTTGTTGGAGACATTTACACAAACTCTTCTTGAACGCGTGACAAACAGAAAGTGTGTGTTCAGATTCGTGAGGATTTACACACTCATGAGGCCTCAGAGATCATAAATAAACTCAAGCATGCACATCGTTAGGAATCTGTGATGGTGAAGTTTTGATTCTAATCTGGACAATCTGATCATGTTTACCCACTCTGCAAGCTTCACTTCCTCCTGTTTTCATCCGCCTTCACTCAACCTACATCTCTAAATCAATCTGCTCAGCATCAGTGGAAAGAGCGAGCTTTCATTTGCATAGTGTTTGTGTGTGTGTGTTTTACCACAGTGGGAGCGTAGTGCTACCACTTCCGCCTTGTTGCACCCGCAGCACGTGGCTCCATCTTTGAAAAGAAAGCAGCTTTTAGGGTTTTAAAGTTGCAGGCTGCAGCGTCAACCAAACCTCACTGCATAAATGACAGTTTAATTTGCTCTTTATTTGCTCCTTATGAAATCTTGACCCGTGCTCTGAACTCTGTCTGTAGGGAAACAGGACGAATTTTGTGAATGACTATGAATGACAGTTTGTCACTTCAGCTCTAAACCTCTATTCCTCTGCTTTGACTCGTTAGTCTACCCAGTTTAAAATGAGTTTTTTTTTGTAATGGAGTTTGGTAGACTCATACCAGAGGTTTAAAATCAGCAATCCAGGGTTAATTTTATCGGTTGATGTAATCTTCTCTGGGTTTTACCGCCTGCAGCCGCCGAGTACGTGGCAGGAAGCTGTTGAGGTTGAGCGGGTTTTCCTCTAAATCACTTTACAGCGTTTTCTTTGAAAGTCTCCAAAATCCAACAGAAAATGAGTCAAACCAAGAGATGAGCTAGTTTGAATTGAGACTAATTTACTGACTGGTTTACCTGTCAAAAGATGGCTGGGTTTGTCTCCGAAAACCAATTCACCGGCTGGTTTCTATCTGGTTAAAAATGTTAAATTAGTTTACCAGCTGGTTTACCTTCTCATTGTGTTGCTTAGTTATTGGCCAACTTGCTGCTCATTGACAGGCTAAAATGTTTGACCGGATGGCTGACTTAGTGACTAATTTGTAAACACTGTACCTACAGATTATCCAGATGTACATGATGTCTGAATAACTAGTTAACTTATGTGTTTGGCTGCTTTTTACAGGCTGTTTTTATGACTGCTATTTTAGTAGTGGTTGTAGTTACTACTTCACTGACCAATCCACCTGCAGATTAACTAGCTGGTTTTTTTTTAGCAACTCGCTGTCTATTGGACTTTTACCTCATGCAATGGCAGTGCAACAGGTTTGCTGGCTGATTGACTGGCTGGCTTTTCATGGCTGTTTTATATAAGCTAATAAAAAAGTTTCATAATCTGTGTTACTATGTGTGTTGGAGGCGAGAGATATCAGAAACAAGTGAGAGAGATGGAGAGAGAGGATCTTTGGCAGAGGAAACTTATCACTTTGACGTGATCAGACACACACACACACGCGCGCGCATACGAACACACACACGCACACACACACACACACACACACACACACACACACACACACACACACACACACACACACACACACACACACACACACACACACACACACAGAGTCTGCAGAGAGCAGCTCATGCGATCAAACTGATAATGTTCCAATGTATAGTACAGTGTGTTTTGGTGCATGTATGTATTTGTTTTCACACACATGCATGTCAGTATGTGTGCGTGTGTGTTTATGTCTGCATGTGTAATGTCTGCACATGCATTAAAATATGCCGCTGCAAGTAAGTGTGCACGCCGTGGAGTTGGAGTGTGTGTTTGTGTGTGTAAGTCTTATGTAAACCTGCACACATACACACTGAAGTTCATAAAAGCACACATCTGGTGGGCTCGCCCGGTTCTGTTCGGTTCTAACCTTTCACTGGGTTCTCGAGTTCTGACAGGAGTGAGACCTCTCCCCTCTCTGCAGCAGGAGTGATCCCTCAGGCCCGAACAAAACATCTTTGAACCCCCTCCCCCTCCTCCCCCCTCCTTCCCCATCTCGCTCTCTTGTCTAAATAAACTCTTTACACGCAACTCCACTGGCTGCCTGCCCAGCCTGTCTGCTGCTGAGAGCGCCTGTCAGTCAGCACTCAGGGCTGCAACCAGACCGCCAGGCTGCTGGGCCCAGAGCAGGCTGGGGAGTAAATAACTGTTTCACTATACTGACTGTTTCACTTTTTTAGTGACTGGTTAATGACTGCTTTGCGGATCAATTGATATTAAAGTGAATGACTGACTTGTTTAGCTGGCTGGTGGATTCAAAGCTGCTTTACTGCCTGGTTTATTGATGAATTGACTGGAGGGTTAACTTACTGACTGACCTCTGTGATAACTAAAGCTGCTTTACTGCCTGGTTTATTGATGAATTGATTGTAGGGTTAACTTACTAACTGGTTAAACTGACACCTTTGGCAGCATACACAGACTCAGTTTACCGACGGGCTGACTGACTGTTTCATGTACTTGTTTAGTGGTTTAGTTCTCTGTTTACTGACTGGTAAAAACAGTCATTAAATGAACTTAAATCTGGTATCTGTTAGGCTTTGGATGACTGAAAAGTTTCCTGCTTTCCCACCAGGACCAACCAAACCTCATTCAAAAATTGTTAAATTAAGGAGAAGACTCAAGCAGCTTTAAAGCTTTCCTGTTAATCTTTGTGAATCACTGGTTCAAGAAGTCCTCCTTATGAGGCTTTACTGGATTAAAATTACAGCTGCCACTAGCAATAATAACAAACACCGAACCTCCTCCAGCAACACTTGAAGTTGTCGCCATGTTTTTGCATCAAGACAGATTGCTGCAGTGAGAAAGAAGTGAGCGTGTTATTTCTGGCAAATTCTTGGTAGTTTCTGAGGTTTTGGCAGGGGGTTTGGTGAGGGAAAGCGTGTGGTTATAACAGGAAAGACAGAAATAATACAAAGATCTTTTATTGATTTGATACCTCACTACGCAGGAAAAGTTGATGATTTTTTAATTCAGGTTTGGTGCAGGCGTACGTTTTACTCCCACTGCTGCTTAATTAATCAGGTCAGAAGTAAAGAGTGGGTGGGTGTGTGTGTGTGTGTGTATGTATTTGTGTGTGTGTATATGTGTGTTAGTGTGTATGTTTCCTGTTCTCAATGGTCTCACGGCACGAAACTGATAAGAGCTCCGGAGCTCCATTACAGATTACTGCCTGATGCTCTATCACTCCCCCTTTTCCTCCCACCTCTGTCCTCTGTCACTTCTTACTCCCTCTCTTTTCCTGTCCCATTTACTCATTTCTTCCTCCCATCTCTTTAACAATCCCTCCTCCTCCTCTTCTTGCCTTAACTCTCTTAACCTCCTTTGTGTCTCGCCCTCTCATCCTTTTCTCCCCCTCCTCTCCTATCCTACTTCTTTCCTCCCCTCTTTGACCAAAAATTCCCTCTCTTTCACCCCTCTTTACCTGCTTACTTTTTCCACTTCCTCCTGCCTACCCTCTCTCTCTTTTCCCTCCTCACGCCTCCTCCCCCTTCATCAGTATCTCCCCTATAATAACATTTTGCACTTCCAGATTGGAGTACATGTAATCATGCGAACTCCATGAATGCCAGTAAAGGCATATCAGACACTTTGGCAGCTTGCAGCATTGTGTGTGTGTGTGTGTGTGTGCTTTGTGTGTGTATTTGCACTCACTCTCTCTCTCTCTAACACACACACACACACACACACACACACACACACAATAATCATAGTAAATGTTTTCCCTCTCTCTCTCCTTGTCTTTTCCTCCGCCGGCCTCTTTCCTCTCCTTTCTCGGCTCAGGATGTCGGGGATTGAAAATTCGCACGCGAGGCTAAGTTAGTGTGTGTGTGTGTGTGTGTGTGTGTGTGTGTGTTTATAGATATCTGTATGTGTGTCAGCAGCAACTACAGCAAATTAGCCGTATTTCCCTCAGTTGTGTGGCCGCAAATGTCAGATGTTTTTCTCTCTCTCTCTTCTTTCCTTCCTGTGTTCTCTCACCTCTCTTCGGGTGGGGATCAGTTTTTTGACCTTCTGCTTTTCTGGGTTTCTGTGCGTAAACACTTCCCTGAAACTCGTTGCCAAACTCCTCTGAACTGCTTTTAACCCTCTTTGACCCGGATTACTTTTCCTAATTTGAGCTCCTTTTCATGCCTCTTACTTCTGCATCTAAAACAGGCGATTTGACCAGAAATTAAATAAAAAAAGTTCAGTCTGCCCTGTCCTAAAGAGGACAAATATTGAGGTTTACGGTTTAAACATCTTCTATTTTTAGAAATGGATGTAAAAAGATGAGTTTTTCCTCTTCTGAAACCTACTTGTTCTGCATCTTTGTGTATTTTGTGTTAAAAGTTAACCTGAACTTTGGAATAACTACCGTAAAGTTTGGTGTAGACGCATATTTATTACCTTTTTGTTACCTAATAGGGGAGCTACACCCTGCATAGAATGCAGAGAGCTATTTCACTGTGTTGTTATATATTACCCAGATGCTCATGTCTGCAGCTTAAAGCAATAGAGCACTGACATGTTGCACAAACAGGTTTGCAAATTCATCAAATGATGCACACAGATGACGCATGCCAATGTAGGTGTTTCAAAATAAAGACTGCCATTTTGCATTGAATAAAAATACATGCTTAATCTTAGTTGATATATTTTAAGAGTGTATCTGGATTTTCATGCTTTTTGTTGCATGTATGAGAGATGAGAATCAAAGTACTCACCAGATTTTTAGCCGGCCTGCACTCATGGAAAATGATTTGAGATTCATCTGCAAAATTTGTAGTTACTGTGAGAACAAACTGTGAGTTCGTTTTCTCTCTCTGACCGTCTGAAACCCTTGGATTAAGATTGAATTCACAGAACTTGTTCAGATAAAAAAAAGCTAAAACCAGGACTGAAGCTAAAGCCTTTAAAGCAGCTTCACCTCTTGACTGTTCACTTTTTAATTCATTGAGTTATGGACGCTGAGAGGATTTAAATATCTAAATAATCTGAGTTTAGAGAGAATTTCAGCCAGAGTCACTCCTGAATTAATGCACTTGTTTTTTGTTGCATGCAAATATATGTATGTGCTTGAACTACTAATTCAACTGCTTTTGTATGAAAAATGACAACGATCCAAATTAGCCTTGTATTTTTGCAGAATTTTCTAGACTGTCCAGAGGTCCAGAGAGTCCCTGTGTTTCTGCTTCTTCGTAAGGAATCAGAAAAACTCGTGCAAGTCCAATGAAAGCGCGGTCACGTGACTCTGCAGCTTTCATCTCTTTGGCTTAACTCTGTCTGAAGTTTTCAGAGACGCTGAGTGATAAACTTCTCCTCAGCATAAACTCGCTGTGTGTCTGAGATTAACTCCTGAATTTGCCCTTTATTGGCTGAGTGATTGGTATGATCTCAGTGTGTGTGTGTGTGTGTGTGTGTGAGAAGGTGCGGTGGGTCATGTGCAGTATCAGCGGAGGTACTCGAGGGTGACCTGCCGTTCAGACGCAGGAATGTAAACGTTGAGACGTCTCCGACAGGCTCGGCCTTATCGCAGCATGTTGAAGGTCAGAGGTCGGGGCCGGGTCGGGGATGTTCAGGTTCAGGGCTGGAGCAGAGTGTGTGTGTGTGTGTGTGTGTGTGTGTGTGCAGCCTGAGCTTTTGCAGCCTGTGTGTGAACCTGCACCTTATGAGACTTTTTCCAGTAAAGGTAAACCGCAGATCTTGCAGTCGTCGGAAAGCGGTGCCTTAAACCTGCAGAGCGACACAGTTTCTCTTGACGGCACTGAACAAACAGCTCATATTCAACACTCACGGTGTGTTTTCACCCTCCCACTTGTTGACGGGAGGTTGGGTTGTTTATCATATACTCTGTGTTGCCATGTGGGTGCGGCCATCAGTGAAATAGTTGTGGTTATCAAAGTGAGACTTTTAACCGCAGAGCAGGAAGCCACAGCAACGACGACAGTTGGAGGAGAGAGCAGGAAGAAGAGAAGTTAAAAACAAAGTGAGCATTAGTGTCACATCAGGTGTCGAGCTTCAAAGACAGTTTATAAGAGATGGGCACCTGACAAGATGAGTGACAGGCGTAAGAGAGAGAAAGGGAGGAGGAAATATTGATTTATGTTGTTGATTCATCATTCCACTCCATTATCAGTTCTTTGCCCCTTAAATGATCAGATGGTTTTGAATGAAACTAACTTTAAAAGGTGAATATTTGATCTGTTTTCTTGCTCCTCCGCTTCACTATAACTGCAAACATTTCTTTTGTGACTGTTTTTAGAGAAGACAACCATCTCCGAGAATAACACCTTGAGGAACTGTTGACGGATATTTTTAAGATATTTGCAATCAGAAATAATCAGAATAATCCAGAACATTTTACAGAAGATCAACAATTTAATCGGCCCAAGTTTGACTACAATTTTCTGGGCAGATAGTATTCACACTGAAGAAGCTCAGTCCTCAATTAAACTTTCAGAGTTTCAAGGTTTAGTTGTTCAACATCACTGACTTACTGTTGAATGATCAGTAAAATATTAATGTTCTTTATTTATTAAGCCCAACAACCCTTTCGGTGAATCAAAGTGCTTTACAATACATAGTCAATAAAAATGAATAAATAAAAATAGTAAAAAGCAATAAAAAAGACACAATGCAATAAAATGAAGTAAAAGTGTCACCACACTACTGGGCAATACACATTTCCAACCATGCAATAAAAACCTTTTGCACCATTAAATATACAGATACCACTGGGCAATAAGAACATTCTGCAACATGAAGTGTACATTTCCTACACTGCATTATTTTCCAATAAACAGATCTGAATGTGCGATATTAACATGACTCATCATGCATTTTTTGACATGTTTAACTATGCAGTATGATAAATAAATAAACCATTGATAAATGCAAAGTGAAACAAAAACTAGAAAGGAAAAAAATGAACCACTTATAAGGGATAAAAACAGAGGGATATTATTGGTATCAGCTTAAATATGAATGTTTGGTTTTAGCTGATATGAGGAATTTTGCAGATTTAATTATCCAAAAATGTAAAGCATTAATGATGTGCAGATTTTTTACAAGTATTTTGAAATGTTGGCAGAAACAAAAATGTCATGCATCCCTGTTTATTATTTGCTTAAATAGATGTTTTCTTTCTCATTTTGGACCTTAAACTTAAATATTTCCATACGCTGTGTGACGGCAATCGGGTCTTTCTGGCGAATTATACAGAGTCAGATGGTTTACACTGAGAAATAGGATCTCCCTGAATTTACAGCAGAATTAAAATTCTTCAAACTTGGATTCTTCAGCAGAGAATTATTTAAAATCTTCCATATGTTTTTTAGAACAAAGAGTTGCATGTTTGTTTTAAAGATCTTTGCATATTTAGGTAAAATTAGATGTTTTTAAAAACTACATGAGTCTGTTTGAGTCTGACCTCACTCAGTTTGTGATGCAGATTAGTCCGCCCTCTGTGTACCAGCATATATCCCTGATCAAAGGGACAGTAACACAACAGGAAACTACACACATCAGACAACAGATGATCTGAGTTAGAGACACACAGAGAGAGGATTTAAAACCAAGAAGAGCTCAGAGGGAAACTCAGACCTGAAAACACGACTCCCTTTCTGAAGAGACAAAATCTCTTTTCTGTACTTTAGCTCAAAGTCATCACTACTCATGTCCAAACCTGCAGCGAGAGGATCAGAGAGAGGGAGCGAGCGTGTTGGTGATGCTGATCTCCTGTCACCCCTCCTCCCTATACCCTCCCTGCCTCCCTCCCTCTCTCCCTCCCTCCCCTCCCCTCCTCCCTCCCTCCATCCTGCAGTCCAGAGGGATGAAGAACAATGACTCCATTCAGCTCTCTGGTTTCAAAGTCGACAGAAACCGCAAAGTGCTTCGGAGCGGGTGTTTGGAGACGAAGGGGTGAGGGGAAGGGAGGCGTGTTCGCAAATTTGATAGAAAAGAGAAATGGTGATTCAGGCGGGCTAAAATGATTTCATGTTCGGTGGTGGGTTTGATGACGGGGTCAACAAGTGCAGGGGCGGATTCTTACGGTCCAAAAAAGACGCTTCCTCTGAAGGCCTCGGTCATCAAAGTGGGTCTGCATGAAGTTTTCAGAGCTGGAACCAAAATTATTCTCCTTTTGAATCAGTTTGTTTGATAAATAATGTGAGTAAAAGTGTAAAGACAAGCAGTAGATGTCCTCTTCAATGAAGTGAAATCAGTGCATATTAAAATGTATATACTGAGTGTGAGAGTGTGAGCTTTATCTCTAAAAAGGCCATTGTTTGTTTACGTAATTCAATTGTTGATTTGCAGAAATATTTTCTGAAAGTTTGGTTAATAAAAGTTATTTTTTTCCACCAGAAGCTCCTAAACTTTGAGTTTTGCAGCTGCATAGATTTTGCAGTGAGATTTCAGTCAGAGGTCATGAAATTTGGCTTGACTGAAGCGGCCCGTCTCTGAGCACACAGACCTGATTTACAGCTCTGTTCATGCAGCAGCACTTTGAGCGTCCTTTATTACCCTGTAAAGTTACTGTCAAACCATCTGAGAAACATACATGTTCAACACACAAACATAACAACACCACCAGCTTTGTTGGGAACTTTTTCTGATTAGTGCAGCGCCACATAGAAGCCGAGGAGGGGAAGTCTCATTCTCTCAGGAGGGGGGTAGGGGGGGTTCTGGTGGTTTCTTCTGTTTTATGAGGGTTGTGGCAGTTTGGTAGGAGTCAGCTGTTCCTTGTTAAACCGAGCATTTGGGGTAATGGGGTGAAAGAAGTGGGTTTTTGACTACGTCAGAAACGGAGCGGGGAGTTCCCCAGGGCACCTACGTGGGTCCTCTCACGTTTTATTCTCTGTTTTCTGACTTTTGCGTCTTTGTGCTTTCGCTCTCACTCTTTCACACATTCTTTCTTGCTGCTTTATTTAGCACTCTCTCACTCTTTATCTATTTATACCTCACATTCTTCTGTCATCTCTGCCCTCAAATTTGATCCATCTCATGTCTCACCCAGATCTTCTTCTTCTTCTTCTCGGTACTAAAATAGCTCATTGTTGCTGCGCTGAAACGCTGAACCACTAAACCAGATTGCCTCCAGCTATGAGTGTGTTAGAGGCCCGAACGAGCATGCCCGAACAAACCCCCCCACATACACATACACACACACACACACACACACACACACACACACACACACACACACACACACACACACACACACACACACACACACACACTAAAACCACACTGAGGCAACAGTGAAACCCAAGACAAAGACTCTTAAAAAAGTTTTGAATGACTTTTACATCTTTTCTTGATATTTGTTTACAGCCCACACACACACACACACACACACACACACACACACACACACACACACACACACACCACACATTGTTTGGGTTATCTTTATGAGCAGCTGCTACACATTTACACTTCTAATCGTTCTTCAGCCTTTAAAATGTGTAAAACTTTCACATTTAGGCAACAAAACCACAAGTCCCATCCTGTCCAGTTTCTGTTTGGACTGCAGAGCATTTTATTCCCGTAAATATCGTTCTTTTTTTTTTTTTGTCTGTTCATGTATTTGTGCGGATGATCCTCCTGTAAGCGTCGCCTGTCATTCCTGCATTATGAGGGAATGTTTGTGTGGGGTCAGGTTACAGAGAAGATGTCAAACTGGGTGTCATGAGATTGAGAGTCTGCAGGTTTTTTGTTTCCAGTGCATCCCTGAGCCAGGTGCTTTCACTGCCAAACATAACACCAGACCAGGAACTAATGAGAGAAATTCCCAGCTGGAGCAACAAGCTCGAAAAACCTTGATTCACACCGACAGACGAGATTACAAGACTTCTTCTTTTGCTCTATGTTCATCTGTTTTCATCTCAGAACAACGCCTCATACATCTTCAGGGATAAACTCAGTTTGCAGGACAGTTTTGGGATAATTTGCACCTTGAACCTGCAACATTACAGCTGCAAACTTCTGCTAATGCAAAGTCTAAGAGTAGCAGGAAATGTTTCTTTTTCAGGCTGGTGCAAATCTCAAAAGTCCGGATTTAGATCAGAAAGTTTCATTTCTTTTTAGACTGAAAGAGCACCAAGGAGCAGCTGATTTGAAGCCCTTATATTTATAGTTATGTTTAGAAAAGTAATGACATGTCAGTGCTGTCCCACCAGCTCTTGAAAATACTCCCTCTTTATGGTGTATTGGTACAGTTCATTTTTCCTCAAGCGTGCTCGTAAGACGGGTAAAACTAGTGACCGAACAGGATGCGTGAGGAAAGCACAGGACCAAATCTGCACAATAGGCCGTCTCAAATGTAAACATGAAATGAAATCGTGCAGATTAATGACTCCTCCTAAATAAAACCCTCTGCAGTCTCCATCCAAGCTCTCTTTCCTTATTTGTACCAGCTGTTCTTTCACCCAAATTATGTGTTCTCGTCTTATTTTTACGGCTCTGACTGCAGTCACTCGTGCTGCGCTGCTTCTGCTGCTAATGTTGGACTCTGTTTGAGTTTCCTGCCACAGATCAAAAATGTGCTCTTGGATATAAAACTTGTAGCTTCTGAAACGTAACACCCTCTTGGGAAGCACACGCCGATACACTTGGAGGAGGATTAAAGGGGACAGTTTGTGCCCGGCTCTAGCCTCTGGTGTGTTTCCTTTCTTTGTGCTTCGGTGTTTCTAACCAACCCTTCTGGTTTGGTCGTCCCCTGGTATGTCTTTGTACCACTCTGGCTCAAATCTCAAATTATCTGAGACTTTTTTGGCTCTGACCAAGCTGGACTCTTTTCTTTGGCTGCGTATGCTTTCATTGGATTCATAAAATAGAAATAGTGTGTTATTTTGTGGGATAATACTCCTTTTCATGGAGGGACATGGACACCACTTTCACGTCTGGGCAGTACATGAAAGATTTGGCTAGCTTAGCTTAGCGTTGAGGAGATGTAAAAGTGAAGAAAATCACTTTTTTTTTGCACTTTTTGAAATTTAAATAATTCAAAGACAACAAATCAGATGTTACAGTGATTTCCACTACAGAGTCACTTTTGTTTATAAAGCAGTAAGAGATCAAATATGACCAAATCAAACTCAGTAAAACCAAACAAAAACCAACAGCTCTCAAGGTTTCTCCTCCATGTTAATGTGTCCGATGGCTGATGGAATAAAAGAGCAGAGGATGCAGTTTCCATGGTTTTCCAAAAAGACCGTCAAGTACTGCCCTCTGCTTCCTCTCAGTCCACCTTAAATGGGCTCAGGTGCAGAGAAGTCTCCGTGTTTCTGGATCATGTTTTGTTCTTCTGCTTAGATCTGATCTTGAATCAAACTGTGAATTAAAAATCAGACAAAACCAGCTTTGAGATGCATCTAAAACAGCCTCATTTCTTCATGCCTGTCGGTCTCTATGTGCTGCCATGTGATTCAGCCGCTGGCGAAGGCAGACGGTTCAGCACGAGCTCCGAGTTCGGCTCAGGTTGAGAGGTCACGCTCAGTTTGTATGGAAGTTGGTGTTATAAAGATAAGGATTGTCTAATTTAATTTTATCAAAGTCTGAACTGTCTGAATGCCTCCGCTTTTCTGCCTCTAAACTGAACTTGTGACCAGGAAATCTCGTTCTGCTTCATTTTCAAGCAGGAAAATTTGAACTTTTGATGCTCGAGACACAACAAACGCCTCTGTGATGGTTTAAGGTTAGAAATGATGGACTACTCTGGGAGGCTTTCTGGGTCAGTGTGTGGTTCAAATAAAAGCTTTTACCCTCAAATGTCAAACTGTTTATTAGAATTACTCAGACTTTAACCTCTGCACTCGCAGGCTGGACGGAGATCAAACCGGGAAATAACCGAAACACCAAAGTGTTTTCCACTTTTTCAAAAAACCATCAAATTCTGTATTTTACACCCAAGCTGTTATGGGGTCCTGTGGTCATCAGGTTCACAGTTGTGTTTAAGACTTAAAGCGACACTGAAAGTCTTTTTCCTCTCATGCACAGGACTTCTTCTAAAACTCAGCTTTAATTAAACTCAAAATTTTACACGTTCATCTTTTACGTAAAATTTGATTCCAACCATTTTATCCTGCGGCCTTTTTCAGAGGATGTTGAATCTTAAAAACTGGTTTATATAACTTTACCGGGGAGTTTTCACAAACTTATAATCAGAGGTTTAGATTATCTTCAACCTCAAAATTATACACAACATGTTCTGATCAGTCTGTTGGAAGAGACGCTGCTTCATGTCAAACTCCTCCACACACATGATTAGAAAAACCAGCTCGGTCAGGATCAATCTGAGTCCACGTGCCAGCGTCTGAGGCCTTTATCGAACCACTTCACATGATCTGGTCCTCAAACATAACCCACCCCCCCCCCCTGCTGAGCGTTCAGTCCATGGGGGAAACGTGAAGGCCAACGGGTAATTTTGTGGCTCAGCCGGTTCTCCTCACTTGGACCAGAGGACGGACAGACGGACTGAGCCAGCCTCAGACTTTGGTTTTAAGCTTGAGATTTTAAACCCGGTGCTTGAATTGGTTTAAAAACAGTGCCAGCGCTCTGAATCCTCAGCTTGTGTTAAGTCTATTGATCTGCTTTTTCTGTTTATTTTTCATCCTAACATCAAAACAATCTCCTCAAAAGCTCCTCAGGTTCAAAATCGGAAGTTTCTCGAGCTTTACTGGCACAGAAAAGCAGGGAAAGGGATAATACTGACATCTTTTTATCTTTTATTTGATTAATCATACATCTCATACAAACTAAACTTCATCAATCAGCCTGTAACATCTGTCTTTAAGCAGTTAATCTATACATTTCCAGGCCGTGAAAAAGGCGGACATTTTTGCTTTAAAGTTGCTCATATGTTTATCTATTTGGGAGATATTCGTTGGTGCACATCGTCAAAAACGCGGCCAGTCTTTGCAGCCTCTATTTCTCCTCCACCAGCTCATCCATCGTCGTTTCTTCCTCAGGTTCTTTGTCCCAAAATCCACCTGCTTCCTCTCTCAGAGGATATTTTAGGTCTGTTTTTTTGTTCTCACTTTGATAAGAAACAGCCTGATAATCACCAGAAGAGGAAGAGGAGGACGAGTTCAGAGTGAGGGGTGTTGTAAGACGACAGGAAACATCAGTCTGCTCCACCCTGATAAAAAAAGAGATGCTGTGTTCCTCTTTCTGTTTTTCTCACTGCATGCTTCCCATTTTAACCAAAAACTGGCGACTTTCGTGAACAGAAGCGTCTCCATATATTGGGTCATGACCTTTGTTATTGCGTCACTGCATACGTACATTTGTGGACCAGGTGGAGAAAAGTAAAAGTTGCGTCTGAAGTTGGTTTTCACTTCTCGTTCTGCGGTTCTTCTTCTTCTTCTCTGTTTTTTCTCTGAAATGAGGATGCCCTTCACAAAAAAACAATCCAAAGCAAAAGAAAATTTTAGCTTGAACCTCTTTCTTCTTCTCCTTCAGCCACCATGAAGAAAGGTCAGAACGGCTCCAGCTGGACCGGCGATCGCAGTCTGATGTTCGGAGGAAACGTCCAGAGCACCCTCCCTCCGTCCTCCACCATCTCCTCCTCCTCTCAGGTGAACTCCATCGATGGAGTCAGCTTCTCAGAGGGAGACTTGCTGCTTCAGGTAACACCTCAGACTTGTTAGTCATACGGCAGACTGTTAGTAGGAGTCACAAAGCTCAAAGTAAAAGCGGTTTCTCTGGTTTCCAGGCGCTGAACGGCTTCGTGTTGGTGGTGACGGCTGAAGGATACGTCTTCTACACGTCCCCGACCATACAGGATTTCCTCGGCTTCCACCAGGTAGATCAGAATAAGGGGGACAGTGTGCACAATCAGAAAATACAGAGGGGAAATAACGAGATGCAGAAAATGCACTGGGCAAACCATCATCACCGTCATTGTCATCAAGCAAAATACACCTGTAGACACACCGAAGAAACAGCGAAGAACTTAAAATAAGATCAGTCCAGAAAACTCAAGTCTGTTAGTCCAGATCTTAGACCAGCAGAACAGTCTGCTTCCTCTTCACATCAGTCAGTTTCACTTCATGTTGAGTTATAGTCAATTTCAGTGACAATAAATGAACACCTCCTCAAAAGCAACACGGGTTAAAGCTGACTTTATCCGGAGGGAAAACTGAACACGAGCTAAAAGTATGAATCCCTCCAAAATCTAAACTTCTGTTGCTGTTTTTAATCCCAAAAACAGACCTTTGGTGGATCGTTTAACACTTTTTAAGAGTGCCACAACACCCTGCATTAAAAGCCCACACACACACATTTTCTCATAGGTCAGAGGGTGAACCACATGTGAGTCATGTGACTATGTGTGTGTGTGCGTGCTTGTGTTTGTGTGCATGAGAACTGAACGGCTTTGTTGTCTGTGAACTCTTGACTCGTAAACACATCCGATTGAACCGAGGTCAAAGATTTCAGCAGCAGTCAGGGAGACATAAAAAAACTTAGCCTGGGGAGAGTGCACGCAGTAAACAACACACACACACACACACACAGACACACACACACACACACACATTTATACAAACTACAGGTTTTCCACAACACAGTCTTCAGGCAGGATGCTAATCAGGACAGGAAACGTTTGCTTCTGGAGCTGCTGGAGCTGAAACCCACCAGCTGCTTTGTCAATTAACACCCCTGTAAACTTTATTTATAACCGCTCTGTGAACACGAACAGAGCAGAAACAAAAAAAAAGACTGACTGAGGTCAAACGTGTATGTTCCTCTTCGCTCTTAATTCCTGACTTCAGGGTGCCTCTGAACTCCACAAAGCCCCCGCTGTGCAGAGTGCGTTCATTTTTCAGCGTCTTTGACAAAGGAGGGTTTTGTGTGGGGTTTGTTTGCCGTTGGTTGAGTAACAGAGAGAGGCCGAGAGGTGTGGTTCACTCAGCACCTCCGTCCCTCAGCACAACGGCGTCTCTGTGTTTCCAGCACCAAGTCAATGCCATTCATCCACCCCAGAGCATTGTTCACCCACCTGTGTGTGTGTGTGTGTGTGTGTGTGTGTGTGTGTGTGTGTGTGTGTTTGCGCTAACATCACTGCTTTTGAGCACAGCTCGCCAGAACAAACAGTGAGAAGCTGCAGCTCGCCAATAGGAAGGAGGAAGGAGGCTTGGGGTTTCTGCTTCTTCTGCAAGAAATAAAAGTCAAAAATCTGAAGTCTTCACAGACCACTGAGCCTTTAACATGAGGTTTTACAAGGACATGAGTCTTCTGTGAGAGACTGCGTGAGCTAACAGCTCAACAGTTTCAGAATCATGTCTCTGAGTATTACCATGTTTTCCGGACTATAAGTTTCCCCAGAGTGTAAGTCACACCAGCCAAAAAAAGCAAAATGAAGAAGAAAAAACATATTCTGGTATAGGTTGCATTTCTGGGGGGAAATGAATTTTTACAAGTTTATGAATAACAATAGAATAAAGAACAACAGGCTGAATAGGTGTACGGTATGTTAAAGTAACACGTTGATGGTTATTCAGCTACATGAAGCATGAACAACAAACTCAATAGGTGTCTGGTATGTTAACGTGACATATTAACAGTTATTCAGATAACTATAGTATAAAAACATCACAAAACAAGTTCACCAAACTCTCGATCTCACTCCAATGAACTAAATCTGAGGTGGAGGTGGACAAAGTGCCACTTCCTCTTCTGCGTGACTGTCATCAGACTTTATGTGAAATTATATATTTTAATATATCTAAGTCACACTTGAGTGTAAGTCGCAAACCCAGCCAAACTATAAATAAAGTTCGACTTTTAGTCTGGAAAATACAGTCGTGAAAGAATAAGTGGATTTCTGTACTAAAGGGACAAAGACCAAAACCAAGACTGGATGGTCCTGATCTTCAGGGCATTAAAAACAGACAGGACTCTGGAGTGGAAGTCACTTTATGGACTCAGAATTTACTAATGAGGTTCAAACTGAACTGTGAAAGAGACCAGATAGGACCAGGATCCAGAGGTGGGGATGGTGAGGCTCCATCAATGCTGAACAATATCTCCAGGTTTAGGAGCAACATCTGCTGACATCCAGACAATAAAAAACCGTATCAACACTCATCTGTGGTTTTTTATTTTATTGTTTTTTTTTGTGGATTTATTTAAAGCCCCAGTTTGACACTTGGAGGACAACAGTCTCAGTTTTTCAATGCAGCGCAGTTAGAGATGATTTTTTTTCTGTTTTCAGTCGGATGTGGTCCATCAGAGCGTGTTTGAGTTGATCCACACAGACGACAGAGCTCTCTTCAGACGGCAGCTTCACTTCGCTCTCAACCCGGACACGAGCCAGACGAACAACGGGACCGACAGTCCCAGTGAGTCAAAATAAGAAACGATAAACCACACAGTCCTGTCAGACCACTTCTTTGTGCTCATAAGGATTTGTTTTTTTCTTCTTCAGATGACCAGAGCTCTGCAGAGATCAGCAGTAGCCTGATCGCCTACGACCCCAAGACCATCCCACCTGAAAACTCGTCTTTCCTGGAGAGAAACTTCTGCTGTCGTTTCCGCTGCCTGCTTGACAACTCCTCCGGCTTCCTGGTAAAATAAAAAACAAAAGCACACAAACAAAGATTGTCTATGACCGAGAGGATGAGGTCTATCTTTAAAAATCAAACATCATTAAAACCGTAAAATGAGTTTTTCCACTGATCTCTCATATCTCTGCAGGCGCTGAACTTCTGTGGGCGTCTGAAGTTCGTCCACGGTCAGAATCGCATCTCCGATGACGGGACACTGGTTCCTCCTCAGCTGGCTCTATTCGCCATCGCCACGCCGATGCAACCGCCGTCCATCCTGGAGATCCGCACCAAGACGCTCATCTTTCAGACCAAACACAAGCTGGACTTCACGCCCATGGGCATCGACACCAGGTACATGCAGAAATCAACAAGAACACATTTTAAAGAAGATGGTTTCTCTTTGTTAAATACTAACTGATGATGTATTTGTGATGCTTTTATCGATCGTTTTTTCCACGTCTGTAGAGGGAAGGTGGTTCTGGGTTACAGCGAAGTGGAGCTCTGCATGAAAGGTTCAGGATACAACTTCATCCACGCCGCAGACATGATGTACTGCGCGGACAACCACGTCAGGAGTGAGTTTCAGTAGCCTCTAATGAAGAAGAAGAAGAGGAGCTGTGATTTATATAAAGGATTATATCACATATTCAAACATCTGTTTTTCTTCTCTGTGTCATGTTCAGTGATAAAAACAGGAGAGAGCGGTTTCACCGTCTTCAGGCTTCTGTCTAAGGGTGGGACGTGGGTCTGGGTTCAGGCGAACGCCCGGCTCGTCTTTAAAGGAGGGAAACCAGATTTCATCATCGCCCGACAGAGAGCGCTAACGTAAGTTTTTAAAGCCGCCGTCAGGGAAATTTCGAAGTTGTCAAAATTCAATCTGAATGGTGGTTAATTTATCTTTTGATGTTTTTGGCTCCACATTTATAAAGTTTATATAAGTGAAGTTACTGTACTAATGGAGTTATTATTTATGGATATAATCAATTTGATGAAAGGACCTTTTAGGTTTTCTATTTCTTTGCCTTTATTATCACGTCTCCTAAGATATTTGCTCTTTTTTTCACTTAAAGAAACGAAGAAGGAGAAGAGCAGCTGCGTCTTCGTCGGCTGCAGCTGCCATTCAACTTCGCCGACGGGGAGGCGCTGTTGTACGATGTTGCTCCCGCCATCGACATTCCTGACCCGTGCTCCGCCCCCAAACAGAGGAAGTTGGACAACTACAACATCAGCCCCAACTCCATACTGGGTTGCATGCTGAATCAGGACCAGTCCATCTACTGTGAGCACAACAACACCCCCACCCTCAGCAGCCTTAACGACACCGCCTTCCAGGACACACACGCCACCCTCAGTGTCCCCGGAGACGCCTGGTTGGACTCCACGCCAAAACCTGCAATGGGAGGTCGAGTGAAGGCCGAGGGCACGGTCCAGGACATGATGGACACCCTGCAGCAGATCCTGGAGGACAACGACCTGGTGGACGTCCTGGACGTAGAGCCGGATGAGCTGAAGAGCTGGGAGAACACGCTGCTGAAGATGAGCACCAACAACTGCGAGATGGGCGAAGACCTGAACGACATCCTGAGCCAGGACATCCTGTCCTACGTGGAGGAGCAGCTGCAGAGGGAGGGCGGGCTCAAGCTGCCAGATCACCTGGACGACATCCCGCCCTGCCTCCCAACTCTGGACCTCCAGAACCAGAATCCAGACCAGGGTGAGGAGCAGAACTTTGGCTGGAATCTGGAGCCACAGAGCCAGCTGATGCCAAATGGGGGGCAGATGGTACTGGGACAACAGACCCCAGTTCAAGGGATGATGAAACTCTCCCACATGGGTCTTCCCCAGATGACCTCTTCTGCTCTGATTGGTCCGACCCTCCAGCAGATCACCTCTCAGCAAACGCCTCTTCAGCTGGGCGCCTCAGGAAACATCCCCGCGCCGGTTTCCTTTAACACCTCCATGGCAGACCCGTGTGGTCAAACACAGAACCAACTCAGAACTGTACCAGTCCCCTCCAAGGACAACAACCTCGGGGGATTCTCACTCAGACAAACCAATCAGATTCAACCCAACCAAATGGCTCCACCCATCCAGAACCACCTTCCGATGAGGACGCCAAACCTACCCATCAGCCTTCAGGACCAAAGCCCGGCGCAGCCCATCTTCCACTTTCAAGGAAACCAGTGGAACCCCTCCGTCAACTCCAGCCCAGCGGACAACTTTGTAGAAACATTTGCCCAAAATATTTCAAACCCGTCGTCAACGTTTCCTGCGGGTCCTTCCTCATCCAACGGCCTTCAGGGTCACTTTTCACGCCAAAACGGCGAGAATCAGGGACAGTCCTGGCAGCTGGAGAAGCAGCAGCAGCAGCTGATCTCCAGCGGGCACCAACAGATGGGTGCCTGCCTCAACCAGATGCCTGGATTTCAGATGAATCCACTTCCTGGAGTTGTCGCTGGCCAGAACCCCGTCAATGGCAGGCCGATGTTCAGGACTCCAGAGACTTCAAATGTACCATTTCCTGTCCAGCAGAGCGTGCAACCGCCTCCTCTGGTGCCCTCTAGCAGCTGTAGATTCAGTAATGTCCCGCAGTCAGTGCCTGTAAACGGAGTCCACCTCAGTCAGACGCCGTCCTGCCAGAGACTGAACCCCACAAACACCCAGATCCCCTCCAAACCCTCATGTTTCTATCAGGGTCTGCAGGGAGGCGGGTCTGTATCGGGGATGACGAGCATCCCCAACCCCGATGAGGCAGCGCTGTCCTGCCAAATGAACACCGGTCTGAACCCTGACGGTCTGCTCGGACAGCAACAGCAGTACTTAAACTTCAGTGAACAGACACAGGTAAGGACAAACAGCATCAGGGGACTGTCCACAGAAAAACGTAAAACTCCATTTCATTTTTAGGGTTTGAAAAATTTGGATATTAGTGCGACTATTTTTTAAGTCAAAGCTCAGCCTTAGTACGCATTTAGAGGAAACTGATACACAAGTGTGCAAAATATATCTTCTGAAGTAATATCTGAATCGCTGTTTTAACAATGTATGAAAGGATCGTATCAAGTATGTGACTCATAAAACATGAAGCAGACCACAAACAGAGCATGCAAGTGTTTTTTGTGAAAGGTGCAAAATATTGTAACTCCTGTTATCTGCACAAATGACCCAAAACATAAAGGGATGTTGTTTTTTTTACAGTTTTGCACATCCCTTCTCACACATCATCCTGTTTCCACATCTCATCTTTACTTGAAACTATTGTTTTTTGTTTTTTTTCAGATCAGTCTAACCTGCCATGTCTTTTTTCACAGATCAACAGCCGTCCAGTCATTGGGAACGGAGGATTCCCTTTTCCTTCACTGCCCAACGGGAACGCATACTTCTCAGAGAACAAATAAAAACCAGCCGCCTTGACTCTCTGACGGCAGAGGATCAGACTGAAAGAGACGCTTTTAAAGAAGCAGGAAGAATCCTGCCTGTAAAAAGAAAGGAGTGGAGCAGACTGAAGAACAGGAACATGCCGGAGAAGGAGGATGAGGAGACGAGACAGGACATCTGTGCTCCTCTTTTCTTTCCTTTTTTTAAATCAGAACAGCAATGAAATCTCTGAGAGTTCAAGTGTTTGAGTTCAGGATGACCAGGAGAGAAGAAAGAAAAAGAGAAAGATCGTTTTTGAAAAAGTAAAGGTTTGGGTTGTTGGAGCAGGATGAGAGGATGACGAATGACCCAAAAGAACAGTGTGGGATATTTGGACAGTGATGGAGTCACACAACACAGCACTTGTTTTTCATGATTGCATTGGATGAGTAAGTCTCCAAATTATGAGTCATCTGTCTGTATGTAAGAATCAGCCCCTAAATCCTCACTCGATAACATTTTCTTGTAAAACCAACTGTTTCACGAAAACATGTCAAAGGATTAATTTTCAAAAAACCAACACGAGAGCATCAAAGGTGGCTCAAAGTTCTCCCTGAGATTCCTAATGTCATCCAAAAAGAGCTGTGATTTGCTCTTTACTGCCCCCTTGTGGTGGTGATGACAGACAGAACAACCTCTGCAGCACAAGTAAATGATAGACACGTCTATGTTTAAGATGTTTTCCCCTATTCGGCCACAAGGGGCAGCAACAAGCCGCCTCGCCGCACTTAAAAAATATGCTCTGCAGGTGTATCAACTTTATGATTTATTCGTAGAGTTAAACTGAGAGATGGATGCATGAATACATTTTCTTTCATGGTGCTTCTGTCATGCAGCTTTAAAAAGTAACAGGATGTAAAAAATGATATGAACACTTAAATAGGGGCCAAGATTTTTTTTAATGGTGTTGGTTTTACAAGAAAAGAACTCAGAGGGATGAGGACTGAGGGGATGATTTGGTTCAGAAAGTCATTCTATTTTTTCAGCAGGAAACATCAGAAATTGTTTTTACACTTTTGGACGAGTTAGACAGTGAGAAGAAAGAAGAAGCTTATGTGAATCCTCTGCCGTCCCTGACGCACAGTCCTGAAAACCTGCTTTCTTTTCAAGCGCTCAGAAGGATAAAATATATATTCTTTTCTTTTTTTAAATTTTGCTGTTTTGTCCTTTTGAGAATGCGTTAAAAGTTCATTTCAACTCTTTTCTTCTTTCCTGCTGAGGGAGACGTGCTTTGCAGACAGGGTGTAGAAATAAAAGCGCACAACTTCACAGCTTCAGTCGCCTAAGAGACGATGAAAACCGCTGCTTTTTAGTGCCTCTTAAAATATTTTAAAAGCCTTCAGTCATTGAGCCAGTTTCTTCCTTCCTTCGATTTTTCTGTTTTTCACAGATGGTGCCTTAAAATGACTGTTTTTAATGTTAAAGGGACAGTCTGCTTCAATCAAAAACATTTCCAACTAGAAAAGCACTCGGAGAGCGCAGACCTCCGCCAAGCAGCTCATGTCCCCCCCTTATATTGTGATTCACACCAAAACTTTTACTGTTACGTGTCTTTTATTAACTTTTATTTGTGTTTAAACTGGTATGTTAACTGTTCCTAAAACAAGAAATGCCCTGACCCGGATTTGAACCCAGGACCTTCTGGCTGTGAGGTGACAGTGCTAACCACTACACCACTGTGCCGCCTATCTACACCACTGTGCCGCCCATTGGTTATCTTACAGCATTGAAAATTCCAACAACACCCTTATTTTTGTGTGTTCTGGATCACAGTATCCGGAATTTTGTCCGGATCACCACCAAAATTTAATGGGATCCTCCTGGGGCTGAGATGCACCTCTGGTGAAAATTTCAGGTCAATCCGTCTGTTACTTTCTCCGTAAAGTTGCGAACAGACAAACAAACAAACAAACCAACGCTACCGAAAACATAACCTCCTTGGCGGAGGTAACTAGTAATGTTTGAAAAAAATCTTTTCGAAGTGTCACAGGAATATTAATCTGTTACAAACCAAAGTTAAACTCGCCCTCGCCTTAACTTCGCCAAGTCAATTGAGATATTTTTGCACTATTGCTTTAAAAGTTTTGCCAAAGCATTGTCAAAAGAATGAAATTCATGTTTTTTTTAATCAAATAATTTCTTTAAAGTGTTTGACAACTAAAATTTGCACAAAACAAGTTGATTTAAAACTGACCAGATCCTCCAGATTTTATACAAATTGGATCAAAAAATCATTTTGAAGATTATTTGAAAAGAGTGCAGTTTAGAGAAAAAATATTTTTACATTTTTGAATGATGAATTTTTTCCAGAAAGAATTTTTGTCCTTTTTTTAAAAAAAAGATTTAATCATGACACAATCACCAGCATGTATAAGAGACTTCCCCTGAGACACTATAGCCTAACATCGAACCTTGCCTTCACACTTTCCACATCAAATGTCCGTCCTCTTCCTCTTTCCTGTCTCTCTTTTTGAGGTTAATTTATCAACGTTCTTGCTCGGACTGGGAGTATTGACGATCGTCTGGCAGCGAAACACAGAAGTAAAACAGTTAAAGGCAGCTATTTTTATTTGAAATGATGAAAAAAATGGAAAACACTTCATATAAACAAAATAATACAAAATAAAAACAAGAGGTGGAAACTTCAAGTGCCTTTATATGGACCTCTTGATTGATGATTGTTAAAAACAATAGGATTCAGCACTTAGATTGAAACAGAAACAGCGAGAGGAAGCCTCAAACTGCAAGAGATGTGCGTCACTTCATCCAGTACTGAGCCGTGAAATCTGACTTTTGTCTGTACATGTCGTATCAGCACTTCTGTACTCAATTCTCTTAAAAAAAAGCAGCACTTGTGACAAGCTGCAGATTCTTCAAGTAGAAGCAGCAAGCTTGAAAAATTGATCTAAATACCAAAAAGAAAAAAAAAAGATCAACAAAACAAACTGTGATGCTTTAATTTACAGGATACCAAAGGGACGAGACAGAGTACATACAGATCGCCAGTGAAAAAAAAACCCTTTTACCTGTGATGGGAATTAAAAAAAAACATCTGTATATAAATCAGCAGGACATAGACCTGAATGATTCTCTCTGTGGTTTAACTCCAAGTGTGACATTAATGCTAAAATCATGCTGTGTTCATGTCATGTGGGAACCCTCGTAAATTACAGCTGTTATGATTTTGCTTCAAACAAACAATAATGATGCTTAAGTGAGAGTTTAAGCCAATAAAAAGCACTTGTTTGGATTAAAATACAGCTCAGGATAATTGATAAAGAACTTCACTTCACTTGTCATTTTTCGAATCAACCCCTGACTTTTCATGGCAAAGTTAACCATTTAGTTTTTACGCTCCAATGTCAAATGAGTGTTAGAACACCACATGGCGTGAATGCTGCAGAAGACACAAGCTACAGCTTCTCTTACAGCTGTCAAAAGGTATTTTGGGAAATGTATTAAAACCACTACCTGCAGCAGAGGTTGTAGCAACAGGATGGAAATTGTGTTCATGATTACTTTGGCTCAGTTTCATTTCGAACTCCATAAATCCACTGTTTCCAAATAAGTATGTTTATGATTTATGGAAAATGAGCCAAAGTAACTCATAGAGAAAATCTCAAAACACAACTGAGTAGTATACAGGACATTTTCTAAAGCTTGGTGGTGCTATAGTATGTTCTCCAACAGAAAAAAACAAGCGTGCCTTGACAGCGGACTCACCAAAAATCATCTATCAGACCAAAATTCCTCACAGATACAGTTTTCACTATGCACACTCAGTACAAAATGAAGTGCTTATGTTTCTCCTCTTAAAAATCCAGTGCTTTCATCAAGACACAATATATAAATATAAATATCTTGTTACTTTCTCCTGAAATAAAAAAAAAAGTGTTTGTACTTATTATACTTTTTTTTCAAACCCCAGGAAGCTGAGGCTTCGAATTGCAGTATCTTTGTGTACCTGTATATAAAAATATATATTTGTTTTCTTTTTCGTATTTTCTGTATTTTAATGTCATATTGCCTTAACTTTACTCACACCTATCATTTTTTTGTACATTTTCTGCACAACATATACAAAAGTAACCTTTCATTATGTTTTTGTATCTCTTCATTTTATCATATTTTGTGGATTTTGCCGTCAATATTTTGCCTCTAACAGTGTATGAGTCTTTGAGTCAGTCCTTTAATGCTGACCATATTAAAGGTGATCTGATCACAGGATCCTCTGTGCTTTAAGTTTTTGTTGTTGTGAGAAGGCGTCTGGAAAATGTGAAAAATATCTTTGTGGATCATTTTTCTCTATATCTTATTGTAGTTTAATGAAAATTCCAGTTTTATGTATCTGTTTTATTAGACTTAGAAATTTAAAATTAGGATACAATGGAACTTTATCTTGATTAATCTATATTCACTGTGGAAATGTAATGATCTTTATTGTCCACTAGATGGCAGTGTAAGATTATTTTGGACTATAACTACACCTAAACACAAGAGAACCCGGCGCTCATACGTCTACTTCTGTAAGAGTCACCTTTTTCTGAACAAAAACACTTACGGGATCTGGAGACAGCTGCAGTAGGAGAAAGAAACTGAGCCAGAGACAAAAAAACAAAGATGGTTTATGAAGCATGGAGGGAAAGCACAATAAACTGAAAATAAACTGAGAAAAAAACAGCTGATTATGTGCAGGTGGGTTAGTGAGTGTAGTTAACAACAGGTGTGACGAGTCCAGGCTGATTAGCAGGAAAACAGGTGAAATTAATACCAAAGTTTGAGACCCTAATGAATCATTTATCTGCTTATACACTGAGGTGGCTGTACTTATACTTACTTGTGATAAATTAAACATGTTCACAGCCTGGTATAATAATGATTTTGGTCTGAATGGCTCATTATTTTGTTGTTCACACTTTTGACACAAATTGTTTTAGTTTTGTGGATACTTAGGTGAAAATTTTGCACAATGAGGTGCTGAGAGATGTACATGATGAAACTGTGACCTAGGAGGCTAAAGGCCTAGCTAATACATGCAAAAGTGGGGTTAAATCTGAATTTTCTATTGCTAGGCTTCAAAATCCTCCTCTAGAAACTATGTCCGTGTTTTATAAAGTCTGTTGTCATCAGAAGTGGAAAAGCCCTACCTAAAGGGCAAAAAAGTGTCAGCCATCCACCCTTTGTATGAACACCTCAGATTTTCACAGTTAACGTTGAACAATTTAAAGCTCTCCTCTACCAGTATGAAATAATTTCACCCTGAGTGTCAGATCTGAACGCCTGTTGGAGCATGGAGTGGACACCAGGATTTTGAAAAGTGGGTTAGTGCTGGGCCCGCTAATGTATTGATCTGTTGTCTGCAGCTCTGAGAGGGGCACTCAACACAGCCTGCATCCAGGGAATATCAAATGGCCACACAGCAAACCACACAATACACCAAACCCGGATTGTAAATTCTAACTCTGATTAGCAAAGCTTTAATTTAATCTGATCCTCTGTGGTATAAAACATGCTTCACAGCTGCCAGAAAGGATTCTTTTCCTCAAGAATCAATGGAATACCTCTGCTGAAGTCGGTTAAGTCAGCTTGTTTTCCTCGTCTGAACCATAAAGCAGATATTAACGTTCACAAAAAGACTTAAAGAAATTGAAAATTTAATACTATTTAGTAAAGCCAAATATTTTCACACATCTTTGTGCTAAACCATGACAGCTAAAGTGACCTCATATTAAACTCTAAAGCAGGGGTGGGCAATCATGTGCCATGAAGGGCCGAGAGGCTGCAGGTTTTCTTTTCAACCCAAAACTTCACCAGGTGATTTCACTGATTACCTTACCTCCAAGCAGAGAGGAGGGACTAATCAGTGAAATCACCTGCAGTTTTGGGATGGAAAGAAAACCTGCAGCCTCTCGGCCCTCCATGGCACATGATTGTCCACCCCTGCTCTAAAGCCTCTTTTCCTGGCTCTGGAGCAATGAAAAGAATGCCCACCAGCTTATATTGGTGTTAGCACTCCATCTGCTGGTGGTCTTGGGAAAATACAGGCCTTCCCTAAAAGAAAAATCTTTGTCTGGATGGCAGCAGATGTTGCTTTTTTATACATAAAAATAAAAAAGGAAAATTAATGTTTGTTTTTTTTCAGTTGTTTGTTAGTATTATGGTTGAAGCTCTTTTTGGATGTTTAATGTAAGTAATACATTTCACTAACAATATTGATAGTTTTATTGATAGTGATTTGAAAGTTAGTTATTATGAGTTGGGCCGGCTCTGTTCTGGACCTTCTAGTTCAATAATATAAAAGACTTTTTATAAGTCATCATAAATTAAACAGTTATGATATTCCATTCAATATAAAATAATCTGAACAAACTTTGCATAAAATATTTAATTTGTTAGGAAAACTGATGCTAAATTCTACATAATGTACCTTTAAAAAATTATCTGATATTGATTTAGCACTGTGTTAACTGATGTTAGTTTTCTGGATTGTTAAGGTCAAAATTTGAGAAACTACACTCAACACTTATTAAAAGTCTAGTTTTCTGCAATGCACCGTGGGTTTTCTAATCTTATTTATTTATGTGAAAGAAAGCACAGTTTTTAGCCAGTGCCTGCCCACTGAGCAAAAGACGTATATTAGACGTCTAGTCTAAATTTATACTTCATTTCAACGTCGGGATTCGATCTATTTCTAGACGTGATTTATACTTCGCCCTCAACTTCATTCTTCGATAACTTTTAATGCAATAAACCACTGTAATGTGCATAACTGACCTTTTAATACTGGATTACATTACTTATGATACCGTGGAGAGATGTGCAGCATAGTATAGATGTAGACGTCATTTACACGTATAGATTTATACTTCATTTCAACGTCTAGATTCGGTCTATTTCTAGACGTGATTTAGACGTATAAATTTATACTTCATTTCAACGTTTAGATTCAGTCTATTGCTAGACGTCATTTACACGTATAGATTTATACTTCATTTCAAAGTCTAGATTCAGTCTTTTTCCATACGTGATTTAGACGTATAAATTTATACTTCATTTCAACGTTTAGATTCAGTCTATTTCTAGACGTGATTTATACTTCGCCCTCAACTTCATTTTTCGATAACTTTTAATGCAATAAACCACTGTAATGTGCATAACTGACCTTTTAATACTGGATTACATTACTTCTGTTACCGTGGAGAGATATGCAGCATAGTATAGATGTAGACGTCATTTACACGTATAGATTTATATTTCATTTCAACGTCTAGATTCGGTCTATTTCTAGACGTGATTTAGACGTATAAATTTATACTTCATTTCAACGTCTAGATTCAGTCTATTTTTAGACGTATAAATTTATACTTCATTTCAACGTCTAGATTCAGTCTATTTCTAGACGTGATTTAGACGTATAAATTTATACTTCATTTCAACGTCTAGATTCAGTCTATTTCTAGAGGTGATTTATACTTCGCCCTCAACTTCATTTTTCGATAACTTTTAATGCAATAAACCACTGTAATGTGCATAACTGACCTTTTAATACTGGATTTAATTACTTATGATACCGTGGAGAGATATGCAGCATAGTATAGATGTAGACGTGATTTAGACGTATAAATTTATACTTCATTTCAACGTCTAGATTCGGTCTATTTCTAGACGTGATTTAGATGTATAAATTTATACTTCATTTCAACGTTTAGATTCAGTCTATTTCTAGACGTCATTTACACGTATAGATTTATACTTCATTTCAACGTCTAGATTCGGTCTATTTCTAGACGTGATTTAGATGTATAAATTTATACTTCATTTCAACGTTTAGATTCAGTCTATTTCTAGACGTCATTTACACGTATAGATTTATACTTCATTTCAACGTCTAGATTCAGTCTATTTCTAGAGGTGATTTATACTTCGCCCTCAACTTCATTTTTCGATAACTTTTAATGCAATAAACCACTGTAATGTGAATAACTGACCTTTTAATACTGGATTACATTACTTATGATACCGTGGAGAGATATGCAGCATAGTATAGATGTAGACGTGATTGATGCGTATAAATTTATACTTCATTTCAACGTCTAGATTCGGTCTATTTCTAGACGTGATTTAGACGTATAAATTTATACTTCATTTCAACGTTTAGATTCAGTCTATTTCTAGACGTCATTTACACGTATAGATTTATACTTCATTTCAACGTCTAGATTCGGTCTATTTCTAGACATGATTTATACGTATAAATTTATACTTCATTTCAACGTCTAGATTCAGTCTATTTCTAGACGTGATTTAGACGTATGAATTTATACTTCATTTCAACGTTTAGATTCAGTCTATTTCTAGACGTCATTTACACGTATAGATTTATACTTCATTTCAACGTCTAGATTCGGTCTATTTCTAGACATGATTTAGACGTATAAATTTATACTTCATTTCAACGTCTAGATTCAGTCTATTTCTAGACGTGATTTATACTTCGCCCTCAACTTCATTTTTCGATAACTTTTAATGCAATAAACCACTGTAATGTGCATAACTGACCTTTTAATACTGGATTACATTACTTCTGTTACCGTGGAGAGATATGCAGCATAGTATAGATGTAGACGTCATTTACACGTATAGATTTATATTTCATTTCAACGTCTAGATTCGGTCTATTTCTAGACGTGATTTAGACGTATAAATTTATACTTCATTTCAACGTTTAGATTCAGTCTATTGCTAGACGTCATTTACACGTATAGATTTATACTTCATTTCAAAGTCTAGATTCAGTCTTTTTCCATACGTGATTTAGACGTATAAATTTATACTTCATTTCAACGTTTAGATTCAGTCTATTTCTAGACGTGATTTATACTTCGCCCTCAACTTCATTTTTCGATAACTTTTAATGCAATAAACCACTGTAATGTGCATAACTGACCTTTTAATACTGGATTACATTACTTCTGTTACCGTGGAGAGATATGCAGCATAGTATAGATGTAGACGTCATTTACACGTATAGAGTTATATTTCATTTCAACGTCTAGATTCGGTCTATTTCTAGACGTGATTTAGACGTATAAATTTATACTTCATTTCAACGTCTAGATTCAGTCTATTTCTAGACGTGATTTAGACGTATAAATTTATACTTCATTTCAACGTCTAGATTCAGTCTATTTCTAGAGGTGATTTATACTTCGCCCTCAACTTCATTTTTCGATAACTTTTAA